TAATATAATTTATATATTAATATCTTGCTTTTATTTAAGAGGCTCTATAAAGTTAAAATAATATATAAGATCCTAGTATACCTAAAGCTTTACGTATAATTTTATAATAGGTAATACTTAATATAAAAAAGAAGGCTAGTAAGTATAATACTCTTTTACACAAAGATAAAAATATATATACTATTATAGCTTTACTTACCCCGGTTAGTACTAAGTATACTAATTAGTGCTATTAGGCGCATTTAAGCTTATTATTTCCTAGAAAATCAAGCAATAAAATTAAGTTATATTACTAAAAGGTATTTACATAAAAGTATATTAAAATATACTACTAAAGTTATAATAAAACTAATTAATAATTATTTATTATAAGCAAGTTATTTATAAAGGTCTTTAATTCTAGCCCTTAAAAAGTATTATAATTTTTAGTAATTATTTTTAGTAATTATTTTTACTAATAATATTATATTTTATAAATAAAAGCAGTAAACCCTGAGTATTTTTATACTATTTATTAGGCTTTTTTCTGTAAATATCAGAATATATTAGAGGATTTTTATAGCTTTTAGTAATAAATCTTAAAGTAACTATTATATTAAGACATCTTAAGAATAGCGTAAAATTACCTTGCTATTTAGCTAGGTAATATACTACTAGAGCGCTTTTAGAGTATTTATTATAATATTAATAGCTTTAATTAGTATTATTTATTAACTAATATATTAATAAACTATTTTTTTATATTAATTTATAGTTATAAAAGTAGTTAGTAGCTATTATTATTAAAAAACTATTTCTTAGATATTAATATCCTAGTAATAATATAAAAATAACACTTATATAAGCTATAAAAAGCGCTTAAATACTTAAATATACTAAAAAAGCCTAATAATATAAGCTATTTTTTATTAAATAAATATAATATTAATATAGATATTTATCTTATATTTATTACTTAGTTTAAGCTAATTATAATATAAATAAAAAACTACTTACTTAATATATAAATTAACTTAAGAAAAATAAGCTAAATATATAATAACTAAAAAGCTTTAATATTTTAAGTTAAGTTTTAAGTAACTTTTATTTTTTATTAATTATACCTAATAATATATTATTACCTATTAAAGCTTTTTAGCCTAATTATTAGGGCTAGATATTAAAAACCTAACCAGAGTATAAACTTTAAGGTATAAAATAACTTAAATAAAAATAGTACTTATTTTTATATACCTAATATATTAATTATTATTACGCGTTTTAGGGATAAAATTAATACCTAATTATTAAGTTTAAGTCTAGCCTTAATAAGTTTTATACTAAAAGGATTTTACCTAGCTAATTTAATATTAGCTTAAAATAGTTATAAAAAAAATAATATAAAAAGTATATAATATTTATTATATTATATATTATAAAAAAAGTAAGTTATATAAGTCCTATTTAGGTACCTAAAAATACCTAATTATACTAATAAATAGTTATAAGTACCCTCTTTTTTCCTATAAATCTATTTAGGTTTATATTTACTACCTAATACTACCCAGAACCCACAAATAAACTACCCACACCGGGTACCCGTGGAGTTTTTACACCCTAGTCTGGTCGACTCTCCGCACTGAGATGGATGCTATGGCACTGGCTGTACTGACGTTTCTGGCCAGGTAGGCTGTCAGCGGGCTTGCTCAAAAACAGTGGCATCTACCAGGTTGACGAACAGGCAAGATTTCTCGACTATCAAGCGGAGAAAGACTAACCGTGCCAAGGTTGATCTGGAGATACGGCACTCGTACCGTCACTATCTAGCAATCAGCTTAGCAGTAGCGTTACCATGTCTTATTGAGCAGCTGTAGATATCTTGCGTGGAGACATATAAAGGTCTCCATCGACCCTGCATGAAGCTTCAATTCAAGACCAAGTCAACTATGGATTTGGTCACTGGCTTGCCATGTGGTGGTGGTCAGAACAGAACACTCACACATACGGTGCCCCAACGTTTATTTATTGTAGTTTATAAACGGATGTTGTGTGGCAACTGTAGACAGAGCAATTTGGCGTTGTCAATAAGTTGAGCACGCGCCAACTGGTGAGACATCTGCATTCTTGCGGCGATGGCGGATAGGTTTCAGTTCCTTGAGCTTTACACTTTAAGTTCTTCCTGATTATGTTTATAGGCTGTTTCGCGGCATGTGTAGCATTAGGCTACGCCAACCCGAGCGATCGACCTTTTCGGCTCAGCTTCACGGCAAGACTAGAGAGGGACCGTTGACAATACAGTATCAGATTGATTGACACCAGACTTAATTGAAAAGTGCCTTCTTACCCTACGTGATGAAGGACAGCGGGCCCCACATTTGTTCCAAGTCCGAGGTCCTGGTTGGCTGAAGGAAAGTGGAGACTGGATTAGCATGCACCCGACTTCGTACTGAAGTCGAAAATTATGATCGATCCTTATTCGGTTGTTCAGTAGCGACCGACATGAGAGCGTGTTTAAGGAGGAAAGATGCCTTAAAATGAGTATATGGAGAGGTGGCGTAAGCTGCATGGCCAGCGTTATGCTGAAATCATCCAGTTTTACCACTTCCGCCTTCACACAATCCAAGCTGACAAGAGCAATATCCTCGACACCCAGGAGAGAGTCCGCAAGCTTCTCGCGCGTGAGAGTCACAGACGGTCATACGATGCCCAGAACTTGCGAGGCCACAGGGCCAAGATGATGCAGGAGGCCAGGCGAGTCGAGAATATCCAGATGCGGAAGAAGATCAAGGTGCGCGAGGAGCGCAATATCAAATCAGACGACCCATCATCCCTACCCTCAGAGCCCGTGCCCAACTACCTTGTAGACCGCCAGAACGACCCTCGCTCCGCCAAAGCTTTATCAAGCTCCATCAAGCAGCGCAGAGCCGAGAAGTCGGCACGATATTCGGTTCCTTTGCCCAAGGTGCGTGGCATCTCGGAGGAAGAAATGTTCCGCATGGTTACGACAGGAAAGAAGACGAAAAAGAAGTCGTGGAAGAGGATGATTACGAAGCCTACGTTTGTCGGCGAGGGGTTCACAAGGCAGAACCCGAAAATGGAGAGGTTCATCAGGCCGTCCGGGTTGAGACAAAGGACAGCCCACGTCAGCCATCCGGAGCTGGCCGTCACCATCAAGGCCCCAATTCTGAGCGTGAAGAAGAACCCGTCGAACCCGCTGTACACCCGGCTCGGTGTCCTGACAAAAGGGTGTGTTATTGAGGTCAACACGAGCGAACTGGGTTTGACGACCGCATCCGGCAAGGTTATTTGGGGTCGGTATGCGCAAATCACGAGTGAGTACTACGAATCCCCCCTTTTACCGCGATCCACAATCTCTAGTTTTTCTGGCTAATTTGAACCGTTATAGATGACCCTGAGAATGACGGTTGCGTCAATGCGTAAGTTATGTGCATGTTGAAAGATGATATATGAATCTAACGTCGTCACAGGGTGCTGCTGGTGTGAAAAACAGGTGGTTTCGGGAGATGGGAGCTGTCACGTTTCGGTTGAACTTGGCCCTCATATAAAGGTCGGAGTGATGTCAACGTCCTAGATTAAGAGCATTTACGAATATACAAAAGGTAATAAACAGTCATTTTATCCTTGTGAATTGTCTCCTGCCGTAACATTAGGCCCCTGTACAAATTTCAGCGATATTAGAGAGGGATCGATCCTAACGATCGCTTGTCATTTCCGTCTTGCTAGCCGATCTAGAGCTAGGGGATCGAGTTGTGGCGTGAACCAAGCATACTTTCATGTTGGCTTCTTATAAGCACAAACAAGGCTAAATACTTCCGCGACATTTATTTGGCACATCATTCGTATTAACGGCATGGTAAGTGCTTAGTTTGCCTTTATGCCGCCAGTTCCATGCCGCAGAAAACCTTCCTTGCAGCTTCAGAATAATTATCTCGTGACATTATACGTTCCCAGACGCCGCACTTAAAGACGATGGAAGAGTATATTTCTAGACCATGGCCATAAATGATATAGTATTGCAGGGTAATTTATCTTTGACAATCTACCCAAGACGCTCCTGCACTCCACGCCTAGATTATTGCCAGTTTATGAAGGGTTGTGGAAAGGGAAGACGGCCAAAGGGCGGTTAGTGCATGATTTACTCTTACGTAGTATTATTTTAACGGCTCAAGAACCAGGCTGTTGGAACGTGACCGTCTGTATTGGCTATTGAGAGCTACATCTCTGCAACACCACATACCGCAACTCGTCCAGCCACGGGACTGACCATTGAGACTGGCACGCCTCTTTACCCGCCGTGATTCTGCGAGGAAGGGACATTATTCAGTTTCATCTCGACTGAGGTGGTAATGGCTTCCTTTAAAGAGAGAGCATGTAGCGATGGCCGGTACTATAAAGTTTAAGCACCAACGAATAACCGATAGTCCCCATTTAAATAGCCCGCCAAATCTATAATAACGAAATGATCGAGCTTCTTCTAAGTCGTGGACTGATAAAACTTTCAAAGTGAGCTGCTTAAAAGGCTTACGCCAGGGTCTAATTACTGCAGGACGTATTAGCGTTGATAAAGAATCAGGTTATGAAAACTTCTTATCGCCTTTATATCTTAGATACGCGTGCGACAGATCCCTTTAGTTCCCACGAACAATCATTTATAGACCAAGATAAAGGGTAGCCGTACGTAGGATATTTGATCTTCTGCTATTTAGGCCGGGATAACCCTTTAGTAAAGTCGACTTTAACGGGAGAAGTGCCATTTTTGCGGCCTATATAGCCGGGGATACGGAGCTGGTATTACATACCATCACCCTTCCCGGCCGTAATTCCACTTTAGAAATAATATCAGCGAGGAATAATTCAAGCAGACATAACACACGAAAAGTCCCTTCCAGCTCGTAACAAAAACTATAACTGATTCTTGACCTACAGATTTTAGAAGTTTTGAGACTAAGTTATTGTGGCTTGGTAAACGCACCATAAGGTACACCGCGGGCTGTCGTTAAGTACATGGGGCTCCGACCAAGGACCTTTCCAACTCAGCTAAGACGGACGAACAAATAGCTGGGAAATTGCCAGCATCCCGTCTTTCGGCGTAAAGATGGCCGCAAAACACAGCAGCCTCTCCAAACTAAATCTAAAGAAGAGTCCGCAGAATTCAAGAGGCGCCGCTCCCTGCTGACTTTGGGAGGAACTGTTCTGGCTTTGAGTAGCTTTAACAGTAAGTAGAGCATTACGTATTTTAATTTGCGCAGTTTTACGAGGTTAGCTTCTCATGTATTGTCGTCACGAGGAATTCCCAACTAATATACAACGTATTTTAGTATCAATAGTATATTATATTGAGTATCAAAATACTATGCACTATGTGGGGTAAAAGTCTATTAAGAGCTTTATGGTTTTCTCGGAGCTATGTATGACTCCACGGAGCTCCTTTAACTTTGAGAGCCAAGATTCCAAGCCCAGTCGGCAGGCTTAATATCGGCTTTCCAGAAAGTAAACCACGAGTCGTGAGTTTTGCGAGCCTGGGCGGTGACGGTAGTTCCAGCGCATTCCAGGGTTAATGTTATATCTAGGAGACGCAGCGTGTTAGCAAGAGCAATGCGAAGAGATCAAGGAATCAGTTACATGCCTTGGAGCTTGAGTTCGTCGGTGCCCACCCCCCCGTTGTCCACACGATCGGCAAGTCTCACGTAATCGATATCGCCAGGAGTAACTGGGCTCTTATCAAACGCATCTTCAAGGTTGATCTCCTTTGTCATCTTGTCCCCCTTGTCAGGCGATGCCTTGAGCAGATAGTGAGGCTGTCCACCGTCCCATTTCGAGCTGTGCCCGATTTCGAGGAACAGTCGATCGTCGGTCCCGGCCCAATCGATATTGGCTAGTTGCACATTGACCATCAGTTTTCCGATGGCGCAGCCTTTATACCAAGAGTCGGGAGCAATATAGGGCTGAGACTGGGTCCGAATATCTAGCCATTGTAGTTGAGAGCGGCAGCATTCCTCTTCGGTCTGGACGGATTTTGCACAGCAACCTCGAATGTAAAGCCCCTCGTCTGGCGGAGCAACGGGAGATTGAAGACTGGGCGTGCATTTGACAGGTTCCCGGCCCTGTTCACACTCATTCTCGGGCTTCTTTCCCGACGAGTCGCAACGAAAGGACTTGACTTGGTCGTTGAATGATTCCAGCTTCTTGTCGCTGAAGAGATCGACGCCTGGAAAAGAAGTCTCAAAATCGTCGCCATTGCAACCGTGTTGACTACACGAATTCATTAGCCTTCCGTGTTTTCAACTACATACAATATCAATATTGGGTCGCTGGGGAATCAAGAGACAAAAGTACCGGTAGAATTTGCAGGCCCCCGCGTCTTTTTCTGGTCGAATCGAAGTCGCCTTGCTATCCCATGGTTCAGGAAGGTTGGCTTTGCATAAAAGTGTTAGCAGACACAACGGTTCCGACTATTCGCAGCCCCCGGACACATCAACGTACCGCAATCCCCGTTGGAGACCGGAAATCGTCTACACGACGGGCTGAAACGATCGCTTTCGCAAACGTGGACACCGGATATTTCCCGGGATTCAGTCGGCGGTCTTTCGATTTGAGTCTCCTCCCCGGCGCCGGCACCTTCGCAGCGGAAGGAGCTGATCATATCGTTGAAGTGGCCGTCACTGAACTCGCCCAAGTTATCGTTACCCGGATACGCAACTTCGAAAGCGTCGGCAACACAGCCATAGTCCCTGCGGCCGTCTTAGTCTCGGTCGAGATGCTTTAAGCTCTATGGGAGTATGTAGGTATTACCTGAAGAATTTGCAAACGCCAGCGGCAACACTCGGACGCACCGTAGAGGCCTTGTCATTCCATTCAAAAGGAAGAGGAACTGTACCCGCACTTAGTGAACACGAGCTTGGCAACTACCTGCAAAGGGGCGAGCAGATGGGACATACCACACTTCTCGGCCGGTGCTTCCAGGTCAGTGCATTGCCCACCGGAGCTTGGACTGTCGCAAATCTTGACGGTGGGCTTTTCATCATCTATCTTGGCCTTTGCCACGGCAGCGAGCCTAGCACAGCTATCATAGCCCGGGTTTCCTGGCGTCTGTTTAGCATCTGTGCGCATTTTCACTCCACAAGTGCCACGTACCAGTCTCCTCGCGGGCAGTGAGCTGGCCTCCTGGGATGGACCTCTTGAGCTCGTCATGTCGCCTGAAGGATACGATGATCGCCGCCGCCGCTAGGGCACACTGAGCCGAGCTCGCAGTACCTTGGGCTATAGTTGCCCGCAAATGGTCAGGAATGCGGATGGGAGACCAGTCAATCGTCCTCAGCGTTGTCGTGTCTGCCTGGGGATGGTGATTGCTGATGAAAGCCCTCAGATGTTCCGTTGCAGACTGGCCCACGAAAGCCTCCCACGCTCCATGACGTCCTTCCACGGGAAGTTGAAGTCCTGCAAGCTGCGGCTGGGCACCACTGGGGTACGTTGCGTCAGGATGGAAATCGGGATTCCGCGTGAACGGGCCCATCTCACTGACGGGATCGTCTGCGCTTAAAATTCGGTTCACGTCGGCAGTAGTAATGCGATACCAGCCCATGATTTGGTTCCATGGAATTCCCTGTACGACGGCATGCTCGTGCTGCCACGGAAAGGGAGCGATGTTCTCCAGAGACAAGTTGACGTCCACCATGGCCCAGTTAGTGCGAATGCGATATAGGAAACCTGGCTCGTGGGCGTGTTCCGGTGAAGGTCGAACGGCAAAGTTGATGGCAGCCTGGAGCGACGAAGTGGTTGAAACATACTGAGTGTGCTCTCTAGTTCCGCCATTGACATGCGCGTAGAGGCTGCTACCTGCTTCCAGCTGCTCGGCTGTTAGACCACCGAGCTGAAAGCCTCGTGCCCATATGCCGCCCTCTCGTCGAACGTCGTCGGGAGTTCTGCCCGTTTCGCCTCGCCAGACAAATCCCAGCGTCGACGGAACTGGCGTGCTTGATGTTCCGCCTCCGGCTGGCGAGGGTGCTCCCTGAGCAAGCCCAAGGAGCAGAAAAAAAGGAGTGGCCAACAGCATGGCGAGCAAGAGATTGAGAAAGGTTTTCCTAATTTTGAAAGATGGCAACTGTGAAATGGAAAGCTTGGTGTATTTGTGAAGAAGAACGCGAGAAGGATCGTATTTATATGTGAAAAGCTCAGCCAGTCGCTGATTGACGGCGTGTTCATGTCCAAGAAGCCTCTCAGGGTTTCGTACAACAGCACCGTCCTCATCTCGGCCATATTATCGAGCAGTTGGGACCATCGTTTGAGAGTATGGATGCCAAGTGGTTTGAAAATGAGGCCAGATACATAAATTCCAAGGGTATATGGCATTATAGACTTGGTCTCCTTTTTTCTTGTTCGCAAAACGTCTTTCTAGGCTTTCTAGTGCGTGTCTAGTCTAGCCAATGGCAGCATCGGCTGTAGACGCCCTGGATAAACAAGCTGTTTTTCTTCGGAACCCGCGCGAAGCTTTGGGCGTCAGAGGCCATAGAGAAGACAGGGAGCTAATATGTGCATACTTATGAGCTAGATATCGGAGATATTGGGCCGAGTGCCGCTGTTGCTGGGTCTTTTTGCTTCCATGTCACCGGTGGTCTAATCCGATGAACGATTCGTCATTGGGTGAACTCCAGGCGCACTGCCACATATCCAGGTTCAACTATATCGCCAGTGAATATGTAGCACCGAGTTTTTACCATTGGTCCGGTGTGCTGGACACCCGTAATGGCTGCGAAGTGCTACTTGTCTCCTGAACTGAGCAATCTTGTTGGAGAAGTTCAGCCTGCTGGAATATATCTTTCAAGGCTTGGACCACAGACATTTCCTGATTATCGATACGTCTATCACCACTTAGAAACAAATAGAAAAGAAGTGTCAAAATTCGATGGCAGGGATGTGCTGGGGTGCACGTCCTTAGGGCCTGGTGGAGAGAGATAACTCATAGCAGACTTGGCTGCTTTAACCGGATATCGGCGGTGTCGTCCCGACGCACCACGAGACTTCTGCCATGCAAAATGCAGGAGGTTTTGTCACCGGGAGACGTCTAACATCAGGACGTAGCGGACTTAGTAAGCCGTTGTCGGATTCAGAAAATCCCACTTGAGTTAATATCGGCATTGTGTCCGTTGGTGAGGTCGGAAGCTGACATGATTATTTCTCTTGACGTCGGGCGACGGGCGGAGAGACTCGCTCCACCAAAAGTTCCCTTGTCTGTCACGGCATCAGCCTTAAAAGAGCGCGGCAGTGAATACCCCATTGGGCTCGCGAATATAGCCATCGATGGATATAGCCTCAACTACCGTCGATCCTTGCATATGGACTCCCCACCAGGAGGACGAAGATGACTACTTCCCAATTGGGGAGGATGTGGCCGCATCAATTTTATTAAGAATCACCCTATACCATGTTCGAGCTGGTTGAAAACAGCAGAGTGACGATTGGGTCCTGATCTATTAGCATATCCATCTCCAGCCTTCTCTTCCTTGCAGGCAGCGCACAGACTCGTTGAACATCGAGTCAACAAACGCCCTTGTAACTGACTCGCAACTCGGCATCTGAATATGCCTTGCCGTAATTCGGGCCCGTGCGTCGCAGATATAGATATGGACCATATGGTATTGAACCGGTCCCAACGGGCGGGGTCTCATCTCCCGTACCAGGTTGACGGCCGGACTCCCACACAGATGAACTCTCGACTTCCGCGGAATCTTCATTGCTCTAGTTACCGTGGGCTTAGCATGGACGCAGCTCGGCCGGCCGTCAAGGCCATCGCCACTGTTAGAGCTGCGTCAACTGGTATCGTGGCGGCCGGGAACCATCTCATCCGTAAATGTCTCACAACATTATGGCACTGGCAGCCTTGCTGCGGATATCTTCTATCGGAACACATTTTTTCCAAGCCAACCGTCTTCGAACAACGAACCTGTCACGATAGTTGCTTTTTCAGAGCTCATATCGGCCCGAGTTGAGGGCCCTGGCAGGGGTCTTCAGGGGCTCCATCAGGTCCAACTATAAAAGGGGCACGCCTAATCTGTACAGGATTTTTCACCAATCCATGAATAATCCAACCAGACATTTTATTGAGGCCCTAAAAAGCCCCCCAAAATATCGTCCTTTTCACTGTGCAAAATACCCTATTTGTTTCAACAGAAGCAACCCCGGCGGAATATGGAACACGGATTCAGATCGCCGGTGGCAGATTCTTTGACCTTCCAGAGCACGATCCATCACGACATGGAGTCCATACCACAATCTACCGTCTTCTGCTGGTGATACGTTGCTCCCGGATGCAGGACTCGTTCTTGGGTATTTGAGAGACTACGCAAACGAGGTTCCGACGTAGAGCGGAAACGATTTCACCAGCTGAGTTGGCCAGCCGTTGCCGAGTACATGAACGAACTATATTCTTGGTGTAAGCAAGCCACGGCTGAGGACGGCGGAAGCTATCTTGGCCCGCCTGTCTGGGGGGAAAGAGAAAAGTGGTTAACATTGAATGATTTACCTAGTCAAGATATATAATTGTTGTTCTAGGCGGACGCGATCTGGTGAAAGAGGCCCAAAACTTATGTCTGCTATTCTCGAAACTATTCTCCCAACGCGCGAAACTTGGAGTACCCAAGACACCACGTAGGGGACAAGTCCATTCAAAACGCCTACTTATCCGCGATTTGACCGCTTATCTGTTGGATCAGTAGTAGCCACATGCGGAGTCCGAAGCCAATTTATACTGGTGAAACACAGAAGCAACATCCGCGAATATCGAGTCATGCATCACGATTCACGACACGGTAGTCTATTAGGACCTATGCACATAAAGCTGTAGCCCACATTGTCCGGCTCGACTAAAACTTCAACACATGTAAGAAATCCATGTAATAGGAGCGAATTCTAGTAATAATAAAATAGAGTACATGCATGGCAAGTTGTACGGGTTTTTTTGAGACTAAACCACGAGTCCTTGATCTCTCAACGTATCTGTCAACATGACCCGGCCCCTCGTTGCTATCGCCGCATCAAAGGGGCCCCAAATTGGTACTTTTGAGACAGAAAAAAAGCATAAAGAGAATTGCAGGCGGCATAATCCAGAGGCTCGCCCTCTGGGCATGTTTTACCTATATTAGCATGCGAGTATCTCGTTCCACAAAACTATTACCATTTATGACTCAAGTTGATGAAATATAGACGCTCACATACGCGTGAGGATGCAAATGAAGACACGGCTGGTTTTCACGGCATGAACATCTTGGGCCGCGTTTGCCGGTTGGCGCCCGATGAGTTTATGCAACCTAGAATCTCGGTGTATTTTGGAGCACATACAACGTTAATCGTTTCATCCGTGAGGCACCATATGAATAATAAGCAGAAAACCCTCCCAATTACGCATACGAATGGAACAGTGGTCCAAATTTACGGGTGGCAGGTATTTGTAGCAGAGGAGAGGACAAGTGTCTGCTGTGAGTGTTTCGTGGAATAATTACTGATCTCTCCCCAGATAATCTGAAACCTGCGATAAATCACCTTGTTTCTATTTCGTAGCTAGTCTATCCCCCACATAGGAGCCGTGCACATTAGATCCAAGAACATAGGGTGATCGGATCGACTGCCGATCTCAATATGAACACTGGCAAGACTGTAAAGTTGCACGCACCCCAATATTGGGTAGCGTGGCCGATGCTAGTCAGTCGAGCTGGTGGCTCCAGTCCGCCCAGACGTTGGCAGCCCTCTCGATTCAGGAGGCTTGTGATTCCATGAGTCAGGAGGAAGAGGAACAGAGTCAGCCGCACCGATGGGCATGAACTCGCACAAATAACCTGTCTGTCGATCCACTCGACTGCAGGCGCAAAAGACTAGCTGTCTTATGGCTATGTCATGAATTGAATAGCTCACGCAAGGGTTTGTGTCAAAGGAGGAAACCCATCTGTTTGCTGATAGTCATATATAGACGATGCATGAGCTTCGGAAGACGGGACAAAATATAGCAAGGCCACCCAAGTATGGTAAGCCCCTCATTCTTTGATCTGTGAATACAAAGGTTTAAATAAAATATAGAATCGACCACTTTGCCGAAAAGACGCGATACCGAGGCCCAGCTTACATGGTCTGGCGATGTTTGAGAGTTATGCGTCCCTCTGAGTAAAACAATGCGCATAGAGCAGACAAATCGTGGCTCTACCGATTGCTTTAAAAGTTTCAACATTAGCATATAGTATGTAAAAGCGGGGGGGTAAATGCCTGTCATTTCTTCTTATGCAAAACCTATTGTCTTCACGATCCCAAATATTTGGTCTTAAATAGCCTACGTCTGGACTGTATCTGCATCCAAGCTCTCACATTAAAAAGCCCCGTGTTATCCCCTTACCACCGTATTATGGAAGACTGAATAGGCTACCAGATCATTTTTCGTTATTTAAAATTTTTACGAGTTTCATTGAATTCGCCACGATGGGACATAACCTGGTCCAAGTTGTGTTGACCTTGGCGGCCGTCAGCGCTTTATCAATCCCCCTCAGACCGTCTGCTGAGCCAATGACTTTGCCCGCGGTCTTTGAGCGCTCAGAGCCAAGTGAAGGATGCCTCCTGAAGCGCTCCGAATTTAAAGAACATAATAATACAGCAGGCGGACTCCAAGCCAGCTGCCTCCAATATCAGAAACAGATTAACGAAGCCTTCACGAAATGTTCTGAGAGGGCTGAGAACGTCATCAACGCCCTGGAGAGCAAAGACTTTCCCTCCAAGGACAAAACTGTCCAGGAAACCGGCCAGCCAAAACAAGACGGCAAGGAAACCCTGCAGAGGTTGCTGGAAGATTGGTTTGATGTCGGGATAAACGACACGGAGAGAATCACAGAAATAAAGAAGGAATATAAAAGTATTAAGGAAGAATGTGATAAAAAGGAAAAGACTCGTTTCGGTATCTATTGTGAGGACTGCCCGGAAAATATCCTCGGACAAGCATATGGAGGTACAGGCCCGATTCGTCTCTGCAAGCTAGCCCTCGAGAGAGACAGAAGATCAACAAATATTCGTGATGTAGACCTTGGCGGCACACTCATGCACGAGATGTCCCATGCTATCAGCAATACGAACGATACAGGGTATGGCGTGACGAAGTGTAAGAATCTTAAGACAAGGGCTGCCATACAGAATGCGGAGAGTTATATGTTCGGTGCTCTGGCTGCCACCTTGGGGGATAATACTGGTCCAAGCGGTGAGGGAGGATAAGTTATGTCCAGATTCTGCAGGAGGAAAAGGTCCAGACTCCCTAGGATAAAAAGTTCTAGGTTCTGCAGGAGGAAAAAGTCCTCCCCACGATACCAGCAATCCAAACCTTCCTCTCACTCCTAACCCCACTAGTATTATTGGCGATAGAACAAGCTCCTCCTGATCAGGCAAATTCTATCCCCCTAAGAATTCCCCATGTTCTGAAAATGCCTGTTTCCCCAGGGCTGTCTCTTCTTCTGGCGGGTTCTCTTCTGGTCGGGCTCCCTCTGCTTCTCTCGGTTTCTCTCGGCTCGCCTCTCGTCCCAGGGCCTGTTCTCTTCCGGGGGTCCCTTCAATGATGTCAACGGTAGTTAGGGTTCCCCTGCTCATTCTAACGTTGATCCTCCTATTGTTATAGTTCTGCCCAATAGGAGTTGAAAAATCCCTTGAGGCTTTAAAGATATATATCTTGGGATTGAGGCTATTATTAAAACCTATACATTGGGGGGGCGGCTATTAATTCGCAAAAAGAGGCACTGTAGTTAGAATAAGGCACTTATATAGCGTATTGCTTAAATAAACTATTATCAAGAAGTTAATTAAAATTCATGTTGGTAAATAGTAATAAAAAATTAGTAGTTGCTAAGTTACTTAAAGAAATAGGTTATTTTATTTACTCAAGACTATTATATAATATATCGTATTGTATTGTAAAACTTATTATTTACTTAGCTTTTTTATATAATTATAAACTTTAAAACTTTAAGTAATAGCTTTTTTTCTTAGTATAATAAACTTCCTCTGCTTTTTAATTTATTTTTAATTGAATTTAAATTATTATAATTAATATTGTAATTACTAGAAACTATACCAAGTTTTATTACTTTATCAATAAAGGCATTTTTCTCGACCAAGTACGAGACAGGCTGACAGTCCTTGCGTAATCCCATGTATTATTGATATCTGATTGGAGATTTCGAGAGATAATACCAAAGCGTGTCGGGACAGACCAGACTCAGCACATTCAGGCCCTTACTGCCCGGGCCATGCCGTGTTGCACGGGGAGAATAGCTGTCAAGGGGATTGTAAAGTATTGACATATAGATATCCAGATTGGATCGAACACTACAAGGGCAATTTTACACCCCTTTCTCGGAAACAACTAGCAGATGGCATTTGCGAGGGGAGGGGGTCTAAGTAGGCTACTCCTCACATATAAGAGACAAGGGCTTTTGCTAGTTTCAGCAACTAGATTATAATTCTAAATCCAGGGCCCCACCCGAGTATTTCGTAAAGAAAGTATATATTGCACGATAGTCTCGTAACAAAGTACACTGGTTATTGCCCATAAAAGTTGTCCTATGTTCTTTATATCTTAAGGTCACGAGAGACTTTATTCTATCTTCTATCCTGATCTAAAGAGCAGTCGCTTCTCGTTGAACCCAAGATCCGTAGTTGTTATTCCACAGTGGCCTAGATACCTGCAAATCACAATCAAGTTAATATCAGCACGCGAAACTTAAAAATACCAAGACTTAGGCAAGTTGCCCAAGCTAGCAAGAAGCGAATACCACCTACACTGTTCTCCTCTTACGGATTTCTAGGAGAGCATAGGCTTCTTCAGGAAATGCGAAGGATTATTCATTGATAGGCTAAGGATGCCTGTAACGGTTCCTATCTGCGCCTTCAAATTTGGTCCGTCACTGCGTTATTAATCAGAGTTATGCTTGACGGCGTTGAGATCACCCAGAGCCAGTCTCACAAAGGCCGCAGGTCCCGGATATAAGACAAGAAGCAAAATTAGCGCGAAATTTCCGTACTTGGATCGTTTTGCAATATAATCACGAATTACATGTCAACGTGACTGCTAACACTTAATATCAGCCATATAATACAAGTCAGACGGCAGTGTAATGACTTCATTCTCTTCACTCCACACTATGATAACGACATAAGAAAGTCGGCATAGCGCCCAATAGCCTAGGCAGCAAGTAAGTCTTGTTAGTCGTGCGATTTCTCTTTCCACGTAACTTTGGTATCGTGATGAGACAATTTTGGCAGTTCGTTGCGACATGCCACTTGCCGTGACTCGGAGATATTATTGAATTACAACTGGAAAGTGTGCCGATTTATGCCTCCAGGCCGTAATGGGAGATCGTTCGGGTATCGCAGACCTCTGGAACGACATCAGGTAGACCGTCGACGCTTGTAAACTATCAAGGGTCGGCCCGTGCCTCGATGGCAACGTGACTTCCGTTACCCGTGTAACAGTCACCTAACGGATTTAAATTTTTCCCACCAGACGGGTTGGCATAAATATGTTCCGAAGATGGCACCCCCAGCGCAAGTTGGTTCCTGCTTCTCTTTTCCTACTAGACATTGGCGTCAAGAATTTTCAGTAGACAGCATCGCTTCTCCCTCTTTCCAGCCGTCAACTGGTCCCATTTGAAGCTCATATAAAAAGCTGTACGAACTGCTGAGCTACATCTGTGTAGCCACCGCTTGCTCAAAAACACGATTGCTACCAATATTCCTCATTTAACACCATTGACTATATCGGCTGAAATGGCAAACTCTGCGAAGCGAATTCTGGTGAGCGTCTCGAGTAAGAGCCCCTACTGGTCCGAGGCATGGGAATCCAGCTTGCAGGTGATCGAAACGGCACTTGGACTCCTCAAAGAGAGCAAGCTGGTTTGTTCCGATGGCAACCAAGACGCGAAACCGAAATTTATCGTTAAGGAGAGATGGAATGTGCGAACATTTATCGTCTTCGACATCTTCCACGACACCTACGATCCCGATACTGCGCATCTTTCAGGTCAGAATGACCTGCCAGTCATTTCAGTCTTCTTGGGCGAGATAATCAGCATGAATGTGGCAAGCAACTTTGTGGAGAATGAAGTCAACAGAAAAGTGCAAGAAATCCACGATGCGACTGGAATCGGAAGTCGGCCTCCTTTCAGCGTCGATCACATGTATGGAAACGTGCCTAGTTATCCCAACCCGCGGACTATAATATCTCCTCCTTGAATAATGTTCTCGGTTGAGTATTGTCACAACGAGGCAAATACATAAACTGGCATACTAGATCCCACGATGCTTCCTGTTCCCACCTCTCGCGCCCAAGCTGTTATCCATGACCGGCATAAGATTTGAGACAATCATCTCAGGGTGGTCTCGGAAGGCTACAAGGCCCACATGTACCGTAGACAATATTTACAGTTGAACCAGGATCATATATTCCATGATATACCCTACATGGGCGAATACACCTATCCCGCACGACACGATTACAATTGGAGCATAGCGTTCGCTCCCAATGGCATATGGTGAATGGTGAGGTCTGGAAAATGTTAGTCTTGTAGTTTGATTATTCTCATAGTGCGTGCATACGCTTTATTCACTTTATTACTTCTCATCGGCGAACGTGTGACTGGTATGTGACCTAGTCAGCTAGTGGTAATGTTGAGGAATGCGAAGCAGGCACTCTAGAAATGAGAAAATCGTTTAAATCCCTCATATTACTCCCAGGTCACGTTGTCGTCAAGGCACGGGCCGTACCTTGAACCTGACGATAGTTACACAAACGGCTCGAGACCTAGCCGAGGCCTTGGGCTGCCAGCCTCGCTTGCTCACTGCTGTTTGATACAAATGAGGGTCCCCATGAAGGTCTTAAGAAAACCACGTGCAGGGACCTTGATTATTAAAGCCAATTATTAGCTGAATAGAAACATTGTTTTAAGCCCTTAAACATTAGTCTTGTCACACTTCTCGGCAAAGGTCTTTGCTTCTCTATGACACGGAACTGGCGTTGGTTACACAAGGGCTACAGTCACGGGACCTAGTAAAGTCCCTCACCGACTTCTTGTATTGAAAGACCAGTTGACCTCTTCGGTCAACGAGATCTTAGGGAAAACCAAGGACCTTTAATACCAAAGACTGCTATTAGATGAATGGAGTCATATTTCTCCAAGCCTTTAGCCCTCCTCACATTCTCTCATCATCGGTAACCACCTCCTTCGCAACCCATATATCCAGACGCCAAATCGCCCTCTCGTCAACTTTAGCCCAAGAATTCGTTGGCCACCGTCTCTGTATGACTTCCTGGCTCTCATCCACGTAAAGCTATCAAGTCATCTACGCACACCATGGCTCACCAAGCCGGCGGTGAGACATGGGTGGCTCGGCGATGAGCTTTCGGTGCCACATCCAGGAGCTCAAGGATGAAAATGACTTGATTAAAATCGACGAAGAGGTAGACCTAGACCTAGAGCTGGCAGTCATTGTACTAAAGTGTACGACGCAGAATTAAAAGCGGCGCTCTTTAGCGACTTATGACCGCAAGGACAATGAGCTCTTTTAAATCCCCAGAGCACCCGTCGGCGCCGTAATCTACAAGAGTGACCCTATGGTGCCGGTCACTGCCTGGGCCGTAATGCAGGCGGCCGAAGTGCTATCTCTCCGCCAGGCTGCCGCGCTGCCCATCAGGATGGCATGGAATCTATTCCGTTCCCACGACCTCTGGTTCATTCTCCGGGTCGACGAGCCCAAGCTACACACGTTGAATACGGATATGCGCACCTTGAGCAAGAAAGTCGGCCACACCGTCTTTACATCCGAACTCGGCTTCTGCATCCCCCTATCTGTATTTTGTCAGCGAAGATGTTGACCCGACGAGCATCCGGGATATTGTTTTGGGCCGAGGCTACGTGCAGCTAGCCGGGCGTAAATGAGTTTCATTCTGACCAGTATCCTTTCCCACTCATTCCGTATTTCACTCATGGTGTGAAGCCAGAAGGTAACCATGAGAAGGTGCTGCGGTCTTGCCTGTTTCCCCCCGAGCTTTCCACTGCTCCTCGGGCTTGTTGGAGAGGGCTCATTTCGACTGTCTTATCCACAAGAGGTGCAGGACAAAGTCAATGCGCTGTGAGAGTCGTACGGCTTTTGATAGGGCTAGTTATATCTACTTGATGATTTGCCACGCTGCCCTGTCGACGACGATTCCCTACAGCCCAGCTTATGCCACTTTTTTTGCCGCAGTCTCTTGGTCGTCAACAGAAAACAAGTTGTTCGTCACCCCTCTAAAATAGCCAGCACACCGAAGTTGATAAAGTAGCCAGAAAACCATCATCACGTAGGCTGTTGCCGTTGTGAGAGCAAACATGTCCAGTTCTGCGGCAGCGGCGGACGCCGGGTCTTGAACCTTGAAAAATTCATGAACTTGATCCCTTGACACCAGCATCAATACCAAGCCAAGTCCATACGAAGCCGTCATAGTAACACGCTGAAGAGAAATAGTAGAAGAAACAATGGTGTGAAGAACAGCCCATTTCTGATGTTGGACAAAATCCCTTGCCCTTGCTGTTGTAGCCGTTTTATATAACGTGAGATAATATGGGGGAGCCAGCAACCAGAGCGTCATTTCAAAGGTTGGCCACGGGATGGGTGACAAGCCGTCAAGGTCGTGGAGGTGGTAGCGGTTTACGTGGGAATAAGCATGCTTGCTGACGAGGAACCAGTATCCAGAGAGGCTGAGTATAAAAGAAAACGTGATGATGATGTAGCCGGCTGAACGGTGGACTTTCGGATACTTTTTGCGGAAGCTGTTACTGTGTTGCAGAGGCATGAGGATGCTCCATAGAATCGCGGGAGCGGCGTGTAAGCCTTTGTATATCCATGCCGGAACCGTCTTGTGCCGAAAATCCAAGAAATGCTCTCCGGTCTAAAAGAAGGTGAGCATAATGGACGTTTCCCCTCGTTCACCCAGTAGTTGGAGCGTCGGAGAACTAACCTCTGGAAGCCGGGACGTGGTAAATAACGGGGGCTTCTGGCCAAATATTGCTGCTACCGGTGTTCCCGTAAAGGTAAATGTGGCAAAGATGACCATCAATACGCTGAGAGGAATAATGATGTTGTGGGAGACGTGAAGAGGGCGTTTGAAAGTCATCTTGGTGCGTGCTGTCTACGGCTTGTTTCACGCCTGGGGAGTCGTATTCGATTTAAAGAACAATGCTTGATTACACTGGGGGTGCAATGATGTATTACTTATATGTGTTGAAGCGGTGTAGTCTTTGGAACAGTTGATTGGGAATTGTCATATTCAAACCAGCTTGCGAATTGGTCCAAACTCTTGTAGGGAAGATCTACGAGGATCTGGAGAAACGGCGGTGCAAGCAGAGCTAGGCTCAAAATAAAATCCATCACCTATATTATCCATGTGAAAATGCAGGCGTTGGGTTGAATCCTAAAATCACAAGCCGGGGCTGATTACGTTGGCCACGACGAACCATTGCTACAGCCACACGCGTACCGGAACGGACGATGATATAAACCGGCCTCCGCTCTGCTGCCTTTTCAGACTTCCGGTCGCTCTTGAGCTAACTCTGGTTTGGTATGTGGGGTAGTCAATCAATCCAATACCCGTGCAGGTATTAAGAAACCCACGATCGCCTCCGGTGGCTAGTTCTTCAGGTCATAGCTAATGTCACCCGTGGCTGCACAAGGGCTACGATCACGGGGTCTAGGGCAGAAGACCCTTACCGACTTGTTGCATTTTAAGACCTCTTTGGTCAATAAGGCCTTGAGAAAAGCTAAAGACATTTGATACCAAAGATTGTTATAAGATGAATTGATCCATTGCTCCAGGCCTTGCGTCCTTGTCACAGCAAAAGAAGTTGGCTGGGCCTCAAGGGAGGTATAAGCGATACAGAAGATGGAATGTTCTTGCACAGAATCTCTATACTTGTAACCAGATGTCTGCATAAAAAAGTGTATAATTGCTTCAAGGCTCAACTAGATAGCTAATAGAATAGCATGTGTAATAATTGCCCGGCCCACGGTGGTTCTGCCCGTTGCACTCAACAGTCCCAATGTCCAAGGGGTGGCGTAGTACTTTCCAAGTATATAAATCCTCATATCAACGGTATAGTGGCCGTATTCACATAGTCGATATTATCGCTCTGGCACTCGATGCGCGGTGCACAGGTGCCAAAGATGCGATCCCATACACGACTCTGCTTGCCGTAATTATGGCTCTTCTTCCAGCCCGACCGGTGATGAAGATCGTGGTCCTCCAAGAGCAATTCGGCATCCATCATCTTCAACAGCCAGGTGATGGTCGATGGTGGCGACAGGGAGAGGCGAAGTCCCGAATGGCCGAGAATCTCAGTAAAGAAGATGAACATGTGGCACACCCATAATTCGTAGAAGCCCATGGGCATACCCATGGCCTTCATAGCTGCAAATGCCAGTAGGGGGCTGCCCACGATATCAAAAATCTCCTGCTCCGTGTCCGCGTAAAGGGTTAACAGCGGATTGGGATGCTTTGTGAGGTGATGAGTGCGATGGAATTGCCACAGGGCATTCACCTCATGCATAAGGCGGTGGTACCAGTAAAACCAGAAATCCAGGATAACGGGATAGACGCCAATCTCGACAGGGAGCCACTTCCAATTGATGTCGCTGGGCTCGTGACTGGACCGGTATGCTAGGACGATTAGGAGCAGGGAGCGGAAGGTAGTGGCCGATGTGAGTGAGAAGAAGACCTTTGCGACGCCAACATCGGGGACTCCATCTCGTGCATGCTTATCACCATCTAGAAATCCGTACGTGATCCCCATTCGACCAAAGACGCGCACGGCGTGGATGGAGGTTAACGTCATGGCCACATTGTAGAAGAAGTAAGCAGCAACAGCGTGCATGTTGCGGCCAGTGTAGTATACGTAGGCATGATGCAGCGCAATTGGCATAAAGGCATAGAAGAGAACCCATCTGGTCAAGTGCCAGTTTGGCAGGTGAGGAACCTTTTCGCTCTTTGAATGTACCGGGGGCTTTGTGTCAAGCGAACTTGGATGAAGGCCCAGTCGATCAAGAAAATGGTGATATATAGTCCATTCGGAACGAGGAGATTGTGTCCAAGTAGACTTCATCGAGTCCTTGGGGTTGCGTTGGAATTGTGCCATGGTGATTCGATGTGCTTTTGCTGAGGCGCGTCCTGGGACATGGCGAGGGTGACTGTGCCGCCTTAAATAAGGTCAACTGGTCGCTCGGAGAATTACAGGGCAGGCATGTCAATAAAACACCGGACCGCCGCATGCCTATGCGTCGTATTTACGTTTGTAACGCCTGTGCGGCAGTTGATCAAAGACTCAAAACAGACCGTCGACGGTACATGTAGACCCTCGGACGAATTTTACCTCCGCCCGGAGCGCTGAATAGGCAGCACCAAGGGCCAACGGTGGATACTGTTGACATGCCAGACATGGACCAGGCACTTTGATCATACAATCTCCTGGGGGGAACCCCTTTCGCCAGCAGCGGCAAACCAACTGTGACGAGTTGCGGGGGCCAAGTTCCTCTGCCATGTTCACGGGATATCGAACTTGGCCAAGGAATTGGCCATCGAAGCAACATGGAAGGCATTCTAGACGAGTGGGTCATTTCCATCCATGTTCCATCAGGTCTGGATGTCTGGCTACATACGGAGTAGGTAGTATGTAGTCTAGTCATCAATCCGAGGACAACGGAAGCACGTGCCAAAAGGCATCAATCCGTCGGGCCGTTCCCCGACGGACATGGAATATCCGCCGCCTCCGGTCACAAACAGCCTCCAAGTCCAAGGGCCGCGTCTGTATACATTAAAAAAACAAGCCTACCTATTGTCTTTGTATGGTGAAGAAGGATGAGGTCACATGGTGTAAATAGACTTACGATACCGAGTTGACATGTTATCGCGGCCATCGCGCCAAAGCTCTACATACGTAGGCCTGGCCCTTTACATTCGGGCCCACTAGACTATACTGGACGTAATCCATGAAGCTAGAAAAATGTAGTACCCGTCAGCGACTAATTTTTTTTTTTCCGTCAGCGAGGCTATAACGACTAGACTGGACAACTCCGCGGGCGGGCTTGTAAGACCACTGTCACGAAAATAGTTACCTGGTTATAATCCAGGTAAGCCACGCAACACAAACGAACTAAACGCCTAGTATATACACCAGATGGATGCCGGCCAATCGGAGGTCAATTTGAATCGCGCTACCCTACGGTTTTTACAATACAGCATTGGATGATGACGGGATACAATCGGAACATTCATCAAACCAAGCTAAGTAGGGTCCAGATGGCGTGCTCAAGAAACACTAGTACTGACCAGACGATTTTATTTACCGCATCCTCGTGACTTCATCCTTAACCGTGATAAGCTTTTAATGTACTTTAAGACCTAAAATAATCAAGGCAATATACATAAATAATCGTAATCTTATTATAGTACTCACTCGTGGAGCCGCTCTTGACGTATGCGCAGTCTGCATAAAGAGCACATTACGTTTAGTAAACCGACGTTGGTAGGCAGAAGGCTTTGGTCCCCTTTAGAGCAGTGAGTGGCTCCTTGTGGATTAACCACCAGCCAAACTATCAGGACCAGTCACGGCAGGCTTGAGATTCTACATGGCATTGGGGGCTATAGTTATTGCTTCATCGAGGCTATGAGACTAAGACAAACAAGCATGGTATCGGGTGCAACAGCAAGGGCGCTAGATTCAACAGCGTCAATCAGCTAAGCCCGGTGGTCGAGTCGAGCGGTTACTACGAGCAGTTTTCCTCCGGTAATAAGATAACTTCTATTCAACTACAAAGCTTCTCCGTAACGAGCAGCTTGGTTTTGACAGCTTCCCTCTGCAGATGGAGTTGGTACAAGGGCCACACAAGCAGCCTTCTACTAACCATACATGCCGCCCGAGGCCACGTTTAAATAATATTATGCTCATACGCCATTGAAAAGGCTCCCGAGAAACCGGTTTGCCAATCAGACTCGTTGGCAGCGTCTCCAAAGGGAGCGAGCGTGCTCAGAGCAACACGGTACCGGCTGGGAGGGGCGTATTTGCCATGGGCAATTTCACCATTCCATCGGCCGACAAACCGTCCGGGGTTGCGGATGGGAAAATTGAAGGGGAAGCCTGGGACTTGACCAATGGACATGACGCCAGCAAATTCGGTGACGAGGCTGTCCGGCACGCAATACTTGGACAGCTCTGGGACTCGGGGGTTGGAAATGCTTGGGTCGACATCCGAGCACAGGATTTCCGGGACGATGTCGAGGCGCACTCGGGGAGAGCCGATGCCCAAGTGAAGCTCGAAGATGAGTCCGTTTACATCTTCCCCTGCATACTTCTTCTTGATGAATTTGGACGAGCCGGGCCTTTGTCCGTTTGTTGGATTTCTAAAGATGAATGTTTCGGACTTGGCGAGATGCTGAGTGCCATTAATTGCCGTAAAGTGCTTGAGGTCTGGGAAAGGGGGGTACTCGCGAGCAGCCGAGTGGAGAGAGCCGGCAAGGCCAAGAAAGGGTATGGTTAAGACGGTAGAATCAGAGCCATTAATGGATATCCAACCAGACCAGATAGGTAAACGTATTGGGTCAAGGCCGGACGGGTCAGTGGCTGACACGTCAATGGTCCCCGACTCCCCCGGTTGAAGGGTGAGGGAGCTTTGGCTCAGCTTTATGTCGGCTGCAGCCTGGACGGGCTCGGGCTTCATTGGGTCGAGATCAAAACTGTTCCGCTTCGCAGCGTACAAGGTGGTGGCATGGAGAGGGGAGAGCCGGTACGTCACTTCCGACTGGGCGGTGTTGGTGATGCTGAGGCGAATCGTGCTGACTCGGTGGTCGGTATCGTTGAATGCCAAATGCGACGGCTGGACGAGAGTAGTCGCGTGAGCGGCATCCCAGGCGCTGACAAGACCACCGCCTTGCTGGGCGACTGTGACGAGCCCAGTACCGCTTGGGTCTTGCTGCGGCTTGGCCGTCGATACAAGGCGGCTAGCCATCTTGGCCCAGTCCAGGTTCTTCCCAAGCGCCTCGGCGACGACGGCTGCGACTCCCGCAGCGAACGGTGAGGCAATCGATGTGCCGGAGCTGAGGCCGTATCCGCCGCCCACGTTGGGAGTTGGGACATCAGCGCCGGGGGCGCCCAGGCTAGGCTTGATATCGAGATCCCACGTTGGCCCGTAGGATGACTGGTCCTGTATATTGAAGCTTCTGGAGAAGGAGCCGACAGATATCACGCCCCGGCCTGCCGAGGGACTCGCGGAATTAAAGGCCCCCTTCTCTGGGCTGTTGCCCGCTGGGCCGACGCATATAATACCCGTGGCCGCTATTCGAGAGACCATCATGGCTAAGGGGTCTCGCCCCGAATTTGTCTCTCCTCCAAAGGCCGAGACAATGATTTGTGCTCCATCCAGGGCGGCCTTCTCCCAGCCCTTCATTGCGCTATCCGCAGACCCTTTACCTTTGCAGTCAAGGATTCGATACGCCATAAGAGTTGCGTTGGGTGCCACACCGACGTATTTTCCGGCGTCATATCCTCCCAGGATGCCGGCCAGAGCAGTACCGTGCCCGTTGCAGTCCATCGGGTCTCCCTTCTGTCCTTCCCAGGCAAAGTTGTCTCCAGTAACAACTCGGCAATCGGGGCCAACTCTCCTGCAGGCTCCGAAGGCTTCGTGTGTATAGTTGACCTGTCACCACCTCGCATGAGCGTTCTGATCAGTTTTGTTCGGCGTGTCCAACTTGGCCGGGGGAATAAAGACATACACCACTGTCAACTATGGCAACTCGAATACCATTCCCAGTGAACCCCTCCTTGTGCAGCTTGTCTATCTGTGTCATGGCGAGGTGCCAGGACCCGTCCGTGGCATTTTCGGAATCACGACTGCCCAGATGACGTCGTTTGTTCCGTCCCGGCTGCTGCGTAGCTTCACTGTCAACGGGCTGGCCAATCTCTGTTACGGGCCACGTAGTAAAGCCTTTGAAACGGTCCATTAAAGCCTCTTTGTCCTCATTGCTGCGTACGTTGGCCAGCCCTACCGAGATGCCGCGGAAGAACTCTGAATCGAACGTATGGCGCACCTCGCCACCTTTTGCTTGGACAGCATCGGCAAGAGATTTCAACTCGTTGCCCTCACACTCGATGATGAAGGCATCGGCCACGATATTGCTGGCAGTCTCTACCTGGTCCGTTGCCGCCCAAGCTGACAGACACGCGGCGGCAAGCCAAAAGAAAACCGATGACCAAGGACGGACCATGGCTAGGGCTGGAATATGGGATCAATGGTCTGTTATTGGTTAGATGAGAGGATAAAGAGAGGCTGCTTAGTGTAAATCTGTATAACAGGTCACGTCACTAGTTCTCCTTGGAGAAAGCAGCTGCTCCTTCTTATATTTATGTAACAGTGCATGCCCATATCCAAAATATATAGCAACGAGGAGCAGTGTCAACGGGTGGAATTCAGGGCATTTACAGCCAAGAGGTATACAAGTTTCAAATATAACAGGCAGTGGGCGCTTGGTTAATGCGTGACAAGCATAGTCCTGGAATTTAGAACTTTAATGGCATTGAGAATAAGTACCCATTATTGAACGAGACACGTCGCCTTTATTTGCCCTCGGTCATGCAACAAACATGCCCGCCATCGGCGTGCTCCGGGAATATCTGCGTGTAAAACGCGTAGATGGCCTCTTCTGGCACTTGACAATCCGGAAGCCTAGTTGACTCCTACACGCGGCGTCACGATCTGCCAGCAGTTGATTAACTATATCTTGAACACTACAAAGCCGGAGAATTCAAGGACATACTGAAGAATCTGATAGTACCTTGACATTTCCCCATGTCGGTTAGCTTCCAAGACTTGGGCTAGGCCGCCGTCTCACACTTCGTCGCCCCGTCTCGAGTACAGTCAATACAATATTGCGGGGATTGGCCGCGATCCCGGGGGTGCCAAAGTGCTAAAGTCAACCATGTATATCTTCCTGGCCCCTCAGATACTTTATATAGGGTTAGTTTCAGTAGCTCAAAGAGCAAAGGTGATACTCTTTTAGCGCCTTCGCCAGGCATAACCACAAAAGCAAGAAATTATAGTCGGGATCTTGCCTGGGGCAAGTGGAGTCTGGCATTGACGTGCTGAGTCGTGCTGTTTATGCTACTAACCCTGTTTATTTGCGCTACCGCTCTCTTCGCCGGGCACGTGCTTAAGCTGTCAGCGGTGCAACTAATAAGTCCCGTATCGGTGAAGCCCCTTTATTGGGCTTCGCGATCTGTTAGGCCTTTTCCGTGTAATACCTATGTATTCCAAGTACATCTTGAAAAAACACTTATGGACGGACCAAACGCAGGGAACATTCTTGTCAGGTAATTTCGTTCGGCTTACACAGTAATAGAGAAATATATCAACATGATAGTACGTGCAACTTATTACTCTGAAAGATGCCAATAAGAAGCTTTTAGCATTCTTGCTATTATAATCCCCCGCTATAAAATACATGATAGTTGCCTGTCTCAATATATACGACCACAGCCGCTAGTGAAACTCACGATCCCGTCCGATCTCGTACGATAACCTAGCGAGCGCTAGATTAGTAGTTGGGTCGGTGACGACCAGCGAATACCTGGTGTTGTATATTTTTTGCCATTCCTTTTTGCATGACGTGACAAATCGTTGAGCCGGATAACCGTAATTAGGAATTGTGTGTAACCGTATTAATTGTTTGTGTGTGGAAGGCTCCTACACGCCATGTCTTTTCATACTGTCGCAGAAGTTCATGGGATCCACTAGTGGAATTCTCGGAGCCGCAAGCCTGACTATGGCGGATTTTGAGATGACCCTGCTGCATTCAACTAGCTCCATCTGTAGCTTTTTGAATATATTGGTCGAGTTATTACCGACACCTGTATGCGACATGGTGAATACCAGGTGAGTCGGGGCGCATAGCGTCCATTTCTCCCAACTATAGTGTATCAGTCAAGAACGGCCAATTGAGCTGGTAGTGTAGTATCCATCCCCATTATACAGGCAGCTCGGTATGGATTATAGACTGTTTTTTCCGTTGACTTTCGGATCCAAACTCGATGTGGTTGAACTCGATGCCGGGACCGGCAGAAGCGTACCGGCCAGCAAATGTGTCCCGGCCGTGTACCGCCGAAATCTCCATGCCTGGCAAATGAGCAGTCCGTTCACTGCAGCTTCCCTGCAATGTAGTGTTCCTAGTGTGCTGGGGACTACAATAAGACATGGATCTAGAGTCGTGCTTGGCTCCACTAAAGCCGCGTCTCTGAAAAGCAGACTCGGCGATGTGGTCCAGTACAGTCTTGAAATCGTCCAAGAAAATGGTGTCGGCTGCACACTTGAAAACGAGTGCGAGCTGGCCAGACTCGTCAGCAGGGACACGGGCACAACGACGGGGCAAACTTACCCTCCAAAATGGATTTTTGCCTCCCTGTGTGGTAATCAAACCAGTCATAATAATGTCGGCGATGAGAAATAGAATTGCAAGCCCGAGGCATAAAAGCAACACACCGAACCGAGGGCTTATGCGAATCAAGCTGCATATGGTAAAGTCGTAACACTTATTAATGATTAAAATAAGTTTTACTGTGGTAAATACCCACCAAGGGTCCCTATTAAGATGAATTGTTAGCAGGGCGTGGGTAGCTTCAGACGGGGCACATGAAAGTATAATTGAACTAGCCTTGATAAAGCCTCAAAGAGTCTTGTAACCGTAAACATATTACTACCAAGCTCATTATTGTATTCGAAATTCGCCCATGTTTCCAGAACCCAGTATGGCTGAACTAGTAGTAATGATATAATGAAGAACCGGCTACCCCATCGGGGGAGAAAGGCCTTTATCTTGAGCCACGCGATAATGTTGTGGAGAAAATATGATATGTATAGAGTAGTTGCTGTGATGCTTACATACCTATACGTGAAGGTCAGATAACTTATCTAAAAGGCATTTGAAAAAGGGATACAACTGACCAGCCGAATGCAGGGTCACTAAGAAACATGAAGAAGCCATGAGGTAGAGAAAATATTAGCTACCCACCGTTAGTTGTTTGCTATAAGGGCTGAGCAGCGTTGACATGAGCACTTGCCTGACAAAGAATCAGCTTATGGAGTATCCTTCCTCGACTGTAATTGCAGATTACAAAAAGGATGAGGATTACGATTCCACCAACGTTAAAGCCTTGGGCCCATGTCTCCACTATGGCCTCGTCGAGAGACATGTTACTACGAGTAGGAGCTGGCGCCATCTCTGATACGGGACCGAGACGGAATATATTCTGGTTGAGGTGACATGGAGCTTTACAGGGTCATGTCTGGTGGTATTAAGACGTGCGCGTCTGGGAATTTAAATATAAGGAGCATGCATAATTGGGGCAAAATTTGGTCCAGGTAAAGCCGGGTGTAGCAAAACGCCTTCAATATTTACAAAGAAAAGAGACGACATTGTCAGCTCTTTGTCTCTAGATTACACACACCCTCAGCTAAGCTTTTTATACATCACAGGGCGCCTTGGCACCTCCTAGGCGTTTATACCGACGTCAATCTCCTCTATTATGCTTCTCCGGTGCCAGTGGCCGCCACGGGATGTGTGAGCGAAATTACGCCGTGTCTTTTACCAAGATTCGTTTCGTCAGAGCCGGTCGGGAAGCTGGTGTGGATGTTTGGAAAGCTCCGCCCACTACTCACCGCACACATATCACGATTGAAAGCCATGGATTGAACTGGACAGCGGACTGGCCCTTTTTCTAGGCATCGTAGGCTATCTATTCAATGGAGGCGTTTGGCTGTATTGAATGGCCGGCTTTAATAGGGCTGTGGCGTGAGCCTTTACGGGGCGTTTGAGTGGCTTTATTCGGCAATACTGAATAATAGTAGGCGCTTTCTATTGACAACACACCTGACCTATTAGGATATCAGCAATTTGTCTAGAATCGGGTTAGTAGTCACATGCATGCATAATAAAGTTTGACACGTCCTTGCCGCACAAAAATACAATGTTGGCTGCCCCCAGTAGACATCAGGCTCTCGTGTCCCGCCTTGCTTTTCGCACAGAGTCGCAGTTGCCCTTGTGCACACCGTAGTACTCCTCAGTTATTTCCGCCTCGTCTCTGTTAATCTGCTCGGCGAGCTCGTTGAGCGAAATATCAGAACCCCGGGGGCACAGCGTCGCGAACTCATCCACCATCTTCTGCTTGTACAACAAGTTCGATTCACAGACTCGTAGTCCTAGATTCCCGTTGGCGACGGCTTGCATGTTCCCGTGTGCCTGCGGGGCTCTCGTGACGTTGAGCTGCCGCATCGTCTGGATGGACTGTGCCAGCCCGCGGGCCTGATCGTCGAGAGTCTTGGCCTGTACAATAAAGGGAACGCTGTCCTCGCACTCATCGCCAGTCAAGCAATAGTCTCCTGTGCATGCCATTACACCCGCGGTAGTATGGCCTTGGGTGTGGAATAAATTAATGGTGGCATTGCCGCATGTCAAGGTTTGCTCTTCCCCGACGCGGACCTGCGCTTGTTCCACTGCGTTGTTGTTTTCTTGGGCTACAAGTTGTGAGCCGCGTAGTTTGTCCACGCTGTCGACTGCGGAGAGCCCTCCGGTGTGGTCTTGATGCTCGTGGCTTGCAATGAGTGTGATGTTGGACATGCCGGCGAGCCCGTTCTCTTGCAGCAGGCCAACGGCTTCTTGGAAAAAGGACCCCGAAGATAATGTGTCGAAGAGAATTCCCTCGTTTGGAGAGCATTGAATCATGTACATTGTGTTGTTTAAATCCGTGTTCGGGTCGAAGTCGTTGGCGGCTACATCCACGCTCGTTTGGCCCAAGGTGTAGGGAATGTCCAACACCTTGTTACTCGCGCTGACGCCAATCAAGGGAGGATTCGTGTTCGGAACCTGGTACGCAGTGAAGAACACCGGTATTGATTCTCCGTTGAGCTGCCGCCTTCTAATGCTGTACACACGGTTCGTTACTGCTTTCTAAATGGCTATTGATCTGGGCTGTTACCTACGACGCACTGGGGGGCAGGCATGCAGCCGCCCAGCCGAAAAATACACCCAGTGACAGTAATGTTGTTATTTTCATATTGAATGAAAGCCACCGGTACTTGGTCGGGATGATTGGCATGCAAATTTGTTCGAACTGGTTGGAGCGGCCGAGTCGTTGGAATCGTACGTGCAAACGGTACACTGCACCTCGAATGCGATATAATATGTACGAGATGGGTAAAACCTAGTTTCGGAATATTTTCCTGGTTATTTCTCGTTGTTATATGTTGTTTATATATTGGCAGTAAAACTCGTGCGACATTCCCGCGACATAACTGAGACGTGGGTTAGCAGCCCCTGGTTCTGCGGCATGTTTCTCCCCGTGATTCAAGTATGTGGATATACAAAGTATTCGTCATCGTAAAGGCCGGTCAGGGGCCCAAAATAGAAAAGTTCTGGAATCACTTTTGAGTTTACTAGATTGAGTGATCGGATAGAAAATGTGAGCCAGCCTTGCGTCTCTAACAGATGGTGTCGCGTGTCACGTATAAAACCTATTACTATTACGCCTGCAAGAGAATGGCCAGAAAATCAGAGACAGCCGACATTAATCTACTACTTGGAGGTCAAGCGGATTCATCCTACAAGTTGACAGTTATGAGCTAATAATAGACAGGCGGCGAAAACTGCAGAACCACAAGGCACGATGACAATGTTAGTGGGAGGGATAAGCCGGCGATTCTGAACGAGGGGGATCCAATTTGATGACAGAATTTGTGCCCATCTCAATACAGGCAGTTCTGTAAATACAATAGCCTACGGCAAACTGCATAAAACGGATATGGGTACTACAGGGCGCTCTGTCCTCCAGTTACAAGCTGATCTTATCACCATCACCACTTCGCACTGACGCTCCGCGACTCAAGCATGGGCACCCTTATCTCCCAGGACTCACAGCAACCCAATGTCCTGCCGCGCAGCCTCCAAAGAACCCGGCGGCCCCTTTATCGGCCTGTCATCCACGTTTCTGGCGTTCTGTGCTGGCGGAAACACATACCTCCCTTTATCAACCCTCGTTCGCCACTGTGCTTGTTGAAACGCCGCTTGTACAAGTTTCACAAGCATCGTATCACTGCCCTTGGGGCCGAGAACAGCGCCGTATATAGGATGGTACTCCGGCCGGCCACTGACCTTGGATTGGTACTCGAATTGGGCAACTTGACTTGTCAGCGCCACGATGAAAACCGATGCGAAGCGTCAATACATACACGGTGCTAGAATTTGAGGGACACGCAACACAGAGGCGAGGAGGTCAGGTGTGACACCGTTGATCTTGCTTGGTTTCCTGGTCGAGTTTAGTACAAGGGACGATCTGCGCTTCGGGAGAAGGAGCCGTACGGCACACCATAGCTGGGAGCATGGCTTGGATAAGCAGCGACAAGAATAGCGTCGCCGCCATGGTTGGTAGACATGATGGTGCTGTCGAACCAGTTTCGGAAGACGTCAAGGCGGGCTTGGTATTCGTCGTACAACGACTTCGTGACATTGCTGCCCCAGTCCCTGCGCGCCGTTAGCAAACAAAGGATATAATTGCCTTGTTGGCAAATTCGACAAACCATCTTTGTTTGACGGTTGGCTCTGTCGCAGGATCTTTGCCAAACTTTGCTTTGTAGTCCTTTCGGAACTCGTCGTACTGGTGGTAAAACTCGTAGCAAAACGAGAGAAATGGGGCCTTTTGCGAAATACCTTTTTCAGCGCACAGCATCTGCAAGTGAAGACTGAGAAAGACTTACGTCTCGCATGTACTCTTGTAGCCCTTGGCCTTTGGCTTCTGCAGGTGGTTTCGAAGCCCAAGTCTGTGTTAAACTGAGTCTCGTTGACTTTACTCCCAGAAAAGCCTCCACTGCGTCCAGAAATTGTTCATATTTGTCATTCCTCTCTTCATCTGCACTTGAGAAGTCTGTCAAGTACGTTATCGTCTTGGGGAAGGAAATTGCCGGACTTGCTAGGGACTTGTGGACAACAGCCACCGCGTCGTGGAACAGTTCTGAGAGGTCTGTGCCGAAAATCCCCATGCTATCGTATGTGCTGGCCATTGGTAAGCGCTCGAACATTGTTCAATGGCAGGTGTTCATGGACTTGCGTGAAACTGGGTTGGATCCCGTCCAAGGGTAGCAGCCCGGATGATGTTCGAAGCGCGAATAGCCCTTGAGCGGCGGCTGGACCAAACACCTGCCCGACAGCTACTGACTTGTCAACAATCTCGTTGCGAATGTCCCTTCGCGTGGTAACCAGACATACAGTCGATGCCAGTGGTTGCTCTAAGCCACTCGTAGCCGGCCAGGGAACTCGCAGCGCCAGTCGCACCGCCCCCAGGGTCTTGATGCCCGTCTTCTCTCGGGTTCTTTGGCGATGGCACATCTGTCCACTCTCTCCCGGAGCCAAACTGCGAGGATTTAGTCTTGCCGACAATGGTCGCCCCGAGGTCTATGAGCCTCTTGGCAAACGCTGCCGTCGAGTCCGCCGGGTTGTCGTGAAGATCGCGCCACGCACTGCTGGACAAGGTTGTGGGAATGCCCTTGAGAGACATGGAGTCTGGGATAGTGAAGCGGTAACCCTTCAGAGGGGCCTGCTCGGGAGGCACAGTGCTGTAGAGTTTCGAGGGAACCGGAATGGAAGTGTAATTAGTTTCACTATCGGCGGGAAGTTGAAGGACTCGAAACCTGTGCCAGAGTGAGTTGGTGAGGGCTTGGCGCAGTTGGGTAACGGGAGAGCCTATACAAATCCACCTCATCAACGCGTTCGGGGTATACACCGAAGGCGAAGGCATCTAGTGTATCGTTATATATCTTCCATGCCTGGTGGACGTTCGGCCCATGCAGAATATACGGCCCCGCAGGCAAATCAGACACGGAACGCTTCGCGGCCGCAACGCTGTCGTTCCGCAGGCGCATCACCGACTTGCCATTGCCTACAGACGAAACTGCCACGCCCGAGTTCCCACCCGGTTTTTCAATCAGAATATTACCAAACTCGGGAGTGAAGACGTCGTCGTAAAAGTCAAAGAGTCGGAGGGTCCCCTCAAGGTGGTAGTACAGCTGTTCTGGTTCAAGCACGGTTACCGGGATGATGACATCTGGCTTGATTGTTTCCTGGATTGTGCCCTGCTTTCGCGTGAGTGCTGAAACACCTCTCTTCTGGCAAAATATCTGCCAAGGCATTTGGGTAACAGGCTTACGAGCACTTGCGGATGCACAAGGTACCGAGATCCCGAGATGACAGTCGTGAGCACCGTCTTGATCTCCATGGTGGTAGTACTTGGGCGCGGCACACAGTCCACACAGCCACAACCTTGCTTTGTGTCCTCGGGAGGCATGGTTATTGTAGCGACGACTAGAGAATATACACCTTTAAGTATCGGAGAAACAACGACAGAGGACGCGGAATGCGCCGTCGCGTGCCGTCAATGTCAGCGGCAAGGTCAGACTTGTCGTGGGGTAAATCGCACTCGACGTTGCATCGGGAGCCTCATTTGATCATAGCCCGGGCCATGATCAGCTGGGGACCAGCCAGCCACTAATGCAGGTGAAGACGATGACGGCAAAGCTTGCCAAAGCATCCCCTGTTGATGCAGAATGGCCACGGTTCAAACCCCGTTAGCCCGACTTGGAGAGTCACGGCGAGGCACCCATCAAATCCCGGGCTAGTATAAAACCTGCAGCTTCTTAAGGAATGATTTGCTGAACCGGAAGATGCCTCTGCGGCGGTTGTTAACAGGCATAAATACATCCCACCAGGCCCAGCGATCTGTGATTCCGTCACCGGAAGCATGGATATAAAGATGAGGGCGGCACAGCGTCCGTAAAAGTCCGGTGATTTTGCAGCTCATCACTGTCACGCAATGAAATTGCCCATTCATGAACGAATGATGCTTTCTACAAGTATCCTAGTGTACAACGCCAACCCTCTAGAATGAACCGCAGGGTCGTCTACGGCGTTCCGCGCACCCCGGCCACGCACTTACATGAGATCGAGAACCACCCGGCCTTGCAATTTCCCCTGGTCCATTTCCTCAAACACTCTTGTCAACTCGCTCATCTTCTCCACCCGTACGTGACTCTTGATGACGCCCCGGGCAGCAAAATCCAGTGTCTCGATTGCGTCCCGGCGATTCCCCACGGCCGAGCCGCAGATTGTGAACTGATTGGCAACCATGGCTCCAGGGCTGGCCGTGGCAATAGCAACGGCCGCATGCTCCGGCAAGCCCACGCACACCAAGGTGCCGTTGAAGCGCAAAAAGCCGAGAGCCTGGGCGTACGCTTCATTCGAGGCGGTGCAGGCAATGACGGCATGGGCGCCCAGGCCGCCGCACAGCTTCTTGACGTGCGCGGTGATTCCGGCGCCAGCGCCGTCGTCGTCCTTGCGGAACTGGGTAAAGTCGACAAAGTGCTCGGCGCCCGAAGAACGGACCAGGTCGGCTTTGCTCGCGTGGTCGACGCCGACGACGCGCAGGCCCATGCCGCGGCTGGCGAGCTGCACGGCGAGGTGACCCAGGCCGCCTCCCGCTCCGGTAACGACTACCCACTGGCCGGATCTTGCTTGGCTTCGCCGCAGGGCAGAGTAGACGGTCATGCCTCCGCAGAGCAGGGGAGCTGCCTGGGCCGAGTCCAGCCGCTCGGGAATACGGGTCACGTAGTCCGCCGGGCCTGTGACGTATTGCTGAAACGTTCCGGGCGTGTAGTATCCAGAGATTTTTTGGTTAAAGCAGAGGCCGTCTGAGCCGGCCTGGCATGGCTCTTGAACTTCTGGTTAGCTGGGGCATGAAAACAAGGACCAGACGGAACAGGCCGGCGCGAGGGACGAACCACAGTGACCACATGCGCTGGATATCCATTTGACGCCGACCCGATCTCCAACGGACAAGCCGGCGGATTCGGCTCCCGGGCCGAGCTTGACGACCTCGCCAACGCCTTCATGCCCGCCGACTTGTCCTGCCGGCGTGGGATGCGGCAATGTACTCCACTGTAGTGTCGTGCCTGTTAGTCAAGACCAGATGGGTGGTGGTTAGATGGGAAAGTCGGCTGTCCAAGTACGTACCGAGTTTGTCATGACCCCCAAGTCTGAATGGCACACGCCGGAATGGCTTCTAGAAGGAGAATGAGCATACTCGGTCTCTACGGAAACGAGGTCATTCGTACAGTCGAACGAGCACCTCACCTGGACCGGGGTCCGGCACTGCCAAGTCAACAACCTTGGTCGATATGGTGCCGGGCTCGTCGTACACCAGCGCCTTTTGAGTGGTGGGAATAGCCATTTTCAACAATGATGGTTACAATGATGCTTATTGCTGGGGTTTTAGCCAAGAAGCTGCTTGGGCGATTGTAGATCCAGATGTCGTCTATCAACTTATACGCCAGCCAGCCAGAGAACCCCGCTCAGCTTGCCGAGGTTATCATGAGGATGGACGACGCCAATGCAACTCTAAACGGCGCTTCAATCAAGCCGCCCGCGTCATTGTCTGCTCGGACAGCGCAAAATAAAAGTAGCCTGGTTCCTGCCAGAACTCCTGTCCAGTATTTCCTGAACCGGTTACGCCTTCACTCAGACTCGTGGACAGCCGAGGTGGACCTCACGCCACTGTTGTTTCATCTTGGCCTTGGACTCAGCAACCGAGTTTCTCTTTGGACAAGGCATCGAATCACAAATCACTCGAGGTATAAATTCAGTCAGGATCTTCCAGCACTCACAAACGTGTAGGGGATGGCGGTGACGGCAAGTCTTTCGGCCGAGCCGTTGACAGAGCCTATGCGTGGTTCAACTAATAGACCTCTCAAGTGACAAGTTCGCCAGTTTGCAAGTTACTATGTCTGACGAAATTAGAAAATGGCCAAGACGGCCCCCGGAACGCCCGGAATAGTATTTCTCACTACACATAGCAGACATCTTTGCCTTGAGAATCTGGGAATATAATCATGCCACAGCTCCTTTTGTTCCCTCACCAACGACCAGACGCCGCCGACTCCATTGATGAACAAGGGAACCATCCTTGCGCTCAACCTCCTCCCACAACTTGGCCGTCAAAAATTTATATATCCACTCACTCGCGCCGTGGAAGCTAATCCCATGGTCGCTGTCCGTAAAGGCAACCATCTGGAACTTGTCCGGCGAGACGCCCTTGGCCACCAGCAAATCCGCCAACACCGCCGCGTGCTGGTAGTGAACATTATCGTCGCCAGTGCCGTGCATCAGGGCAAATTTCCCCGCCACGTTTTTAAAGCCCTCCGCATTCCGTATAGCCGTCTTGTTGTAGCCATCTGCGTTGGTCGCCGGCGTCTTCATGTACCGCTCCGTGTACGCGGAATCATAGAACCGCCAGTCCGACACGGGAGCCGTGCTCAGCCCAAAGGTGAAGGCGCCCGAGTCCGCCTCAATCACCTTGGCGGCGAGGAAGCCGCCGAACGACCACCCCCAGATGCCTACCTTGTGCGGATTCAGGAATTCGTTGCGCGAGACGAGCTCCTGCGCCGCCCAAATCTGGTCTTGGGCTTCCAAGTTGCCGACGTACTTGACGACGGATGATCGGAAACGTCGACCCTTGTAGCCTGTGCCGCGGTTGTCGATGGTGTACACGACGTACTGGAGCTCGGGTTCAGATGCAATGTATGCTGACCAGTCGAGAGGTTGGAACCGCTTGGTGACGGATTGGGAGGTCGGGCCGCCGTACGGTGTGAATAGGACGGGGTATTTCTTGGTTGGGTCAAAATTGGGTGGTAGCTGCTGCTTTACATTCAAGGAGAAGCCGTCTGGGTGCTGGAGCTCGAAATAGGTGACGTTGGGAAGATTGTATTCACTGATTAATTTGTAGAATTCGTCGTTTGAAGTGAGCGTTCGCAGCGGTGCATCCGTGTTGTTGGAGGCGTATAATTCCTGATAGGGAACATCGGGCCCGTTATAAGACAGTATATAGTATTTGCCTTGGGGCGAGAAGGATGCGCTCCAGACGGCTGGTACAGTGTCATTGACAAGAGGAGTAATCTCTAGCGTGGTGTACGAAACACTGTAAATGTGTCTCTCTGTGCTGTGGTGTTTTGTTGACTCAAAGTAGATGAGTTTCCTGGATGTATCCACGGCCAAAATGGTGCTGACTTCCCAATCACCAGAGGTTAATTGCACAGGGTCGCCGCCGTTCACAGGGAAGAGGTAGATATGTGTCCAGCCCGAGTCGTCGGATAGGTCGATGTAGTAATTGTTGCCTGAATCTTGCGCCTCTCCCACGTAGGAGATGGCCATATGATTATCTAGCCATCCGTCTGTTCCATCGCGCTCTCTAACGGTCTTGCTGGCCATAGTTTGGACGTCGACTAGTACGTGTTTGTCCCGGTCCTGTACACGGTTAAATGCACGATAGATGAGCGCCGAATGCTTGTCGGTAACCCACTTGACCTCACCGACAATGGTGTTGTTCTTGGAAAAGGCATCAATTGGAACGTTGATAAGTTTTTTAGTCTCAACATCCACAATATTCAGCTCAACAGTCGGGTTTGTCGTTCCGGCTTTGGGATATCGCAGTTCCAGCTCCTGGGGATAAGACGGTGCCTTCTCCTGCCCTGCCATGTAGTAAGGAATGGTGAAGGTTCCCACGCCCGTGTCGTTGAAGCTCAAAAAAGCAATGAACTTGGCGTCGGGAGAGTACCAGAGGGCCAAACGATTCCCGAAAACATCTTCCTCATACACCCAGTCTGGCACACCGTTGAATATGTCGGCGCTTCCGTTGTCGGTGATTCGGTGGATTTGGCCATGTTCGTCGCGAAGGTATACGTCGTTGCCGCGCACGAAAGCAATCGTCTCTCCGACTGGAGCCATTGTTGCGTACTGGATATCACCGGCCTGGTCGTCAACAATGGGTGTGTTGTTGCCGGAGTTGACGTCGACTACAAAGTAGTCGGCCAAGTACGAGTGTCGGTATTGCTTTGTGAAATTGGCAGCAGCCAGGACAGCCTGGCGATCATGGCGGATCCAAAAGGCATGGAGGTTTTTGGGTTTACTCTTGGCGGGCAAAAACGTGGTTTCTTTCTCAGAAACAATGTCCACCAAGACCAGGTCGGAATTTTCATTGGTGGTGATGTACTGGCCGTCGTCAACGGAACTCACCCAGCGCACCGACATGCGGGATGGATTATGTCTGGCATAAGGCGTTGTCTCGTTGTAGGTTAGAAGACGATCACCGTTTCCAGTTGGCTGCTGGGGCTTTCGAGGTGGATTGATGGCTAGACCGACGACCGCAAGGAGCGGCAAAACGCCCACCAGCTTTCTGAAAGAGATGATACCCATGATGAAGTTATCAATTGCTACACAAGATATGGGAGCCTGGAAGTCTCGGGCGCCCAACTAGACCTTGCTCGGTAGCAGTTCTGCTGGATGAGCAATCGTCACGACTGAGCACACCGGACGGAGGAGGTATCAGGAACTGGTGGGAGGAGAGGGTGGCGTATTTGAACCAGACTCTTGTGGAATTCCGTGTTCTCGTTCTTTTGGCTGTTACGCAGCGAGCCGTTGCGTAATCCGAAATTGATTGGACTTGGCAGAGGTGTGACCTTCCGAAATTGGCAAGAGACAAGACTATTAATCTGATCAAGCAGGGATCTGTACACTATGCCATAAAATAAGCCCTGGCCTAATTTGAACAAGAACAGCGTTCCGACTTCCGCGGACCTCGATGCCAAGCTCTCCAGCATGTTATTGTTAACAAAGACGGAAGATGACGACATTTTTGCAAATTCGCGGGTAAAGCGACCCTCAGTGCTTCAGAGATCCCTGTCCTGCCAAGTTGCCAAGGCACCCCGATCCCACGAACTCAAGGCTTTCCTTTTCTCCAACGGCTCGAAAATTGACGCGGTAAACATCAGATGGTAGAGGTCCCACTGCAATTTCCTTTGTTTGACCTACTTCAACATTCCTACGAATGAGACGCTGTTCGGCGTATGCATTACCACACTGTCTAGCTTTCATTATCCGCACGGTCTTGATCACGGCTCTTTGCCATTGGTCGATTGCACTCAGCAACACTAACCTACCCCGTACATGTAGTCGCAGCCACTCTCGGACAGTTGTCTCATATTTTTGTTTCGCTCAAGTGCTCTCACTCTTCCATCACCTAAAGTAATTGACCAATAAACGATACAGCACATGCTAGCAGTTGCGTGTGAAAGTCGTGTGGTTCCAGTCTCAACTGCCAGAGGATATACAGCAAACGGAGAGTGAAGAAGGTTTTGGTCAGAGTATTACTCGCCCGCGTTCATCACACCGTTGGTCAGCTGGTTGCGAAGCATCATTTGCCGCCGCCCTGTTCGAGGGTACCAGAATAGTTCGGCCTGGATATTGATTTGCCATTGTAGAACTTGAAAGCCTCTGCATTTGCATTACTATATAGGGAAACCTGGTCACAGCAGGACAAAACCTATACGAGGCACAACTACTCTTCTTGCTCAAAGCCACTCGTCGACCCACTGCTCATTCAGTGCATCATCTCTGTTGATCCCAGAGCAAAACACAGACCCAACTTCATCACCAATGCCAATTAGATTCAAGTCGGGAATAGTCTCCCGAATTCCCGCATAGAGCACGGGGGGCATGCAGAAGCGGTTTCTAAGACACGCTGTTAGCTATAGCTGCAACAGAATTATTATATAGCGACATCTACACTTGCCTAAAAACGCCACAGCTTACCCCTGAACGGGAGAATCTTACGGAGGAGACCTTTCGGTCTCTTTTTTGACAGTTAGCTATGAACTTGCCTGTTTGATAAGTCTATCTGCCTACAGTGTTTGTGGAACAGGCCAGCAGCGGTTGATCGACGGGATCGTGTAATGGTGGCCGGCAAAGTGGACGTGCTCGTAAAGTGTAACCTAGAAATAACATGAAATTAATCTCATCGATCAATTAGGTAGAGGGTATTTACGTACCCCAGTATCTTCTGCAGCCTCGAACGGGAACGCAGAGACGACCGTCGCCACTACGGCGGTAAGCAGAGCCCAAAAATGCATGGTGAAAGATGTTCTAGGCGTGTTTTCAAGGTTGGAACTAGATGCAAGTTGATGAAGGGTGAAATTACAACCTCTATCGGGCGACAAGGCCTGTATTTATATTTCTGTAGGGCCGCAGTAATTTGTCTCTGTTTATCATTCTCTTACCAGACCCTACGTTTGTTCCACTACACTGTTGACTGTAGCAACCGTGTAACCCGTTTCCCGCTTTGGATTTGATGCATCTCGGCCCGGATATTCGGGAAACTCAGCGCCAGAAGTCAAGACTTGTGCCACGCACCACTTTTTAAGGCTCGAATTCGCACCCAGCCAAAAAAGCACTTTCCACCGCGACAGGCACATTGAATTTACCAGCGTTTACCTTGGACGTCTGTGTAACCGAAATGATTTGTTTGCTTCCATGACAACTTGAAGGCGTAGTGGAGGCTGAAGGTTTATTTGCTAAGCCGTTTCAAGGCGCTCAGCCAGCCACAGTTCCCAAGCCCTGCCCATCGTTCCACAAACAGGTTATTGATACGTTTTCTAGCCTTCTTGATGAGCAAAGCAATTCAAAGCTGGTATTTATTTGTAATTGCGAAAAGCTTTTTACGCAACGTAGGGTAGATATTCGGGCTTGACAGACTCGGGAACCAAGCACAATGACTACGGCAGATGCAAACTACCAGTCTTTATGGTCTCAGTAGGATGTATAGCCTGTGACCGGACCAAGCTACAATGCCGCCGGGCCTTGGGCTGGTGTCTTTGACTGAGATGCATGATTCAATCTGCTGGTCAACAGCGCAGTTCTCATGTGCAAATTTCTGTTGCATCCACGCTTCGGAGTCTTAAATTCTCGGTCGGGGTACTTCCTCTTGCCGTGTTCAAATAATAAACATCCCAGCCATTTTTTGGGATTGCTCTTCCGAAGGGATAAACCTAGCCGTGTCTCAGATATCGCAATAGGATTGGCTGACCAAGCTGACCTGACGCCATATTTTTCATTGGCAGTCATGATCTGCAGCGCAGGAGTTTATTGACGAAATCGAGCCTACCAGACCTATTCCGCTTTATGCGGGGACAGTAAACTTTTACTTTTAACAGTAAGCGAGGCTCTCATTTAAACATTGGCTTTCTTGTTACGTTTCCGTTGGTCCGCTCAACTGTTGGCGAATCCGCTTCTTTGAGTTGGCAGGCAAGGCTGGCAGCCACTTCGATTCAAGGTTGGGAATGGAAAAGCCACTCCGACCATGTGATTTTCCGGCCGTTTCAAAGTCTTGAATAGCCCGGCGTCATACCTGGTCGACGGGCAAAGTGGCAGTTTTAAACTCCATATAGAGCCATTATCGGATCTGTCACCTAAAGAAACTTTGATGGCATAACTTTCGCCAATGCGCCAGGAAGCCAATTTCGTCAGCCCCTCAAAGAGGCTATCGCGCCAGGTAGGCACAGTTAATGCCACGCCACAAGAAGAACCATCCAGTTGCCCACAGGGGCTACCAAGCCTTACCAAAGTCAATTGCGCGCCCAAGGCGAAGTTTATAAATTCCAACGCCTTTGTGGCAAAGAGGACTCTCTCATTGTCTACGTCCAGCGCGCTGAGCGGAATCGGCCCAGTAACGTCAATTATGAGCCGGATTAACTATTCCGTCTCAGCCTCCTCTCTGCCATTGTGAATCTAGGCTAATACCAATTTTAACACAAACGAGAGCGGAGAAAGGGTTGCATTGACACCATCCGCTGTGCTTGGTCAGCTGGTGAGTTTCCTGTTTGGAGACAGTACATGTTTGCTGGCCAAGGCAATCAGCGAGTTGGTTGGTGTGATTACGGCAAGTATTTTGCCAGCACTATTGATTCGTCGAGCCGCACTCATTCATGCGCAAGTACTACTAACTACGTAAGAAATCCCATCACTGAGGCCGGTTGACACGTTTTAAGGAACTGTTACACGGAAAAGGCCCAAGATCGTGAAGCCCAACAAAGGGACTTCGCCAATGCAGGACTTATTAGTTACACAGCTTAAATACGCGCCCGGGTAAGGGCCCTAGGCCCGGGCGTTCCGTTTATGTATATAAGGCGGTCACCTTTCTCTTCTTCTCTCGTAGCAACTCAAGACCATAGAGACCCCTCGAGATTGTTATTGAATTGAGCCCTTTTTGCTCCAAGGCTTCCGTATTGAACCCTTGTCACAGGAACGGCGTAGCATGTACCCACTGATGCTTATTCGTTTCATGCTATTGTGTCTTTAATTCCCATCCACCGGAGAATCGGCTGCGGTAGGATTTCGACTCGACAAGTTAGAAGTTGAAGTGATCAAGGAGATTGCTCTCAGACGTCGGCTTGATACAGTTGACCGTCTCATACGCAGAGGCATCACGTTGCCAAGCACGGGCTGCTTGTGTTTGGAGCAATGCACACATACCAGGCGCCCAATAGTATATATGTATGCTGAGTTGTTCCTAGAGTTCCGAAAATAGCTTATAGCAGGCTAAATAAAACCTACAGTGATGCCCAATTGTACATGCGTGTTTCTCCACATGAACAAGTCGAAGCGCAGCAGAGACTTAGGTCCATCTTAACCATTGAAATAGTCGTTACGCGTGTTTGTGCCTATTGCTTATGTTTTTGCAGCCTTAAACAAGGGCGCTGGAGATGTGCAGGGAATAGCAGTGGAGGTTACTGCTTATTTGGGAAAGATGTGCGCGTTTTTCTCATTAGGTCTTATGCCAGCATGTTCGTTAGGCTTGCGGCTGAGGCGGCTGAATATGTTGCCCTTCTAGGATGAACCAATCGTTCTCAGAGATGAGGAAGAGCAGGGCCTCTTATGGTGACATTTACAGGGTTCTTGTATTCTTCAGCCAAGTATAGCATCTAATTTTAGATTTCAAGGTATATGCTTGGTGAAAGCGGCGTATTTAAGCTCGTCAACTCCACGATGCCCTTCTCCTCCATCTTCACTCGCGAAAGAGAAGCACGAGCTACCTGAAACGTCTCAAGCACCTTTACATCTATATTGGCCTCAAAAAAACGAATCTCAGAATGAAGGTCTCTTGTCTTTTCGCCGTTTTCGCTACCGCACTGGCCGCTGGTGCCGTAGCCGTGCCGGATTCCACACTCGACGAGCGAGCCACCGTCAAATTCAACGCGGCCGAGGCTGCTGCCCTCAGGGCCCAAACACAAAGCACAATCAGCCAGCTCCGGAACCTTCAGAGAAGCTACGATAGCCGTGTCAGATCCACCGTCGACGGCTGGAGCGGCTCCGCCCGCGCCGCGATCCAGCAGGATGTGCAATCGTTCGATACGGCGATTGCCAAGGCAAACCAGGAACTTGAGCAAATTGTTGCTACGCTGAACAGGCTCCTCTAAACTTGGAATATCGAGGGGATCGCCGAGGCCGTAAATTACCTGGGTTGGGACTGAGCGTGAATTGCGGCATTTGGGCAGTCGGGCAACCTGCATGTTGGCTCTAGGGTGTGGACAAACGCTCCAGCGTATTTACCTGCATGTAGTATTCAATTCAACCGTGTATATTTTCCTTTGAATGCCCCCGATGTTAAAGCTTCTGATATAATTACTCACACGTTCGGCAAAGTCGCCGAGCAGCTGAGGGAGTTCAAAGCGGAGATCCTGCCAATGGTATCAAATACCATGTCTTACAGAGATGCCCCCGTCTTTCGGACTGACCCCGTACGACTTGACATGATCAAGACAGAATCACCAATGCTCCGAAAGTGTCTTTGTTCTGCGTAACATCCGGGAAGAAAAGGTGAGTCGCACGCCCCAGTTCCGCCACTATCGCACACATCACGCTCGACGACTCTATCCAGCCTGTCACGACTCGGCAGTCATAGTGCAGCATGAGAACTGGTTTCCTCGGCGCCACGGCGCGCCGATTTCGCGGCTGCGTGTTGCACATCAATTATCCCCAACACCAGCATCGGCATCCGCGTTCGTCCGTGGGGGTCGTTCGGTTGCCGGTGGGGGTAAAAGCAGAGGCCGCGCCTTCCTTGACTGACCTTGACTTATTGACAGCACATGACATTAGGCGGCGTGGCGTCTCCTGATGTTTCCCGAATATCAACATTGAATCCTTCACTTTGCATGCCCCGACATCAACCGTGAACACCAGTCGACGTCTCGGCGGCTTCTCACAACCATGGCCGAGCCCTACAACACGCCTGTACCGGGCTCAACACCCCGCTCGGGATCGCCTGTCCCCCATCCGCTTCGCCACCCGACGCTGCTCAGCACCGCTGCAACATGCACACCCAAGCCGCGGGTCCTGCATCTCGGCGACCCGATTCGCTTCAATCCAGATACACACGACGTCTTGTCATCGCAGTATGAAGTCGTTCGGCCGTCGGCGGCAGAGCGCGAGCGAGCGCCCTTTATCCAGAACCTGAGAGACGGGAAATGGGGCAGCTTCCAGGCCATTTTCCGGCCGTTTTGGCGGACAGGCGGTGAGATGGGCCAGTGGGACGGGGAGTTGATCGCCCTGCTGCCGGAGAGCGTGAGGGTATTTGCGAGCGCGGGCACGGGATATGACTGGGTCGACACCAAGTTGTTGGGCGAACGAGGCGAGTGGCATCTGCATGCATGCATGTACACGAGGGGGAGCGCTGCTGACGCTTCGCAGGCATCGTCTACTGCAATGGAGGAACGGCCTCGGCCGACGCAGTGGCCGACTTGGCCGTCGCCATGATCATCTCCACGTTCCGCTATATACCCTGGTGCATGGCGGCCGCGACGGCCGCTTCGCCGTCTGCGTTCGCAGACTGCCACCTCGACTCACCCGCCCAATGCCATAACCTGCGAGACCGCATTCTTGGCGTCGTCGGCCTGGGAAATATCGGCCAGCGCGTAGCTACGAGGTGCCGCCTCGGATTCGCCATGGAGATTCACTACTTTGACATTGAGCGCAAGTCTGCCACGGTCGAGGGCGCCGTCTCCGCCAGGTTTCACGAGTCGTTGGAGTCGTTGCTCGAAACTGCTGACTGTGTCGTATTGTGCACACCTGTTGGATTCGGTGGCGAGACAATGATTAATGCGTCCACGTTGAAGCATTTCCGCCAAGGTGGGAGATTTGTCAATGTCTCAAGAGGCGCGTTGGTCAACGAAGATGACTTGGTGGCCGCGCTGGAGTCGCAGCGGCTCAGCTCCGTAGCGTTGGACGTGCATGCCAATGAACCACATGTTCACGAGGGACTGAAGAAGCTTGCCGCAGAGGGCAGAGCGATGCTGACCTGCCACAATGGCGGCGGAACGGTAGAGACGCATGCGGCATTCGAGGAGTTGAGTATGCGCAACGTCTTGGCCGTCTTGGGTGGCGGTCCGGCCTTGTCTGCTGTTAATTTGGGCCACTTGAAGAGATGAATCAAATGACTTCTATACAAGTACAATATGGTACATTGCTAGTATATAATACAACCCGCTCCAACTCCTCGCAAACCCATTACGTTCATCATGTCCAACGTCCAGTCATTGAATCAATCAGTCTCCAGCCTTGGGCTTCTTTCTTACCAATCCAGATGTTAAAAGATTAACTTGAGGCGCGTCATCCTCCGCCTTGGCCTTCTTCTTTACGAGCCCTGCTCCAAGAACATTTACTGCCCCCCCGTCCGTTGTATCTGCCCTCTTCCTCTTAACTAGCCCCGATAGATCTCCTGCCTCGCCCTCACCGTCCCCTGCAGCAAGAGTTGGCGGATCCTGCGCGCCCACTACTGTCTGTCCCCAGTCACTACCAAAACCAACCTCACTCGTCCATCGCCGAGAGCTAGCGACTGCCTTGTCTGCGGTGGAAAAGTCCAAACGCAGCATCATTTCTACAGCGCGCTTGTACGAGGATTCATTGATGATGCGGGATCCCCGGCCTTGGACAGGCCAGTAGTAATACGGGCTTCGAATCGGCGTCTTGAGGAGATAATTTCTTTGTCCCGTCTTGGCCCGTGGCTGGCGGGGTTGGATGGGTCCTTTCAACTTGGACTTTTTCCGTTGTGATTTGCTTCTCGCATACTTTTCGAATTTATTTGCCCTGGGAGGGAAAGGTCTACCAAGATTGGGGAACGGCGCCCGAGGCATTGCGGACGAGGGCTCGCCCTGTACGGCCCCGGCGGGCGCTTCGTTGTCAAAGACGACCCAGATGAAGCCCGTCATCCTACCGCTCGAGCATTCCTGTCTAAAGGCCATCATGTCCCAAAAGACGTCTAGCGTCTTGACCGTCTTCCAGCTGCCGGCGGCCTTCATGGCGCCGGATTGCCCGGCCTCTTCGTCTAGTTCGTCGCGGAAGCGGGACTTGGGGTCATCTGGAAACCGGGGGATGAGGCACCGCGGCGGGACCCAGTCGTATTCTCGGGTGTAATGGGATATTCGTTCGAGGGGGTGCGTGAGGGCCCATGATGATGCGGCCGCTGCGGTGCGAGGGACAAAGGCTCGCGTCTCGTGGGTGTCTAGGCCGGGAATGATCAGGTAGCCTTTTGCATTCTTCCACGTGGTGCCTTTGTCTGGGGGAGATGTGATGAGCGGATCGAGCACGCGGCACCACCACCTCACTAGTGCCCGGTCGTCGAGTACGTGCTTGGCTCCGTGGTCGATGCTCCCTGGGAAAAGGTATTGGCCTTGCGATCTTGCGAAGAGGCTGACGATGAAGGGAATGCCTTGACGTCTCCGCGCACCGACGAGGTGCTCGATGAATGTGGCGCACACTCCGCGGATGGGACTCGGTGTTCCCTTGGGCAGGTTCAACAAGGGCAGGTAGCCGGTGGAATCGGCTTTGGAAACAAACAGCGTCGTTGAATGGGCAGTTGTGTAGATGAAGATCTCGATGCCAAACACGATGACCTGTTTGTTGGGCTCTGTACCGTTTTGTGACGGCTCGCCACTATGCGGGATGTCGATTGACACGGTGAGGAAGTGGTTCTCGCAGTAGGTTCGATCGGGTCGTCGGTTGGGCGGTGCAGAGTAGATGGCATCCGTCTTCCATGGGGGTGTTGAGACGTGGTGGACAACGAAGGGTATGTCCTTGGGAAGCACGGGGCGTAGACGGTTTATTAGGCTGGTGTCGCCGCCGGCTGGGTCTATTAGAGTCGTCATATTTGGAAACCGCAATGGCCTGGCGGTGGGAGCACATGCAGAATTGGCTGGTTGATGGCTGGGTTGGAAGACGCGGAGCGCGTTTGGATGTGACGAAAGTCTCGAGGTGGAGACATCTGCGGTGCACAGACCATGTGTTTCAATCAAGTCAATTGCACCACTAGGCCTGACATTCTGGGCCGTTTAGCGGGGCGCGGCACATCAAATGATTCCAGATGTCCACATGTGCAGGGAGACGCCGTCAACGTTATAACGGCCAGGCGCTAGAATGCGGGGAATGGGGCCCTAACAGATGTCTGGTCAGTCTGGTCAATTTTCTATCGAGGCGTAGGGTTAGGGTTAGATGTTCATGTTCACTGGCAGCAGATCCGACCATGGTCAAACACCCTGGTATGGAAGCGTATGCCCGAAAGCTTTCGCAAAGATTGGCACTTGGTAATCTACTCGTGACTATTGTCCCAACTTCAAATGTACAAAATGGCACTGCTTTAAAGTCTGCGATTGTGGGCATGGGACTGAACCATACTCTTCAACTCAACTCATAGCATCACCTCTCATTACTCAGTATGAAAGCGTGACCAGTCGTCGAGCGCTTCACTGTATTCCAACGCCCAAGCTTTCACTCCGCCAAACCATATCAGCGGTTCCTGTCTCTTGCCAGGGATATTCGACCCAACCCACCAGGAGGGCCATTTGCTACAAAGTGAAAGATCAAAGGTGGATCGCAGTTTTCGGTACCAATCGTCTGCTTCTAATTCGGTGGGCTCTACACTTGCAATGTTGTCCTTTTCCATCTTGTCCAATAACTTGTCAATCCACTCCACTTGCAATTCAACAAAGGGTGGCGCCGTCGTCAGTGAAGTTGGTGCTTGCGGGCCGTACAAAATAAAGGCGTTGGGCATGCCGGGGACCATCATACCAAGGCTTGTGCGAACGCCGTTTGCCCACTTCTCTTGTAGCGTCTGGCCATGCTTGTCGGTAATATTCATGTCGTATAAGCTCCCGGTGAGAGAATCGTACCCCGTAGCCATAATGACAACATCAAGCTCGTGCAACGTTTTGCTTGCAGCCTCTTCGATATCTGACGTAACTATGCCGTTGGCAGCGAACTCTTTGATTGGGGTTTTGAGAAGGTTGACGAGGGTGACATTCGATCCATCCATGAGCTCGTAGTAGTTCTCCTCGGTCAGCCATCTCTTCGTGCCCGGGGGCTGCACCATCCGCAAGGGGGCCAAGATGTTCTTCTTGACTTCATCCGCCATTCTGATCCGAGTCTTGTCCACCCAAAAGTCATAGAAAGCCCTGTTCGCCCCCACGTCTGTCGTCACATCAACGTAGTTGCATGCAAAGATGCCTACGCCGCCATGCTTCCACAACTTTTCCATAAGGGCTTGATTCTGGGCTGGCGATTCATCATGGAGAGACTTGGGGTACGGAATGTAGGGATACCCTGCTTCGTCGCCGTATTTGCTTCTGGTGGGGTTGGCTTCGTGTTGCGTCTTGAGTTCTTTGTGCTCTGCTTCCGTGATTCGACGATTCTTCAGGGGAACTGCCACCGGGGGCGTTCGAACAAAAACTGTGACATCATGTCCTTGGCCAGCCAGTTGCTCAAATACTTGTACACCTGATGCACCTTGGCCGATGACTCCAATCCTCTTTCCATCCAAGTCGAGCTGCTCTGGCCAAGACGACGGCTGAATTATCCGCCCCTGGAAAGTGTTCAAGTTGGGAAACTCGGGAACGTGGGCTTTGATGGTTGTTCCGACTGCGAAAATAACAAACCTCGCAGTGGCAGTTAATCCTTTGTTTGTGGTGAGCCGCCATTGTTTGGTTTTGTCGTCGTAGTTGGCTCCTGTAACCCTTTGATTGAAAATGGAGTCTTCTCGAAGGTTCCATCTTTCATCAATATGATTAAAGTAGTTGCGTAGATCGTCCCCCGTTGGATAGAAGTCGTTGAAAGAAAAGTCCCGGAATATCTCTGGACTCGTAAGCTGGTAGGATGGTACTTCGCAATCGACTCGAACTCCAGGATACCGATTCAAATTCCAAACCCCACCGAAATCACCCTGTGCCTCGATTATCTTGGCAGAAAAGCCCCGGATCCTCATGTGATGCAGGGATAGGCATCCTGAAAACCCGGCACCGACAATGACAACGTCTGCCGTGATGTCTCTCATTGTGGAAATGGGCGGTGGGTGAATGGAAAAGCACTCCTAGAAACATACAATCTCCTTGAACCTCCGTTCCATTACCGTCTACTTATATTCCGAAGAACCAGATAAACCCCGCGTTTTCAGATGTTGTACCACTGCTGAGCTTGATCACCTGGTGCAGTCGGTGTGTAGTATCGTGTTGTACGAGTCATCCAATACAATCATCTGTGAAGCGATAGACCGACGCATAGCGACTCCCTCTTGCATTAGCGTGTAAGTCTGCATGATCGCATACTTGTACCTATTGTAACTGCATATCTGTCTTATTCGCCGTCCGCGTCTGGCTTACCCGTCCTCTCCCACCGGCGGCATGCTATTTGCAAATAATTTAAAGCGAGTCGTGGTTGGTACCGAGTAGCCGGTCGAAGTGGGCGCGATAAAAGGGTCGATACCAGATAGTTCAGCTACAAGGGTACCAGACTTGAAACAGGTATGTATGTCTAAAGCACCAGAATGCATCAATGCATCACTTTATTCCCGTGGGGCACGTTTATGCGCTGCCGGAAAAACTATCAAAGCACTTGAGCCTTAATGTTGTCCGGGTTCCCTCTTAAACAGCCCAAGCCCAGACACTCTATACACATCCACTTACACATACGCATGCACAACAACCCTACTTCACCAACTAGCGACACGCCCGAGACGGTGCTGTCTATTCTTTGCAGCGAGCCCTGGCGCTGGGACTCGTTCGCTTCCAGCGAAATTGCCTTTAATCAAGACGGGGCCGGAAAGGTTATTCCAATCGTCCATTTCTTTTTATTCCCGCCCCATTTACTCTGATCTGCTACTAACCGTCATTTTCAGCTAACATGCCGTGCCGAGTTCAACGCTGTGACAAGGGCTCGGAAGGAGGGCTTGGAGCAATTTAGCTCAATTCAACTAATAACAGTCTTTGGTATCAAAGGTCCTTGGTTTTCCTCAAGGCCTTGAGGGACCAAAGGTGTCTATAAATACAAGAAGTCGGTGAGGGACTTTGCCCTAGTCCCGTGACTGTAGCCCTCGTGTAACCTTTGATATTGGGCTATTTCCGTGCAACACCAGCTTCCCCTCCCCCTAGCTTGCCCTCAAGCCGTTATTCGGGTCGGGATATCGATATTAACGATGTTGATGATATTAAAAGTGACGGCGACGGTGACGGTGACGATATTAACGATGGCGGTGACGATGACGATGATGTTGATGTCGATAACGGTGACATTCAGGACCTTTCGGCCTGGGCCTTTGTCTTTCAACGGCGCCGCCTTTTTTCAGGACAGGGATTTTATCATCGGTTACATTCTTTATGTCCTAAAAAGGCCCTATAGGATGGAAGGGTTTTTCCTTTGATAGAAGACTGTTATTTGTGACAAGGGTTTAATATGGGAGGCTTAAAGCAAAAGGGCTTAATTTAATAATAATCTCAACGAGTCTATAAGGTCTTGAGTTGGCACACAAGAGGAAGAGAAGGGTAACCGCCTCATATACATGAAAGGAACACCTAGGCCTAGGGTCCTTACACGGGCACGTGTTTTAGCTGTGTAAGTAATAAGTCCTGTATCGGCGAAGCCCCTTTATTGGGCTTCACGATCTGTTTGGCCCCTTCCGTGTAATAAACGCATAGATTGCCGCCGAGATTGAGTGGAAGGCACGGCATGCCGAGTCTCTACAAGAACAAATCAATCAATATGGGCCAACATGACTCTTGCCTCGTTGATCAGATTGAAATGGAGCTGACGCCTACAAAACGCCGCCCTGGAGGCGCCGACATGTCCGGACACAAAATCAATGAAGACGCTCTGAAAGAGGGAGCCTACCTACCAAAACCGTATACACTTTGCCTTGAAAAGGGCGAGTTTCACGCACATTCGTATGTGCCAGAACAAGGACAGTCGCCATGGCAGACGCCGAAATTCCAACTTCGTCTGACTTTTGATCCATCGCCCTATCCCCCCGCAGCAAGAATGGGTGCTGTGACAAGGGCAAGTGATGTTGGGCTTGGAACAATGTTCGATATTCAGCTAATAATTCGCTTTGATATCAAAGATCCTTGGTTTTTCTCAAGGCCTTAAAGGGCGGATGACCCTTATTTATATCAAGAGGCGGTCAAAGGGCTGTCCTAGGTGCCTGAGGCCTCTGTTAGGTCTCAAGCCCTTGTGTAACTATCGTCATGTTCAAGGTACGGCCCGTGCCTTCATGGCAACGTGACATCCGTGTAACAGGTGCGGCCGCACCGGGGACCGGATTCCATGAAGTTTTGGGAATGGACGCAGTTTTGTAGCAGACACATTGGCTTCTATTAGACTTGACTTGGTGAGCTTTGAATTTGGGGGGCACTTTTGTCTTGGGTTATTTGTCTACAGCAGATATATATATATATATATATATATATACAAGTCCCTGGTGTTGCAATATTCACAACTCGATACCACGTGCAACGCCATGTGTAAACCCGTAATAGGGAGAAACACCATGCATAGATGTCGTGGCTACCAACGCTCCTCCTTTCCCCGCCCTTATTGGAGATGGACTGGAATTGACCTTTATGCATACCCCCATTGCGGTACTGCATTAGCCCTTTGACGACCGAACACCTGGCCTTGCAATTTGAACCATCATGACCCAGCAGCACAACATAATTGATAACAATCTACTTCAAACATACACATTCTTTTCAGTCTTGGGATGCCAACAGGGCCGAATGTTTTCTCAAAGAACTGCTACACGCAACTAACTTCACTATTTGTCACCACCGGATAGTTTCAAGGCCTCAAGCTCCTGAGACGATTCACAAACCACCTGGCTCTGCCTTAGCGACTTGACCTATATCTGCTCCTAAGCCTCCTAGTTGCCGCCTGCCTTGGCTCCATTTCCTACCTCCTGCTGGGCCTGCTTAAAAGCCTCCTCCAGCGAGTCCCTGATGGCCTGTTGCGCAACGAGAGCCAAGGCCGCGACCCTCCATCGCTTCACCTCGGGTATCTCGTCCTGGCCTTGTCCCCGTTTCCGCGCGAGAACCGGGATCTGGACATTGCCAATCGGCGTGGGCGGGTGCAGCGTTTCTGCTGCCACGGTGATGGCATCGTTGGTGACCTCGGGCAACACCTCCTGGAGCACCGCCGCCACCTCGGCGTCGGAGACTTGAAGGGACACTGGCGCCGAGAACATGGTGATGCCACCGACGGTAAATGAACCGCCTGTGGCACCAGCCTCGGCCGCGAGGGTCAAGCCGGTTGCGCCAACGAGGGTCACTACTGTCGCTCCGATGCCTCCCAATACCTTGCCCACCCAGCTGTTGCCGTTGGTCGTCGCCACCTGGTCGGCTACCTTTTTTCTCTCCTCGATGACCTTTTCCCCATTCGCCTTGCCTTGTTCCTTGGTGTTGCCGTCCTTGTCTTGTTCTTTTTCCTTGTTGCCATTGCTCTTGTCTTGTTCCTTGTTGTCATTGCTCTTGTCTTGTCCCTTGTTGCTTTTATCCTTGTTTTTATCCTTGTCCTTGTCCTGATCCTTATCCTTGTCTTGCATATCCTTTTCACCGGGGTTTGCCTCGGCATTGGGCCGCAGCTTTTCGAGCTGCGCGTCCACCTGGCTCTGAATTTCTGCCAGCTTGGCCGCACTCTTTTCCAGAACCGAGACTTCCAAAGCGATAGCCTCTCCCTCTAGTTCATTAAGGTCCGCAACGTCAATCGCGTTGATATCCCCCAGATACAGGGGGGACTTGAGCTCGTTCGACTTCAATGCCGTCTTGGCGTCTAGATCGTTCTGAACCTTGGCGACCACTTTTCTGATCTTTTCGCCGAGGCTCTCTGCCTCGCTCAGGACCTCATTGGGGCTTGCTGGCGTTTTCGCAACCTCGTCAAACTTGGCTTTGTACCCCTCTACGAGCTTTTCGTCTACTTTCAAAGCTACTGACTTGAAGTTTGCTCTCACCTGGTTGAAGAGCTCAAAAAAGTCCCTGTTCTGATAGATGGTCATCCATTCATTATTCTTGAGAGTATGCTCCACGACCTGCTGAGCAATGTCTTGCAGGCCTTTAAGAGCAGCCTTGGCTTTTGTGCTGGCAGCTTCCGCGGCTTGGACGGACGCAGCCGCCTCGGCCTCTGCAACGGCGGCTTCGGAATCCTTGAGAAATTTCTCTGCCGGCTCCTTGACTCGATGAACCTCAATTTCACCCTGCTCATACTTCTCTCCATGTACGTTGGTCCAGGAGTTGTAGTCAACTTTGTGGTTAGGCAGGTTTGGTTTCTTTTTTTTGTTAGGCTCCTGGCAGTTGACTTGAAGACTCAAGCCTCCACCTTTCTGGTTGAGCAAATCATTGGGAATCATCATTTGGAGCGTTTGTTTTCCCGGGTTGTCGACAATAGACATTCTTATGGTCTTAGTAGGGTCCAACTTGAGGGTGTCTTTGACATAGGCGTCGGCCTTAAAAACGTTGGCTGCCTCATCCCCCCACCAGTGTGACCTAGGAACCCAGGCTTTATCCAACTTGTTAAACGCGTCAATGTCGGCCAAGATAACACAGTACCTATGAAGCAGTACCATGGTTAGGACATGCTAGCAGGGCAAAAAGGGAGGTAATCAGAAAAAGCACCAACGTATGACCTGGATCTCCTTCCCATGCACCCTGATCATCAGAGGCATACACGCCCTTGCCGATTTGACCACCACCCCTGTTATTGCTGGGCGTGAGTGTATCCCCCGCGTCTTTGTATATCTGGGCTTGGTCCTACAATGAAGCAATGTTAAAACCTAATATCACAGTATAATGTAGTGTTTAGAAATTACTTAGAAATTACATACGGGATGCACACGCCTATAGCCAATTATTTCCTGAGTTCGCTTCTGCAGGTGGATAGCCTCACGAGGCTCGGATAGAACGAGCGTCTCGGCCTTTGCGTCTGTGCCGGTAGGAAAACTGAGGCCGTTCCCAATGAGGGTCAAGGCAATGAGTGATGAAAAAATCTTGTGAATGGCCATGATACCGCGAGTGACTAGCCCTTGGATTCAAATTCAGAGATGAAGAAAGACGGGAAAACTTGGTACCAAGAAATGAGGGATGGTACACCAAAGTGGGATGACTTGAATTGGGCTAACGGCCCTCAGCGACGTATTTATAGCAAGTTTTGTCTGTGGCTATCATGTGTTCGGGACGGAGTGTCATTCTGCCTACCCTGGGTGTGGTTTCGGGACATCAACTGGGTTACAAAAGCCACATCCTAGACTTGCTTTAGTGCATAAAGGTTGGCGCTGGGATAATTAAGCTGGTGCATGGAAAACCTGCGCATGATATCTTCTCTTAAAGGGTGTGCTGTAGCACTTTTCGCATAGTCTCTGGATTGCAATCAATCATGCCTGTATGGCATCATCCCGCATGTCATGTTCGCATAAACTTTGAAGGGCAAGAACCACAATTTTTTAATTGCCATTGACAGGTAAGCATAACTAATCACGTGCACCAGCGATGTCAACAAGTGCTTGCGGGTTGTTGTGGCAGGGTCTGAATAGTAGAAGAGGCAGATAACTTGGATGAAGACATCTGGAGGAACAAGGATAACTTAAAATGCGAACGAGACCTCACAGATATACTACTTGTGTGGGCATTTTAGGTTTTTAGCGTGACTCAACGCGAGTCACGGGCACAAGCTTTACTTCCATGATCATGGTGGCTAAAGGCTCCATATGCCAACATTGAAGTATCACGAGACAGGCTTAGCTAGCGGCGCGGCACCAATTACACTAGGCTAGTATGTCTGACATGCCTGTCACGATACGTGTCAACATTGAACTATAAACGGCATCTGAGTCAATATTTTTGTCCGGTCTCTTATTGTCCTTGGCCTAGTATAGCCTAAGATGCACGATACTCGTATCATGCTTGTAATTTTACTTGCCTAATGAGCGACACAATTCAAAATTTAATTATTTAATAAATAACCCCCAGGTGCCACCTCGAGGCTTTGTACGATATGCCCCGGCATTCTGAGATTAGATCATCACTGCTTGAAACTTGACTCACGACCGACCTTTGCCTTGTTTCGTGGCCATGACAGAGCAGTGCATAAGATAATGCATCCAGAGCTAAGCCATCTACTTTAGGTTTATGACAATCGCCTATTATAATCCTCAAAACACTAAACATGTCTGCTTGTGCTCCTAAGATCATGCACCAGGTTAGACGCCCCATTGGTTGTAGTGAAAGCCTGGAGAATCAATAGTTTGGCCTAGGACCTTGTCCATACAGGTGGCTGTGCATCTGACCCGACGTAAATCTCTCAATGCATTAATTATTGTCATGGCATGAATTGCGCAATTATTCAGCTGCTTCTGCGTCGAGCTAGTTTGGAAATAATATGAAATCGTCATGCAAGGGAGTATATAAGCCATCAAGTCTCTCGGAGAACAGAGATTCGTCATAACAGGACCATCACTTTTTTTCCATGATTACATTTTTAGCACAAAATCCAGTCAAAAATGACCAAGTTATTCAATCTTTTTGCCACGCTTTTATTCGTGTCGAGTGTCATTGCTCAAAATGGCAGGAACTCACCGGTCAGTGAATGTGCATGGCCACCTTTTCCAACACACATGGTACATAACAAGCCTGACACGAAATATTATAGTTCAATGGCAAGGTGGGCGATAAGCTAGTCGGTGGGAGTAGTAACAAGGACATTGAAGCTGCATGCTCGGCGCCAGAGTGCTTCGAGGGCAAGAAACTCTCCTACTACATAGCTTACTCTCCAGAATGTACCAAGAACCACCACACGGAAGAGGTCTGCCTGGGATCGGACGCGTGGTGCGGCCACAGCAACAGAACGGAGCTCTACGGATCTAAGCAAAAGTGTCTGGAGCTTCGTCCCACGCCGCAGGGCAAAGCCCCGTGGCAACCAGAGGGCAAAGCCGGTTGTACCGACGAGACAGAAGCGTGTCTCGGGACCGAAGTCGTGTGCTCCATTCTACTCAACGAAATCCTCGTTGCCCAGTACATTGAATTCGACATTGATAACTTTAAAAAACTCTGTCTGGAGCAGCGGTCCAAGCAAGGCAATAGCCCGCCCAAGGAAGACAATAGTCCGCCCAAGGAGAGCAATAACCCGCCCAAGCAACCTGACAAGCCGTTTTTTCAGCTTCCCAACTCGGAGAGCTGCTCCAAGCCCGGCGCAGACGAGGAGCCTTGCCTGGGCACCATTGAATGGTGCGACAAACACGGTCAACAGCAGGGCCTGGGCGATAAATATGCATGTCTTCTGACGCGTGGATTAGACCTCAAGGCATTTGAACAAATTTTCCGAAAGAGACTGATTGCGCCGGTCAAAGAGGGTATTCTAACCTGGGCACAGAATGTTACGAAGAATGCTGCCATCCGGGAGATCCTGCTGAATGCGACGACCGAAACCACTCAAAGGGCCATCACTACCGACTTGTCAGGTTTTATGGATAAGATCAAGGGTTCTCTGCAGCGTCAGACGCTCGAGGGTGTGCGCAAAGGACTCGAAAAGTATGCCGGCCAGAAGCTTTTCTAAGGCAGAGAGGCAAGACTAGACCCGAGGAACTTTGCTTGATGGCAAAAAGCTTTTGTCTACTAGACCTTTTTCATACATGATGCAAAACAAGCAAGAATGGAGAATCAATGGTAGCCTAATCCTTGTGTGTGACTAGTGACTTGGCTTGATTCGGGGGTTGGGGTTTACTTTCTGTACAGCTTTCAAGGGGTCCGCATGTGCACATGTGCAGTCAAGTTAAGAATTGCCGTGGCCGTAGTGCAGCTCACTTGCTAAAGACCGTGCTAGTCCATTAGAAACCCGTATTGCTCCAAGGCAGAGTGCCATGATTTCGAATAGCAATTGATACGCGTGCATGACACCTTTACTACACGGGCTGTCGAAATAGGTTACTTGTAACTCAGACATATGAAGCAGCATCCAGACATCGCAGTGCGTCAAACAGCTTGAAGGCAATTATCGCCAGTGCTCACTCGACAAAGGCAAGCGTCAATCACCTCGGCCGATGGGAGTATTGCATTTCTCCTTGAATGCTGACTTCTGCTAGGCGCCGGTAGCGACGCGAGACGCAAAAACAGTATCAAGTCCCGATGTGAGACCCCATGGATGCTGTCCTTGAGGCAGAAGTTCTTCCAGTTATCTGGACCATTTGAGCGGCGGGTCGAAGACGTGATCAATGGACATCTAGATATTGTTAGCGGCGCTTTTGACATTGTATGAAGCGCGAATATGATACAAGAAAGTGAGAGGGATCCGCAGTTTAGGGAGCGTATTAGGAATTCGGTAACTTGCATCTTGGCTGACCTGAACCAAATCTGCGAAATGGTAAACGGTTGAAATTGGAGGCGTGTTGGCTAGTTTCCTCCCATGTTCGTGCGGTATTTTTGGGGCAGTTAATTTGAAGCTTGCGATTTTTGTTGGAAACCGGTCCAGTCGGCGAGCTTGCGACGTACAACTCGTACATGAATCGGAGCATCGCCAAGTAATTATTTATGTAGAAACTCAACTACTTCTAGATTCAGTTTTCGATTGAGATTTCCCGAGTAGTCAAGTACGCCTTTGTTTGTGGTAGATAAAAACTGGCTAGCAACGTGCCGGAGGGTGTGTCGCATGCCCAGCAATCATCCTTGCTACCTTTCCTGACCCTTCTTCCATTCTAAAATACTCTTTGTATCTAGTTATGGAGTGCCTCTATTGCTGGTTGCTAAGTTTCTCTATGGGTTTTGGCCACACAGTGATTGCAGAGAAGAGATGGGTATTTCTTTTAAATAGTACAATTTGGCAGTGGAAGCAGGTCACTATATGCATAGAGTACGGGAAGAAGGCGTAGTTGTGAAAGCACAACACGATGCGTTTTCATTGCGTGGATATCTGGCTCGAACCTTTGAGTGTTTGGGGACCAATACGTACGATACAAGTATCGCCAGTTGGCTCTCAGGTGGTTTCCTTGATTCAATTTAGCTTCAGATGCCGTTGTTTATTTTCGACTACTCCTTACAGGCTGACCATTTATCTTGACGAGGCCCAATATTCTCCTTATAGAGTGGACACAAGAGCGGAAATACCCGACGTCAATGCCAGTGAATGCTACAGTCACGCGACGAATACCGTTACTGCCGTCGATTACGGCTAAACATAAATCGCACTGGTATAGATGCCCATGTAGTGTGGCTATTGACAGGACCGGAGTTGATAGTGGCTGGCACCCTCGAGGTGTACCTCGCCTTCGCCACGGAGATACCAGCATATAAGAGGACATCCATCCGTCACTCTGCTCGCATAGACTGAATGGCATAGCTTGGGCAATTTCTAGCTCCATTTGTTTATGTAAAAGACAGTTGAACCTGCTTCATTCATAACTATACTCCCACTGCAACAAAAAGAGCACTCAACAAACAGGGCGTAACACAAAATGATGCGAATTGATAATATAAGACTAAATGCTTCTCATATATCAAATTTTTTGATTGGTGTTATCAAGAGTATTTAAAGCTGGGAGAGTTTGAGAGAAAGTGGAGGATGAATATTTATTGGACTTTGGGTTAAACCTAGTCGCAGTAAGTATATGGAGATGAGCCCACGATGGTACCTTTTCATAAATAATGACATCTGTTTGTATACTCTGTGGTGCCTCAAGAAAGGTGAGAGAAATATGAAATTGTTTTGCCTAATCTGGCAGTAGCATGCTTCGGATATTTCAACGATTTTGTCGTATCTGTAGCCATTATTCAACCGGATGCTATGGAGTCCAACCATTGGTAATTGGAAACCCAGACTCGCGATGAATCTTTACAAAGTCTGCAAGTCGCTCATCATGTTCTATGACAAGTAAGCACAATCCCTCAGCAGGACTCATGCGTTTAACACTTGTGATGACCTCTCCTTCCTCGCTGAGAACCGACTTGAGAACTGCGGGAGCATCATCGAGATGTCGCGCGGACTGTAAAATTATTGAGACTACATTGCTGTCCTTGTTGGCAAAGAGGACTCCGATTAAGCAATCAGTTCGAAAGGCTCGGATAGGAATGTCAAGATCGAAGTCCAGTTTGAGGCGGACTGTCCGGACTGTCTGCAGTATTTTCCATGAATCTCCTGTGAAATATTGCGCATTGATATCGGCACACAATTCAATTGTGCTGAACAATTGCAAACCCAGTGAGCCGTTCTCTATGGCTAACTTGCGGTCGTTACATGCTTGCTCCCATCCCTCGGGCGAGGGAAACATCGTCTTCAGGTCGACTCCTTCGCTCAAAGCTGCCTTGTAAATAATATCGAAGTGTTGAGGATAGACAAATTGAATGAGGCGTCGACAAAAGGCCACTTCAAGCGTGTATTGTATGTTCTCATTCAAGTCTTCCTTTACCAAATGCATGCTCGATTTTTTTGCAACACCACGTGTGAACTTTCTTTTCCTAACAAACGCGTGCTTCTTGTACTTGTTGTACTTCATGTTCTTCTTTGTCTTGTCATGAAAAAACCGGCCGCTCAAAGTTCCAGAACCGCAATCGCCGAGGTCCATTAATCCAATTCGGTACTGTCCGTCTGGGCGCACCTCAAGCTGGAGCAATGGAACCGTATTTGGATGAGCATAGCGAAAGCCACTCCAAATTATAAACTTGGTAAGTTGTGCAAGTGCTGGGGTCAGTTTATCTTTATTGAAGGCGTAAGCCATTTCATGACATGATGTATAGCCGAGCGGCAGCCGCTGCTCAACAATCAGATATGTTGCATCAACACGAATCAGACTCTGCCGTGGCACAACCAGGTGACTCAGCTCGTTTTTCATCTGGTCGAAGATTGTGGCCGCTCTTTTGATATCATTCCATCGCCCACGAATAGACTGGTTGAAAACTGGCATGTTGAAGATAACGTGGGATAACTCTGTGATGATGAACCTTCCAGGGGATAAAATATCAACGCCTTCAATTTCAGATCTTTCGTCTCGTAACTTTGGCGCGTGACGCTGTATAAGGTCTTGAAGGAAGTCCTTTGTCTCGGAGTTCAGCTCAACCCCGCCCAGGATATTGTCGCGTATTTTGACGCAGGTTTTGTGAGAGTTTGCCATCGTATCGTATGACCTTTTCGTAGATGCCATTGTTTCTTGGTTCCTCTCCTGTATTGCAAGGGATATTGAAGTTGTTAGATGTATGTTTGGCGTACTTAGCGCCGAAGTGTCGACAAAAACACGCTATAGGCCTTTTCTCTTTCCAGTCGGCAGTACGCAAACTCAACTTTCAGTTAGCTGGTGGGAAATTAGATGAATATGGTAGGGCGTTAGAGTGCACGTTGTTGATGCAACATTTTATACTCACAAGTTGCAAAGATGCGTGGGATATCTGCCGGGGAACCGAACATCAAAGGTAAAGGGCGCTAGTCGAGTGAGTTGGAAGGTGTTGAAGATTGCACAGTGGCACCTTTATTCAACTTTCCGCCGGTAATGAGATTGTACGTGGTATACGGGAGGAGGGTTGCGGTTCAGTAGATGAAATTGGTTTAGTTATTATACTATTTTCCGCCAGAGATGACTAATTAGAAGTACTGATGGTTGTCCGGGAATAGTAGCTCACTTGGGATCTCTTTCACCATCTCTTTCATGACGTATGATGCCCGTAATCACACACTTTGAACAAAGATTGCGGGGTTAGGGGCATGTGGGCTTTCCAAAACGCCCCTTTTCTTCTTTGTGCGTTATGACAAAGCGCAAGCACGGGTCATTTGTTGGCTCGCCCGTGTTTTGTATCCGTAGCAAGAAACAGCCGGTGACAGCCCCATTAATGCGATACATAATGTGACTTTTCTGAAACAGGACGCATGTTCAAGAAAATACGTCATCTATCTGGAAGAAGCGCTCTTGCATGGTGTTGATTCCACACACATACGGGGACCACCTGAATCGGGCAAGCTACTTGGGCCAGTATGCTAAGGGGTCTGATGGAAACAGCTTGATTGTTCTCTTTGTGTGAGGTAGCAATCAGTGCGACTAGGACCTGGCTTATGTTTCGGTTTCGCGGTGATCAAAATTGGACTGCGGTGCGTGGATGCCAAGTTTCTTGAACGGGGCGGTTCTGGGCTAATTTTGCTGTATTAGGCTTAGCCTCGGCCGCTAGCAAGAAAGCACTAAGATGCTGGAGCGCCACAAGCCGGGACCAACGGAGCCAAGCCGTCAAGTGGTCCGGGCCGGTCGTCGGCCGTGAGTGGGGTAAGCGCTCGGCACCGCGAAGAAAATCCAGCCGGGTGCCGGCAGGGGATAACATTATTGATTAAATCATGGGAGTCTCTATAATGTTATTGGGCCAGAGTTTAATCCATGGTGGTTGACCGTACCAACCGGACAGAGCCTGACCCCGTTGACCCCGAATGGCCAGCCCGAAAAAAGCACTTGAGAGCAAAGCAAGTCGTCGTCGACCTCCACTGATATGTCTGAGATAGCTCAAGCTGACCGTCCTGCGCCAATTGAGCCTCGACTGACGCAAGATTGACCGCCCGCATCAACACGGCTCATTTTGAGTCAATTGCGGGACGGGAATTTGCGAACGGCCAATTGCTGTCATTTGCACCCCTGTATCATTCATGGTCGTACTCAATTTGGTTCCGCCTACTGTGGATGCCACACACACGTTTCCTTTTTCCTCGCAGAAGGGCGAGTTCCGGAGTCATGCTCCATTCACCTCGAAGAACAACATTACCAATGATAGCTTCGTTCCGAGTTTGGGGTATAGAACGTTGCCCGTACACTCCTGTATTTTAACACAAGGTAACATTATTCCTATGACCTGATAGGCCACTGGGTGCGCCACATCACAAGAGCTGAAGCTTACCTGCATAAATCTGACTGATGCTGCCGTCACCGAGAAATGAGGGGTTAGAAAAGCTTCTTGCAGGCAGAGGCCGTAAAGGATACATCTGTATTTCTGCCTCGAGAGCCGTAGCTGAACTGAAGCTTAGTCTCTGACTTTAAACAATCGGATCATTACATCTCGGAATCATGTATTGGAAACAATCAAGCCCCCTCGTCACGGCAGTGTCATTCATGACCGCCCTACTCGTGCCATCGGTGCATGCTGTTGCTTCGCTGCCGTACCCCACACGGTCCAACTACCATATAAAGGGCATACAGCCGGACTTCTGGCCCAACCAAGATGAAATATCTGGCAATAATGCCGGTGGTGTTTCAATGAACCTGCTCTGGTCGCAATGGGAGCCCCGTGTGAAGCCAAGACCATGCGGTGCTGGCGAACAGGAGTACGATGGGCGATGCTTCCTGATCCAGGCCCAGGTGGACTCAGCAATCAAAGGGTGGACGGACCGAGGCCTGGTAGTTACAGCCATCGTTTATGGCACTCCGCCGTGGGCTCGCGGTAAGCGGCGTTGCTCACCAGCAGCGCCGGGCATGGACATCTTTTGCGTGCCGGACAATCCGGCGGACTTTGGACGATTCGCAGGCATGCTGGCTCAACGCTACAATGGTCTTCGGGGCCACGGCAGAATTGCCGACATGGTCATAGACAACGAGGTCAACACTTATCAATGGTTCAACATAGGCTGCGGCCAAGGAGTTCCATGCAACGCCAATGAATGGCTGGACCTAATAGCAGCCAACTATAATGCGGCATATGACCGCATTGTCGCAGAGCAACCTACCGCCAAGGTGTTGACTTCACTAGACCATCAATTCGGGAGAGAGTTTGACAATCCCGGCCAAGGTCTTCTGTCAGGAATGACGGTGATTGAGGGCCTCGCAGCTCGTGCCGGGTCTCGCCAGTGGCGCGTCGCCTTCCACGCCTATCCCCCGAACCTGTTCATTCCTGCCTTCTCTGCGGATGACTATCCAAAAGTCACATTTGGTAACGTTGGCGTGTTGGTTGGGTGGCTGCGACAACGCTTCCCAAACAATCCCCATGCATGGGTCGTGCAACTGACTGAGAATGGTATCAACTCCGGTAGCCAGTCGAGTGAGGCGAGCCAGGCCGCCGCGCTATGCCAGAGCTTTCGCAATATCCTCGGCACACCAGGAATCGAGAGCTACATATACCACCGTATGCAGGATAACCAGGCTGAGGGAGGCCTGATGCTTGGTCTTCGTAGAACGGATGGCTCAATCAAACCCTCATGGACAACGTGGGCACTGGCGAATCGCAACGATATCTCCCCTGCCCAATTATCTTGCGGCTTTGAGAACTTACCCTACGTTGCATTGACCCGGGGCTACAATCCTCAGAGAGGCCATGTCGCGTCGACAAGACAGCTACCCGCAGGATTCCATGCTGAAATGAGCTGGCGCTTGCTGCGTGGTCAACGGGGCGGCACTGTCATGCTGTACGAATGCAAGGTTGGAGGGCATTCTATGTTATCTCGGGATCCGGGATGTGAGGGACAGTTCCCCTGGGGGCCTGTGGGATACATTTACGAGAATCAGGCGGCTGGATCTGTTCCCCTCTACCGCTGCTACATCCCTCAAAACGGTGATCATTTCGTATCCCCGAGATCCGACTGCGAGGGACCATACACCAGAGAGTCCTTGTTGGGCTATGCAATCCAATGATGTAGTAGGCGGACGATTTGTCGGCCAATTGAAAACCGAGATATAACTATTTCTTGTAGTTATAGTGCTTTACGGGCACAAGAAGAATATCCAACTAATACGTAGAGTATAAAGCCGTGAGGTTGGCGTGTCTCTTTCTGACCAATAATATGCCTACCAAGATTAGTGCAAGTCATATTTAAGCGTAAATAATAAGCAAGAAAAGTACTATAAAAGATAGCTAAGGATGGAAACGGATCTGTTGTGCCATAACTAAACATATAAAACCTGATTCTCCATACCGAGTCAGAGAAATACAAGAGATTTCCCCCGTGACACATGACTAGTCCAACGGTCTCCTGATTGGTTCGGATTCACTCGTGTGTGTTACATCTTACATTCGAACCCGTCGAGTGCCGAACCACTGCGTTGAGGGATCGAATAATTCCTACTACATGTTAAGTCATTAAACAGATCTACAAAAAGAGGACTAGATGGTCATTCCTACTATATATACAATGTCTTTATATAAGATCCGGCTAGACCATGTAGAACTACTCAGAAATACGGTTGAAGCTACGTAATATCTCTCATGTAGCGCCCTGAAACATGACATATCACTTCCTTGTTATGCCCAACCGTCTCTCGCCTTGGGCAGCAAGGCAGCAAGGCCGCCCGCCGCCTCTTGCCACCATTGCCATCAGATAAATGCTATCTGGGTATGAAGAAATGCCATTTCATTTCTTCACCACTACCTAAACCAGCGTTCGTATGTAGTATTTCTCCGTTTCTCCTACGCCGCTTACGTCGAACTGCCTTGCACGATGTCGGGCATTGAAATTGCCGGCCTGGTCCTTGCCGCCCCAGGAATGGTTCAGATGTTTTTCGACATTGGCGAAAAGATCCACAGAAAGATGAAGAATGACAAGAGAATGAAAGATTATGCTAGAGATCTTGGCAAGTTCCTTATCGATGACGGCAAAGCGCAGGTAACTCGGGATTTGGAGCTTGCTAAAGGAGTATTAAGGGATCAAACTACGCGAACCGACGAAAAAGAGCGAATAAGCCGGGTCTTTAATCGAGCCTTGGGTCAGCTGAAGCACATCGGTAGCTTGGTAGACATTGCGCTGGGATCTGAGCTTCTATGGCTCCGAAAACGGTCGATGGCGTTAAAAGATCTGAAGGATGAGGTCAGCGACATGAGAGCTTCTTTATCTGAATTCCACCAACTCGTCATGAGCTTGCACACTATCGCAACATCAGAGCCCTTGCTGCTGCTAGAAGATCAACATTTCGTCCTCATTGGCGCTGAGAAAGACGGAGACATGCTGAATGCCACCACATGTATCACGAGAGGTCGAGCGTCGAGCGCGGTTTTCCCTGATTGTCCGGGGAACGGCCGCTTCATCTTGGAAGGCAAGCATTACACAAAATACACAATGAAACAGGTCAAAAAAGACTTGCGTATTCTATCACAGAAGCTGGCTGCCGCGAGTCCAGACGGCGGCATTTTGCCCTTGCTAGGATTTCGCGATAATCCTCCAAGGAATGAATTCCAGCTGGTGTTTAGCATTCCTGATGGTGTTGGATCTATTCAGACTCTTGACAAGGCATATAGCCAACCGCAACCGTCACTCAACTTCCGAATTCATCTCTGCAGTGGGCTTGCTGAAGCTCTTCTGCAAACACAGAGGCTGGGTCTTGTCCATAAGCATATCCGACCTGAGAACATCCTTTTGCTTTCCACGGGGGATGATGCCCCTCCAACTGTGTTTCTAGCTGGTTGGCAATACGCTAGAAACGTTGACGGAAGAGTCACAAAGCTCATTGGAGAAAGCACATGGCAAAGAGCTATTTATCAACATCCAGAACGCCAGAGCGACCACGTGGATAACGAGTATTGCATGGGTCATGACATTTACAGCTTAGGTGTCTGCATGTTGGAAATACTGACATGGGATCCTCTTGCCATCACTACGGGCGATGGTGATTCGCAAGGAGTATCCATGTGTCAGACGTACAGGGCAACTTTTGCTCAAGACGAGTTCAGGAACGAATCTGAGGAAGAAAAGTCTGACGAGGAACGGCTCATGCAGAATCCTCAAATGGTTCAGCGCACCCTTTTCCGTATGGCCGAGAGACTGGTCCCGGCGGCAGCGGGCATCAGGATGAGAGACCTTGTATGGCACTGCATGACATGTCTGGATGAAGAAGTGACCCGTGGGCAGTTCCAAATTTCCCAAGAAAGAGAGAGTAAGGATGTTGCTATTGGTTTTGTTGACACTGTGTTGCGGGACATTCGTCGAGTTATGAGCGTCATTTGACATCCAGCCATGAGATTCATGATGAAGGGTATAAGTTGCCTGTAGCCTTGAATGAGAGTCATGTATTTATCAATCTGCATGCTAGTTCACAATAGCAAACTAATAGCGTCATTCCTTATAATAATCTGGCCGCCTGTTATACTTATCATTCATATCCGGGTCCGCCCCATACTTGATTAACAATGCCACCACATCCTGATTGTCTTCTTGAAAGCCCAGATGCAACGGTGTCCACCCTGAGTTTTGCCATTTTTCGTCTACATCAATATCTTTGCCAGTGGCAAGTAATTCCCTAAGCTTGTCTAGGTGATTTAAGAGAACTGAAAGATGAAGCGACTTGGAATGTTTGTCGAATACTTCCCCTGCACCGTCATCGCAGAGTAAGCGCAACCTCTCAAGGATCCTCTTTCTTCGTAGTCTGACTTCATCGCCAAAAGCTGCAATTTCGTCAAGCCCAGATGCAATCTCTAATAGAGACTTCAAGAGATAGCCTCCAGAACCTGACTTAAAGAATTGATTTAAATAGAAACACATTTCCTTTTCATGTTTCGCGACGTGTTCTTGTGCAATCTCCAGGATAGAGAGACTACTAGGTCGTGCAGACTTGTCTAGAGATTTGCAGCTGTCAAGCAGCGCTCGTAGTTCAGGTTGTGGTTCAGCTTCCTTATACAGGTCATCCACGGTTGCTGAAGTCAAAATTAGCAAGCATTATATTAATTTCACAGTATGTTGTTCCTACCACCAAAGGAGTATATGTCTCCTTTAATCGTCCAGCCCTTTCCCAGTCTGACTTCCTGTATAGTGTTAGTTGCTTATGTTTCTGTCTTATGCTCTCTTGGGGACTTACAGGCGGAGAGTAGTCTGGCGTGCCGACTTTCCTCGTTTGCTTCGCTTCGCCCACGATGGCTTTTGCTAGCCCCAGGTCACAGAGCTTAGCAATAGGTATTTTGCCAACCACAGGTTTCAAAACAACTAATAGTACTCCAGGCATTAATTATTTATATCGATTATTGCCCTGAAGGATTCACTTACCATTTGCTGGTTTAATGTCTCGGTGTATGACAGGCTCCCAGTGTCTTGCGAAAGAGAAAGTGCCCCATCCCCTTATCGTGAGTCCATGATGTAGGTAAGCCATCGCTGCCACCAACTGAAACGTGATAACCCAGACTTCCTCTTCGCGCAAGGGAACCGGATGGCTTAGATCCAATTGCGACGTACTATCTGAATCATCGTCACTATCTGGCCTGTAAACATGCTGACTCTCTAAATCTCCTCCTTCGCAGAATTCCATGTATACAGAGGCTTCTTGTAGTCTTATATTTTCTTGATATCCCAGATATGACACAATGAAAGGATGGTTCAGCTTTTGGAGTATTCGGTTTTCTCGCAAAAAATACCTCCTTATTTTGTTTCCCGCAGCTGACTTGCTCCAAGTAAAAGTCTTGCGGAAAATCAACTTCATGTGTGTTAATATCGCTCATTCAGAGAGTTTACAGCTAAGGCTTACCCGTTGAGTTCCTATTGCGTAATTATTTCGCAGAACTGCACAGTTTGCCTGCGCTCCTTGATTGATCGTCGCCTCCTTATCGACTTCATATGCGGACAAATCCAAACGCTTTGTCGACCATGCTAGTTCGACGGCAGACTGGTTACAATCGTCAGTTATATCTAGATTAGCCCCTGACTCTATCAGAAACTCTTGAACTTCCTGTTGAATATTTCTGATAGACTCATGAAGTGGTGTTGAGCCTCTATTATCGATCGAATCGATGTTAGCTCCGTTTTGAAGTAGATGCTGCACGATCTTTCTATGGCCACTTTTCGCAGCCCAATGCAGTGAGGTTTGACCATTTTCGTCTTTCGAATTACTGTCAGCATGTCTCTTAAGTAGCAGCTTAACACAAGCTTCGTGTCCATTGGCAGCAGCCCTTAACAAAGGCGTCGAACCATCCTCATCTTTTGAGTTGATATCGGCAGTATCTATTCCCAGCAACAAATCCACGACGCTATCGTGTCCTTGCTCGGCAGCATACGTCAGTGGCGTCCGGTTGCACTTATCCTTCACGCTCGGTTTACGCCCTTGCCGAACAAGTGTATCAACTGCTGAAGATATCCCCAAATAAGCTGCTAAGTGCAGCCCTGTCATTTGTCTTGGGGCATGTGGTGAGTACTGATCGACGTGCATAAGAGCTTGAACTGAAGCTTCTACTGCCATCTTGGAGTGCAGGAATTGCATCACTTCTAGGCTTAATCTTGAAGCATTGCGAGCATGGTGTCCCCAGTAATTGGCGGCATAGTCGTAGAGAGGATTTGACTGCAAACGATTCGCCAATGCTGCATCTGTCTGACAAGGACCGCCCTGGAAGACGCTGAATGAGAGGTAGGTAACACAGATGTTCATCATGTCGAAGTGTGCATTCGGAAACCACCGATTCGCCTCTGCCTTGAAGTAGTCTTGCGTGGTGTAGTGGGCTAAGCGGATTTTTTTCCTTTGCTGATCGACTGCGACTAATCCAGCGCATACAGCAACTATATTTTCAATTTGTGGGAGATTCTCTTCGTAAAGCGTACATTGTCCGACTTCTACCGCAAGTGCATATCGAAGTTCTAATGTTGTCAACGGCCTCTTAGTAAAGGTTAGCCAAGACAAAACTTGTTTTGCAAGCTCTGTAGCAGCTAGAGTCTGCCTCATAATCCGTTTCATCGTGTCTGCATGGGTTCGATGGGACAAATCGGATCCAGTTGGAAGCCCCTTCAAAGCAGCTCGGATATTCAAGGCAGCTTGCATATCCCGAGGCGGCCCTACTTCGTCTAACAGAGAGTTGAATTGAAGCTGCGCAAGAAATATCCTAGCAAAGTTAGTGGCATTCGGCTTCTCTTCAAGCGTCCACATACGTTGAACATGCAGATTCGATGATCCTGGCCTTAATTCTTGCCACTATTTCAGAATTCCGAGTCAAAGACGACGGCAATTTCCACAACTGTGAGCCCAGGTAGCTAGAAATTTCTTCTGTGCTTGTATGGATTTCGAAAAATTGATCCTCTTCAAATATGTCTCTGCCTGCAGGGAGTTCTAAAATTGGACCTGCTTTGAATTGCTCTGTGATTTCAGAAATGAATTTTGAGGTCACGAAGATCTGTACGCGATTCTTGTCTCGTAGGCTGAAGAGCTCGGACAAGAATCTTGCTCGAGTGCCAGATTCCTCGCATTCATCAAGTGCATCAACCACAATATATACTCGCCGGTATAATGCAGCCACTGAATGGAGCGCTTTCGATATTTCCTCAAGTGATGGTATTGTGCTCCCGTGATTATGCTTATGATAAAGTACTGACACAGCCTCTGGCAGAGGAGACCTCGCCTGACTCAACTGCCTTAAAAGGTTTGCAAGTAGGTCATAAATCTCTTGTTTGTCTTTTGGCCGGTAGCTGAAATATATGTACGCGATCCCAATATCTTCTTTGTGCCGGAATTGCAGAAGAAGGTTGTGAATAATAGAGCAGGCGAGGATTGTCTTTCCCACTCCCGGACCTCCTGGGCAGAATAGTGTCTTAAAATCATTCCCATTCAGCCACTGCGTGTACTCTGAAGTCTTCAGAAACCATAGTTTGGTCCTTGGTTGTCGCTCCTGCAGGTATGTTGCTTGCTGATGAGCATAGTCGAACAGCGTGAGCCAGTTAAGCATCATCTCACGTTCGTCTTTACTGTATGTACGGCCTATTAAATCATTCCTTTTGGCGGTTCCTACGACGACGTAAGATTAGTATTCGTCAATGCAATGACTATCCCATGGAACTGACCAGAGAGAATATGGATAACTCTCGTCCAATCCTTAAGTGGAATGGGTCTTGATCTAATTCGGGTAAGAAGGGCCTTTGCATATGCAGCAGCAGCTAATACTGCATATCCTTGCCATTCTATATCCCTATGCGAGTCTGAGTAGTCACATATCCCCCGAATGACTAGGTATGGGAAGGGGTTCTGAAAGTCGGCTGCTTCTGTATCAAAGCATAAGACATTTCTTTCAGCAGCAAGTGCATCTCGAAGCGCCGCATCTGTTATGGGCTGTTTAGCGGAGGCAATAACACCATAATGCACTGTCGGAGTATTCTGTGGTCTCCTGAGATTTGACTTATTGTAGAAGTCGGCGGGCGTTAAGATATGAGAAACCTCGGGGCCCAAGATCAAATCAGTATCCAAATCTGGCTTCTTATATATCTTTTGTAGTGTTGGAATCTTCTGGAGAATATGGTTCTCAACTTCCCCGATCGTGTATCCTTTGTGCTCTTGCTCAGCCCTCAATGAAGTCACCTCTTTCAGCACAGAGAAAGGCAGTGGACTTAGAAACCGTGTTTTTCGAAAGGCTCGAGTATTCACGGTCTCTTCAAAGTCGTATTGAAATACAGAGCCCTGTCCGTCACGAGGTATTCCTACCACGATATCTCCTAGGCGGATGTCATGTTGCACACCGCCGCCGATGCCGACTAGTAGGCCCATACAGATATTAGGAAAGCTTCGTAGCATATTCGTTGCCACAGCAGCTGCGGAAGTTGTTTTGTATTCACTATATGGCGAGCAGGCGATAACCACATTATGATGCCCAATTATGCCCAGTGTGTAGTCGTTGCTGTCGTTTCGCGATAGATGATATGGTTTTTTGTGCTCTTCGTCAAGAGCCGCCTGGGCGACAACATACTCTGTCCATGTGGCGCAGATCCAGCCGACTAAGTAGGCGGAGGGATATAACATCTTCGTAGAGCAATAAAGACACAGATAGTGGAGGGAACTTTCAGGGGTTGACGACTTTGGCAGGGAGATGCCGCTGTGAAACGCTGAGTGTTCGATTGTACGGATGTAGGTTGGGGGACAGTGGATTACCAAGAGCGAGGTAACGGTATATTCGTTAAGGGAAAACACTTGGTTGATGAGGCTAATCCCAGAGCTAAAGGATGAAAGGTTATGAAGCCAAACTCTTTGTCGTCGATCCTCGGTGAGGGGAACGTTGGGCATCAACTGCCGTCGCACGACATGAAATTTGATATTCCATCAGCTACAACTGAGAATCCTCTTTTATTGGATCAACAGCTCAGCCAACAGTGGCATCGCACTTAGCAGGGATGGGACGCTGTCATACCACCATGTCCTCACACAGCCGGCGATTGAGACTCCCATGGCTGCTTATGGATTGTAAATTTCGACATATCTTAAGTCATATTCTCAAGAGACTGTGGCAAATGAACAATAGTCTCGCTAAAGTCTTTTCCGCGTACCACAACTGTGTATCTTATGTTATATAACCGGAATCACGACGCTTTGTACCGCTAGTTGTGCAATGTCGTTGGACCATGACGACGTGTACGAGCTGGAAGAGGCTACAATACGTGTCCGCTTCTGGAAATCTATGGTGTAAGAATGGGCAGTTGAGTGTTGGCGTCATGGTTTAGCCACACTAAGCAAAAGGGAGTAACCAGTGCCTGTTATGGTAAGCCATAAATACCTTCTAGTTGTAGATGCCCTATATTTCACCCGTTGACAGTTGATCAGTGAAATCGATTCTCACATTGGTATCGGACTGGTACGATGGTTTTCAAGGCTATTAAAGTGCTTCTTGTAATCTAGCACACGTGCCGCCACGTACAGTCATCCTAAGGGAGTCCTGTTTTCGCATCAGGATGGTCTCTTCACTGGGATCCCACAGGATCCGAATATACTGTACGATGTAATCATTAATGCATCTAATGATACTTAGATGCCTGATCTTGCATGCTTGGTTTAGTTGCGGTGTCATCGACGGCTTCGGTCAATAAAACAGATGTCATGACAATGTTCAATCCTTAAATATGGGGTCATCCAACCACACGCGAATCTTGTCTATAGCAAACAAATCATGGCGCTTGTCTGACGTATGATAATCCTTCATCTCCCCCTCGATCCATCCCTTGGTCCCCCGGCTGGTTCCCAGTTTAGCACCCATCTCGCGGGCGGACCCGAAGTCGATTAGGACTGGCATGCCTTCCTTGTCCACCAGGATATTACCTGGGTTAAGATCGTTGTGGGCCCAGCCAAGAGAGTGGAGGTGGTCGATAGCCGATATAAGGGCCTGCATGAACGGTTCCTTGTCCACCGACCCAACCTTGTTTTTAAGATGGTCGTTTAACGTGTTAGAGTGGCGGTCAAGGACGAGGCCGGTGATGCGGCCACGACGGACTCTGCAGCCATGGTAGTGGATGATGTTGGGGTGAGGGTGTCGGGAGATAATCTCCATCACTTTGGCCTCCTCGAGCAGACCTTTGGAAATAAGGTCGAGGACGTTGTGCTCTTGGAAGATTTCGTACGTGGAAAGATTTGGGTGTTTAACGTAGGTGTTGGGTGGGAGTGTATCCGGCGCCTTGGTGAGTTCCACATGATAAGGCGCCCATTCTGGAAAGAGATCATTGTCGGAGACGGGAGCGAGAGCAGTTAAAAGTTGCGGAAAGATGATGTCGCTTTTGGTTTGATTCAACTTGCCAAAGTAGGCCTTGTCATCTGCATCGAACGCTGCAAAGCTTGTGTGTTGGAATTGGCCGGTTTCATCGTCGACTTCCTCATCGAAGAAGGCTAGGTCTTCCCACTTTGTAATTTGGAGTGCCACTATGACGGGGAAGCTCTCTTGGGGGTGAAGGTGTGGGCAGCGGTCTGATTATTGTGAAATGAGTTATCTCTTGCGCAGCGTTGTGCAAACATTGAAGCCCTTTTATTGGCTTAGATGGAACCAGCACCGTCCTGCAGGGCAACTCTGACCAGCTATTGATTCTTTCTTGGCCGATTATTCGTGGGGACACAGCCAAAGTAGGACATGGAAGAACGACTCCAAATCGTGGCGGCTCATGGAATATTACATGGAAGTCACGTTGCCATAAAGGCACGGGCCGAACCTTGAACCCGACGATACTTGCACAAGGGCTCAAGACCTAGCTTAAGGCCTTGGGCTTCCACGCTCGCTTGCTCACCGCTATTTGATATAAATAAGGGGCATCTGCCCTCGAGGCCTTGGGGAAAACCAAGACTCAAGTGATGGCACTTTCTCGAGACTACATACAGCTAAGTAGCAAGCCACGCCTGAAGATAGCTCCATGTCAAGGCTCCATCGGACATCAACGTCTCGGAAGGTGAGCCGTCGGCGTTGCGTTGGAAAGCGTAGCGCAGAATGGCCCCAATCTTGGCCACCCGCTCAGCCGTCTCGCGAATTTTGTATTGCCGCACATCATCCCTGACCTGCGAGGCAGACCAGAACTCGGTCCAGAAAGCCTCATGCAACCGCGAGCGGCATGCGTAGTCGTGCCACCCATGGCGATCCATGTATCCCGTCGTCAGAAACAGGCAGTCCAAGTCCATGCCGAAAGGCAGTATCGATGCAAGAGACCAATCGACAATACCCGTGATTTCGTAGGTGTCCTCATCAACCAAGATGTTCGTCCTAGAGAGATCACCATGCGTAAGAACTTGTGGATAATGCCGCGCAAAGAGAGCAGGGAGGCTGCGCTCCAATTCCCACCATGACGGGGTTTCGAAAATGGATAATGACGAGGATCGTACTAAAGCGAGTCTGCGTTGAATTCCATCTAGAGTCTCTGTTTGTGCTTCTGTGGTCGTATGCAGCGGCTTGGACAAACATCGAGCGAAATACCTAACAAATGTGAGCAATCGTGGCAGGCACTTCAGCGCCAACCTAGCAAACGGGCATCGCTGTTCTCCCTACCTGGCAAGGTGGCGACATGGAATGAAGCAAGTATGCCTGGCCTCGGCTACTTCACCCATCTCCACCTGACAAGTAAGAGCATCAAGACACGAGATTCCCTGCAGGTACGGCATGGTGTAGATGGTGAGTGGCGGATCTGCACCATCGACTATGCCAGCGTGAGATATCCGGGGCACGAGGTAGCCGTGGATGGCCTTTGCGAACTGGCACATGCTTTTGTCGAGGTTGGCTTCTGGCTCTCGGAAGGATACCACAACGTCTGGCTTCCCTGCACGGCGACCCGTGCAGACAACATTATAACTCATCGAGCCCGGCGTGTCAACAGCGCCAAGATTCGAAGCGCCCGAAATCAATTGATGGATTTCGCTATTTGATCGCACTGAAACTGGGTGGGATAGCGCCCTTCAAAAAAGCGGTCGACGGCCTGCTGAGCCCAGGGTATTCCAGCCATAGCTAGCGATTAAAAGCAGCCCACGCTTTAGGCTGATTCCGTTCTTGCGAGCATTTGAGTCGGAATATCTCCACATGTCGCCCAGAGTCATGATTAAGGCGGTCTGTCGTGGTGCTCGCCGCTGCTCGGACCAGCCAGGCCTCATCCCCAGGTGCCTGCAGGTGCACTTGATTGGCTATTGTCGCCGACAGTGAATTGTATCAATTTAAAGTGAGAGTTATTTGAGGAGTGAGCACTCCATTGAGAGCTGGTCCCGTGCAGTGTTTTATACACAAAATGAGCCATTTGTCAGTTTAGGCAGCTGCCGTTGTTGATATGAATGTCTTAATTTTCCGTGAGCTGTGATTCAGGGTAGGTCGGTTGGTGGGTTTGCTGAGTCAAACAAAGCGGACGGTTGCTATATTCTCGACGCCCGCAAATATGCTTATACGAAAAAAAGTGACACTTCACGGCCCAGTTACTCGTCATCTCTCCTGCGCCAGTCAGTGGATGCTGCGGCCCTATTCGAAGGCGCCGTGTTTCCTGAACGGGAACCATCGTACACACTCCGACCGTATCTGACACCCGTGTCGGGATTTGCCAGCTTGTTCGGTATGCCACCGGCCACCGAAACCTTCAGCCTGCCCCCCGGAATGGTCCTGGTGTGTAGGGCCTTCTTCGCTGCGTTCGCCTGCTCCCTGGTTTCGAAGTCGACGAAGCAGTAGTGGTGGTTGCCTGGCATGAATCTCGTCCTTTCATACGGCGTGATTCGTTTGCCAATCGCCGTCCTAGTATATACCTGGCAATTAGTAAAGGCACGATGCAGTATAAGAATGAGAGGTTTCCACACACGGGGTGAAGTCGGAGAAGAGCTCCGTGATTTCTCGGTTGTGTTGAGCTTGGTCAACCATCTTCCCCAACCCGCCGACGTAGAGCCTCCGCCCCTCGAGGCTCTCTACCATGTTTTCAAAATGATCCACTGCCCAGTAGGGACCCTGTTCGGCGCCCTTGGTGTCGAATCGCCCAGTGGCAATCCCGCCATCGCTGGATTGGGTGCTCCAATCGCCCCATCGCCGGGAAGAAGAGTCGGCCTCGTGGTTCCCGCCTCGATCGCGCTGCTTCTTGGGGTCGCAGGGGCCGACCTTGATAGGCCGTCCGCTGATGGTTGCGCTCAAGGAGGCAAGGGCATGGCCGGCAGTGTCGCGGTCGGGGAAGTCGACGAAGCAGTAGCCGGGGTTTCGCCCACTGACGGGGTCTATGGATATATGGATCTTTTGAAAATGGTCGAAGCCATTGGCGGCGAGCAATTCCTCAATGTCGTAGGGTTTGGCCGTATACGGGAGGTTACCTACACCCAAAAGTCAGCGTTATCGAAGCGCAGCAGAATCGAGGGTCGAACCCAGGTAGATGCGTGCGGCCAAGGCGTCTGGCTGGCTCTGCTGGGCTTGTTCCATGACTGGTTAAATTTACCGCGCAGGAATTATGCTGCCGTTCAATATTCTCTTGCAGAATCTCGTAGATGAAGTTGTCGAATCGAAACTCGAGACTTTGGAGGCGTACGTTCCTGTGGCGCGCAAACTCTTTCCTCAAATTTACGATCACATGCAGCGCCAACGTTGAATCTCCGCGTTGCAAGGCTTTGCTCTACCCTTTTAGCAATAGATTCTCCCGTAGCAGTACCCGACATCTTTCGCAATAAATGCGCAAGATCTCGCGCTGCAGACGAATTCGAAATGAAGAAGCAAGGGAGGCTCAACAAAGCATGCCAGCGTCATAGCCAAAAATGGTCTTTGACCTTCATGAATGGCAGAAATGTATTACTCGTCTTCAGAATTGGAATGAACTAGCAAGTAACGCAATGGCTCACAATATGTAGGAGCCAAGTTCCTCAGTTCAGCAAGAATTTGTATACTGACCTGTTACTTCTTTACAGAGCCAGCGTAAGACATTCGATGCACATGACATATTGTAGACAGGTTTCTGTGCAAAATACAGCAACAATAATCGACTATAGCCACAACGGATTCCAGAATCTTCATTGCCTGTCCTAGCCGAATGCACTAGTTGCCGTTGCTTCATGCCCCTGCCATCTGCAATCTTTTTTGGACAGGGGGGATGGGTTTTTTCGATCTGTCATGGGAAGAAGTCGTAAGTAACTCCTTGTTTATATTATTAAGATATCAATCTTGTCTTTCTTAATACCTCAATGCTCGTGTAAACAACTCCATCAGGTACAGCCTAGTCACGTCAAGTCTATGTGCCTGGCGGTGGCTAAACCAGAGAACCGTGACAGACCAAAAGAAACACCGTGTAAACACACATCATAATACATGAGTTGTGGTAAACCATAAATAGAGTATTAGAGCGATTACTGCCAGAAATTGCAATACATTCTGTGAAAAGCAAGCTTATGATGTTCTGGCCTGAGAACGTCACGGGATCTAAATAATTATAGCGTTCGGATCTTCAGAGAGAAATACAAGTCATCAACATAGCCGAGAGCTTGGGATTTCCTGACCAAGTACAACACTAGGCCTGTTTCCCCAGGTGGTACTAGGAATCAAGAACTCATTTATGTTGGATGATACATCTTCACGAATCTGCTAAAGACAGTTCACTGCCACATTCAAACGTCGAAAGCGAGAAAAACACTAGTATAAAGTGGGCAACAGCCAGAACTCAATTTTCAAGTCTATAGTAACAAGAGAGGAGAAGTGAATGTACACGGAGACAATGAGGCTAGTTTTCAGCAGAAGGAAGAGGCTTAGCCAAGCCAAGTCGCTCTAAAGTGCTAGGGAACGTCTTGGGGTCAGTAGAGTTGGCATCCACAATATTTGTCTTGGGCGTCTCGTCAACAAGGAGGCGAATCAGATCCGGTCGCATATAGTGCCCGCCCTGTTTATTCAACTTTGTGTTAGCATTTCTTACGACACATGAATCATTAGTTTCAACATACAAAGTCGGCAATCTTCTTGGTCAGCAGATTCTCGTCCAAGTCAATGTCGACAATGACGAGTCCGTCAAAGGTCTTGGCCGGGTCGTCAACGGCGCGGAATCCGTCTGGACGATAGACTCTGGAGTAGCCGTTTCCAATAATATCAGCTTCCCCGTCGAGGGCAGCCTCGTCGTTTTGCAGCCGAACGGGAAGTCCGAGACGGGCTCCCTCGCGCGTGACAACCTGGGTTGGGGCTAGAGTCCAGGCGCCAGTCTCGTATGCGTACGCGGGTGTAACGTGGTCGGATTGGATTTCGGACGCGTTCGTGTATGGATCGGGGTACTTGATGGCCGAGCCGGGGCCGTACACGGGCCATGCGGCTACGTGGATTTCCTCATGTTTGCTGGCGTTGAGTGCCTTGAGGAAGGGGTTCATCTACGCTTGTCAGCATGCTTGTCTGGGTGGGCATACGGGCACGCGTACATTTTCCCAGCAGTTCAAGTGGCCGAGATTGCCAATTTCAGTCTCGACTACGGCGTGAAGAGAGTCACCGCTTCCCTCGCCAAATACAAGCTTCTCGACATGGGTGGGCTTGATCTTGCGACGGTGGTTGATGACGGTTCCGGTTGGATCAATGATGATCTGCGCCATGTACATGGTATGGCCGTCGAGCTCGGAATAACCCAACGAGACGTAGATCTTAGCGGCCTTGGCAGCCTCGCGAATTCGTCGCATTTCGTCCGAGTCGGGCCGCATGCTGTTCTGGTGAAACTTCTTGAGGAGGGGCAGCGAATCTTGGTAGTTCACACGCCACAGCCAATAGGGAAATCTTGATTTGAATATTAGCTTAAGTACTTGCCATGTCAGGAGTTATTTCGGGGAAAATATCTACCCAGGAATCCCTACAACTTGTTAGCATTGCACAGGAGGGATTGTTGTATGGGCAACTTACAAACTTCGGGAAAGGCAATAAGCTTGCAATCCTTCTCGCCAGCTTCGAGGATCAAGTCAACAGTCTTCTTGACTGCTTTCTCAAGGTTGAGCCATCCAGGCTCAGCTTGCACACAAGCAGCCTTGTACTGACGAATAGTAGCAACCATGTTGATAGATGTTGGAGGGTAAATGGACTGGTGTAAGTCCAAATATCGAGAAGTAGATGGTGATTGTCAATGAAGTGATGGAAGTGATGAAACTGTGATGATGGGAAAAGCCAAATAGGAGTCTCGAGAGGTGCTTATAAGCTTCTGCAAGTCTCCCATCTAGAAGTCATACATGGATCGGGTGACATGGAATCACGAAGATCCGGACGGGCTCTCGGCATGCGGTCTTCCCTCGGCGTCTGGATCTCGGTGTCTGAACGCTGCATGACGAAGTCATTATTTCCCGACTCGACATATTGGACCCCAATCTGGGGGTACATCGCGTCATCGGTTCGACGAATCACACATGGTTGTGAGTCAATATTTATGGGGGCCGAGATCGCGACCTTCCGGGCCGGGCCTGTTGCGGATGGCTTGATCAAGTCCAGAGTCTATCCGGGATAACCTCAGGCACCATGGACGCATGGAGAAGCTTGAAATCATGCCACTTTAATTGTCCCGGAACGTGGTCAGCAACAACCCAGATTCCACATTATGTGGATGTCGCCGGTAAATCTCTGGAACGGCAATAGAAAGCTGGGATGAGCCCCGGATGCGACAGGTTAGCGCAGATGACGAATATTGGGTTGCATGCAGGTATGCAATGAAGACAGAGGTGCACAAGCAAATGTCGTGACAATATTGAGCGCCTCTAAAAAATAAAAGTGACACGTAGTAGAGCATTGCAGCTACACATGCATGTACCGAGACGACATCTGCAGTGTTTACACATCCGTTCTCCGACAGTAGCGATGTAGCATTCATCATTGACGATACTACCGACCCATCCATGAATCAGCATCTCGACGAAGGGCACCAATATGCAGATGAAGAAGAATCACGAGGCCACAAAACGGCCCACCCAGGAGACCCGACTGTTTAACAAACCCACTGGTGCCCATGTTCCCAACAAAAGAATAAAAGCGCATGGCTGTGCAGGAGATGGCCTACCCCCGAGGGTGTGTTTGAGATTATATTTTACGCCGCTTCACTAACGAGGCGATTTCTTTTCCTCTGTGTGGCAATCTCATCCAAGTTCCGTTGCCGCATGTGAGGTAGACAGCCACGTATATGGAAAGCATTGCAGTCATTCTAGCCATAAATGCACCGAAAAAACTAATAGTTATAAGATTCAACCACATAGACATGCTACTACCCTATGCAGTAGGCTCATGTGAGCGTCCAGTGTGACACAGGGTGGCTACGTTCGGGCCTGTGAGCATACATCTACACACCCTTCTGCATACTTTGGATTCCTAGCTGTCTTGATTCATCCAAACTTGGCGCTGATTCCAGCCGGCGGAAAAGCACCATGGCGTGGGTCAACCCGAGCCAGCCTGGTTGACGGCGCCGGGGCAATAATTCGGCATGTCAACTTTTCATCGTTGAAAAACAGGGATCATCCGTGAGCTACAGCCTGAAACACATCAGAGGGCCAATGGCGATATGACCTACTAAACCAATGATCCATAAATCACTTGAAAACGTTGTGCTAGTGGCGAACTGGAGGAATGCCAATCATCTGTTGAGTACTCCAGAAGACACTGCCATCCGAATCCCAACACGAAGAATCTCCTTGCTAATTTAGACTTCCGGGATAACGCCGAGTAGAGCCTTGGTGGCGACTGAGCAATCCGGGGGTCGGAGATGTCGTGGGAATTCAGGCAGATGGTGAGGTTTGTCGTCTTCTCTTTGGTTAATACGGCACTTCGGATCTTCGCAAGCACGCCTACGCCGTTATAACCGGTTAATTCACCAAAAGGGCCACCGTATCAACACTTGAAGAAGCGGTAAGCCACCCCAATACTATTACCTTGATGGATATTGCTGGACCAAGCGCGGCAATGAGGTCAATTGATCCCTGCTTTGCCCCTGATATTGACACAGGATGTGCCCAACGTATTTGTTCGCGCAGAAGGATCATGTGCTAGGCCCATCTTGCCGTGGCGCAGGCGTAGGTTCTTGACACTTGACACTATTACCAGACGCGGTGGTGGACTCTTCGTAGTAACAATGGATATTCCAAAATTCTCGCCTGAAACACCAGGCAGGTAGGTCTCATGTTCGAATATATTCGCTCATCAAATTCTGTTGAGGCCCAGAGCTCGTTGTCTGGCGACAAGCCCCTTTTTCTTCATTGATGCCAAAGCTGACTCAACTTTTCTGACAGAAAAGAAAAACGAACCGCCAATTGTCTGTGATCCCTACGGCCCTCGAACAAATAAAGCATTCAGAACCGTCTCTCTCACCTCTAGGCCATGAAGCCGCCCGGCGGGTTATACATGGTGCAATGATGACATCTGATGTCCTCGTCTACCTATTGGGGCTCATGCAACGCAGTCTGTTTGACCGAGCGGCAGACGGTTCTGAAAATAGAAAACCTGGTGGACATGGCATTGACTGTCACTGACGACGATGTCAAGGACTCACCCCCAGCGTTTCAACAACGCAGTCCACGGCCGTCACAGATTCTACAACCAAGGGCTGGAAAGTTGCCGGCACAATTTCAGGGGTCAAAGGAATGAGTGAACACAGCAACGTCGGCTTCGAGCTGGGATTTTATTATGGCGAACAGTACATCAAATCAACTGCAGTAAAATCACAGCTTACACATACCGCACCCTGCCAGCAGAATAATAGATGCACCACCGATACTGTCACCGGTTTGACATTGAACGAGATGGGCGTTGCGGAAGAAGTGTGTAATTGGGAAGAATGGGGCCCTGGGGGAAACCTGCTTGTGGTATACTTGAACTTGGTAGAAGACCAGACATGGCTGACTTTGTATTTCTCTCATCAGTTTTCCTCAATCTCACCCTGAACCAGCTTGCGAAAGACGAAACATTGTCCAGCGCTTCCGTGATGCGACCTGCGAGCGGCCAAATTAGGGGGCATTCAGAAAAGCGTTTTGCTGGCATGAAAACGTCCCCCTGGACATGATCGGCTCGCGAACAATGATACCGGCCCATGTTGCGGCCGTTGCTGGCACAATTTTGAAACTCCGCAACACAACGATTGGGCGTTAGAAGGTGAAATATCGACAGGCAGTCATCCATCTACAAATGGATTTCAATGCTGTACTAATATAACAAGAAGATACAATTGCAATTTCTTGAGAAATCATGCCACAAGTCAACTGACTTGTCAAAACTAATTACACCAAGAGGTTTCTTCAACCTCTTACATTGACCACGGACATGCGATCAAGCTGGCAGGCACTCCAAGAGCCGAGCTTTATCCCTCTCCAACGATTCCTTCAACGTGGTAAACGGAATGCCAAACTTGGACGCGACGTCTTTCGCGGCAGCGACTTTTCCACTAAAATCTGCCACGTTCGCATACAGTTGAAATCGCTGACCAAATACCGTGGGCTTAATTTGCTCCTGTTCCTCAGGCGTTCGCTTTCTCAGCCCGACCTGTCTACCACTAACCTTGACAAGAATATCATGTGCCTCTTGAATGGAAAGTGCCTCGCTACCAAGGTCAATCTCCTGACCACCATAGGTATCCGGATCCCGCAAGGCTGCCGCAGCAAACCGCCCAACGTCGTTTGCATCCGTAAACGGCGCCTTTACACCGTTATCAAACGCGTGGTCTAGCTCTCCGTGCGTAGGTAGTCTAGGGTAATTCTGAGTCGCCCCCGGCATCAGAAAGTCCTGATGAAGAATCGCCGGTCGAAGAATAGTGTAGGCTCGGAAACCGGCCCGACGAACGGTATCCTCCACCTCTGCCTTGGAAACAAAATACTCGCGTAGTTGGCATTCGTCCGTCTTTTCGTGATCCCACGAGGCCCTGTCACCAACGGTGAAGGTTGTGGACGCAACAAGAGTTTCAACTCCCGCTTTCCTGCATGCGTCTACAATGGTCTTGGCCTGGAGAGCTTCCAGGCCGGGGATGGGAAAGGTATTTAGAAATGCTGCCGTGCAACCTTGGGCTGCTTGGTAGATTTCATCAAAGTTCCTGCTTTCGCCTTGGAAGAGAGTTACGCCGGGGTTCTTGAGGATAGGGGGGACTTTTTGAAGGTCGCGGACGACGGCGTGGACTTTGACGGATGCTGCGAGGAGGTGCTTGATAACCCATTTGCCTTGCTCACCTGTGGCCTGCGTAACAAGGTAGGTAGCCATGTTTAGTATAGTGTAAGGGTAGCTGGTATGCTGTGAATCTCAGATGGATGAGTGGGAAAACAAATTCTGATGATGAGCTTGTGTAAGAACTGTTGCTATTGGGGTTGGTAGTTGCATGTTTATATACGTAAAAGCAGACCACGGCTGCTACTAACCACGGCTCAAGTGCCCATGTCCCTCTTGATTTCTAATGCATTACGCGTTCAGTAAATCGTTGGGCCGGTGTTGCACTTTTGACATGTAGAGGGCGAGCCGCGACCGCGAGGTTCCAGGTTCCCGAGAAAGCTACATACATAACTTCGCTGGGAATAGATGCAATCGACTCATGGGCTCGACAAAAGTTGCTTCTGGTGGGTCCCTTGACAACCTGTGGCGCTGCAGGAATAACGCCATTGGAAGATCCGTCTTCAAATAACATTGAAGCCAACCATCAATTCCCACACTGGTAGCCGGCGTTCCCCGGATCATGCGGAGAAAGAGGCTTGAAATGCTAAACAGGCTGACAAATAACGTCACGCCTTGATGGCAAGACTTGCGTATGTGGGTCTCGTGAGAGAAGTACACTCATTGCCTCTTTTTTATCGTCATGTCGGTGTGTTTAGGATTCCAACTTCCTTCGCAACCTGGTGTGAGCTGCCGAGCCGACCGCCACCATGGGGTCTCGCAAAAGCTGTTGGACATGCAAAGGTAAGTGATTTGTGACATCAAGGTGGGAACGTCTCCCCGCTCACCCTTGCTTAGATCGAAGGATCCGATGTGATGGCGGCTTTCCCAAGTGCCAGAAGTGTATTGGAGCTCGGCGATGCTGTCAGGGATATGGGATGCGCCTATCGTGGCCCAGAGACGACGACAAAAGACGCGTTACTTCGTCTAGTCCGCTGTCGGCCCTGATATCTCGAAACCAGAAGACCGACTTCTCATTTATCAACACAACTTGGTCGGATATGGAACTGTATCATCATCAAGAATCATTCCTCGACCCCATTCCACGCCTTTCCAACTTGTGGAAGCTACCGCAACTAAGCGCCAGTAATATGCAATTATTGAACTACTGTAAGCGCAAAAAGGTGCAATGGGAGGAATGATGTTGCGGAGTAAGCTAATGTTGAACGTCTTAGTTCACGACTCTGCTCACCTCTCGTTGGTCACATTCGATGCTGACCTGTCACAAATGAGAGATGTACTTCTCAGAATGGCTCTGGAAAATGATACGCTCTCCGGATATGCTGCCTTCTACGCGCTGCTGGCCTTTGCTTCATTTCACCACAGTGGCTTGAATCAACAGACCATGAGGCTGAAGATATCGGCGCTCCATTTCCTAGCTGCTTCAGCAAAGGAAGAAACACGAACTTGGACACAAGCAGCGCGACAAGTGGCTGCCTCAATGCTTCTTGGAACTCTTGATGTGGGTGTGAGGTTTCACTGGAATAAAGTTGAAGCCAGTGCTAACGCGCCGATGTAGATTATGCTGCCAAGTGCAAGTTCAGGCGAGTGGCTCTGGTATACACGAGGAGCCATGGATATCGTCCAAACTACTTGTCTCAAATATCAATGGCACGAAAGCGACATTGGCCGCCTGCTTGATTGGGTCTACTACCATGATACACTCTCCCGATTTCCCTTGCGCCACTGGCAGTACAAGTCTTTGGCCCGTGAGGTCTCTGAAACGAAGGACTTTCATTTCCGCGTCACTACATTTTCGGCTTTGACAAAATACAGGCCGGTACGATCAAAACTACACGTCTGCCCCAGCGGACCAGACGCAATCAGTATTTGCTAATACTCTTCCACAGGCACAGTCTAGTCCGAATCCAACGTATGCCATATTAAACTTATTATCTGAGGCATGCAACGCATTAATTGATCCACGAGATCCTGCAAGTCGGAGCGGGGAGTACCGCGACAGTCTAGACCTCCTCAAGAGGAGAATCGGTAACGTCCATCTCAGGCGGGACTCGTCCAGTTTGAGTCCTCAGGAGACGCTCGGAGTAGAGGTATGGCAGACGGCGACACAAGTCTATCTAGCACGAGCTTCACAGAGCCCCGGTGAAGAGCCTGCGAATCTGGAATCTTTGATAGACATGGCATTCGAAGGGCCTATCCGAACCTGTGCCTGCCCTCACTTCTTTCCCTTGTTTATTCTGGCCTGTGAGGCACAATCAGACGATCGAAGAGCGTCGATCCTTAGTTTGATTGGCAGGACTGAAGATATTCCGGGCCTGAGAAGTAAAGTATGGCTGAGACATATGATTCGGTCGATCTGGGTGCACCAGGATCTGCATGCGGATGGCGACCTGCTGGTGAACTATGTCGGCGCCATGAGAGCTGTGATCAACATGAACGACACGATCCCTTCATTTGTCTAGAATGGTCTTTTGACAAGCTGATTTCAGTGGGACTGATACATTCGTGGCTCTGAACATCTGGTCCGGGGACAGCTGATTTACGAGCTTCTCGATCTGACCGTATCGCCCTCTTGAGATCCATGGCGGTTTGCAATACGCCTCCGACTACCCTATATCTGAGTCGTTCCACCACCTACGCGCCGCTAGAAAGTATTTTTTGCGAGATATCTAACGATCTACTCGTCCTGAGGTCCGACAATATCCAACTGGGAGATATAGCAAGGGGGTCCGTGGCCTTTTGATATGATCGATGGTTTCGTTGGTTCTAAAACATTGAAGGCATATGTCAGATGGCTGCATCCAATACTTCATAAAGCATTCTGTCATTCAGAAGTAAGCCGTTGTCAGTCAGTCCTATGCTAAGGCGATCCTTGTTATACTATTTCGGTGAAACTTCGCAGTACCACTTGTGGTGATGCTTAAGGTAACGCCTTTGTTAATAGATTGGATTGTTATTTAGCTGATTTCTAATCAAGGCTCACTGAAAAGCCCGTCAAATGCTTCCATATTGTTACAAGGGCTTCGTCTTTACCCCCACCGGTGCCAGCCATACTTGACCACCCTGGTGATAGTGAGCCCATTAGGGGCTGCGCGATGTCATGGTTGAGAACATGATATTGGGCGCTTATTTTTAAAAATTCAAGGCAAACATGCTTTCCTCTTGTGTGCTCCTCTTGTTGAACCCGTCCTAGTCAGTAACCTAGCCACTCGTGTTGAGGCATCGTATTCGGTGGATCAGACTCCGTCATCCAGGGGCGCAGCAATTAAATACTACCCTAGAACAACAATCACCAACACGCATTTCATTTTTTAGCGTTTTATTGCCTAAGGATTGACATGACTAGCCGTGGCACAGCCAGGTATACTACTTGGTTTTAACGTCGCCTTGTGGAGCATGTTGATCGGAACAAGCCTCAACCAAGGGTTTGGTGATGTTTATATTTAGATGTGTGATTGCACATATAAAGTCCGTAACTCGTCTAGCTGGAGACGTTCAATAGCAGGATCATATCGCATTTCATAACCTTCGGCTGTTCTTACTTTGCACATGTGTCTCATCTTACCATGAAACTCTTGCCTTTTCTGTTCTCTATCCTGGCTGCGCCAATTACAGATGCGACTCCAGTAAACGAGGGTCAAGTGTCTCAACCGGCGCTCGATCATAGGACAGCCAATGCATCAGAAGACGGGTTTAAATATCTAAACTTCAAAACTCGAAGTAAGGGACCTTGGATGGATTTCATAAGAAAGAAAGCTAACTCGGCTCAATTGTAGAATATCTCGTCGATGGAAAGTCTATTCCCGAGGTCAAGTTTGATGTTGGAGAGTCTTATGCCGGCCTCCTCCCCATATCCCCGTCATCCAACTCGAGTTTATTTTTCTGGTTTTTTCCGACGAGCAACCCGAAAGCTTCCGATGAGGTACGCCTTGAGTCTATTGTTGAACTGCCAAGGCACTGGGAGGACATATCTCTGGCCTAATTGTTTGTATACTCGGGCACAGCTTGGCTTACACATCCAACAGATTACAATATGGCTGAACGGCGGGCCGGGAGACAGCTCGTTAAACGGCATGCTTCTTGCCACTGGCCCTTTCCTCTGGCGACCCGGAACCGACAGGCCGATCCCGAATCCATACGCATGGAACAACTTGACCAATGTAGTCTACATAGACCAACCCGCCGGAACTGGATACTCGCCAGGCTCGGGGACAGTCGGAAATGTCATCGATATCGCAGAGCAATTCACTTCGTTGTTCAAGAACTTCGCGACGACTTTTGGGCTCGAACGTCGAAAAGTGTACATCACGGGCGAAAGTTATGCAGGCCACATGATCCCTTACATCGCGTCGCGGATGCTTGATGAGAAGAACAATACCTACTCGAACGTCAAGGGTGTACAGATTGTTGACGGCGTGATCAACTCATTCTCGGTGATACAACAAGGTAGGTCGCCTAAGAAAACAAGACACATTGCCCCAGAGCACCAACTTTAAATATGCGTGTGGGATTTCAAATTCTAGGCTAATTTTGTAAATGGATTAGCTCCGGTTGTGGCAGCGGTAAAGCATTTCAACCATGTCATGAACCTCAACGACACGTTCATTTCCGACATCAATACGAGGTCCGAACAATGCGGCTACAACAAATTTCTGTCAGAGGTCCTGACATATCCCCCGTCGAAAAAGGTATTTGCCACACCGGACAAGGATCAGCCAGGCTGCAGTATCTGGAGCGACATTTTGACAGCTGCGTTCAAAGTCAACCCTTGCTTCAACACCTACCACTTGACTGATAAGTGTCCAACTCCAGAGAGTGTCATGGACGACGGGCCCAACAGTTATTTCAACAGGGAGGACGTAAAGAAGGTGCTCCATGTACCGCCAAAAACCGAGTATAAAGCTCACGGTGGCTTTGCCTGGAGCGGATTCCCCGGCCCCGACGGGCTTGCACCGCGACCCAGCGCCTTGGGCCCGTTGCCGCGTGTCATTGAGATGACCAACAACACTATTATTGCCCATGGCTTGCAGGACTTTCTGCTCTTGGCCAACGGGAGCTTGGCCACCATTCAGAACATGACCTGGAACGGATACCAAGGGTTCCAGAAAGCGCCTACTGAACCGTTGGTCGTCCCGTACAGGCATCAACGGCGAGAACTGGATTACAGAAAAGAGTCCGCTATGGAAACTGGTGTTCGTGTAGAGGGGAACGCTCACACAGAGCGTGGACTGACCTTTGTATCCATCGACACAGCTGGCCATGGTATGTGCTTTTATTTCCCCCTATTCTTGTCAATAATCCAAACCCTCATCTCACACTTCTCCTTAAGCAATGCCACAATACACCCCAGGTGCTGCGTATAGGCAGCTTGAGTTTCTCCTAGGACGCATCGAGAACCTCCAGCAGGAGTGATTTAGTTGGACAAGTGGCTTGCCGATTAGTTGCCAACGGGTAGCAGTCGCCAAGCTAGGCAGTCTCTTGAATTCCTTTCAAAAAAAAGAATCTTGTTGAAAGAAATACTTCATCTCTACCTTGTTCTTGTTAAAAAAAGATTGAGCAGCAAACCGGGAGCGTCGGGATTGGGCTCCTTTGCTCGCTCACTACCGTCGTCTTGCAACCACCAAAATATGGCATGGATGGTGAGCTGTTCATCCAATGCTGTCTCATCGCGGCACAAAAGAACAATACTCATCGGGTCAGAGATAGAGGCATTTTTCTACTATTAAGCCCCTTGTACAATAGTCCCGTCGCAAGGGTTTCACTATGAATAAAAAAAATTGCACCGACGCCAGTCGGATAAATCCAACACAGAGTGGTGAGAACTATGCCGACGAGGCGATTGACGCACAAACATCGGCCGCTTCACTCAGAGGTCATGTTGTGCCATTGTACTCAATCTCGACGTGTGACGAGTCTCGTAGATTCTAGTAGTTCTGCTGCGCCATCTCGCACGACGGCATCTGTAGCACCCCGTCGTGCCGAGCCCAAAGCTACATACTCATTAGCGATGGAAATTCGGTACCACACAGTATTCATGGGAAAATGCTGACCAATTTCAAGAGTTTAACCAGGCGTGTCAGGAACTGCTGAAGAATTGGAAAAATGCGCCCCCGGCCCTCGTGATTCACAGCGAGAAGGACTATTGGTGTCTGATCACAGAGGGTCTGGCGAAGTTCAACACTTTGGAGGTGTTACATGGAAAAAGCCCAACAGATCGTGAAGCCCCTTTATTGTACTTAAAATACTATGGCTTCGCCGATACAGGACTTGTTAATTACACCAGACGGCTTAAACACGTGCCCGGGTAAGAGCCCTAGGCCCGGGCATTCCTTTTATGTATATAAGGCGGTCACCCTTCTCTTCCTCTCTCGCAGCAACTCAAGACCTTAGAGACCCTTCGAGATTATTATTGAATTGAGCCCTTTTGCACCAAGCCTTCTACATCGAACCCTTGTCACAGCGGGAGCTAGTGGTACCCAGCCGACTCTTGTCATCTTCTGATGAACCAAGACTGGTTTCACACTATAAATGATTTCGTCCATTTTGGGTCTTGGACCATGGTGACAACCAGGCTGTTGGAATCCCTTTCCATGGAAGCAGCGAGGAGTGCCCTGTCGAAAGTGGTCGGTAAGAATTGGGTTGACTTTATAATACGAGACAGGGGGGTCTTATGAGTGGCATATCCAAATACCGCACCAGTAGCACGACACTCCATGTGCGCTCCAGGACGACAATATTAAAAAGCACAGAGTTGTGGTGGGATCTCAGACACTTCATGGCCACTTCTCGACGTTTAATTTGGCGCATCTTGCGGCAAGGGCTTGATAGCGCTTGCAGCGTAATGAGCCGTGCAATTCAAAGATAATCTGGTAGCATGTCACAGCTCCTTGTTTTTCCAAGAGGAAAGAAGGGACGAGTGACCACTACATATATATACGTGAAGGGAACAGCTGTGCCCAAGGTTTCCATGAGGTCACGTGTTGAATCTGTGTAACCTTGAGGTCCTTTATCGGCGATGCCCCTTTTTTGGGCTTCAAAGTTGTTGGGTCCTAACCGTGTAACAGATCTACTCAACATGAACACCCACTGCTAACCAACCTTCCAGAGCGACTCATTTGGGTACATAGTTGTTTACGTATACGTGGAAGCTCTTCCAAGAACCTACTGCTCCAAATCTGGCAAGGGTCCAAACAACTCAGCCGATAGGTAGAAAGTCAGCCCAAGGCTGCCACCTGGACTCTGTTTCAACGACACCCAGCTATGCAGACCTTTCCCATCGGACAGCGAACGCTGCCTCAAGGCTACGATTGATCGCACATAATGCGGCAGCACCATGGGAGCCTTGTTTGAACAGTACTCGACAACTCTGCAATGTATCTCAGCATCGTTGCGTGCATAATCAGAGACGGGGAAATGAACAGTGGCGGATGGTTCTGTGCGATCTGTCGTGAAGGCGAAGCAAGTCACAACCGACTTGCGCTGCAAGGGACCTGATGTGTTGCCGCTCATGGCGCGTACGAAGGCAACAATTTCATCTCGATTGTCTGCTTTCAAGTGCAAGCAAACCTTTTGAATCATGTTGGCAACACTTTGAGCGGTAGCATTCGGATGCTCAATGTATATCTTGATGCGAGCGTCCCATCCTTTGTCGAGATCTAGAGAGAAATAGCAGAACCGATCTGTTGGCCCCATTGCCAGGCTGAGTCGCTCAGAAACCTGCTCAAATCCCAGACGGGTAAGTGATGCTCGGATGAGTCTTTCGCGTTGTGATGCTCCCTGGGCGTCCGGATTGAGGTAAATTTTCCAATCCGCGCGTTTACTGCCAGGCGAAACGCAAGCACTGTGCCAAGCAGCGAAGCCTGAAACATTTTGCGCATCATTTGTTTCCGGAATGAACAAGTCTTTTATCATATCGAACCGTGTGAATGAAAGTGCGTCATCCTGCCGCTGGCGCAAAGTACGGTTCAACTCCAAAGCGGCTAATTGAAGATCTGCTAGCTTCACTTTGGCCACGTCCTCCGGCGGCTGCGCTTCAATCAAGAATCGAAGCTGGGGCGTTCCGGTATTAACATCAAAAGAGATAGAGTATTCAATAGGGGCATGGTCATTTCCCACATGAGAGATGTGCCCGTTGGTGGATTTGCTGACAGCACTTTCTCCCCAGGCGCCCATTGCGAGTTGCATTTCTCGGACTAAAACTTCTACTAAATCGTCATTGAACGAGAGAGAACGACCGAGTGCTCTGATTTGAGCTTCAGCCGCCGAAAAAAAAGTATTATTCGTTGCAGACTGGCTCCCATTGCTCCTACTTGCAGGGACAAGAGCAAATCCGCACTGGAAGTGGCGGATACGAAGATGCTTGCCCCTAATAATTCTCACGTTGGGAAGAATATGACGCTGTTGATATAGCTCGTGAATGGCCGCCACGGTGTAGTCAATATGGCCGTCATTCATCGAATTCCGGGGAACCGCAAAGCGGACCAGGTCAGGAATGGCGTCTCGCTCCTCTTCAGACTGCTTCTTGTCCCATTCCCAAGCAAATGGTCCAGCCTCGACGGCTCGAATTCCATGCTGGCGTAGAAGCTCAATGGTGAATCCCACAGAGGCAAAGTCACCCGGCGACCGCGGACAGTCGGCAAAGAATGCATTCATGTCCAGATATATGGCATGTCCTCCTGGCGGCCACAGTATCGGTACTCCGGCAGAATGGAGTTTCTGCGCAAAAGATCTTACCTGCCCGATGCTGCTCCTCAAATAAGACTCTTTGGTGGTCTCGTACAGGCCTGCAGCTGCAGCCATCAGGTCATGGCCTCTCATCCCGCCGTAGGAGTCGTTTCCATAAGCTAGAATTTGCCGTTCTTTGAGCCGAACGCCTATATCTTGAGACTTCTTCATCAGGCAGCCATTGTCGCGAATAGCAAGGGCACCGCCCATGTTGGACATGCCGTCCTTTTTAAGACTGATAGTAAAACCGTCTACGAGACTGAACATCTCTTTGACAATTTCGGCAATGGAACAGGCATCATACCCCGGCTCGAATTCTTGTATGAGCCTAGCATTCTCAGCAAAGCGGCAAGCATCGAAAAAACATGGAATATTGAAGCCCTTGGCCAGCGACGCTGCGGCGCGTATGTTGGCCATGGACACGGGCTGTGCCGTGGCGAAATTGTTGGTGATGGTGATGAGTATGAGCGCTGTTCGATGGTGGTTTTTGGCTAGAAAGTTGCGAGTTGCCAGCAGGTCCAGATTGCCTTTGAATGGATTATGGCTGGATGCCTCATTAGGATCTAACGGTTCGCGGAGACCGGGCTGAAGAAAGGTTGCCAGCTCGAAGCCAGCGGCAGCCGCGTTGGTCGCAGTCGTATCAAAGAAGCCGTTACTGATAATAACGGGCGCGACCGAGGCATCGTTGGACGAGGACGAATTCATCAGCTCTGAGAAGAGAATCGCCTCGGCGCAACCTCCCTGCGGCACAATGTAGAAATTGGGGCGGGCGAGCTGGACATGTCCTCCATTGACAAATCCCCCCTGGCTCGGCTGCAGCAATGTGTTGCAATATAGTTGACTGTCGACGGTGCCGGCCATGACATGACGAAACAGATATCTACGATCATGTCCCCTCTCGAAAATATCCCGAAAGGCGTCCTGCAGACAATAGTACCCGGCGTTGCGTCCGTAGGATTCGTCACCGCGCAGCAAGGCAGCCCACTGAACATCTGTCATAGCAGAGGTTCCCGAGTCGGAGAGGAAGTCGCAATACACCATTTCTGCGGGGAATGCGAATACATTGTACTCGACTTCCTTCAAGATGTGCTCTCGCTCCTGCGCAGTCGACTGAACGGCCGTCCGAACCACCAGCGTGCGATGGACGGGGACCGGCGGCAGATTGTTAGAGTGGGCAGCCATACTTTGAGACGTCTGGTGTTTCGTTCATGTAGTTTGGAAATCGCGCGTGGTACGTATAGATGCGTTTTGTTATACGCAGGTCACGTCGCCATAAAAGGCACGGGCCGAACCTTGAACCCAGCAATGGTTACACAAGGGCTCGAGACCTAGTTCAAGGCCTTTGGCTTCCAGGCTCGCTTCATTATGGCATTTTGGTATAAATAAGAGTTATATGTCCTTAAGGCTTTAAGGAAAACTAAGGGCCTTAATATTAAAGCGAATTACTACTTAAACAAGTAATTTTTCGGAGCCCCTCGCGCGAGCCCTTGTCGCGCGTTTCACGGCGGGCCAAAAAACTTGAAAAACAGAGGTGGTTGGTCACGATGCTTTTTCCAAAGCTCAAATCAGGGCTTGGTTTGACATGGAGTCAAGGCGGGGGTCTTCATGGGTTACAATGAGGAGGGTCAACTCAATGTCCCGGGATTTCCAGGGCCTGGCTCTAAACGAAGTTCCGCAGTAGTATTAATATCAGGAATTTCACTCAATAATGGCACTCAAAACCCTCCAGCTCAAATGCCTTTATTCCCCGGTGTAAATTGTTGTTATTTTGCCTACACCAAGCACCCTGTGAAGCCGGACGGCCTGCATTTCCAAAGGCCAAGCTGGGAATGGTTACAAAAGAGGGGGGTTGTGACAAGGCCCTAGTTATAAGGGCTTGGAACAAACCGTATTTAGCTAACAATTCGCTTTAATAATAACCCTTCTTTATATTAAGCAGCGGTGAGCAAGCGAGGCTAAAAGACTTCGGGTTACGGCCTGTCCCTCAATTGCAACGTGACCTCCGTGTAACGGGAGGGAGTACCCGTGATTCCCCCCTACGAAACTTAATAAGTAGTAATATTACATTTTAACTACTACATTTTTAAAGTAGAAAAAGAGATCACAATGTCTGGTAGTTAAGTCATTTATTTATTCCAACAACTGGGGTTCCCAAGACATAAACCAGTTAGAGTTCATGTTAACAGAGCCCCTAGGTATGATGTAACTATAATCCTTAGATAGTTCCATGTTCTCTTAAATCCATACGTAAACGGCAGTGCAGGTATCTGCGAGAAAGAGTTGGGAGACAGCCCGAGACAGGACACACACCTTATCCCTTGTTATTTCCTGTTGGAATCTTGAACAATACCGCCTTGCCACTAGGTCCTTGACCAATTGGCTTATCCATGCGAAAATGCCCCTTCCGTTCAATCTGAATAATATCCCCTTCAAGGAGCTGACTAAACTCAGAACCCACCAATACATCTGTAAGCCAGGACGTGACGGGGTTTAGATAGTGCTCTAGCTCATCACCCTTCACAAGACTGTCCTTTGTTAGCAGATAGTCAAACTCCCAAAGCTCCGCTCTGGAAATTTCAGCACCGTGAGCAGCTAGCCAGTGAACTTTCTTGTCCGTTTTGCTAGCGTCACCATCAAGATGGAGCTCAAGGTGTAACCCGGTCACAGTCTGGTCATCGGATCTCGTGACCTGTCGAACATGCGCATTTCCCCAGCTCATAAGTGTAATCTCCTCGCCCTGCTGAAAGGCCGCCGCGTCTGCCTGCTCGATGTAAATTTGGTTCGCAAATGTAACATCTTTGGTTCCTAGACTATGATTCTTAGGGTGTTTCGGCCGACTGTCTTGCCTGGGATGATCCGGACCTCCCGCCACGGTGGCTAAAACGCAACCCACGGATGCCACAGCAGTGTGTCTCGGTGCAGTCGGCTCAACCATCTTCTTGTTCATCGCCCAAAGGGTGGTCCAGTCCATGGAAACAACGTTTCGGCTCGGGCCCTGCTTTAGCATAAACTCGCGTAGCGCTGCTACCGTAAGACCGCGGCGGAGAATGCCCCGGATAGTAGGCATTCGAGGATCATCCCAGCCATCCACTCTCCCAGATTCAACTACTTTTGCCAGCTTTCTCTTAGATAAGAATGTCTTGATAAAGTTAATTCGCGCAAAGTCCCAGAGGTATACTGGCCGTAACTTGAGAGCACGTAAAAACGGAGCGTGGGTCACGCCCTCGATGGAGTCGACCAGAGGGCAGGCAAAGTCATATGTGGGATAAATGTTCCAGTCCCAGCCGGTTCGGTGATGTGGCCGTGGTCCATTCTCGGCGTCCCAGCTGGGAAAGCGGTAGATGATTGGGTCACGCATTGAACCGTTTGAACTGTCAAAGGCGATGCGTGCTCGGATACAGTGTCCTTTGCCAAACTCTGTTCCCTCCCTCATCTCTTTGAAGATGGCGAGGCTCTCGCTCGCGGGACGATCTCGTCGTTTACTGGGAAGGCGATCACGACGGTTGTCTTTTTGTATTTTGCTATCCGTATCCTCGGCATACGCGTTTCCATCAGAAATAAGTTGACAGCACAAGTCGTAAAGCTCCTCAAAGTAATCACTAGTGTATGTCACGCGCTGTGTTTTGATGCCTAGTAGACCTAGGTCGTGAAGAATAGAGTCCTCGAATTCCTGATTCTCTCTCGTGGGGTTGGTATCATCAAAACGTAGAATTAGGGACCCGGAAAAGGCATCGTGCGTAAAGTAGTCGTTTAAAAAGGCGGCCTTGGCATGCCCAATGTGTAGATACCCGCTAAACACGATCAGAAAATCCAATGTCCCAAAACAGTTATCCCAATAAAAAGATTCTTACGACGGCTCTGGCGGAAATCTAGTCACTACGCCGTTCTCTGTAGCTTGTAGCTTGATGTTGTAGCGGCCCCTTGTCTGGTTGGTGGTAGCATCAGTGTTGGTTGCACTGACGAGTTCAACAGCGGTTGGTCGAAGATCAGGATAGGTGCTTTCGATATGAGAAAACCATCGTGTCAAGTTCGGAAATATCGCTCTCCTAATCAGACCAAGCGCCACTTTATTCAGTCGCAGCACAGTCCAAATTTGCTCATCTGCGGTGCCCAGGGTGTAGCCTCTAATGAATGTACGAAGGGTAAGGAATCGGTCAAATTTTTGAAGAAAAGGCGCAATTGTCTTGAAATCTACGACTTCAAGCCGAGCTTTCATCAAAAGAAGGCTTTGGTCATTCATATTCGGCTCGTGTCTGCCTCGCAACCTGAAGCGCTTGCGTGTGTGGTGATGTGTGACTCAAACATGACAGAGAGAAATGTCGCAGTCACAATTAGCACAGGGTTACAAAGAGGCACGGTGTTTAGATTGGGTAATCTTCGGTAACGCAATGCCATCTACATGTAGCCCACAAATATCCTCCAGGTGAATATGCAACCACTCAAGCCGTCCTGAAAGGAGCTGCCTGGCCAATGCGTCAACCGGCATATTCTACGGAACATTTCGCTCGCTGACACGTATGCTTTAGTTATGTCTTGTCTAATTTTACATCATCAAGTCATGTTTTTACGTGCTGGTTTGCGTAGACAGTCGATCAAATTGTTGGAATCCGGCAATGTAATTGCGACGACTGGGACTTGCGATTGGGTCTTGATGTATGATATCATGGCAATGCTGTGGGCTCTGTAGTGCAAATTCTAGTATTTCGTCACGTATGAATGCCAAAGCGGCTCTAAATCTTGGGTAGGTTTCCCGTAAATCTCGGCATTCATATTCCAACTGTGTGCGTCTAGTTCCAAGTGTCGTACATCATTATCCTTATAGCAATTCAACAGCTCTTTATCCGCAAGGACGAGGGGAAGAGATGTTGACACGAATCTAGCGCTGAGAAACGGCGGTCGTCCAGTAAACCTCGCGGCTGTTTTGGCATGGCTAAATATTGTATCAAAAAGCCTGCGATGCATTTATGCCGAGATAGAGCTGGTTCATAGATAAGGGCTTATATGCCCTTTGAGATCGAATATGATGGTAATTCCATTTCTAATTCTATTTCCTCGGAGATATAACTAGCTAACGGCCAGCTTGTAAACAGACGATGAATCAGATCTATTGGATGATCTCTGTCCACATACCTAACACAAAATGAAGCAAATGATCGCGACATGTGTCAGCTGGACGCACCCTACACTGTAAATGACGATGGACACCTGGCTGGGTTACAAATTTATTAGATTCAGCCACGGCGAGGAAGAGCAAGGTCGGAAATTGAGAGGAGATGCTTGACAACACGGGGCAGGTGAGACCAGATGTGCGCAACTGAAACAAAGGTCATTCAAAGGATAGGGGTATCTAATACATCGCATCATGGGTCATGAAAAACATTGAACCTGCCCAATTTAGAGACCAAAACGTGAAGGTCCGCTGTGGGCCTTGCGACATACCTTCTTGTATTAAAATAAACCCACTTTCCCCAACAAAGGCCGTGTAGCTCAATGGCAGAGCGTCTGACTACGATTAAATATTCTTATAATATTATTATCCCGTGATCAGAAGGTCGCAGGTTCGACCCCTGTCTCGGTCAATTTTTTTTCATATTTGCCTGGCCTGAGAGAGGGCAGAGAATCCTACGGAATAAGTAAGTATGCGGCATTTGAATTCGCATTTTTTTTTATCATTCACCGTTCTTAGAGTGCTGATTATGACTCGGTACCTGTACTTGTTTTCTGCCGTGCGCTGACACATAGTCCGTGCGTATTCATGTCCCGCGCCTTTGTTTACATCCGATGGGGCCTGGTTTTTTATTCTGCCTAATTCTGGAATATCAAATCGCAATTCCTACCAATCCACCAAAGCAAAAGACAGAAAGCAAAGTTGCTCAAATGCCTTCTGTATCGGCCTCAAGAGAACGCAAAGTCAATGATCAAAAACACGGATCGAATCGAAAGGGCACAATGCCGCGAATCGCCAAATCGACCTCGAAACTCATTGCCAATCAAAATAATGCGAGGTCCACAGCCGCTGGGCGCAAACGCTCTTTAGAACCTGCGCACGATGATCAGACATCTACCACCACTTCTGGCATCTCAAAACGGGCGAAAACCGGCTCAATTAGGTCCAAGGAGCCAACCAAATTAGCCACCATCAACAATGCGCCTACCGCGAAGCTCACGGTTCTTGTTTTCGGCGGTGGTGAAATGGGCGAGCTTGGTCTTGGACCGAAGAAAACGAAGCCCTACGTCCTACGCGCAACCCACATTTGTCTGCTTTCGCTGTTGTCCAAGTCGCCTGTGGCGGCATGCATACTGTTGCGCTAACGTCGGACAATAAAATTATTACGTGGGGTGTGAACGATGAGAACGCTATTCTCTCAAGCAATACCGGTTGGTCCTCTCGCACGGACTCAACCTTGTCTGTGCCTTGCTGCGAACGGGAGTTGCCACGAGCGTTTCCTTACTGGACTGTTACCGAGCACTCTGCACAAAGGCTTGCGCCATATGCGATGGGTTTGGTGGGTTTATTTCCCTGTTAACATGGGAACGATGCTGTTACAGATGCTTTCAGGAGGCACCCGAGCTCCAAATGTACTCTGTCACTGCTGTTAAAAGGCGGTTCCAATTGCCCAAGTGTGACATGGATCAACTTAAAAGGTTCAAGACTCTGCCTGGAACATACAACATGGAGCAGTCCACATACAAATCTCGCATGACCATTGTTTCTGCTTATCAGGCACTAATGTTTGTGGACGAGTACCCATACCGACCGAGTCCGGCATCGCTCGTGCAGCGAGGGCAAATTCTCAACTTTATGGGGACGTGTGCACTTCCTTATTATGATACATCAACAGGCCAAGTCGAAGAAGGTGTGTCCTGTGCCGGATGTCAACTGCTTGTCGCAAACGGCTGTGTCATGCGCGACATGAAGCTCTGGTCATGGGCATACGAGGCTCGCAATACGCTATATTCGCGGGACGGGTTTCTGGAACATTTTCGGTGGTGCAAGCAGGCACACCGTCGCTGGAACGACAGTGATGAAGGGAAAAAGCTGCCTCCCGATTTGCGGAGTCTGCTCGATCACTCCCGCCAAGAGGTTGATAAGAATACGTAAGCTGTTGGCGGATAAATTGACAGGGCGCGTCGCATGCCGACCGCCTGCGCCAGTAATAGACATGACTCAAAAAGCAGACACATCTCTAGGCTTTCAGACATGCAATCTTGTCTAGGAAGTGGACGATGACGATTCTTTTGAAAGCGAACATTTGACCTGCGAGTCGGGAAGCAAGTCAGGCATCTTTGTCACATCACCTGGAGCATTTACCAGAGACATACTTTCATTCACCCCCTGCCCCCTCTTCCCTACTTGGAGGATGGGAAGTAAATGGTTCCGAGCCAGTTGGCTGCCAAGACCAAGTTCGACTAGAACATGTTGAGATGTTTTGTTACAAGCATAGCCCAGTACTCATTGGATACAAGTATTGTGGTATTGAGTACAAGGACTTGGAAAATGAGTAAACACATGAAGATATAACGTTCTGGTTGCCAGTTTCAAATACTACTTCATATCACTGTCTAGTAACGATATCAGCCTTGAAACGTCGACGACGTCGCCAATTTGGGCATCAGATCTTGCGGGCAGTATGTGGGCATGTCCAATGCTGCCCCCACGTAAAAGAAAGGGTCTGGTGGAAGTACCAGACCCCATACAAACGAATGCAGTATTCATTGATCCATATTGTCGGATCTGACAGGAGCATCCAAACTGATCCGATCGACGTGTGTCAGGAGGTATATGTCTTGCGGTATTGGCGATCCGACATGCAGCCGTGGGTAGTACTACGGCTAGAGAAGCGTGACGCCCGTCCATGGTGGCGTACAGCTTGGTTCTTTTGTCTACACTAATATGCAAGTTACTACATCCGTCCAACGTGGCATATTCCCCCTCCAACGCGGAACCCGTGAGGTTGCATGAAGAACGCCCGCAATATGCAGATTCCCCTCAATACTATGATGCATCTGCAAAGGCGTAGCATTGATCAAATCATCGATGTTGTCCATCGCGGAATACCCAATGACATATTTGCCGCTTGGCAATAAAATGCATCATGTCGGACGCACGGGGATTGGGACGAAATTTACGGCGCCCAAGCAGTGACGCCACTGTTGGACAAAGAAACTCATGGGACGGTGCCGATATAAATATAAAGCGCTTCGATTGATGCATTTACTTGGTGTCACGGCGGTTCGTGCCTATCATTAACGAGCCTATATCAACAACGCATCGTTTCGTCCGACAAGTTACTCTGTGCCCGATATGTCTCAAGAAGGTTCGGAGGAACAGAATGCTGTTCTCTCCTATTTTATCGGCCCAAAGGGTTCCAATTTGCCCGACTTCAGAGCAAACATAAACACCATTTTGGATGAGCTGCTCGAGGCCAGGCTCAATTATTTCCCCGAGGATGAGGTACTTTGCCCAAACAAAACCCTCCCTCGAGGCTTATTTCCCACCACTAACCACTATTTACAGAAATTCATCACTGCCAAAGTCAGACGCTCGCCAGAGTTTCAGCAGATCAGAGATAACCTGGGAAATGCCGTGCGCAAGGCCGCCCAGCTCTTGGGCGAGCACTCGGTGCCGTTCTGGTCGCCGCGGTACGAGGCTCACATGTGTATGGACTTGACCATGCCATCATTGTTGGGGTACTTCATGACCATGCTGTATAATCCCAACAACGTCGCCCTTGAAGCAAGTCCCATCACTACCTTGGTAGAGCTCAAGGTTGGACAACAGCTCTGCACTCTATTTGGCTACAACACGGAGATTCCAAAATCCCCCTCCGCCGACATCCCCGTAGGCTGGGGTCATATCACCTCTGGTGGCAGTGTTGCGAATTTGGAATCCATGTGGGTTGGTATGTAAACGTCGAATTTTCGCTTGCTTCCTTTTCCGCCTTTCAAGATGGAGCAATGCTAACGTGCGGCACACAGCGCGAAATCTTAAATTCTACCCGCTAGCTCTTGTGCAGGCAATGAAAGAGGGGGACCTAAAGTTTGTCGCCGACAGATTCAAGGTCAAGCCCTGTATGCCTGGTGCTGAAGAAAAGCTCCTCGTTGAGATGAGCACTTGGGAACTGCTCAACCTCCGTCCCGAAACTGTTCTGGATCTTCCCCACAAGCTCAGCGACGAGTTTGACATCTCGAGCAAGTTTATAGAGGATGCGCACAAGCCATATAATATCCAAACCGTTGGCAGAGAACCGCTTGAGAAGTACTTCAAGATGGAAAAGCAAGCCAAGTATCTCATCTCAACGACACACCACTACTCGTGGCCAAAAGCAGCAGGTATGCCAACCCCCATACTGTGTAGACAGCCGACTCCAAGATGATGAGCTAATTGACCCCGTCAGCAATTTCTGGTTTGGGTTCGGGAGCCATTATTAATATTCCTGTCGACAACGATGCCCGCGTTGACCTCGAGGTGCTGGAGGAGAAACTGCTGGATTGCGCCAAGAGCCAGACACCTGTATACGCAGTCGTGGCCGTAATTGGCTCAACCGAAGAAGGGGCTGTTGACAGACTATCCAAGATCGTGGAGCTGCGGAAAGAGTTGCAGGACAAACACGGCCTGTCTTTTCTCATTCACGCCGATGCAGCTTGGGGCGGCTACTTTGCCACCATGCTGCGTCGAACCAAAGACGGGCCAGTCGAAACCAAGCATATTGAGACAGCATCTGGGGAAGACGATGTTTCTTTTAGAGCAGAAGGAGCCTCTGATGTCAAAAGACTTGTGCCGGCTCTTTGTTTGAAGAAGACATCGGAAGAGGATCTCTTGGCTTTGCAGCATGCAGACTCGATTACCGTGGATCCCCATAAAGCCGGTTACATTCCGTATCCTGCAGGAAGTTTGGTGTACCGAGATGGAAGACTGCGACACTTGGTGACATGGTCCGTCCCCTACCTTTCGCAGGGATCGTCTGACAACATTGGCATATACGGCGTTGAAGGAAGGTGAGTAGTATCTGAATAGCGGCGACCACCAAGGTAGGCATTACTGATTTCATTCTCTTCTTCAGCAAGCCGGGTGCGGCAGCAATGTCGGCGTGGTTCTCGAACCATACCATCGGCCTGAATCCTAGTGGCTACGGAATGCTACTAGGTGAAGCGGCTTTTACCAGCGGCAGGGTAACGTACCGTGCTCTCCTTGAGATATCCCACGCGAAGCTAATTTCTCTCAGCTGTCTGCCTATTACGCCACAATAGATAACGAATTCTTCACCTGCGTCCCCTTCAACATGCTGCCTGCTGAAGAAAACGGCGCCAAAAGGTTTGATTCCGACGCGGTGAACAAGCAGAAACAATGGATCCGCACAAACATCATAGGAAAGTCCAACCAGCAAATCATCAAGTCCCCGGAGGCTGTCAACATGCTCCGGATGCTAGGGTCGGATCTCAACATTAATGCATTTGCCATCAACTGGCGAAATAAAGATAAGAGCCTCAACAATGACCTAGACGAGGCAAACTACCTCATGAAGAGAGTCACGGACAGGTTGTCCGTCACCTCGGCCAATACGGATCCGACCAAAATCCCCATGTTTTTAACCTCGACCAAGTTTGGGCCAGACGACTACGGCAAATGCGCCCAGACCTTCATGGAGAGAATTGGCGTTCAGAAATGCAACCAGGGTCTCTTTGTGCTGCGCAATGTAGTCATGAACCCGTTCCCAACCGAGATGGACTTTGTCGAGAAACTCATGCACAAGTTCGAAAAGGTGGTCAAGGAGGAAGTCAAGGTGTGCCGAGAGAGAAACACCCCCAGCCACCGGGTACAATTCCTCGTGCAAGGGCCTCGTACTCTCCCGCCAGGCACCGACGTATTCCTCGTCTACCAGACATCGTTCCATAGCGCAACGCGACGACAGCAGCTTATTCTCTCGGCGGCGCTGGACGATCAACTGGCCGCGTTTTACAACTCCCTGATGGAGAATGACCCCTCCGATGTAGTTATTCTGAGGTCCTGTCACAAACTAGACATCAAGGAGCACGTCGCTATGCAAGTCAAGCGAGGACAGCCTCCGCATCTCGATGTGGAAATACACAGAAAGGGCTACGAGTATGTGCAGCCCCTATTCCTGCATCACGTCACAGAACAAACTCTAACAGGGGACAGATCTGACGCTCAGACGGGCGTGGTGACCTTTAAAAAGGTCATCAAGAGTCGGCCGCTGAATTCTGCCAACCAAGACGGGGAGTACCCTGCGCACTTTATGCCATTCTACCTGTACGGCACGGAGAAGCAGAAGCATATTAGCCATGTGCTCGTTCGGGCGCCCAATATCGACCTCTCGGCCAGCGACGTCTCCTTTTCTGAGCCCCTCCCCAAAGCGGTCAATGACCTCTTGGGCAAGGGCTTGATCCTGGGTCTGTCGGACATTCCCGAGGCGTCGAAGCAGCCCATGCCGGTGCAGAACAAGCTCCTCCCCAAGAACTTTTTCTTTGGCGAGAGGAAAAAGTTCAAAGTGGAGGTGTGGGAGGATCCTCACGAGTCTTGGAGCGCAGGGCCGGGGCTGCTCGAGGGGCTCAAGAAGAAGTTGTATACTGGGACCATGACGCTTGGCCACTCGGTCCTGGTTGATGCCGAGGGGCCAAATAAGGACAAGTTTGTTCGTATTACGGTGGATTCGGATTCCTGGCAGAAGGAGCTGGATGCCATTGCGGCCGTGTTGAGTGGCTCGGGTTGAGGTATGAGTCGAGGATCTGGGAGGTGAGATCGTGACATTGGGCTAGACTTTGCAGTTACGAGACTAAAATGCTGAATTGAATACAAAGTCTAGTTAATCGCAATGTTCCTTCTTGTCATCTTGACGGACGTGCTTGTGCCGTGGTCGTCTTGACAATGGAGGCCAAAGTACCGGTTGCATCATGAGGAGAAATGTCACTGCTGCGTTGTCCATCTGGAGAAGAAACGGCAGAATATTGTGAATACTCATTATCTGAGTTTTTTCTGTGGCCACCCGCTAGCAAGAAAGATGACTTTTTTCAGTTTCTAGTGTAATTGAGAGAATCGGGAAGCTGGATCAGTCCTGGAATAAGTTTGTTGCCGGCCGGTCCGCTGTGCAGTAGACACTGAGGTTCGCGATTCCTTGGGTATGTAGGCATTACCGAGGCAGGGTAGTCGACTGATGATCTATCATCATCAATAAGTACAAGCTGCCCAAGTCTCTTATCAATGCATCGCTGAGTGCAATTGTCGTGTTTTTGGTGCAACTAGGCGGATTAGGCAAAGACGGGCATCCAAGTTGGCGTCAATGACTGAACGAAGGCCATGATGCTGCAGACTGTCGATTTCAAAGCGTTAAACCATTCTTTCGGGTCAGTATTTATTAAGCATGCTAGGGTAGGGACGAGGCAGGATATCCGAGGACCTGTTAGGCGGCCACCAATGTTGCTGGGAATCGTAACACGAGTAAGCCAAGTCAAGGCATTGTGAGCCACAAAAAACGGAACCCGAATCTCCATCATAAATAATAAAGCCTCGGTATAAACGAGTCACAAAACAAAAAACGACACCTCCGACGCCCCGTAGTAAAGTGGCGCGTCACTGGGGGTATCTGCCATGTCGACGTGTTTCTTGTTCTTCATGGCAGACCTACTCCTTGCTACTCGTTTTCCTTTGTCGCCGTCTTTTCGACTAGTCTCACGCACAAGCAACCCCTTTATCATAAACAAGCATTTGATGGAGCATTTGCCATCCACAATTGGCAAAATACAACAATGCCCTCCCCGCATCGGCATTCCGCTGCGGATACGGAGTACTATGGACAGATGCAAATCTCCCCATCAAGAGGGGTTCGTGTAACAACACGTGTCTGGTTCAAAACATGGCTTCGCACTCCATCGCAGGCTTCTGCGTACGTAGTCGACGGGCTATATCAAGGCCAGCTAGTGCAGGAGACGCCACGGAAACCAACACACAACACACAACATTGCACCAAAACTCTAAAGCTCCAAATGGCCCAGAAGAAGCCACAGCCACGACTCTAATCTGTTGCGGGCGTGGAGATTCGGCCGCCGAGTTTAGAACAAATGCGGCCGTCCAGGCAGCCTTTAAAAACATCCATGATTCCCATGCCATTGCATGAAATCCTGCCATCTTTCGACAAGAGCTATACATACACCAGCTCAGTCACAACAGTCCGGTGCAAACTGCGCAATTGTAATTGCAACTGCTTCCTTTCTCTCCTCCCAAGGGCCCGAGTCCCCGTGTTGGGATTCCGCTCAGCCAAGGCTCGGCTGCCAGCGCCTTTCCCGCGACCCCATCCATCCGGCGTGCTTTGCCCGAAATGTCCAGCAAGTCCGGGTCCTCTGGCCTCGAGGGCGAGGAGCGACACCTGTCGGTGGTGGGAGGCGAGCACCTGGGTTCCGACGGCGACGCAGGCGTCCGCGACGCCGTGTTTGGCAACTTGACGGAAAAGGGGCCCAACTACCGCAATGCAAGTCTCTCGAGTTGCTCTCGTGGTGGGAAAAAACTGACCAATGGACAGGTTGGATGGGTCGGAACCGTGGCACTCATGATGAAGACGCAGATTGGCCTGGGCGTCTTGTCGATACCGGCGACATTCGACACTCTGGGGCTCATCCCGGGCCTCATTTGCCTGCTCACCATCGCGGGCATTACGACGTGGTCGGACCACATTGTCGGCGTCTTCAAGCGGCGGCATCCAGAGGTGTATGGCATCGATGACGCTGGTGGCTTGATGTTTGGCCGCATCGGGCGGGAAGCTTTTGGCGCCGCCTTTTGCGTTTGTAAGTGACTGGTCTGGTCTCGTCTCATCCTTTTCCCAGCGGGGCGCTTGAGACAGATCGTGTTCCTAGATGCGCGGTGCTAACTCGGGTTAGATTGGATCTTTGTTGCCGGGTCAGGAATGCTGGGCATTTCCATCAGCCTCAACGCCATGTCGTCCCACGGCGCATGTACGGCCGTCTTTGTCGCCGTCGCCGCCATCATCGGCTTCATTCTCTCGAGCATCCGCACGCTAGGCCGCATCAGCTGGCTGGCATGGATAGGCCTCACCGGAATCCTTGTTTCAAGTGAGTCGGCTCTTGTTGATGCCGGCCGCAAGTACTTACTTTGGCAGTCGTGCTGGTGACCATCGCCGTGGGCGTTCAGGACCGTCCCGCGGCCGCGCCGCAGCAGGGCCCGTGGGTGTCGGGCTTTGAGCTATTCAAGACGCCGTCCTTTACTTCGGCCGTTTCGGCCATATCGTCCATTGTTTTTGCCTATGCGGGCACCCCGGCCTTCTTCGCCATCGCGGCCGAGATGCGCGAGCCGCGCCACTACACGCGGTGTCTGCTCATCTGCCAGGCTGGGGTGACGGTGACATATGTATCGATTGGCGCCGTCGTCTATTACTTTTGCGGCTCCTACGTTGCGTCTCCGGCGCTGGGTTCTGCCGGCGCAGTAGTCAAGAGGATCGCGTATGGCCTGGCCCTTCCGGGTCTTGTAGCAACAACTACCATTGTCATCCACGTGAGTATTGCCCCGGTTGCAGCCTGACAATGTCTTTCAACATGGCACGTGCTGATTCTACTGCCGCTTGTTCCTATAGTTTCCGGCCAAGTATGCTTTTGTTCGTATCTTGCGCGGATCAAGGCATCTGACGGCAAACAACCTTGTTCACTGGGCGACTTGGCTCAGCTGCACCTTGGTCACCACAGTCATTGCCTACCTCATAGCCAGTGGCATCCCCGTCTTTGGCGGCTTGGTCTCCCTCATCGGGGCCCTCCTCGGTACACTCATGTCTTTCCAGCCCATGGGCTGCATGTGGTTGTACGATAATTGGAGCAAGGGCAAACAAGATAGAACCGTCAAGTGGGTCTTGATGGTTATTTTCAGTGTCTTTGTAGTTGTATCAGGCACTTTTTTGATGATTACCGGTACTTATGGGTCAGTTGTCGGCATTATAGACTCGTACAAGAAGAGCGGAGGGTCTGGGGCGTGGACGTGTGCGGACAACTCCAACTCGGCATAATGTATGCCCACGGCCATGTAGATGAATGAATTACGCAGAACAAAAAGAGTCCGGGTGCTGTTTTCGTTTTGAGCGCATCTCTGGGCAACATCAGATGATGCGGGGATTCCGCGCCACCTTGAAGCGCCCCCAGACGCCACGGCTGAAGTTCCGACAAACTTGCTCAATTTGGCTTGGTCTTCATTCAGGTGAGAATCTGCATGGTTCTTGTTTACGCCAGGGAGCATGCCAAGTGCCTCATCTGGCGTGGGGTCATCCGATGACGACGAATGCCGGGACAAGCTAGGCAAATTCCTACCACCATGGCTGCAGGCATCGCGCTGGGTATGCTGTGGGCTCTATTCTTTTGCTAGTAAACCTCGGTAGATAGATACTGAATCCAAGAACATGGACTAGAGGAGGGACTTCCCACGTCAGCTGGCAGCTCCATCCATCAACGCGACAACTATCCTGCTCGACTCCAGCCAATTGCATGCGAAATCCAACTACTAGATACACCAGTTAGTTCCAAAGGCCCAGATACTGTTTTATTACAACAGGGTGCATAGGTTCGTCTTGAAACGCCACGTCAACCTCTGTATTTACTGCTCCAGAGCCCATGTTCCCAGCCATCAAAGCTAAAGGCAAGTTTTAGCGTTGGAAGCTGTATGGTTCCGTTAAGTCTCAGTGACTTGAGATCGATTCTCCGATCTTCAAGCAGGGGGTCGAGTATAGTCAAAGCTGGCGACCTTTAGTTCCCTTGAGATATCATGACAAAGTCACCAGGTCAGTTCTCAGAGAAATAGTATCTTTCACTCTTGCCGTACACAGAAATGGTTGAACTACTCTTTTAAAACATGCGAAGTGAATTGCCCATCACGAGCCTATTACTCGACTTCACAGCGCTCAGGGGCCACCTATTCAAATACAGAATGACGATGAATCACAGTTTTGTAGAGGGCGGCAGTAGGTTACGGGTAGCCTTGACAACTCTTCCAAGATTTGACGGGTCTATAAAAGGCGGGTTACTAATTGTGAATTGCTGGCGGGCTCACTCTTTTTGCTAGGTGCGCTCATCGCTGTATTAATTACTGTGTGGTATTTGAACTCACCTCATATATATTGAAGTACTTGATGGTAGAACATATTTTTTTGTCGTGAAATATATGCCAATATATTATGATATAATACCTGATGACCAGGTACCGGGTAGGGTGTCAGCGCACCTAGCAAAAAGAGTCCGGTGCGCCCGCCGAAAAATTGACTTCTAATAAGGCTCAGATGGTCCAAATTAGCACTTACCATCAGTTCTGAGGGCACATGCATTTTTAGGACTCATCCTTCCGCTAAATTCAGATGTCACTACATGTATTTACTCGTCAATCCCACAGAGCCCTGTTGTGAACTTGTATAGTCGCCGGTCTCAAATGCGTATTGACTCTTGTCATGATTCGGATGGCGATTCTTCGCCATCCGCCCAGCTTCCAGACTTTGATTCCCTACCAGATGAGAGTGCGAGGATTGATTCATTGTTGCTGCATCCCAGTCCTCTTCCTCCTATGATGATACTATCAACCCGTCTTTATCTGCCATCCCAGAGACGCAATTCTGATAAGAGCGAATTGTCTCCAAGGAAAAATGAGCATTTCCGCTCTTAGAACGGGAGGCTCACTGTAAGTCGTGGCATAGAATGCAGAGGTTTCATCCATTGGCATCTTCGCAGTCGACCTCGCTATGGCAATGCCTTCGCGGGCCGCCTGTATCCTCATCATTGACAAGCTGCACATGTGCCCTCTGAAGAGCTTCGTTTCCCGTGTCGTAGCTTCCTTTGCGTGAGATCGAGCTCTGAATGGCTTCGTCACGTCGTAGCCAGCTCCCCGGGCCTCCCACGGGCCACCATTTTATTATTCCAAAGATCAAATGGATACCTGCGATCCAAACAAGCTCGTGCCTCACAAGGTCGACGAGAGCATCTCTGGTTTGGGCGGTGTGAGCACTGTGAGGCGACACGGCTGTTTAATTGGCCTAACGACCCACCTGCGGCAGAAAAGAAGAATGATATCATTGATGATTTTCTGCTCTGTTACACCACCTTCACCTTTCAACTTTCCAGCTGTCGGTCTACGAAACATTCTCAACTCCCCTCGCGAAAATGGTCTCCGTATACAAGAGGCTCTCTACCGTCACTCGTATCAAGTCTGGTGCCGAGGATGGCTCCCCAAAAGCCAAACCAATGAATGCGCAGAGAGTCCTGTTGCTGTCTTCGCGGGGCATCAACGCACGGTAAGGGCCTTACCATTACCCTCGGCCGCCTGGAACTTCAGAGCTCTAGTATTGACCCAGCCATCTTGCTGCAGTCACCGACATCTCATCAACGATCTCGCTGCCCTCCTTCCTCACTCCCGCAGAGAGTCTAAATTCGATTCCAAGAAGAACCTTCACGATCTGAACGAGCTCGCCGACCTATACAACTGCAACAATGTTTGTTCTTCAACCCCCCATCACTTCGGCTGCGATTCACAGTCACAAGGTGTACTAACACGTGGCTAGTTGCTCTTTCTAGAGGCTCGAAAGCAGCAGGATCTCTACATGCACATTTCCAAAGCCCCCAACGGACCCCGAGCTCGATTCCATGTCCAGAACTTACACACCATGTAATATTTCTTCAAGAGACGTATGGGTAGCTTTTTAACACCATCTTTTTTGCGACCTAGGTCCGAACTCAACTTTATGGGAAATACCTTGAAGGGGTCGAGACCAATACTGTCCTTCGACACCGCATTCAATGGCGAGCCTTACCTTCGTCTCCTCCACGAGCTCCTGACCCACACATTCGGCGTACCACCCACTGCGAGGAAAGCCAAGCCTTTCATCGACAGAGTGCTAGCCTTCATTGTGGCTGACGACCGCATCTGGGTACGCCACTATCAGATCGCCAAAGAGGAAGACGATGCGACCAAGGACGAGAAGCTATCTCTCCGTGAAATTGGCCCTCGTGAGTTTAGATTACGAAGATGGAGTCATGTCCAGCTAGCTAATTTTCAAACCCTCAAGGTTTCTGTTTGAAGCCCATCTACATCCAGGAGGGGTCATTCGGCGGTCCGATCATCTATGAAAATAAGCAGTTCGTTTCACCCAACCAGGTCCGGGCAGATCTCCGGAGACGCGACTAAGCCAGCCACAACGCGCGCAAGGCGCAAGCTGTAGCGCATTTTTCCAAGAAAGATGACCTTGGTATTCGGACAGGCTCTGGAAGACTTCGACTTAATGCTTTGGATCCAAGGGAACTGTTCACCTAGAACAGAATAGCAACAGACAACCGCTTTTCGATTAGCAATGAGTCACTCCACGTAGTTGGAAAATAAGGTATTCATCGTTGAAATCTGCGAGCTTCTCTCTATTGTATCGAGTGTCACCCAAAAGCGAATAACCCGACACGAAGCACATATACTTATACGCTGCTGTCAAGAAAGCCCATCCGTTCCATAAGGTGAGTCACTAATACTCGGCAAAGAATGAGAATAGTAAACTCAACACGTGTTGTATTATACACGATGAAGTGGAAAGGAATTCATAGCACATTGTCATTATTGAGCAGGGTCGTTTCAGCAACGCCACTTAACAGGAATGCTTCAATCGCAATCAGGCATCCTCAGAATGTCAGATGAAACGAGAGAAAACTTCCGTCGTCGACTGTGATGGGCAAAGAGTTGACTACGAGTTGGGCTATTCGACATGACTAACCGAGTTCTTCTCATCGACATGATACATCGGTCACTGGCGACTTTCTCCCCCCAGCAGCCACCCAACATGAAACCTAGATAGTGTTGATGAAAAGCATGGAGGCCATAACCCACCGTCACAAGCCAATGATTCTGCTGGACTGGAGCGAAGGGACGTGCGCGTGTTCATACACCACCTCTTCCACATTCATGAAGTCCTTAAAAGCCGAATGGGTCCCGCAGTCTGTGGGACCTGTGCTGCGCGTATATTGAGCTAGTAGCATCGTAATCAAGATGTATCTATTTTGCTTGAGTTCTTGACAAGGCGAACTCTATCCCCTTGGGCTGCCGTTGTTGCCCACGATTTTGGCCCGAAGACTGATTTCGAATATGTCTGGTACTGTATAATCTAGCTCAATTGAATCTGTGACAACTGGTGAATCTCAACAAAATCTAGTTAGATACGCCACTAATACTGCTCCAGGCTCGTGTTAATGGACAATGCGAAGGAGTCAGAGCAACTCCCCTCAAGCTCCGCCGCCACTTTTATGGCATTCAAACGCCTTTCCGACATGACCCGACAAGAGATGACTAAAAATACAGCCTTGCAGATAAAAGCCCAATTGCATTGGCAGATTGTAGCCTCCAAATTAATGGAGACACGTATACGGCTAAAGTCACTCGCAGGACTACAGCGACCCCAGCTATCCTCATCGCCGTATATCGGAGCCACACAACGATCACGAATTGAGGCACAGCAATTTGTTGAGATGCTGCTGGCCACCGGACGTTGATCATGGGAGCCAGGCGCCCGGAAGCCGCTCGTAGCCGGGCACAGGGCTATAAGTGTTCAGACAGCTGCTATTCATAGATACATAGAGCACGTCGCTCTATTTTCGCCGCACGAAGCAAACTCAAATACAAAGAGGCCATATATACCTCGACTGCGGTTGTTCCTTGCACATATAAGCCATCCATTGCCTTGAACTGCTCAGCATCTCACACAAACTCCGTCATGACAGAAGTAGAAAGCGTGAAAACGCAACAACGCTGCACATGGGGCTGCCTTGCTGCTGACCTCTTGTCTGCGGCCTATGCATCAGCGCTGGTGTCTCCTTGGGCCGCAGTTGCTGATAAGTGAGTGGTAACATTGTCCAGCTAGATGAGGCTGATCATCAGTCCTTCAAAGGCGGACATGATGCTACAAGTCTAAGTAGTTAACCGGGTGTCCCCTGAACAGACTCATCTACAACAAAGCCATCGGATCCAGTGTATCCTGCTCATTGCGGTCTTGGGTATCCAAACCCAGGATATTAGCCAGCTCGCTGGCCATGTCGTTCCTCGTCTACTTTGCGGCATATGCCACGGCCAACTGTTTCGATTCCTTCTACGCGAGGAACAATTGCACAGATGCCGCCGCCACGTTCGTGTCGCCCTGCAAGTTCTTTGCCACGACGGCCGTGGGCATCGGCTCATGCGTTTACAAGGATGGATATTTTGCCCATGCGGCCAGTAGAGCGCCGGTGCCTCTCTTGAGCTATGCCTTGTTCACGGCTAGGGATGTCGTCACTTTGTTTGCGTCGTGCACCTTGCCGACCATGATTGCGCCCGAGCTGGCCGTCTTTTCTGGTGCAGTCGCATCCCGAGCCTCGGAGTGGTTTGGCTCGGAGGAGTCGCGGCTACAGGTTGCTGGAGTGATGGCTCCCGTGGCGGCGCAGATAGTTGGCACGCCGATTCATCTGCTGGGACTTGATGTGCACCACAGACGAGATGGGTTTTCGGCTGCTGCGCGGTTCAAATCTGTGTGGAGGCACTTTCGTGTCTGTGCCCCGTTGCGAATGGTGCGCATTATGCCGGCGTTTGGTATTGGGGGTGCTGCGAATACGGATTGCAGAGGGATGATGCTTGGTCGTTTGACTGGGTAGAGATTTAGCATGAAAAGAAAACGGTTATGGGTTTACTGCTGTCGTGGTGTTCCAATTATAGTCCTTTTTAGTAGAAATCATGAAAATAACAGATAAACATTCATATCATTCATATCGATTATAAATGACTTTCACTGCCGGTTATGATATCATGCGAAGTCCTGCTCAAGTAGACAGGAGAAGGAGATGCTTGGCGATCAGTGACGAGTATGGATGGTCGGGCGTCGAGTTCGAGCATCGTCGGCTTCCGACGGGCAAACAAATATTGTGAATTATTCGCATCGTCCTAGCCGGTAAACTAGCAGGAGATGACATTGTATGCTGAAGAAGTGTGACAAGGGCTCGGAAAGAGGGCTTGGAGCAATAGCTCAATTCAACTAATAACAGTCTTTGGTATCAAAGGTCCTTGGTTTGCCTTAAGGCCTTAAAGGTCAAAGACGTCTTTAAACACAAGAAGTCAGTGATGGACTTTGCCCTAGGTCTCGTGACCGTAGCCCTTGTGTAACCAGCCGTTTCCGTGTAACAAGAAGACCCAAGTAGCTGTTCCAGAAATTGGAAGAGGAGGTCTGCCTTGGCTAAGAGCGTATACCATACTTGGGACATCTCCGCTCAGCGTAAATGAAGCACGCAGAGAGACGGCCCTGCCTAAATGTAAATGACATTGAGAAATAAGAGCCAGTGCTTGAATAAGAAGTCTCTCCACGCCATGCTTCAAGTAGTCTAACAACCCACGTCCCATGGCACCAGGATAAGCTCGTCGCAGTACGATAGGTTGGAATTGATCGCAAGGCAACAACGTGAGTAGTTTACCGACGTTCGTGTGCCTGTCCCAACCCAAGACAGAACATAGATCAGGAACCATTGTGCTTGATGAAAGCGAACAAGCATTGCTACATCCAAAGGAAATTATCAAGAGCAACTCGGAAGCTGTTGAGAGATGATGGCGGTGGGTGCAGACAAGGCAGGCTTCCTGGACGTCACCCGTCCATGTCACATGGGCAGCAATAAGCCAGGCACCAACAGGTCACGGTTACAGCGATATGTACAAACATTCAAGTTATCAAGATCCGGTAGAAGGACAATGCGCGGGGCTTGGCATCTACATCGAGAAACATACGCCTGCAGTCGACGAGCTAGCGACTCCCTGACCATTGTAGCTCTGTGAGCTTCAAAGTCCCATGAAACTGCTTCAATTCAGGCACGTATAATATTTCACAATGCAATGTGACGGATTGTCGCCGAGGTACATGGCCCCTTTCTCTATGGATGCCAAATACGATGTCGGGGACCCCAACGAATTTCTGCCCAATACCACGTATAGAATACCTTTCGATATAACTCACAATCTTTTGGAAATGATGTGGCATATTCACTATCAAAATGTCGTCATATACACATCATTCAAGACCGTCGTGCGAGGTTTTTAAACTTGACATGATGCAAATATTACATCCACTAACAATGTAGTTAAAGCAACCCGTCCCGAGTGTCTTGAATTGGGCACAAACAGAACATTAAAAGATACAAACATCCTGTATGGAACAGTCCAAATGAATATCTGTGTACTGGTTGAAAGGTACTCCCCATGTTCAGCCATTGGCCCACTCCACACAACCCTTGACACAGGTACGATGGTATCATGAGACCCGATTGGATATACAAGGGTTCGGTATTTCGGTAATCAAATCGACGGGCTCTTCCTGGCCGGCGACCGTTCCAGAGGCTGGCTAGTACCCCGAGGAGGCGGGTTGTTAAACCATCGCTACCCAATGTAAACAATCCGTCTTGATGTACCAAAAACGAATCGAACCACCTGGACGACGAATATTAATGTGCTGAGTAATTAAGACCAGGCCGCGCAGTACGTGAGTTACAACCAAATATGACTCTGTTACTTTCGGCCTGCAGCAATCGCCGAGAGAAACCAACGCAGAGTCACACCTACACCTGTGCCCAAGCACATGCCTGCAAGCCACTGCGTTGGGTCTCTATCACATGCATTGGGGATATAATTGGACAATCTGCCAGCCATCAGAACACGAGTTGCCTGGCTGGCATTTTCAAGGGCTGGAAATATGTCACGGTAGTGCAATCACATTCAGAGTCGGGGAGGTCGCTTAGGTTGTATTATGTCTACAATATCAAGTCAGGTTCCTTCAGTTCAGGCGGTGCTTTCTTTTCTGGTTGTAGTAGTCTGGCTGCTTTCCCACAACTTCTTACATCAAGGGTCCTATTCCTCTGGTCTCTGTCTCAACTCATAAACTCCGAACTCTACCAGATACTATAATGCCTTCAAACAACAGCCCTTCACGATCTGTGACGGTGGTAGCTGTCACTCCGCCACAGGTAGCAGAGCCAGCAAGGTAGCTGCACCTCGCTTTTGGTTTATTGAGAACAAGGAGGTTGGCTAACACTCTGCGTATTCCAGGATTCACGAAACAAAGGGCAGTGATTCCAGTACGACCACTCCTTCTAACGGGACCATGTTACAACAATATGTGAACGAGTTGAGACGCAGTCATATTCCTGTAACGGAGCGGCTGGCCGCAGATGCAGCTCGATCCTCCTGAGGTTGGGACTGTTGGGTGCTGCATTTATTAATATCGGAGCCAGCTTGTCGGAAAGTAGAAAGAATTATTGGAGTACGACTCTCGACAGGGAAAACCGCTCGTATAAGTGATATTATCGCGACAAATACATTCAAGGTACAGGGTAGGACGGTTTGTCCATCGTCTTGAATAGTCAATACGTATTGTGACGATGAATTATATCGTTCGAATTATAGCGAGTTCAGATCACTTCCTCAACCGGAGTCCGAGTCGTTCTCCAAGTTCGAATACGAACTTATGTAGTAACAGATGGTAGGACATCTATTATAAGCTCCAATTGAACAATGTTGGCAGTTCCAAGAGGTGCAGTTGTGTTAGAATATGGTAATCAACACCAAGAAACAAAAAGGGGCGGGCAATTTTTTTTGGCAGAGTCGATGTTGTAAAATATTCTGCACCCCCCTCCCCCTTTCCAGGTACCTTCAAAACGGGTTATAGCTAATCAGTAATGCTATACAAGCTAATCTACTCTCCAGTCTCAAGGCCGATGCGAGCTTCTAAGCCTGATATTTACGATCAACAAGTTTTGTCTTCACGCTAGTTGTATCTAGATACTTCATCATATCCGAGCACAGAGTGTTCATCCTTGATCCCCCCCTACTGCCATTCTGCCCATCAGCCAAGAGGAGCTGAAACGCATAGCAACCGTATTTTCCATCCACAAGACTCTTCCAGCCCATGGACACGCGGGCAGGACTGCAGATGGAGACAGCGTGTCGTTTAGCCACGCTACCATCGGGTATGTCAACGCCATAGCAGATAAGGCAGGCGCTTAGAGCAACCCTTTGGGATAGTCTGCGGCCATGGATACAAGGATGGGTGGCTTGGTGAATGATGACCAGCACGAAGAGCTGCAAAAGCCAAACATGGAATCATTCGAGCGCTTCATTGGCAGAGGGTGTGCGACGCCAGGAGTACTTTTCGCTGCATCATGATGCTCCCCCGCACTGAAGTAGCATCATGACGGGACAAGGTCAGCACGCGGGTTTGACGGACCAAGGTACCGCTGCTACGGTAGCCAATTCAAGGCCTCTGTTTGTGCGCCGCTGCCGATCTTGTTGATTGTTTCAAGTGAGCCGTACGAGTTCATGCAAGTCTCCTGCCAAGCGTGCTACCGTCCCATTGTTGCGTCATTTGTGTAAACGCAAAATATTAAGGTAGTGTGCTTTCTTTTGTTTTGTTTCAAGTCAACGGAATATATCTGGAAAAGTGCCATGTAGGCAATCGCACATACAGAACATGATGTCAGGAATCTCGTTGCGGAAATAAACGGCATCTGTGATGCACCCATATAAGTGCCCACCCTATACTAAAAAAAAGACAGGCCACAGAACCTAGGCCTATTATGTAGGTAAAAGTGCGATGTCTGTTTCTCAGTCCCTTGTTTCTTCTGTAACCGATCGACAGCGACGAGTCATGCGATATCCCCCGCAGCGAAACACCCATCCAAGTCAACCCGCCCATCTTGAATCCCTGTATGAAATACGTCACCAAGGAAACACGGAACGGAACGGTAGATGTGCGGCGTCGCTGATGCCTGCAATGACAACGACATTAATTGGGTTCCTCGAGCTAGCCTAGGAATTGGTCCTCAAGACTTTTGGAATAGAGCCATTGCTCTCACATGGACGACGTCTCGCCCAGAACGAAGCAAATACAAGAATCATTACCCCAGCACGCTCACCGTGCTACGCAGGACACCCGGAGAGCTTCTCAAAATTGGCACAGGTGATCCTCGTCTTGTTCGCAAAATGCACCACAATCGACCTGTTGCCCAAAAAGGCCGGGGTCCCTTCGGCCAGAGACGTATAGTTGTCGAAGTACCAAATCTCCAACCCTCGCTTGGGCTGGCCATACTTGCCGCTGAGATCGCCCACCTGGCAGGAATCCTTGGCCCTGCTATCGCAAGGGGGATCTTCGCCTCTGCCGTACGGGTCCAGGTGGGCGAGCGTCTTGGTGCAGTTGCCATCGGCGGGGACGCGGTCCTCGTGGATGTGGTAGACTGTTGCATCAAACGTCAGTACGGTCGACGGCAGGCCGGTCCAGGTATTGGGGAGAGCAAGACGTACGGAATGGTCCGCCCTCCTTGGGCAGGTTCTCAAGGCGGACGTCGAACCTGACGCCCCTGCCGTGCGGGCCACGCGAGGCTCGTACGCTCCCGCAAACGTTGCCGTGTATGTTGCCGTGGTAGAAGGCATCTTTGGGGAAGACGGCTTGGTAGGTGACGTGAGGGTTGTTGAGGACGACGGGCGCGTCGTGGGTGGCGTGGGCGATGGCGGAGATGCCAGCTACCAAGAGGGTTGAGAAGCGCATGGCTCTTGATTTAAAGCAGCCTCGAGTGTATATGGATGACGAGTTTCAAGGGACGCATTCAAGCACGGGCGAATGTGCATACACTGACAATGTGGTGACTTATACCTCTGACGAGCTGTCGATGGAGCAAGCCAAAATGCGAGTCTGCACTCATTGTCCACGGGCGGCGCATCCGCGCTTTTAAAAACAATCGACGGGTTCCTGCTCCTCCAAGCAAGGGCTCCAAGTGAGCAACATTGAAAGCAGTCTGGTCTGGTGTCATGGACTAAGACAGGGGCCGGCCGTGTTGCTGTTGGGCGCAGGCGGGCCGCTTGCGAGGTACTAGACTGCTAGCACAGGCTGCGGCGGCGAAATTAGACGACAAAAAATGGGTTACACGCTCGTGTGAATGGATGGATCGGGTGTTTGCATCACACTTCAATGTTGGCAGGCCAGCAAGCAGCTTGGGGCCCAGATGTCGGCATGGCGCCCGTTCCGGCCCCCCGGACGACGCCATCGTACCGAGCTACCCGTATACCCGGTCTGCAGCACGCGAAACACGTCAAAACTGGGCGTGTTGATCTGTACCACCGCCCAGTCGGATGCACAGACCGTCTGCCATCAAGGGCTCTGGGAAATGAGTGCCGATCAGCAACCCCTGCCGTCGTGCTTGGAGCTGTGCCCGTGTTTCCTGCAGTCCGCCATCCACCACCAACGCCAGTCAGCAAGAACCGCGGCTTCGATCTGAATTTGTTCTTTGTACTCCGTACATACTCCGTACCCTCCAAGTCCATTCAGTGACGGCGCGAAAATGTGCGGCGCCGCTTTTCCACCAAGCTCTTGTGGCGTGGCTCGTCCATTTTCGGTGCCGTCTAGTCTGTGTTGCGTGTATGTATGTGATTACGGCTCTGTACGGAAGACTTTGTAAGCCACCCGGCAGCCACAATCTCAAACTCCGTGCCCATAGGTCTATGAAAAACGGTGAGTCTTTCGTCCCGCCGCACCTGGCGTTGTTGGTCAGTGTCCACATTCACCATGCGGCACCCATCCCTTCAGTCCACATCGAGTATCGGTTTCAAAGGCCCACGCATAGCCATTCCCTTTGTATAAATGTTTTCCACGTGAGATCCATGGGGGGTTGTTTCTACCATCTCACAAGGCTGAGGTTCGGCGGACAATTGTGGCTTGCGGGACGACGCATCAATGAATGGGGCGAGTACCATTCACGACCACTTGATCGCCGCGGCACGCGCAGTCCTCGTGGCCTGCTTAATAGGGAGCTGATGTACGGAGTACTCCTTACTTCGCGTGTATACTCAATAGCCACCACAGTAGCAATCCGATTGTCTTAGGCAGCGAGCTTGAGTTCTGACCTCCATCCTGAGAGCCAGGGACACGGGCACACATAAAGCTACATATGTAGGTATTATTCGGCCGCTGATTCTCTCTGCTCTCTGGCTCAACTGTCAAGCCTGGCAAGCGCCGCAACTTTCTAATTCGGGGGTAGGGACCTCGTTTGATGTACACATACTTTGAACCTCGTGGGCGAAATACCCGGTTTGCTGAACCTACTTGGCCCGATTGGTAACTCATTTGTTAAAAACAAGTGCGGGAAAAAAGTAGCCAAATAGCTACTAGGTATAAAAGTGCATGTCTCATGTGCAGCTTAATACCGAATGCGTCATGGCGCGTTCCCAGTTTCTCCAAATTAAAAGTCTCCCAAACCGCGATAGAAGGCGGCTTTAACCCGCCTTCACATTAGTGGGTGTTTGATGTCAACTGGTGGTTGCTATTACCGCGGCTTCCTTTGTTCCTCAATCATGTACGTCATTCTTCTTCTCGTTGTCATTTGTTATCTCGCGCTAGACTCGTTTTATGCGCCGCCGTGAGCACTAACTCGGATGGCGGAAAAGCGTCTGGGCCCATGTAGATGGCGCGATGCAAAACTTTAGATCTTATGGTTCAAAACAATAGAGGCAATGCAATGCAATTCGATTCCGGTGCCATTTTCGTCCCACCGTTTACACATGTGCATTACTTTGCACAATATATGTGCCCTGGAAGCAGAAAGGGCGGCAAGAGCACTAAGCCGCATACATTCTCAGCTCACAGCAACCATGCTCTCGCGTAGTACAAGGACCATCCAACTATCGACTCAAAGTAGACAGGTGCATTTTTTACATCGCTTACGGAGCCCTTGGTGAAGCAACCCATGTGTGTCAAATTTGTCAGCCTCCGCAGCAAGGAGGCTTGAAACGGCTGACTGGATACCAAGAACGCCAGGAACTGCAGGGAAACCAGACACATTGATTGCTCCCTGCCCGCTAGACGCCTTGTGATACCGTCTCCAGCGATCGATATGTACGGGGCCTGAAATGGTGGCTCGGAAATCCAAGAAACAAGCCAGCGTGATATGCGGAGTTGAGCCTCCGGTCTGGTGCCGTCAAATCGACAAGTCTCCAAGGCTTCCCCGTCTTTTATTGACACTTCCTGCGAGCAAACACTCCCAGTGCGGAGTACCCTGTCCTGTCAAGTCCATGGCAGTCCTGAAATTTTGAGAGCTGCCCTGCGGTGCGACCAACAGCCCTCGAGCCAACACCTCGACAGAAACATCATGTCTCGGAAAAATGCAATCACTGACCAAAACTCGTCCCATAATTTCCACAATCCGGGATTGTTCCCTCTCCCACGACCCCGGCCTACCAGCATGGCTGCCGTCGGGCCAAGTCGTCCCATCTCCGCGGCCATGAGCCATTCCACCGACTGGCACACATTTCGCACCATTGTCACCGACATGACTGTACTCCGTCATGTATGCTGCTTTGGGGCTGTCCATGCGACTGTGGTATTGGACGGTGAGGCACTGGCGACATGAGCGAGCTGGTATTGGGCAGCCATATCTTACACCACCATCAGACCCCTCCAATACTACGGAGTACGGAGTACATGACAAGGAATCAGGATATACGCGACAGAGAAGACCCGGTGCTGATGGGAGATGGAAAATACCCTGCCGCACTTGTCGCTGTCAAAGAGGCTTTCCAGAGCGTAGAGTGTCGTGTGATAATTGCTCCTACTGCGCGTACCAGTCGCCGCAAGGTTCAAACGGTGTCCAGTTCGTCACACTGCGCGAGCACAGCTTGGCATTTCTGTTGGATTCGACTGTCCAGCTGACGCATCACGGCCGGCATCCCCCAACCAAACAGTGTGTCTCGGCAAACATCGGGCGGCTTCTTGGGGTAAACCGCCCGGGGCCGATGCCGCCACCGCGGATGCGATATGAAGGCATCCCGCTGTATCATCAGGTTGCCCGGGAGCACGTATTTGCGCAATCCGAGAAACAAGCTGAATGCGAGTGGTGAATTGTTCACGTCGGGCCCAGCTTGCCTCCTTCGTCTTCTGCCATGGCCGGGCTTCGACCAGCTCGTACATGCAGGGCCAGGCATGCACCCAGCGTCCCATTGCTTAGCCGGGTTGGCTTCTTGCTCAGTGCTGTTCGCAAGTGTTGCAAGCTACGCATGTACATATGTACGGAGTAGTACATCTCTCTCCTTTGCCAGACGATCGCCTGGCCATTGCGTTCATGGGCAATGGCGTATGCAGCTACAGAAACCGGGGAGTCCATTACGCCGCCATGCAGCTGCAACAGCCAATTTTCGTCTACATTGCTACCGCATTGGACAGTAGTAAGCTAGTAGCAGTCCCCATGCCATGGCTGGGCATGTAGCTGGAGAGAAAGATGAAGTGAAGCTGTTGCCAGTTGACGGATGGCGGTGCACTGGTGATACAGCTGGACGCCAGGAGATCAAGTCTCTGTCCCGTATCAATTCCATGCGGCAAAGGTGATGCGTTGCACGCCGATGAGATCCGCGCAGGAGACTTGCACCTACGCTGGGTAGTGCACGTGTTGACATATGCATCATGTCAAACCTACACGAACCGAGTGTTCGTCTTGGCCGCAAACTCGGCCGGTGTATTCGACACCCCAGGCCGGCCATGGCAGATGATGGTCCTGCCATCGTTTCGAAGTTCACCGACGTCGTTGTCTCCGAGGCAAACATCTGCAGAGAAGACGTACATGGTCTTGCGAGTGTATCTGCCGCAAACGCGCTTCGACTTGCGACAGTTGCCGCACGTCCTTCTCTGTATACAAGTGTTACAGCCTTTAGATCTCCCCGGAATACCAACCACGTTGACGGAGCAATTTGCAACCGCGTCGCTCTTTCATGTGCCAACGGTTGAAGTCGAATCGGATAGCTTTCCCGTTGGGTAACCTCCAAGAAAGGTTAACGAGCAACTGGCCAATCGGACTAGCCATGCAAAAGCAGCTGGAAGATTTAGAAGACGGAATGCGGACAAGAGTGGTTTGCCACATGTTTTAACGTTTTGGTCCTCCAAGGCAGTGCGTCCAGAAAGAATCGAGTTGCTACAAGGTGACTGGGCCATCTTACATGTCAAACTCCCTGTATTATACCCCGTACATATACGGACGGACGTCTGGAGTTTCCGGAATGGCAGCCGGCGCTAAACTGCTTCCAGACACATTCTGCGGGAGCCAAGCCTAACGCCAGACACCTCTGTGGTAATTGATAGCATCCTCTATGTCCGAGACCCGTGTACAAGGCAGCGCGTGAAGCCTGGATGGATGGACTTGACGCCAAGGGCAATATAATTCTCGGCACCGCGGTTCCGCGCTTCTTATCTCACGTCCTCCACCCTAGTGCTTACAATCAACGCAAATTTACCTCTGAACTCCATGTCCACGCTAGTCGCTGTTATTCCAAAGATCGTGTACAAAACAACTTTATAAGCTTTTGTCTTGCAACTATATCTCCTTAGATGCGGAGTAGCTCGCGGGGACTCCTCTGCCATACAAGTTTCCTAGATAAGCGAGTCTCCACGAGCCACTCCGCATTTAAAGAGATTAGCTGCGGGAGATGACGTTGGCCCCCGCCAGCTTACTGAGCTCCTATTCCTGTTGACGACAGATGAAGGCTACCATTCAGCCCCGAGATAAGCGACACATCTTGGAACTACTGCCTCTTGATCCAGAACAGTCCAAGGATAGTCCTGTCTCACAACGGCGACTGTGTCAACGGACTTTGAAGGCTGGCAAAGCATACGACGTGTAGATTGGGGGTTTTGAACCCAAATCTGTCACCACCCACCAAGTCAAACCAAGCCACTTCAGTGGTCACACTCAAAAGCAAGGCTCGACGAACACGAACCTCCAACTTTATTCTAGGTATCTGTATGCCCACGAAACATGGTACTTGCCAGAACGAATGAGGGCTCTAGGGTGGCAACGAAAGGTCGGTTCTCGGCCTACGTCCCTCATATTCACCCATGTATGAGATGTTAGGATACGATTTTTATTACGAAGTACTCGGAATGCATTGTGTAGCATTTTTTGAATAAGGTTTGCTGTGAACCCTGGTGCGTACTCCAGAACACCTATACAAAGGTTCCGCAGAGAGCAGGTCCGAATTAGCTCCAGTCTCTATATTAACCTCGCGTTGCCAACAAGCCCCTCAACGAGACAGAAAAAGGTATGGATGGGAGTCCAACATGCTACCGCGCCTCAATCCAGATACAAATGCTGAGTTTAGTGTTCAACAAACCAAAGTCTCCCATGATATTCTCAGCCGGTGGGTGTGCAGCACATGGGCCAAGGTGAGTAACAATGGCGGCGATCTGTCACTGGTTTGATGTAGTCGTGATCAGTGCAGGAATGTTTGGGGGGGGTACATGGTCAACAAGCTCTATCGTGGCGCTAAGAATATCGGCCTCCGGGTGCTTGTCGTTACATGTACAGCCAGATCATTCCTGCTGCCCACCCACATTGATGCCCAGAGCCTGCCCTAACTTGGGTTACGTGCCCTAACCAAGAAACTCGTAGCAGGAAACGATCGAGATCCTATGTAGGCCTTAAACGAAATGGGTGTCGCGCCGAATGCCGACTTTCTTCGCCCTTCCCCCAGCTGACCGCATAGCTCAAGGCTGTTAAAACACCAGCACTGGGCAACTGATAGAGGACGCCCCGCTGGGTGTGTAAGGCAAAGCGCCGGAGTCAGGATTATTCCCCTTTGATAAATACAGCAGCGCGTATCTGCTCTTTGATGCTATCCGGGATGACATAGAAAGGACATTGACGCTTGGAGGCAGTTGATGCTTCTGCCGCACTAACTATGCGGGCATATTGAACCACGTGTTTTTAGCTTTGTCGTAGATTCTAAAGTTTGTATTAAGTAGATATATGTACCCACTATTGTTACATAGAATAAACTCAAACGTAGAATGAAGATAGCCTTTTTAGACGTTACAGTACTTACTAATTAGGATTTTACTTATAAACCTATTAATGTCGATCAAGCGACCCTTTTGGCATGCTATCACAAGTTGTTTATTTTACTTTTGTGTAGATAACCGTTACTCACGTAGACTGCACATGTGGCTAATATTGTTAATGCAACGGTGCTTACTTAAGTTGCTGTAATGGTCTGGGCTATGCCCGACCTTATTGTCAGAACCTGCCCTTGGAAGCCTATATAGTGTCAATTTAGCAAGTTATAGTCGACATGCTGTTTAATTCGTACCAGACCAGACTTAACCTTCTTGCCATAGAAGCTTTGGGGGACGGGATTGCGCTGACACTCGCGATGGCCCTATTACCACGCCTTAGTTTTCACCAGATCAAGGGTTTCCTTCAATGGCAATAACGGCAGCTCAACCTACCGACACAAGAATTGCCAGGCATATTTTAGGACAGTCTTATTTTGAAAGAGGATATTTAATAGGTTCTATGTATTTGTATCAGTGCAAGTGTAAAAGGAATTTAATATCGGCTTCTTGGATCTACTTTCCTTAATAAATCTACCAGATTGTCAACAGCGGCGTCAGCTATACTATAAAATGGAACAGTTATTTGACACTATTAGCATCGATACCAATTAACGCTGCTAATATGGTCAATCTCCATCCGTCACAGCCCCTATTATTGTCGGGATCCATGGCACCAAGGTCTACCGACGGCCTCTTTCTCCATGCTCCCCTGAGAGAGTCACTCATTGAAGAGGGGTATCCAAAATGAGACGAGTCTGGACTACCGTGCCACAAGTCGTGCAAGCTCTCCAGCTAAAGGGGGCGCAAGCCTCGGACAGGACTAGGACAGCAGGATCGAGAACAGGTGCGCCTTTTCCCATATTTCCACGGCGCCACGGATGAGCAGGCTCTTGGATGGGCTACTCCTGAACATAGGGGCTGGTATCTCTTCACTAGCACCCCTCGGCGGGCACCAAGTCACTGTTGACGTTTCCTAAACGCATGGAAAGTAGACACCGTCTTGTCAGGTGACAATTCGACCAGACTTCATATGAGAAGCAAGCCTCAACGCTAGTGGCAATGAAGAGCTACATCTGTTCACCAGCCTTCTAGTCTCTTTTTCCAAAACGGAAGTTGTCAGAGACGGTAGAATGAGATGACTGGATAACATTTTGTGATACTGAGTCGACACGTGTTACACGACAAGGCGCTAATGAAAGGGTGTAAATTGACCAAGGGCATCTCGAGTTAAGTGCATTATCTAATGCTCGCTAATTCTTTTGCGTCATATATTTCTCATCTTTCTTGATATAGTTACTCTTATTATATCTTCTACATTGAAATCAGTCTCTCTCTCACACCGGCAGTGGTGCGATTTTGTTACATCTACCAGATAATATAAATACTCGAAATTTCATTCAATTCCGGATGCTATTCTCCAATTGCAATCAATGGCTGCAATAGCCTTTTGATCTCCATATTTCCAATCTCGCGTGAATAATGAAATACTGTCTATCCTGTCAAATATACCATATCGTTACGTGGCTCCTTTTCTAGTAACAGCGACACTATCTCCCTATTTCCAGTTGATACGGCCTCGTGCAATGCTCTCCATCTTCCCTGATATGTTGCATTGATATCTCGGCCCTTTTCCAGCAAGAATGACACTATCTCCTTATTCTCAGTTAATACGGCCTCATGCAATGCTGTCCATCCTCCCTGGTATGCTGCATTAATATCTGCCCCTTTTTCCAGCAAGAGTGACACTATCTCCCTATTCCCAGTTAATACAGCTTCATGTAATGCTGTCCGTCCTGTCAAATATCTTGTATTGACGTCGGTCCCCTTCTCTAGCAATATCAACACCATCTTCTTGTTTCCACTTGAAATAGCATGGTGTAGTGTTATCAATCCTATGAAATCACTTTCATTAACATCGACCCCTTTCATAGGTAGGAGCTCCGTTATCGCCTTATGTCCTCGTCTTGCTGCCCATTTAAGATGTGGCAAACCTGCTGCATTCATAGCAATCATGTCGTCTCCTAGATCTCGTGTTGGCTGTTTTAATAGTAACCGCACGATGTCCTCATATCCTGGCATAACTGCCAGCATCGCTGCTGTCTCTCCAATCCTGTTTTCGTGGTAGATATCAACCCCATTCTCAATCAGCATCCGCACTGCCGTCACATTCCCATTCCATGCCGCTCTGTGCAATGCTGTTCCTCCGTTTATCGTAGTGGCGTTAGTGTCTGCCCCTTGTTTCAAGAGCAGCCGTATTAGAGCGCCATTTTCGGAGTCAAATGCCCAGTGTAGTGACGTTCCTCCGTATACATCTTTCGCATTTACGAGGGCTCCCTCCTCCAGCAGGAGTCGCACAACCGTGTCGTGTCCATTTCCAGCAGCCCTATGTAGAGCCGTCTCTCCAGACAATGCGTTCCTTTCCATCACATCGATACCCGTCTCAAGGAGAATCCGTAGGGTTGCCTCATTTCCTGATTCGGCCGCCAAGTGCAGTGCGGTCCCTCCACACATGTCCTTGGCAGCAACATCGGCCCCCCCATCCAGAAGAAGCCGCACGATATCTTCATCCCCGACTTTGGTTGCATAGTGTAGTGCGGTTCTTTGAGCGTTATCAGAACAGTTGATTTCGGCTCCACCATCCAGTAGCATTCGCACAATTGCCTTGCTCCCTGACGCGGACGCTTTATGTAGAGCCGTCTCTCCATTCTCAGCTTTGGAGGCCATGTTGGCTCCGTTGCGAAGAAGGAGGCGCACTATTTCCTCTTGTCCTGATGCAGCCGCACTATGCAGCAGAGTATTTCTCCCCATATCCTGTACGTTAATGTCAGTCCCGTGTTGTACCAACAGTCGCACGATGTCATAACGTCCAATTACTAGCGCTCGATGTGACGCCGTGCAGCCGTCAGGATCCTTCGCGTCTATTTCGCTTCCATTTTCCAAGAGCAACTGTACTACTGACATATGGCCGTTCCCAACAGCTAGGTGCAATGGTGTCCAGCCAAAGGCAGTCTTGGTCCTCACATCGGCTCCCTTATTGAGAAGCAGCTTCACGATGTCCCGATGTCCGGTTGATGCTGCCCAACATAATGCTGTCCATCCAGAATGAGTCTTAGACGCCGCGCTAGCTCCATTCTCCAATAGCACTTGTACCACCGCCGAGTAACCACTTCGTGCAGCCCAGTGCAAAGCAATCCATGGACTTTTAAAGGCCTTCTTTGGTTGCAGCGACCGTTTGATGACTTCGACGCGGAAGGAGGACCTTATCATAGGATCCATGGGACATGTGCATGGCGGGAAATACACGTCAGTGTTACTTTGATACACCCAGAACCAAGTCCTGAATCGCTGCGATTGTGAATCGCAAACATCTAGTATTGTCTTCTTGAGTAATGCATTTTCTTGTATACCAGTCTGTTGAAAGTGAGTAGCCCAATTCTTTGCGGCGTAGTCCAAGAAATTATGTCTCCTGGCATATTGATCCACTTGACTTTCAATGTCCAACGAGGGTAACCTGAGATTGATTTCAAGGGGATGGTCCTGAAAATGAGAGAACAGCAAATACCAAGTACAGGCCTCCGTGAGGATGAGGTTCGATTCATTTAGATATAGTGAATGCTTCCACGGTCCCAGGCTCATGTCCTTTTCACCATTGGATCTGGTCAAGAACTCCTTTGCCGTATGGTGGACGAGGTAAACCTTCGAGTTTACGATTTTGACTAAAGGTCCACACAATTCTTTGATTGTGCTATGAATAGACGGTTCAAGATCTAAGTCTTCGTTCAAGTGGTCGCAGCGTGTGATGTTCAATGCTACGTTCATCTCTTCGAGCGAAAGTGGCCTCACTGCAGCAACAATTATATGAAGGAGTTTTCGAGAAGCTTCGTCGTTGGAGACATGACGTAGAATTTTGTCGTACACAGCATGCAAGGTGCCGGGTATGGTGGTGGCGATGTCATTTACTGCTGCCCGGGACACCCGGGCGCTCTCCTCGACCATCTGCAGAATAAGAGATACCCACAAGAATGTCCGATCAGCGTTGCTAATGAGACGTTTCTGTAGGTCAGCTCTGACAGATGCAGGCAGAGACTTGATATGTCCAATCTCCTCAACTTTGGCCTTGACGACAAGTTCAATATCACGACTGATGGCTGTAGTCTCGTCTTCCATCTTCAATCTAATTGTTGGTGGCGCAGTTGTACGAGGCGAATGGAATCGTCTTTCGATTGTGCCGTACGGACGACCCGTAACGATGAACTTTGAGAAGGAGTTTGTATCTCGGCTCCCGGATGCCGAGAAAAACTTGATCAAGGAGTCAATGAGAAGGTTTCGAGTCAGCAACTCACACTCATCTAATCCGTCTAAAACACATATAAAATTTCCACAATCGGCATCATTTAGAGCTGTTGTGCAGATATCCCATAAAGTGCTGAATTCATTAGTAAACTTTTGATCCTTGTTCTCATACTCTGGCATAGCGTGTTTGACAAGGAACTTCTTTGTAGTAAAAAGCTGGTGCAGTATTGCACAAAGAGCACTAGTTGCGCTATTTTGCTTGTCGTTGTCATCTTTGAAGTAGAAAAAGCAGACTGTGCCAGGAAGGATAGCTTGAGACTTGTCGCTCTTAAGCTCACCCAAAAGAAACGAGACCAGGACAGATTTTCCGCATCCAGGGTCCCCCGACACCCATAAGAGACTTGATTGTCGCTCCTGACGCCAGCGCCGATATTTTGGATGCCGTAAGAACCACTCACACGTTCCTGGTACTCGATCTGGGTTCCTTTTTCCATGCGATTTATAGTCTGATTTGTAGAGCGATTGCAAGAATTTTGTTTCATCTGCACAAAGAACTAGTATTGGTTAGTAAAGCTCAAATTTAAAAGTTATGTATGAAGCATCTTACCTCCGCCGAGACGAGGATTAGCTGGAGGGTCTGCACCAATGGCATAGAGCAGCTCTTTCGCATATGAGGCAGCCGTTGCGGCGGCATAGTGACGCCACGTGTCGTTTTTATGACAGTCGGCATAATCACAGATTCCTCGTATGACGGCAACAGGCAATGTGTTCATGAGACCGGCTGCTTCCATCTCAAGGCAAATTATGTTGTACTTGTCCCTTAATTCGTCGCGAAGTTTTGCATTTTTAATAACTTTATTTCCAGATCCAATACGTCCGTAATGAACAACAGGATCCTGACTGTCTCGGGGATTTCGTGCTACCAGCGAATACTTGTCGTCCGCTTCTTCTGCTTCGTACAGTTGATCATTATCCACGCCTGGAAATAGAAACTTTCGACCTTCGGGTTTCGTTTGAAACACGTCAAGGTGCTTCAAAAAGCCGTGGGAGCGAGTGAACTCAGTCTCTGTTTGGATGGTTGAGATGGCCGTTCGCAATCGCAAGTCCGTGGGGTAAAGCCAATTCTTCTTGATAAAACCACCAGCCGTCTCTTTTCCGAGTTCGTAGCCTATAACACATTGCACATCATCGGAATCCTCTGTTGGCGCAGCTACCACAACATCGCCGAGACGCACATCAGGCTTCAGGTGTCGCCCAGGCACCCCAGCACCAATGCCGACCATCAAGCCATAGCGCAAATTTGGAAAGCTTTGCCTCATCTGAGACACGAGTATGGCTGCAGGAACAGTACCGATTGACCTTGTAGGCAGACCAGCTAGAACAACATTGTGGCTGCCGATAGAGCCCGCTATGTAGTTGTTGTCGTCTCCATGTCTACCCGGAAATACGCCATCGTGTCGTTTATCCAACATGAATCTTGCAGCGAGTGCCTCAACATGGAGGGCGCATATCCATCCTATTGTGTAGTCCTCGTATCGGAGAGCGGCAAGCATAACGTGAAAGCAATGTATGGTCGATGAGGATTCAACATTTGCAGCGAAGGGGAGAATCGAGCAGCTAGCTGGCGAGGCAGGCGACGATGGGCATATTGACGAAAGAGAAACTGTTTAATGGAAAATAAAATGTTAGTTGTGGATAACGAGGAAGGTGGACGAAACCTTGAGGCTGCTTACTGTCTCCTCGAATTCCCCCCCTGGCCAAGGCATCCGGTGGTGTGGTGTGGTGTTTTCTTAGAAGCCCAGCGACATTTGGGCTCTGGTCGCCCAGGCCCCGGTATGGATTTGTGTAACCGGCGTTTTGGTGTCAATTGGTAATTTTGGACCTGGGCCGCTGTGCTGGCATTGCTGATGATGGGCGGAATGTTAGCCGCTGCATGGGACATCGACCGATGCGTTTGAAGTCCGGCCTGGTTTGTCACAAGGCCAGGCCATGTCTGGGGTCTTGGCGTGGTAAGCAGTGGCGCCGTCTCACCCTCTTGCCCAACAATATTCCGTGATGCATTCAATGTTGGGCCGTTCCTTCCCGACGAGACATTTTAGTGGCGGCACGGCCACATCACCGCCATGTATTTCTCCAACAAAGTCTATGGCAAAATCGAATTTGACCAGACGTATTGGCCGTGGTGTCACGGTTCAGGCGCATCTCGACGAAACCGACAGCAATACAACGTACTCCCACAGCTCCCTTTGTCACACAACCAAAGGCCCCAATGCCTGGTCTCTACTCTGTAATCCCGCCTTGAACCCCCCCCCCCCCCCCCCCCCCCCCCCCCCCCCCCCCCCCACCGACTCCATCACCCGTGGTCACATCGCCGCTTGCGGGGGATCGGCATCTAACCTGCCATGTAACCAGGGGACGTGAAAGTTTCTGCACCAAACTTGCAGTCACCTCGTTGACAGTCTTTTTTTCCCCATAGTCATCTCCAAGATCGAGGTTGAAATAATCAACATGGGCAGTTTCTGTCGTTTTGGGACAAAAAACGCACCGCATGTACCGGCGCCTGCGCGGTCCAAGGAGGAGAGAAGCTTGGTGCAAAGGTTGGACGTGTTCCTGTTGACCTTTGGGTGTATTTCCCAGAGTGAGTCGTGATGAAAATCCAGGAGATGCGATATCTGATGCAATGCCGCTGACTCGCTACTGTAGTTATCAAGTATGCTCTTTTGCAGACGTTTCGTTGAATGGAATCCGACTGTTGACCGTTGCAGATTCCTGGATCAGTCCAACATAAACAACGCCTATGTGTCCGGCATGAAAGAGGACCTGGGGCTCTGGGGCAACGAGCTGAACCTGTGTGTCTTCATCGCTTATTCGATTCTTACCTGGTACCGAGTATGCTGATGCCGACCTTGTAGATTTACCACCTACTTCAACATTGCGTACTGCATCATGCTCATCCCCTCTCAAATCATCATGACCTACGTGCGACCAAGTTGGTGGCTGCCCTCGCTGGAAGTCATCTGGGGTGTCATCACGGGGCTGGTCGCCATGACTACCAGTGTGAAGCAGGTGTATATACTGCGGGTGTTTTTGGGACTGTGCGAGAGCGCAGCATATCCCGGCATGATCACGCTGTTTAGTACGTTCTCTCGCGATACCTAACGCCATTACGCCACGAGGGCATCTGAGTTGACGACTGGCAGTGTGCTGGTACACGCCGCTGGAAATGGCCAAGAGGATCGGCTTCTACCATTCCTGCCAGGCAGTTGGGCAGATGATGTCGGGGGCTATGCAGGCGTCCATTGTGAAAACCATGGATGGTCGCTACGGCCTTGTCGGGTGGAGGTAAGCATATTCCGTCACCACCAGTGTCTGATGGCTCATATTTCATGTAGGTGGCTCTTTGTCATCAATGCCATCATCACCGTCGTTTGGGGCTTCGCAGGCTACTTCATGATTCCCGACTCCCCAGGGAGTCCCAATCCATGGGCATTCTGGTTCAAGAGGGTCCATTCAGAGTATGCTCTCCATCGACTCGAGAGGGAGAATCGGCTGGATGCAAAACCCATTACTTGGGCCGCAGCCAAGTACGTTCCATTCATCGCATTTAAGGCGTATGGCAGTTGACCTTTTTAGACGCATATTCTCCACGTGGTTGGTATACGTCATTGGGGTCATGTACATCGCCATGGTCCTTGGAACGTCGGGATACAACTACTTTGGTCTGTTCCTGAAATCCATCAAGAATAGCGACGGCTCACCGAGATGGACCACTGTGCAGGTCAATCTGATTCCAATTGGCGGCAGTGCTATAAACGTTGTTTTTGGTACATATTCCGCCGCGTCTTTACGCCTCTGGCGTGGCTAATTACGTTTACAGTTTGGATCTGGGCATTCTTGTCCGACATTTTGAGAACGCGATGGACCTTGATTGTGCTGCAAGGTATGTGCGTCGCTGGTCTCTACCCAACATGACTTCTAACCCACCTTAGCGGCCATTGCCATCATCGTGGCCATCATTCTGACCATCTGGACGACGAATCCGAGCGAGACTCCGTTGTCAGCGGCGTATGCTGCTTATTTCATGGCGCATGTTCCACTTGGAACTGCGCCGCTCATTTGGGCGTGGCTTTCTGATCTGTATGTCGTTTGAGGTTTTCACGAAGAGTCTGGACTAAGCGTACTGTGTTGCAGCGCGCCACAAGGACCTGAAGAACGATCACTCACTGTCGGTGCCGCTATTGCTGGCTACTATTCCATTTCGGCATGGAGCCAAGTTCTCGTCTGGCCCGCCAGCCAGGCACCATATTGTGAGAATGGCGTGGTTTAGCCGCTGCCCACAGTGTTGCTGATATACTTGCAGATAAATACGGCTGGCAGTCGTCCATTGCAGTGTGCGCCCTCGTCATTATCCTGGCCATGATTCTTCGTGCCGTTGACGTGAAATACTTCAAGTTCGTGCCTTACTCAGCCCTGGCTGTCGTGTACACGGCTAACGTTTCGGGACAGGCCGAGGAGAAAGGCAGCATTGGAGGTTGCTATCAAGCAGGAAACTAGTCCGACTATTGAAGACGCAAAGGTAGATTCGAGGGCGGAAATTAGACATGTTTGAGCCATTCCCTCTGGTATTGGGTTGATGTCCCTTGACAAAAGCTCGCAACAGCCATTGTCAAGACTCGAGGTGGTATTGAATGATAGATGTGGGCGAGTCTAGCTCTCTAACATGGCTTTCTGAGTATGTGACATCCACTTTGAAGTGCTTCTGCATATATTTTTTATAATGAATACGATACATATTGGAGAGACGTATCATCTTATTATCGAGAGATGTGTTGCTTGTTTTGCGCCGAAATTTCCATGGCGAAAGCTCCAGTCAAGATGCTCCCCACGAGCCATTCTAGGTGCCAAGAAACCCACCGTTCTCCCATCAGATCGGATCGTGCCGAGAAGCCAAGAGCCGTTCCCCACACGATCTTGGTATCCACCAGACTAAATTTAATGTTCAATGTTGTTTGAAAGGAGTCAAGTTGGTGTATGTATCCATCCCATTTGAATGACCGGCCACTGGCCGCTATACGTTAAGCGACATCTTGCCGACGACTCACAGTCTGGGGGGGATGTGAAGATACAAAATTGCTGACTGACTGTGGTGGGAGCGTGGGGGGATGCTCAAGTGCGGGTAAACGAAAATGGAGTCCATCACACTACCGATCGTACGATATGCATTATACGCAGTTTCCGCAGAAATACTCGGCGTTGATTGGCAATCGATGTACTCAATGCGCCCGCAGATTCTTGCATCGACGCCTTGGTGTCCACAAGATTTGCGGGGGAACCTGCTGTCATCTTGGGACCTGTCTCTTCAACCTCACCATTGTATAACTCGCCATCGTTGTCAATCAAGTATGCCAAGCCCCGGCAGCTGTTGAGCCAAGCATGCTGAGACAAGCTAGTAATTTCACGACTCCCGCCAGCAAGCACAAAGTCATCCTCCGCACATGTCCCGCTCCCATGAATTATTTGGCACGCAGCCCGATAAACAAAAGTCGAGATGAATCGCCTGTTGAACCGGTTCTTTGCAACACCGTCCCAGCAATCTCCCCACCAGACGCCGTTTGATTCCGAAGTCGACGTGCTGATTATTGGGAGCGGCGCCGCCGGCCTGACGGCATCCCTGCGCGCGCACTTCCATGGCCTCGAACCTCTAGTCGTTGAGAAGAATGGCAAAATTGGCGGGAGCTCAGCATACTCTGGGGGTGCATTATGGATTCCTCAGAGCCCGCTCGCCAAAGAGCACGGCATCCGAGACAGCAAAGCCGACGCGCTGGCGTACATGGAAACCCTCATTGGGCACGTTGGACCAGCGTCAACGCGGCAGCGCAAACTCGCGTATCTGGAGCAAGCACCATTCATGATCGACTTTCTGAGGCATCAAGGCTTCAGCTGCAGACTCAGCAAAGGATGCCCCGACTACTACCCCAAAACACCAGGCGCATTCGCCAAATTCGGCAGAACCATCGAGCCCGGCATCTTTAATCTCAACAAGCTGGATCAATGGCAAACGCTTGTCCGCACAAGACCCCTACAGCCACCGCCCTGTTTCACAGACGAATTCGCCAGTCTCACAAAAATGGGCTCATCTGCCCGCGATTTCGCCCAAGCGCTCAAGCTTCAATGCAGAATACTCTGGCGCAAGGCCGTCGGCCAAGAGCCAGCAACAATGGGGCTCTCTCTCGTCGCGCAGCTTCTCCATCTAAATCAGCAGCGTAATCTTGCCATCCGCCGCAACACCGCCCTCATCGACATGATACAGCAGCAAGACGGGGCCGTCGTCGGGGCCACCGTGCAGCAAAACGGCCGGATCCAAAGCATCCGAGCCCGACGCGGCGTCCTCCTCTGCGCGGGGGGCTTCGCGCACAACCGCGCCATGAGAGAGGAGTGCGGCCCGGCGCCGGCCAGCACGGCATGGACCAGCACGCCTGAGGGCGACACGGGCGACGCCATCCGGGCGGGCGTGAGACTTGGCGCCGCCACGGCCCTCATGGACGGCGCGTGGTGGGGACCGACTATTGTCGATCCCGTCGCCGGTAAAAACTTGTTTGCGCTGCAGGAGCGCTCGCGCCCGTTTAGTATTATTATTGACTCCTCTGGGTCGCGGTTCATGAATGAGTCTGCCGAGTATACTGCTTGCGGTCGCGGGCAGTACGCTAGAAACCGTGACGTCGAGGCCATCCCCGCATGGCTGGTGCTGGATGCCAACCACCGTAATCGATACTCTCTCGGCTGTTTAAGGCCCAGGCAGGAACCAGAGGCTGGTTTAAGAAAGGGGTACATCTATAAGGCTGAGACGCTGGGCGCCCTGGCGGCCAAGATTGGCGTCGACCCGGCCGGGCTGCGGGCGACGGTGTCTCGATTCAATGCCATGGCGAGGGAGGGGGTGGACCGGGACTTTGGCCGCGGGAGCGACGCGTATGATAATTACTTTGGCGATGGGAAGGTAGGGCCAAATCCAAACTTGGGCCCGGTGGCCGTGGCCCCCTTTTATGCGGTTGCCGTTGTGCCGGGGGACTTGGGCACGAATGGGGGACTGGTTACCGACGAGCATGCGAGAGTGCTGAGGGCAGATGGCTCTGTGATTAAAGGGCTTTATGCTGCTGGGAATACGTCTGCCAGCGTCATGGGCAGGTCGTATCCTGGGGCTGGATCGACCCTTGGTCCAGCACTTACCTTTGGTTATATAGCTGTGAATCACATGGCGAGCGTGTCGACAGAATAAACCGGAACTCTCTTATGTAGTCCTACCCTGAAATTATTCTCCCTGCGTGACCTGACAGCGTAGCTGTTAGCATGGGGTAGTGTATTGTTTGTGATTTGTATATTTTAGGCTATAGCTTATAAGTAATTTTCTTGTGTCAAGTACCGTCAAGTGTATAACTATTATGCCACTACTGGGCGCTCGGTCCAGACTTCCATGTTCGCACTGCGGTATTGAGCATATATACAAGGTTAGCTGCGCGGATGCTTTGCTTGCGCCAGGACCATTCGGCCGGACTCACGCTTTTCTTTCAGGCAGCTCAAACGACCATGCCATGGGCCTGAAATTCGGATACGTCTCAGGCTTCGCCGGTTGGGGGGCGTCGGGACCCGTCGTCGGGACACGACATGAGGTTGCATGACCGCCAGCGGAGCTTGGGGCATCTTCTCGGCGTCTGCCTGCTCATCGATTCTCATAAGCCATATCTGCCGGTCAATATGGATCGACAAGTTTCGAAACCGGGGCATCTTGATCTTCCACGCGTCCTCGGGCCGGAGATCTCGCCAGTTGCAACATCGCTGCTCCAGGTCACTCCAGAGCCGAGCTACCTCGACGGGCTCGGCGTGGCTTTCCTCCAGCTGCGCAATGAGATTCTTGTTAAAGGTGTGCTCCCCGCGCAGGTGTGATTGCTCGTCGTCGCCGACGGATGCTAGCAGCCCTACGCACCCCCGAGATTCCGAGCTGGCGTCTCTGCCTCTCAAGCCCGAGTACGCGGCGCTGTAGGCGTGACAGCAGTCGAGGATCAAGAGGACGTCGGCTTCGACGTCGACCATGAGCTTGTGCTGGATGGCCGTCCATGACAGGCCGGGGGATTCTTTGCTGTTACGCCTGCAGCCGCGTCAGAGCCGAAATAAGCTCATGGTGGCGAGGGAGACGGCATCACTCACAACTTGAGCACAAGCGACCTTCCGTCCCTTGTGGCATGGCCGCGGTAGTACACAATCAGCAACGTCTTTTCGCCGTCGTTGTCGTCGATAAAATCCCGCAGCTTTCGATCCAGGGCGTTGTACGGTTTGTACGAGGGAATCTCCCACGTTTCGATTTGGTCGTAGTTGTAATAATATTCCAGGGTGTCCTTGAGGTCTCTCAATTGTTCCTTGATGGCCGCCTCTGGCTGCGCAACATCTTTCCACGCCAGGAACAGCCCGTGTACGGCCCTGTACGGCTCGCTGCGCATAACCCGTGACATGCTTTCGTGGCGACGCTGCCTGGCAGCACCGGACGGTGTATGAGTCCAGTCATATTTTTTTCCAGGGGCGGGAGCAGAACCGCCGTGTCAGCATGCGCGTTCGCAGCCCTGCAAAGACAGCCAATGGCATTCGAAACACGTCAGACCATTGATGCCCAACATTTCCCACTCGAAATGGAGAGCACCGCGCCGTAGCCTGGTGGCTTTTGGCACCAGCGAGTTGACCTTTTGGCACCTTTTGGCACTTTTTGGCCAGTGACTTCACCGGGACCGAGAGCTGCGCCGACGACCTGGGCCTTGTGACGCATAGCGCCAACCTGATGCTGCACTTGACGAAATACGCGAAGATCTATGCTGCCAAGGTTGCGACCAACGGCTTTTCCTCAGAAGAGCTCGCCTGGCCCGTTTGCATGGTACGTGCGTTGAGCAACCCAATTTAAAGACAAGAGCTGAACGCACATACCGCAGGCTCTCAAGATTTGCATCGACTTGTGGGATGTCGATTTGACTGTCCTCCCGTTTGGGTTCGCGCAACCGGTTTCTGACATTCATCTGGGAATAAGACGAGCACACGCAAAACGCAAGTTGATCATGGCCGCCGCCGAAGTTGATTCGGAATTAGACCGGACTCCTCTCCATCTGTGCACAGTTGCTTATTGTGGCAAGTCTATAACGGTTTCCTGACTTTAAAAACTCGCTGGTTACTAAATAGCTGGGTGTAATTCACGGCCATGGCCCATCGAATTGTGACGAAACTCCAGATCCCAGATGTCATTCCCCTACATACGTAGACATTACCAGTGGGGTTTAGCGCGGGGCGGGCCAACGGCCTGGCGGCGAGGACCGTCGACGCCTTGCCCGTTTGGGGTACCACCTAACCTGGCGGGGGAATCAGCTCTTCCCAGACCACAGACTGTCATGCTGGTCCAGTCGGTATAATCAAATTGTATGGCGATCAGGCAGTAACTACGATTCATTTATTAGCAATATCCTGTAACTTTACTCATCACCTCCTATTCCTGGGTAAGGGACGGTGACTAGCCAACAGAGCAAAACTATCAAGGATACACGGCTTCAAAACATCACAAGGTCAACTGCGCCCCAGCAGCCTGTCACTACAATGTCTGCACGACTACTAGTGAATCTTCAAAAAAATATTAATAATTACATAGAAGGGGTAAAATTCACGCCACTCTAGCCAAAGTGACACGATCGTCTATCAATTCCCGACTAGACCCCCCATAATACTACACATCCGCCATCTCAAGCCCACCCATGCCTCAGCTATTCCCCAAAAGACACTTTTATCCCAGCTTAACCGGGGTGCTCAAGGTCAGCGTCACCGGCGACCCCGACAACGTAACCCAAACAATTGGAGGCTCATTTCCCAAATTATCGCTCTTTGGAGAGCCGCCACTAGCGGAGACGGTACCGCTTGGGATGGTTACCGGAACAGGAACGCTGCAGGCCGCATTATTAGCGGAGACAGTGATGGCCGTGATGGAAGTACCGTCCGCGGAATACGTGTAGCTCGCATGCGGCTGGCATGCATCCAGGGTCATGCGATTGATAAAGTACGTCGCAATGTCGTCGTGCTTGAGCGAGGTTATGGGCCAGTTGGTCAGACGGACCATCTCCTGGGCCACCGTTTCCACCCACGACATGATCAGGGACATTTTACCAGTCTGTGATCCCACAGTGATGGACGGCATATCGGTCTGACGTAGATTTGCTTGGTGGAACATGTACGGGTCGGCCTGGAGACGTAGGAGATAGCGGCTATTGGTTGTGCGGGCGTTGTCAAGCAAGTTGCTAAAGGTACCGGAACCCGCTGAGGTATCTTTCCACTCCTGCAGGGTACAATCGGATGTATCGCAGTTGTAGTAGATGGTGGTGGCCCAACGGGGAATGATCCAGATGCCCGTGGCGCCGTTGACGGCTACGGTAGAAGCAAGTGGCCAGTACTGGTTCTGCTGATTTACCAGGATGGGTCGGGTATTATCACCCACGGCGTACTTGATACCGTTGTCTGTCCATGCCTTGATGGCGTCTGCGTTGTGTAGGCCAGTAATTGCCGGGGGGATCAGGCCTTGGGGCGAGAATCTCTGTGCCTGTGAGATGCCCATCTGGGCTAGCCAGGCTTGGTTGAATGAGATCTCGCGGGTGGCGTCGTGGTAGGTCGAGTTGTCTAGTTCCTCGTGGGAGAAGGTATGAGAAACGTGGGCAAATGAATTGAGATTTGCTGCGGTCAGAAACCATGCAGCCAAGGGATCTATGCTAGCGCAAGCCTTGGACCAAGTATATGTTACAAAGCGCGAGGGCCACAGATCGACCCCCGTACCAGGGGGCTTGACAAACTCGAGAGGGGGGTCGGGTGGCTGCACATAATCGACGGCTTGGTTGGGGTTGCACTTTCTCGGGGTGGAGGTATCCTCGTCGATAGACGAGTCGATATCGCCATTGCCATTGTGACCAAGCTCCATTCGGTAATCGGAGCCAGCGGGTAGACGGCTGTTTATGCTCTTCTGCCAAGTGACGTGGGCGTCTAGGTCTCCCGGTCGAAGCTTGAACGTCGTGTTGGCGGGCAGATACATGTCTGTCTCGAGATGGATGTCGTCTACTTGGGTGTTTAGATACACCTTTCGTTTACCAACAAACAAACTGCGCGTCATCCAATGGATATACGTATGCTGCAGGAAGCTAGACGTTGCAGACCAGTCGGGGGCAAAGTCAAGGAACCACACCATCTGTTCACGGCCGCTGATGTTGTTGATGACGGCCGCAACAGATTCCGTGGAGAATCCAGTAGCAGGTGCAAAGACAGCAAACGCCGTGGCGATGCTTGAATCGGTTATCTGGGCTGGATAGTGCCAGAGGCCGACGGTGCTTACAGTCGCGCCACTATGCCAGGATTATTAGCAACCGAGGCGTACAACCGCGAGTAAGAGGCCACATACGTCTTGAGATTTGCGCCCGGAAAGGGAGTGCTGCTGTTGAGGCTGACAAGCTGCTCTTGGTTGTTGTTGCAGCATGACCCGAGAGCCGTGGTGCCTGGATTGCGTCATTAGCAGAAGTCGACGATTGCAATGAGATTCCGGGGCATCGTCATGCCCCAAGGCGGCGGTGCTCACCGAATTCCGGGCCAGGAAACTCCTCGAGTCGAACCATGCGCACATGAAAGGCCGACTGATAACTGTAGAGCTGGTTCCATTGATCCGTCGTCAGGGCGCTGCGGTACGTTCCGTTGTAGTCGTAGGCAACGCTGTCCAAAACGACGATGCTACCATAGTTGCCATTGGTGGCGGTCGAGTTCAGGGCGGGCAGCGATCCGCCGGCCTGGGGAATAAGTGCCTTGGTCCAAGGGATTCCATACGCGTCCAGGCCAAGGCTTGCTTTTGCGACATCAGCGTCGTTGGCGGCGATGATGAGAGCCGTGGAGGTGACGGTAGTAGCGGCGGCTACAAAACGGACAGCAACCCCCAAAAGCGCAAGGTAGCGCGATGATGCGTGGTGCCGCATTGCAAGCGGGATAGGATTCTTGGTACTAAACGAGTGACTAGAGAGTAGGCAACTGATGAAGTTGTCAAAATCTCAACTTTGGAGCTCCTGTTGTCTTGAGACTGGGCTCAGTCTTGGCGGCACAATTGGGCAATGCCTGACTTTAATTCAAGGAGAAAGGTTCTCGGTTTCAACAAACGCGCTGAAGAAGAGCATCAACAGCCGCGACTTGCGGAGAAGGTCAACCCCAGTTGAGACGAGAATCCGGTACCATCTGGATGGACCGATCGGCTGACTTCTGATGAATCTGCAGGCATGTTCCCTGTTCTTCGTACCAGACAGACTTGACATGAGGAGCGGTGGGCTCGGGAATACGGCATGTGCAAGCGGCATGGTAGCCCAAAGCGCATTAAAGGTCTGGTCTGAACGAGGCTGGTGTTGTACAGAGTATTGATACTATAGAGTCTGGTCTAGACACGGTCCCATTGCCGCGCACGGACGGGGCCGTCCGTTGATGTGACGCGGCCCTGTTTGCCCCCCCAAGATGACTGGATTCAATGTTCCGTTCTAGCCGGTTCGTATATGGAGACGGTGCCCCTGGATAAACGGGTAAGCGGCATAGTACAGTGGGTGTGGGCTGGCGGCCGATAGAGTTCAAATGTTTCAATGCCGATGCCTTTATGCCGTACCGCGGAACCTGGGGTGACCTTGCAGCATCTACAGCCGCAAATCTTGCTTGGTCGTCGTGTGGCACCAGTGCTGCTTCTTCGAGGTTAAATTCCTGCCGTCGCCCTATGGGATCTGTGTATGTAGGTCGAGACTCACAGATTGCATTTGCTGAAGGTTCTCCATCGTACATACATACATGTAGTTGACCCATGTGGGGGATTCCCGAGCGGCAGGTCAGCTCACGGTCTATGCGGTTTCATCAGCTCTCGCCGAGTCGCGCCTAGCACTCTAAGAGGTCGAGCAAAGTCCAAGTGGGTTCGTTCGTCAGCGCCGTGCATCTTTGGTTCGCAGCCTAGTACAGCCCGAGAGCCAATTTTGAGACCAGACTCTCCTAGCCGGCTGACAGTAGACCCATACGAGCCCTGTCGATCCCACGGCTAGTTACCCTGCGGCGCTCCTTATGACATTTCGTCGTAGAAATAACGCGGTTTAGGACCAAAATAGAAGGGGTTTCGTGATCGGCGACTCCGGACGCGTAGTTTGGACTCGCCGACAACGTCCCGTTCCTTCCCGCGACCGCTTCTGCATCCGAAATTGGCGACAATCAGGGACTTTTCCCTGGATCCCGTGACCGTAGCCCTCGTGTAACCTTTGGCATTGGGCCATTTCCGTGTCACATACGAAAAGGCTTGCGCTCTCCGCCAGCCTTTCATATTGCCGTGACTCTGCCGGCGATGGAGCAAGGTGTCTTTGTCAAGGCCAAGTCCCACAGATGCAAACCATTTAAGGGTGAGGGGGTTCGCAGTACTAGAGCTGGGAGGAAATTTGGCTCTGGCTTATTCAGACCTGAAAGCCGTTTGTCAGTTCCCAGCGCTAGGGCTCATCCACAATTCATAGATATCAATGAATGAACCTGCTGCCGTTTGACCAACATAAAATATCCGACAAGGCGCAAACGGCAAACAAGAGTCCCCTACTTATTTGTGAATCGTCATTTCCCTAAATACGATGATCCCCCTGGTTTTTATTAAATATTAGCTTTTTTATATAGTTTATAGTAAAATATGTTTACGCATATTCATGTATATTTACGTATATCTTTTTATATTATAATATATTTTATTTAGAAAGGGATTTTTATAAAACCTGAGCGCACCTAGTAAAAAGAGTAAGCCCGTCGAGCAATTCACAGTTACTTGATGCGTTTGTTAGCTTTTGCCGCAAACGGAGTGAAACTGCATTTTTCGTACTTTAAAGGCCTTGTTGTGCCTCGTCTCTCCTCTCGCCCGTTGAGCACTTCTTTTACGCTTCTCATCATTACCTACCTCCAGGATGCAGGAACAAACCTTTGAACTCGATCCCCAGGGCGACGTACTGCTAGTTCTCCGACGTCCAAACTTGCAACACCTTGACTGGGGTCAAGCTGACGAACATGCAACCGACGAACATGGATATTCAACTGATCAAGATGAGGAAAAAGAGGTTCGATTTCGACTCTCCTCGAGGCATTTGAGTCTTGCATCGCCTGTCTTCAATACAATGCTATCCGGGGGCTGGAAGGAAAGCACCATCTCCCCTCAGCAGCCTGGTACAACTTCCAACGAAAAAATCGACAAAAACGACGCAGCTCTACCACTGCGTTATGAGATAACAGCAACGGAATGGGATGTTAATGTTTTCATCCTCCTGATGAACATTCTACATGGCCATCATCGTGAGGTGCCGTATTCCGTCGACATAGAAACTTTGGCAAGATTTTCTGTTTTGGTAGACTACTACGATTGCCACGAAATAACCGAATTTTTTGCCAATATTTGGATAGAATATCTCCAACTCTCTCTGCCAACAGCATACGGCAGAGACTCGACTATCTGGCTCTTTGTGTCGTGGGTATTTTCATCCGAAAATATATTTAAGCAGATGACGAGGCTGGCTATGACGGATAGTCAGGGCCCTCTTGAGACCGTGTGCTTGCCACTGCCGCCCGAATTATTAAGTATGGATTTATATCTTCCAGGCTGAGGAACACGCTAACTTGCGATACAGCTGCCATCGAGAAAGAACGAACGGAATCGGTCCGTAAAATGATACATCTACTCGGCGAGTTACATGACGATCTTCTCAAAGGCGACAAAGGATGCAACTTTTTATGCTCATCCCTGCTTCTGGGAGCACTAATGAAAGGAATGGACTCGAACAGAATTGAACGGGACCAAGACCCGGAATCTTTTACCAAATACAGTGTAGGGCAGATCTATTTGATACTACTAGGGATGGAAAGTCCAGTCAACTATGATTATACCCCAGGAGCCTATGGCTCATATGAACCTCATACTTGCACCCTGAAAAGCATGCTTAAGCCAAAAGCTGTTACGATTTGGACAAGCTTGACAGGCCTATGGGTAGGCGACTACAAAGCTAAATAGAAGAACTTAGTGTCCAAGTCTAGACGCAAAAGTCCATTGCGACCAGAGCCCGCTACATGGGTATAGGAGAAATGCGCAATGCACACGATGGTCACGATTGATGGAGTTTTGATCCCGGATTTTATCCTCGGGTTTTATATACCAGAATTTGATGCGCTTAAGGAAACAATAAACGTTTTTCTACATTTAAACATGTCCGGCTCCTTGATTGCTAATGTATGTCTTGGCCTGGAGTTTCGTCCTGAGCAACGCAGGGCCCAAAGAGGATGGTGGATGACAATATATACAGGGTGTGTCGCGTGGGAGATGATTCGATTATCGCTACATGCTCCATTCTCAAAGCTTCAATATTGGCAAATGGCATCTTGAATACATACTCTCACACAGCATGTGGATGGAGCAGGACACCAGCACTGTGCGGACATGGAGTCAAATTTAAGTTGACGGCACCTGAGGGTTCAATGTTCGTTATCATCACATGCAGGGGTCTGGTCCTGTGCCGTCCCAACATTTGAAGGGGCTTGCAAGGGCCCCCGACCCGACTGGGCACGACAGGGGCCAAATTTGCAGGATTTTTCATCACTCATCTCAGTTCTTTCATCATCATCACCAATACGGAGTACAAAGCTATCAATTGAGGCCCTAAAAAGCCTCCAAAAATGTCAACATTTTCCACTGCGCAAATTGCTGTTGTAAACGCAACACAATGAAACAAAACCAGCCTACCTCATCTCCACGTCATCGCCGTACGACAAGGGAACTCCCAGCCTGGTACTGTCGTCTAGTCATCCTGACAATCACAGAGGACCGTGATGTTGCACCCTGGGACTTTGACGAAGACATATCAGAATTAGGAGAGGATGAAGGCAACGAATCAGATGGCTCAGATGTCGCATATACATGTGACGACGAGGACGACTGCGAATGCTACCTCTCGGGTGATGACGAGGAATCAGAACATTCGTATACAGGATCAGATGCCGATTACTACTATGAGTTAAAGGAACAACGCACAGACCGAAAGATGCAGTTACAAGATGAAAAAGAACAGCAGCAGGAAGAGCGAAATTCCACTCGGGAGGATGAGAGTCGCAAGGAACAAATAGTCTACGCAGCCTATAAGGCCATGCTGGGGGTTGAGAAAGGGGGAGACGGCCTTAGGCCTGTCCTGGAATCCATCACCAACAAGAGCTTCGACTTGTATTCTGTGGATCATGTCGACCATTGTTACCACGACTTCTACAGGTCGAAATATGTGGAGTTTTATCATATCGACGAGGACGAAGAATGTTGCAAACCCCCAGATGGAGAGGCCAAGATTACCGGCCATGCATATTTGAGTTCAGATTCTGGCTGCCAATTCGTGCCCTTCCATCCTCCGAAAACGGCTGGTTGTCAGAAGATACCATTAAAAGCTCAAGCGTCGGAATGCGAACCTGTCTTTCAATTCATCAATAACAATTACTTGATCATGACTGTTAAAGCCAAGTCAAATATGATCTCAAGGGATATTCGCAAGCCAGACGCCGCAAATATACCCGATATCTTTACCTTTGTCGGTATTCACATGGATCCAATGGAGCGAAAACGCCAAATCCTGGAAGAAATGGAGGAAAGAGCATCTAAGAGGCGTGCACGCTCTCTGTCACCCCGTGACACTTACTTCGAGAGGAGTCACCCAATGGGATCTTGGAATATGGGATGGTGATGAATTAACTAGGTTTGAGCCAAGGTGTGCATATTCTTTCAATCTTTTGCGCCGGCTTCTGAAGCAGCTTTACAACATGTGGTGAAAGAGCAAATGTTTATCACAATACGGATGGGCTCACCCGTTTATCCAGCACAGAGAAAAAGAAGATGAGGAGCTTAATACCGACCTTTGTTACGAAATAACTTATCATATCAGATGATCGCTATCAATTCCATTCACGAGAGCACCATCTTAGGTTGACTGCGAGCTGGTGCAACCTCTACTCCTCCCGCAACGCATCCTCTGTTGTGATTATCTCGATCACGCACCTGGTGGTCCAGACGCAGTAGCAGGTGGTGCGGTAGCCTGAGCAGCAGAGGAGGCGGTCTTGATTGTGGCAAACCTCGCAGGACCTTGGCAATAGGCTGAGAAGATTCGGCAATGATATGGTAGATGGTCGCGATTTGAGCAGTGAAGGATGAGCGATGCAGTGTGTGGCAGATAGCAAACTCGAGTGCCTAGATGGGCCAAGAAAGACTGCCGCTTTGGATCACCAAGTAAAATTACGCTATAATTTAACTAATTCTTGATGGTATATAACTACTGGCCATGACAGAATCAATCCGACGTTGCGGCATGAATGGGATACAGAAATGTCTGGTTGATCTAACGGTAGCACATCATTCGCTTATACTTCTCTCTCATCTTCACCAGCTTACTTAGCCTCGCGATGTACCTCGGCAAATACTCCTCCACCCCCCAAGCATCTAGGTTATTTATCTCAGGCCGCGCTGCAGTATTCTTTGGCTGCGCTGTAATTTTTTTAGGCCGTCTTCCTTATTCTCAACCACTAGTCTGAGCCGTTAAGGCCTGCGTTAACTCATAAACAACGTTCGAAGATAAAGCAGCTCAAACTAGTAGTGAAAAATAAGGGAGGCCGGGTAAAAAACTACAGCGCAGCCTAATTCAACTAAATCATTCAACACCACCTTGACTCAGTCTCTAATCTGCTCCCCTCTCGCCTATTCTTCTCCCTCGCCGGCTTCCGGCGGTACATCTGGTCGCTTTGCTGCTTGTTTGGCCATCCCGTCGTGAACACACCAACATCTGCATCCTGGCTTCTTTACTGAGACCTACAGAGCTGGAATTGTTGGCAGTGGCGGAATTGGCTGTTTTCCTCGCCCTCGTAGGACGACTAGTGTCATTTTCATCGTCCGAGTTATTGCTTTTATAGGTCGTTCCAAACTTGCGCTTACCAGAGCCCGAGGGCTTGACTTGGCTAGTGAGGCCACTGATCGAACTTAGACAACGAGGATTAAGAAAAAGTGAAGGACGTTAGTGCCATCGGGTTTGTGTGTGCACACGTGGTCAAGGGATCGTGCGGGTTCAAAGGGAAGTCATTCGTCGCTGTTCAAACAAGCTAGCTTGCATCGCGGTGGGTGGAAGGGCTGCGTGGCGTGGAGGGCGCAGTATTTAGAAGGATAGGGACGGGTTTTAATAGGCTGCATCTTTATTTTTTGCTGTTGATATGTTTTGGACATGGTATAGGGGCCGTTGTTTGATCCGGTGGCGAGGCTGAGTGCTGATGGTGGAAAGATATTGGGATTGTGTGTCCCTATTATCGTGTTGGGGCACCGGAATCCCATTCACGGCCATCTTCATTGTTCGCCTCTGATGAATGTCCCTAGCTGCATACCATTTCTGGTCTATCAGAGTCACTAAATCATCATTGATTCGTCCCAGCCATTACGCAACGCCATATTCGCCCACATATCTGTCTTCCTGTTGTGCTCGCGGGGCACATGCCAAAAGAGAACATTGAACCTCGGCTTTCTGTTCATTCAACTGTGCGACAAGCTCCTAAAGCTTCCTCAATAGTGAGGCATTTGCCACGGCCGCCCCCCTTGATGTCTGATAACCATTCATCTTCCACGTAAAAACCCATTCGGTCATGCCCTTCACAAGGTATTCTGAATCTGCTTTGATGACGACCTTTCGCAAATTTTCGTCTTCTACTCCTTGACTTTCAATGGCCAGACCCTGTTCCAGCCCACGCACACCTGCTCTGAGCTTCGCTATTTGGCTTGTTGGGTTCGGCACATTAAGGATGAAGCCGTCATAGAACGTGGATTTGTGACCGACAAACACTCCAGCAGCAGCCTTGGCCTTGAGAGTGCCGTTATTCCAATAAGCACCATCCACTGCTATGACTATGCAGTCTATATGAACCGACAGCCTGCCGCAGTTTTTGCAGGGCTCGTCTAAGTCGCATGCTACATACGTCCAGCACTCGTCACCAACTTCTACACGACTCAGGTTGACATTCTGGCCGTAGAGCTTGCTTGGAACGTACTTACGATCGCGAGTCGACTCCTGTGAAGACCAGTCGGCATGGTCTGTGACGGTGGGGTGTCTGCGAATTCCCATGGAGCCGAGGACTGTAGCAAGTGTTGAATTTGGTGGCTAATTTCGAGCAGTTTGCGCCGATTGTAAAAATTATGTGAGTGAGAAAAGCTACCCAATACAATTCGTGCAATTGTTTAGTGCGTGACCAGTCGTTTTTTGCTTGACGTTACGGAAAGACTTGACATAAAGGCAAGGATGAAAAAGTTTAAAGAAAAAAGAGATGGGTTTCCATCCGCACGCGAGGCTGTTTGCATTCCCGTGACCAAAAGGACTCCGAACAGAAGTATTCCATAGTTATTCTCGCTCGCTTTGCCTACACCTAGGACAACTCGTTCGTTGTCATGAGGGTCTTGTATATATATTTCATACTAATCCCCCGATTGTATGTGCATTCACATGACCCCCGATTAAACCACACTTATATTATCCGAGAGATGACGTCGGAAGGCTTGAGTTGGCTAGCGAGGCTACTAGATGGGGCCATATCTAATGCTATGGTCGACAACTGGAAATAAGCTTTCTTGGGCCGGGAAGGGGCCGGCGGTTTCGTGATGATTTGACCAATGATAAAATTAAGGATACTACTTGTCTCTGCCAATTTCCCATGCACCTAACTATAGCCACTATGAAAGTTCCCGTATGTATACCCTTGGATTCCCTGCCTGGTACGTTTAAACCAACAACCGTCAACCAGCTATTATTGTCAAAAACCCAGTTGCTTCCCCTAGAGTATTCGATTCTAAATTCATTGGTGCAACTGAAAGTTACCAAGCACGGTAGTCTCACATGTCATCATGCAGATAGAGTTGCCTGTTTTGTCGTTGCCGCACGCCTGCGTGCAGAGTTTCTCCAATTTGAGTTTCTCACCTTTGAGTGAAAATATAATCGGATCTACATCGTCGATGGGCAGTAACTCAGATCTGGCTACCACCTCCTTGAGACATTCCTTTTGGTAACCTTTTACTGATGCGTCAGCATGTAGTCGAAACTAGAAGAATATACATACCCATCTCGATTAAACGCCGGCCACAGTACGTTTTTCCACCCTCCACGATATCGGAGCCAAATTCACAAATGTCCCTCCTGAATCCTATTTTGCATATCTGAGTACATGTAGTGTCGACTTCAACAAATCTATTGTCTCGACATGTGTATAAGATCGGATTTACGTCACTGACAGCAACTCGCTGGGATTTAACTGCTACAGCTTTAAGAAATTCCTTGCGATAACCTTTTTCGCCAGCACCATGTCAACATGCGGCAGGAATTAGGAGAATTATACATACGCATTCTAGTAAACGCGAGTCGCAGTACTGTGATCCGGTTGTGCATTTTTCACCCAAACCTATACCTGCCAGTAGAAGCAAAGGCAATACTAGAGCAAGAATAAAAGCTGGCATTGCTAATTGTCTTGAGACGTAATGATGTGGAAGATGAAGCGGTGGGTTTTTATTAAAATTGAATATCTTGCATTGGAAATAAGGAGCCACAAGGAGTAATTTTTATACAAGGAAGAGAATAGCATATCGCTATCCGGAGAAGACGTGTAACATAGAAAGACCCACAGAGTGAAGATGCCTCGTGAGCTATGTAATATCCTAGAGGATCGCGTGATGTCTCGGGGATTAAGCGAGTGAATTGTTCTGTCATTTGGATAGGCATCGTCGCGGCTGCGAAGGTGAAAACAAGGAAGTTATCTCAGGCTGAGCCCGGTGGCCTTGTCCAAGCCCTGGGTCGACGCGTGACAATCGTATAATCTTATGCACTGCGCTATATTACATGTTTTCCTACTCATGAGTTGTGTTGGACAAGCCCAGCCGTGCGGAGAGCAACGCAAGACAGCCACAAATGTAACCCTTGACTGGACTTTTTTCTCTTTGTTCTTGGCGACTATCGCGCTGAGAATTTTAATGTTACATTCGTTGCGCCCCCAAGACATGCCCAAGTTCCTAAGCGTGCCGACCTCAATACATAAACTCTATCAGTGATTATAGCCGTATAATGGTAATTGCTTTTAATCAACTGCCAGAGCACAATTGGTTACATTATTAGTGTAATAAAATTAGATCATATCCCAAATCATCGGCAAGTACACTTGTAGGCGCCTGGCTCTATAATTGCTTCCATCACTGCCTTAGCCCAGCGTAAATCTCAGCTTGAGACAAGCGCTGAGCCCCGCGACTGTCAAATGGACAGAGTATGGAAAAATGCACGTTTTCTACTGTCGGGATTTGCTGCGGTGGCAACATTGAGGAATGAAAGCTGCTTACCATCACATACATCTCTGACCACATCCAACCCCGCCACCTCTCTTTTCGGGGGCTCACTCAAGACATTCTTTTATCGTGAAAGTGATAATGTCTTGGATGAAACCTGACATCGGCGCCAATTGTTGTAGGCAAGGCTAAGCTTGTGAAGAGGGATCTACGTGCAACAAAAAGGCTTCTTTTCAGACATATAACGAAATCCCAGAACCCCTAATCAATATTTACCAAGTCTCAAAATACACGAAAGTCACGAAATCACTGTCTTACTGCCAATTCTGAAGTTGCAATTACTTTCTTCTTCAAAAAATAGCCATGAAAGTCTCTACCATGTTGTTTGCATTTCTCGCAGGGCCTTTTGCTATGCACGCGGCGGCGAATTTTAATATAATAAATATAAATTCCCGGTTGATTAAAGTAGTAAGACAATAAGAACCTCTCTAATAACTAGGTTATAATTTATAAATATAAATTTATAATCACAATTGCTACTTAGCACGCTTCACGGTTGACGATGATTCCGGAATCTTCATGATACTATATTAGGCCGCCTGTCTATGCTTCTTCGGGTTGTGCTAAACATTTCCGATTAGAATCTATTTCTCCTAGGCCTTGTATTTGTCCATGCAGCCCTCAAACGTATGATGACAGTCTGCTTTGCTTTTCACGAGGCAATGTCTCCCTGCAGGTACGCAGGAGTTGGCAAAATCCAAGCGAAGCCTATCACAAGGTTCTTTGGCCACACGTTCTACGTGTTCTGACAAGCTTACTGGCTCACTAGTTATCTTTCCAGCTTTGTATGCGTCAACGCAGCTCTCAAGCGTATCATAACCGTCTGCCTTGCCTTTCGCGAAGCAATACTTCCTCGCAGCCAGGCAGGAGTTAGAAGCACTAAGAGCACGCTTGTCACAGAATTCTTTGACCAACCCTTCATCGGACTCTAACCAAGGAGTTGGCTTGTCGGTGCTTACGTCCCGACGAATATCTTCCCAGTCTTTCATGCGCGCGATCTGGCCGGCGGTAAACTCACTACGGGTGCAGGTCCTACATTGATGATTAGTCGGCTTAAAATAATTCTATACTGCTTCTGCCAAGCGGGAAGATAGACTCACGAGATGTCCATGAAGTTCTTTATCATGTCAGGATCCGGCAAATTGCACGAGTGAGGGGGGTCGCCAGTCGGGCAAAGCTTAGTCGGGCCTGCCTGAGCAACCGTATCACCAATTTCGTCTCCTTCACCTCCGCAGCCGCCTTCGAAAGTGTGCAATAATCCAAGCCAGTGTCCGATTTCGTGAGTTGCCGTCGAATTACTAATGTTCTCAGCAGTACCATTACTACCAGGCAGCATTCTTGAAAGAAGAGAGCAGCCATCGAGTGTCCACCTGAGGCTATCAGGACGAGTGGTGGGAAGGGAGCATATGCCCCTGACACCCCAGTCCTGCTCAGATTTATACGGAATGTCCGCAACAAAATACAAATTCAGGTCGTTGTACCCTCCGCCTCGTAGCTTCAACCTCATGGCGAATTCGTCCTTGCCCAAAGCCCAGTCCGCGTTCTCCGTATAGCTCAAATTTTTTAAGCTAAAAGAAATTCCCGCAGGAGCATATTGATGATTGATGATGTCTATATTTCTGTGAATAATTTCCTCCTAAACGTGGATTAGCAGAAGTAATCTGAAAATGGTAGGGGAGAGGTCTAGCGCACACTTAGATAGCCGCCCTCGACGGACTTGTTGGCATACACAACATGTGCAAAGGTTGCGACTTCAATATCTGCCCGTTTTCGACTACTATGGAGTGACGAATTGGTTGCGAGATGGTGGGAAATTTGTAGAAAGTGCGCGCTTGGACGTTCCGATCCGCAGCCTCCTGCCAAACTTTGTCGTGCATTTATCAGCGCCGCCTTGCAAACAGATGCCGTCAAAATGGCAACTGTAGAGGGAAGCAGAAACATGACGGAGCAGGATAAGTCAGATATACGGACCAACAAAATTGAACGGTCATGTATTGGTAGAGCACTACTGCAATGTTCACAAGGCAGCGCTTGTATTCCTTGTTCAACTTTTTATATCTTCTCCATTGGGCGAAAGCATACTGGTGCCACGCCCGCCTACCTGCTCTGTGGTCGCAATTCCGCTCTGAAACCAATTTAATTGCATTGCAGTTGCGTGCTCATGAGTCATATTTAGTCTCAGTTATAAGGTTATCCCTGCTGCTTGTTCCGAGTTGGCCACGAATATCCACAGCCGCGAGTCGTCCAGGCTGTCAATCAGGTCGCTCATTCATTCAAGCATAATGCTGTTGTCGGACAAAATCTAATGCAGGAGCTAGACCTTGGTGGACGCGCGTCTCTCTAGAGCATCTTAGGCTGACCTAAATTGAAAGGCCTGGCGGGAATATTTATGAAAGAACTGGGAACACAGGCGAATTTATAAGCGAAGGCCAGGAGCTGGGAAATGGTATATGGTCAATTAATAACAGCACTGAGGCAATAGCCGAGGCCAGCAAGGCCTCGGAGATCCAGGCTAAAGCTGATTGCGCGGTGGCAACAGTAGTCGTAATACTGCTACCTTGGCAGCAGTATTCAAAAAGCCAAATTAACAAGCATAGAGAGGAGAGCAGGGGGTTACCAACTTGGCGCCGGAAAAGCTCTCCAGCGTACATGTAGGTTAGAAGCTGACCTGTCTTCTGAGACAACAACGCTTTACTACTTTCTGCTACTATCGGGAGAACTGGGGGACTTTGGTTTAATTCCCGGTCAGCAATGTGTAGAGCTACCAACAGCCACGCATAAACAATCGGGCACGTATTGATCAGGAACACAAGGCCAAAAGCTCGCGTATTACTCCTTTGAGACCAGGACGTGTTCCCTCAGCCGTCTTGTCGCACTCCAAGGTTTAGTATATCCGGTAAGGTCAGTATCGGTGAACCAAATACACCTTCTTGCAAATGCAGCTGCTCCTGCAAGCTGTATTCAAATCGGCTGTGATTAGTGTGATAGATCTGTTAAATCCATGCATGGCTGAAACTGTTCTCAGCCTTTGATATGCAGTGACACGGCTTTGGATAGGATATGTTCGTATCCATATAGTGCACTATGCCTGAATGCCAGATGTGTGGAGGAACTGGGGAGAATGGCGGTTACAAATGAACGATGTGCGATAAGAAATAACGACAACTGCTCACCAATTGCGACAAAAATTTGAAAGCGGTCGAGAAGAGGCAAGGAAATACTTGAAGCGGCATATTGCGCCCGCCGGATCACGTCGAAGCTGAACCGACTATTAATGTTGGGTGGGACTCTATACATTTTGGTGGACCGTATGTAGGATGAAATACAAGGTGATTCGTCCTCTGTACTAAGATCAATGCAAGAGGCATGGTGAAGTTTTGCGCATGTCTTGCAAAAACTCCAGTGCCGATTCAGCCCTCATGGGCTCTTGGGCTCTTGGGCTCTTGGGCTCTTGGGCTCTTGGGCTCTCGGGCATGGGGAGCAGGACCCCAGGGTGTCAAATATGTAGTTGGATGATGACTCCGAAATGGGACCATAGGCATCCCATGCCAACACGTGAGTACATATGTAGTTACATAGTATTTGTTGGACCGATAATTATCCGCCAGCCTTTTTTTTACCAGCATGTCGATCGGCACGACCAGTGACGCCAATTGAACGCAAAGCAGCTCTGTGTGTGCGGCGTTCTTCCCTCGGCGCGAGGCCGTCAATTAGGCAAGCCTCTGATTTGCTGCTTGGAGCACGAGGGATCACACGTGACTGACTCCCAAGTCGTACTTTTTTGCTAATGCACTACCTCGTATCGCCTTTCTTTCTTTTTTTCATGATTCAGAGCAGATTCCTTCCCAATATTCCCCCAACAAAGGCGTTTTCTATAACCTTTTGGCCGCTATGGAACCGATATATTGTCAAGGCTCCACGTCGCTTTTCTGTCGAGTAAAAAAGGGTGTTGTGCTCAAGTACCCCGTTCCTATCTGGAGAGAAAGCAAGTCGCATACAATGCTTTCTGACAAAATTGCCAACAATTTCTTAGTAGAACGACAAATTTTTCAATTAGTAGGAAATCATCCCAGGATCGTTCGGTAAGTTTGCTTATCTTGGGGAAGGAACATTATTGCTAACGCTGTAGAGATATCTTGGTTGGCACGACATACCAGGAGACCAAAACGGATTACTTCTTGCTGAGTCTAGCCATGGCAATCTTCAGCGCTACTTGGACGATAAATTTGAGACGATTTCTTCTACAGTCCGCAAAAAATGGTGTATCCAAGCAGTGGAGTCCATTGCTTACATCCACAGGTGCGGCGTAATACATTCTGATATACGTCCTGAGAACTTTCTGGTTCATGCCACTTCCTCAACTTCGCTTGACCTCTGGCTTTGTGACTTTGGCGGCTCAACGTGCGAGGAGCTTGGCTTGGATGGGGGGCATTTGCCTGACTCGGGATTCTACGACCCCAAGTCACAGCCAGAATCAAACCCACACACGGATATATTTAGCATCGGGTCAGTTATCTACACAATCGTCACGGGGCATTGGCCATACCGGAGTTCCGGTCCGTTCAGAACGGGAGATGAGATGGAAGAGTACAGACAAAAGGTCGATCACTTGTTTGAGCTTGGTCAATTTCCGGACGTCAATGGGCTCTTTGCAGGCAAAATTATGATGAAATGCTGGTTGAACGACTACGTGAGCGCAGATGACCTTTTCAGAGAAATAAGCCTACTAAATGACTGAATAGAACGTCAATCTTATACCAATTTTCTTGTAGCAAATCATGCCCAATCACCGTCCTTCTTCTCCTAGAGAGACATAAGCCATGTACAGTGCACGATTCAAAACACTGCACCATCTTAAAGGATGTTGAATCCTTCCTCCTAGTTTGTCACGACCACAGCCTGTGGCTTTTGATTTGGTCAGTATATATTAGTCCATGTGAGATGGTGACTTATGTCATGGGTTCCTGCAACCGTATCTACCACATTTCCCTTTGTCTCTATTGGACCCGAAAGGAAGCCTGATTATCTGGTGGCCTGATTTGGTTTGCTCAGAGCAGGCATCAAAACTGATGTCTTCCTCTACCCTGGCGCCACAGGTATAGATCGTTGTGGAGTATCTCACTGTGCACATGTTGATAAACTTATCGCCAAATAGGTGAAAAGTGTGACAAGGGTTCAGTATGAAGGCCTAGAAAAAAAAGGGCTTAATTTAATAATAATCTCAAAGGGTCTCTAATATCTTAAATTACTATAAAAAAAGGGTAATTACCTTATATATATAAAAGAAACACCTAAACTTAAAGTTCTTATCTAAGTATATATTCTAGCTAATAACTAATAAGTCTTATATTTGTAAAGACCTTTTCTTAGGCTTCACGATCTGTTGGGCCTTTTCCGTGTAACTGGAAGAGAGTATCATGAAAATTTGCAACTGACAAGATCTCGTTTGGCAGAAAACAAAGAAAAGACCCAGCACCTTTAAATACATTTTAAGCTCTCGCGGATTCCGTGTGGTATCCTCACCGACCCGACTACACAAGATGAACAGTACAACGGGAAGCGGTAGCCGCTGACCTAACCATTGTGATACGGCGCGGGTTCAGAAATGAAGTAAAGTAGCACGAATGCCCTGAACCACTGTGGGATTCAGGCTGTGGTGATGGTGCATACGTGAAGTGGTCGCAGAGAGTAATTTGTCCCCATCCAAGTCTGCATATTTCAATGACATGGCGAGTCCAATCAGGACTGCTGGTGCTCATGGTGGCCGCGGCCGAAATTCAGCTCCTAAGGATTGGGCGTATTCGCCAGATCACTACCCTGCTATTTGTAGCTGGTAACACTTGGTATATATAATTAAAAAAAAAGGGTATATATATTTAGTAACCTATTTCTACCAGCTATTTAAGTCCGAAAGTATTAGTAGCAGGGCTCTATAAGAACCTGGAGCGGTGCCGGGGTGGGTGCCAAAAGTGCCAAAAAGTCTGGTGCCAAAATTAGTGCCAAAAGGTCTGGTCTCTCATAAACTGAATAATAGGCCCAATTATATTCCCTGGTATTCGAATTCTTCGTAACTAACATGAACGTGGTCCCTGGGGGGAAAGGGATTAGCTCAATAGCAAGGAGGCAGTTTTCAGTAAAGAAAGGGCGTCTCACCAGTGATTCTGCGTGACGTCGCCCCTGTCATTCATAGTCCGCCAGTGCTCCCAGCGGTTGGGCTCAGCGTCGACGGTAGGATTCCAGATCTTCTGCCCCCAAATGACGTACTTGAGCTTGAGGTCTTTGCGGTTATGCATGACCCATTCGGCTATTTGCTTGCCCGACAGCGTGGGAACCTGTCGTTTTTTTTTTCGTCAGTCATGACCTCTTCATATATCAAGGTGAGCTATTTGTATGCAACATTGAGGGACGTACGCCAAAGCCGTCGGAACACATCATGTCGCTCGCCAGGCCGCAGCAGTGGTCCGAGGTGCCGGGACACTCGCAGTCCCGCTTGCAGCCGACGTCCCACACGCGGCCCGGGAAGGCGGCGACAATCTTCTTCGCGCCCTCGACGCTGCTCGGCTTGCAGTCGCCGACCGGGGGGGTGGCGGGGGCCGCGTAGCCGCCGAAGCCGGAGTCGCGGCTGGAGCAGCACTGCATCTGGGCCGGGCCCGGGCAGAGGTTGGCCGTGGACGAGCCCGCGCAGTCGGATTGCCAGCGGCAGTTGCTGGCGCAGTCGGGGCCGCACCGCGCCTTGGAGCAGCACTTGATGTCGGCGCCGTCGGCAGGGCACGCGCCCGTGGCCGTGGTGCCGTTGGCTGCGGCGCAGGCGGCCTCGGTCGTGCACACGCCTGCTTGGCCGTCGGCGTAGCAGGGCTCGTTGGGGGCTGCGAGGGCCGTCGTGGCCGCGAGGCACAACAAAGTCACGACGTGGTGGCGCATTTTGGGCATCAGTCCATGTCGTCACTTGGGTCGTCGGTGGCAGCGAGGCGAGTCAATCGGGTCGGTGCTGTTTTATAGTCATGATGCGGCCATGTTTGCCGGCGGCTTGGCCTTGGTCCTTGGATGATGCTGGGCGCATTTTGGTGGTGGTGAATAGGGGGTGGTGCGTCGAATCAGCATGCTGTGGTGGAATCGGCACTGGCATGTCCCTGTGATATTCAGAGTTTAGAGTTTGGAGTCTAGTTCAGGTCCAATTTTTAGATTGACATGGCGAACAAGGTTTCGGTTACGCTTGACGGCTCTTCAGGTTCTGCGCGCGCTGCGTCCCATTGGCACCAACTCGTCATGTCATGACTCGTCATGATGCTCACCGCTAAAATAGCCCCCAGGTGCCCTTTCCCGACTGTCAATGCTGGAGTCTCTTGACGCCCTGAGGGATAACACGAATTCGTACCAGCTTGACACTACAGCAAGCTTCAACTTCCCAAGCATCCTCTCACCCTCCATGTAAGCTGGTGTACGGAGTGTATTTAGCCGCTTTCAATCCCTATTGAACCAAATGTTGGCAAATCGCATCCTGATTCCTGCACACTCTCCCACTGCTCACTTTTCCATCTACCAGCTACAACACCATATCCCTCAAGGCCTAAATACACGCATCGTCATCTTTGTTGGCGGAACCGTATTCAAGACGGCAGCAGCGGTGGAACTGGCTGCATCCTACGACATTCGTCTTCAAGCCAACGCAAAGCCAATCATGGTGCATACCGCTGCTGACAGATCCGCAGCAAGCTGTCGTCGCCTGGACCTCCAACGCTTGACCTTTGGGTTTGTAACAAAAAGAACCTTTTTCCGTCATCGGGCGAGGTTTGAATAACCGGCCGCCGACCCCAATCGGGGGCTTGTTGGCCTGAAGGCGGCATTTGTCGCCCTGCTCACCGAGTGGGCAGGCCGAGGTGAAGTTGCCAGCAACAGGAGGGCCGTCCCCGGCGCTTCTATTACTGGTAATACTGCCGATGAGGAAGAGAATCACGGGGATGAGGTTCCATATGATGCGCATCTTGGTCGTTTCTGTACAAGAAAGGGACTAGTTAGCTGCCTCGATTCGACTCAACTTGTAAAGTATAAACCTACAACGTTGTAAAAGCTAGGCGATGGGTATGGTAGATTTCCGCGCGGTCTGACTCGCATGAGATTCTGGTCCAGACACGCCCTCGTGAATATTTGGATGTTTCTGCTACAAGTCTGATGATGTCCCGATTTGGCTCGCTTTCAAGCCCAACCCTGCCGCTGCAAGACGGAAAGCCGGCCTGAGACTGACTAGACGAGTAACGTGTTGCCAGACTCAGTAGTAACATAGGACCAGACCCTTTTCTCGCTGGACAAGTGCTGTTGTTGATTGACTTCAATCTGATAGGAAGTGAATTTGGCTCGTTGATGCTCTCCTTCTGCCCGTGTCTGCTCGCTGGGCAGCAGCCTCGCGTGCTTGCAGAATAATGTCCTCTGAGAGAATGCCTCGAGGCAGCCGAGCCCTAGAAAACCTACGGTTTGTCTTGGTACACAGCAAAAACGTCTGGTTTTAAGCGCAGTATTCGTCTCACGCACGTCTCCGAGTGGCCTGTACAGAGTCCGGAAAAGCGAAATCACTTCTGAGACGTTATGGGTGCATGATGCGGAGTCATCGGCATCCATGGGTCGCATCGATGATGGACTGTATCCTTGAATCGATCTGACTATCGACGGGATTCGCCTTCTTATAATTGGAAATCCGGGGGGGCGGGGGGGCACCTTGCCATTGAAAAGGCCCTAATTCGAGTATTTTGACTAGATAGCTTTTAATTTGAACCTTGTAGCCTAGTCCCAGCCTTCCAACCTAATTTGGGTCTTCTAGATGACGATGGCCGGTTACATGACCACTCGATGATCTAGATTACGTATTCGTTGACAGGAATGAATGTGCGTTTTACAGTCGACAGTACCTACTGGCTTGTCCACACGGCGAGCTTAAGACGGGGAATACTGCCTCTAGATGAACATGCACGACGGTACGGGTTGTTAGCAGAAGTTAAAGCTGACGAGACGTCGGGTCTGGACCGCCGTCACAGCCGCTTCCTAGCTAGACGAACGGATTCAATATTGCCAATGTTATCCTAGAGGCAGGATAGCTTAGTTGCTAACAAAGACATGTCTTCTCGCTGCCGTATTGTAAACTACAGACCTCAAAGCGCTAAATATTCAGCAAAATGTCTCCTAACAGCCAAGTTCAGCATTGTAAGAAAAGAGCTTGCAATACGTCCCGCAACAACTACGAAGACGCAGAGCTCTTCTCGCTGCCCTTGATGATAAACTATGTGTGACTTCGTAGAATGACCGCAACTAGGGAGGAGCCCCGGTCAGGTAGTGTACGGTAGGTTGCTACGCCTCGGTCGGTAGTTACGGTAGCGATGGGTGGTAGCGTCAGAGACAGTGTTGCCGTTATGACATGATCCTTAACTTGAAAGTGTCGAAAATATCTTTGGACTTGTAAGCTTTTATTCGGCTACCCTCAATTGTCCGCACTAGGGGGACATCTTGCAGGTCTAACTGTCATATGATGAGACCCCAACAGCCTTAGAGTTTCTCCTGCATAGGCCTAGACTTTATCGTCATCTTTTAGACCCAAGTAGGTACGCCTAAACTCGACAATGAAGAGATTGTTGTCCAGTCACGAAAGAAGGGCGTGTATTTTCTGGGGTTCGATGCACGGGTTTACAGGGTGGCCACGCGCGACAGGCTACTCTCAACACGAACAATTACCATCCGTATTAAAATATCTCAAAGCTACAATTCATGTCTCATTGTCCAAGTTTTAACCGGTGTACATCTCAATCGTATCCAGTATCATTACATCAATCATATGCGCCATCGAATCTGGAAGTTGATACGCATCATTTCCCAGCCACGGCATCCCCCGGCTTTGGTAGATATTTGCCCTCCTCGTCAACGCCCTGTCTCTCGGCTCTGTTTATTCCCTGTTTCGAAACAAGATCGCCGACGGGCTGGGCGAGGCCGCCCTGACTCAGCTGACCGGCAACAAGTCCATGAACGCCATCTTGCAGCTTGTCGACCTGCTCATTGCCAGTTACCTTGGTCTTGTCAAGATTATCTATCGGGAGTGTTAGAGTCCAGCTTTAATAATAGTTTATCGTTCTCCAATGTGTAAGAATCGCACCTCTCGTAGTGTAGCTTGCTTTGTTATCACTTGTGAAGTATTTGAGATACATGTCTTCTATCCAGGGGATCCAGATGTCTTTCTGTTTCTGGTATTGTGCCGATGCCCACTCCATATTGGTAGATGTCGTCAAGGTTGACCTATGTGCTGATTGCAGAGACTGTGGTGACTTGAACAGACGAATGTGTGTCGGCTTGAATGCTTTTTAAAGATCTTTGGGAAATGATATCATATCCCTCGATGCCTGGGCCCTTTGTGCTGGGTACTACGTCATCTGGTGTGTCCGCGCGCCCTGATTGGCAGAGACTCCCAAACAGGAAGCAAAAACTTGGAAATTGAACCACACTTCAAATGTGGCGGGCTGGCAACCCCTTGGATGGAAGGGATTAAGTAACAAGATAATGAGTTAAGCATGATTGCAGTGCTTTGCGTAGTTTACATCTCTTCTGCCGCATTAAATATTCATTTTGAAATAACCTGATTCGGACAGTATGGACTCCTTTGTTATCTAAATACATACACTTGATCCCGCTACGTCGTGATGTACTTACTTATAGATAGTTGGGCCTTATTTCCCCGTCTTTTCAGAAGCCTTGTGCCGTGGTTTCGCTCGGCCGTCTTGCCATGTTAAGGCCAAGCTACGTGGATGACACCAGTCACCAGAGGATAAACCGCTTCTACTCATGAGCGACGCCTCATAATAACATTACTCTAATCGGCATAGCGTCAAATCCCTCTTAATTATTCTCATAGTTCATCGGAAGTTCTATTACCCCTCATATCCAAAAAAAGATTTCCTCCGGGGCTGCCCGCAATGCATCGTCATGATGACTTCATCCATCCCTCACCTACGTCTTATTCAGGCAGACTAACAAACAGTTCTCTAATCATGACCACACAGTCATGAACTTCAATGAACATAGTACATCAAGTAAAATTTCAAGATAATGTCGCTACAACTCAGCGCCGCAAGGCGTCTCACCATCAAGCGGCCTGCTTCCCTCTGCCACGCCTATCACAGCCCGCCGCGACTATCGCTGGCTGACAGAGTTCCACATGCCCGGCAAACCCTCTCAACACGGTCCGACGAAAATACAAAGTCAGTCCATGACGATGATGTTGCGGCGCTAAAAGATGCTCCGTACTGTCGCAACAAGACGCGACCTGAGGACGAGCTCCTCGCTGCTGCGTCGGAAGCCGATGCCCAGCGCACTGTGAACCCGTTGGAGGCGAGCGGTGCCAATACAGATATTAGCAAGCTAAGCAGCGATATGCTGACGGGGGAGTATGTGAGTATCAAGTGGGAAGAGGCTAAGCGGGAGCGTAGTCGGTACGGGAGGACGCCTGGTAAGAGAGAGAAGTTGCACGTCTGGAAGAAGACTAAAAAGGTTAGCTTTAGATAGCAACAGTTAATATTTCCATGAAAAATTTACTTGACGTTACACTGGGATCTTTCTGTCACGAGAGGTTTCAATGGTTCAGCAGGCGTGATGAACCAATGCCCGTCATCTACGTCGATGCTGATTACGAGGCCGCAGCCGATTGTTATATACAGGTGAAGGATTGTGGTTCCGAGGCAAATAACAGCTATACCTTGAATGATGTGGAAGCTGTAAGAGTGATTCTAGAGTTTTCTATAGCGTCCTGTAAGCTTCTTACTATTTCGGTAAAGATTCCGACGCTGGAAAAGGAGAGATTTTCTCCATCTCCGGCGCCAGTCCTAATACTGTACTTGGGTATGCATTGCCGAGTGCGCCAAAGGCATGGTTCAAGAGCTAAAATTGTATTAGTGGCAGAAAGAGGCACAACGAAACTGTTACGAACCCTCGCGAGTGTTGCCGTTCTACGTACAAGTGCGGTGTTTCTGGCCTGCATGACAGACCCGTATCCCATCTCTACCGTTTCTTTGAGCGTACAATGAGTTATTATGAAAGAATTATTCAGCAAAAACGCTTTGCGAGTAGGTACCTCATGCATCGTGGCATCAGATTCATTGACAGCGGCCCCGCCCCCGTCCACATGTATGTATGTACAAGAAGGATCTGCATCCGTAATCTGTACAACCTTGGCCCACTGCAGATTGTCTCGTATAGAGTTCGTCTCCAAGACTAAATTTTGAACAAGGAGTACAACATGCACAAGGTATGTGGGGACTAAGTTTTTGGTCCGACGGCAAACCACTTACACGGTGGTGACCTCAACACAATGGTTGTCCTTCATGTCTGATAGACGCATAAACCATGCATGTCTGCAGGGTAAGTACTCCGTACTGCGGTTGGTTAATGGAGCGAAGATTGATGTCTTGGCAAGTGAGCCATGCGGCAAAATGTGGAATGGAGGCAAGTTTCACACATCCGCTTGGTCTGTCCTCGGGCGTACTGGAAAGTCCTCCATGCCTCCTGCCCCTTGTACTCGAATTACTAACATTTTGACAATACTTCTACCCATCAGTGCCGATTACTTACTCGAATGATTGGAAGATACTTCCTTGGGGCCTTTGCCCAGCCAAAGAGATGCTATTCAGACCATCACTCTCACAGTATGTTCCATTCAAGCAAATCAATCACCGAAATATGACAGTTGGACAGCATATCTCCGTCATAACTTTTGATTTTGATCAGAATATGTAACTTGGAAAGAATATCACAAAGTATCCTGGTCCACCTCCGTCTCTATACAGACATTATACCCCCAACCTTTTCAAGTTGTAAATACATCAGCGGCTCTCAAGGTCTGAAATCGTATCCAACGCGAGAAACTTCATATATGTTTGTATTATGTGCTTGGCGACTGAAACAGGAAGCCAGTGGCGTATGGACAGATGTTGCAGGCCGGTGTGATTTAGTGGCGTACCCAGCAGGTGTTGGGAATGCGCTCGCCCTATAAGAATTTTAGTACTATCCTAGTATAAAAATCGTTTATACAGTGAAAAGCATACCTTGTTGCAAGGCTTGTGGCAGCAGTATGCCTTGCATTCTTTCTTGAAAAGCCCAACCCCGATGTCAAGGTCAAGGTCAAGGTCAATAATTCCAAGGTCGACGTCGACATTAGCATCAACGACAATCAAGTCTTTGTCGACACAAGGAACGTATTTGCATTGATCACCTCCGTGGTCTTTGGTTGGGGCAGCAAGGGCGACGGTAGCCAAAGCGAGGATGGAGGCAACGGAGAACTTCATGGTTGCGGTTGGGGGTTTGTGAGAGAGGGTGATGTTGATGTGAAGAAGAAGTGATTGGGTCGTTTGTGTGCTGATGATGACAAGAAAGATTCCAGGGACTGGGGAGGACGGATGGATTATTTATACTTGGAAAGAGCCTTTACAAAAATTTCTCGACCTTGGTACTCGGTAGAGCTCGTGAGTTGCTACGGAGTAGCCTCGATGGAATCTCCGATAGGGGGCATTTTCTTTTGCTTTTTTCTACGTACTACATCATCGCCAGTACGAAGTAGTGCTTCCTTTTTTCAGTTATCGACTAATCCTCGTATAGAAGTCAAGACAAGGCTTATGGCTGGTGGTAATGTAGTGGCCGAAGGAACCCTGTTGGTGCCACCCTTTGCTTGGGCCTGGCCACGTCCGTGCGGCTGTGCCAACACAGGTGCTTCATTCGTACGTACTTGCATAAAAGGCTCTAGCCGAGATCGAGTTGACCCCAAGTTTACATTGTACTACGTCCATGAACAACTCGTCCAGGGTCCCTAGCCCAAAGCTAGTCAGACGCCATGTGTCAATGGTAATTTTCTAGCTGGTTAACAGTGTGGTTATTGCACCAGTTTATTGGAGGAACCCACCATATATGGTGTCAACACTGGGCTAGCAATCCTTTTCGCTAACGACATCCCATCGATGTGTTATGGCCGTTGCTTCTGTCTCTGGTTGGTTATAATTAGCACATATCTGAACCTATTCTTAGTTCAACCGTCAATTGATGACTGGATTTTTTCTAGCTCCAGAGGCACGGAGTAGTACGCTGTCATCCAGCCTATGGAGGACTTGTTACATCTGGGAGACCACAAGCGAAGGGTCGGGAGAAAAGAAAATACAGTGCTCTATGGAGGCCGAAGGCGCACCGCGATATCTCCCTCCATGTTGTGAGACATGGCAAAAACACCTGATTTTGAGATTATCGTTCCATCATAGCTGTTCTTGGCAGCAAGGAACAAGCCAAGAACCCTCGTCCGTCATGTCGGCGACCTTTGTCTAGACTCTCACCCCAGTTGCCGATCCTCCACGCTGGGACGTGCCGAATCGCCCACATCACAACTCAACTCATGTGTCTTGGAGCATTGGCGCCCAAGTGGGTCGGGAACTTGATCCATTTCTGGCTTTAATGTTTCCACGTCTACTTTACTAGCGCCAGGGGGAAAAGTACGCTTACGTATACACAAGATGCTTGACAAGGCAACTTGTTATACGCCCAGCCCTCCATCACGAACCTCAAGCCGGGATGCTTGTGCTTCACCGGAGAGAACTGTTGTGTTCCTGCTTTCTTGCTCCTCCACAACACAAACAAAACATCAATACGAGCTTTGCGATTGGCCTTGTTCAGCGCCGGCGTTCAGCCCTGCGTCAATTGGGACAGGTCACATTAGGAGCTTCTGCTAAGCCACCCGACAACCTTATTGGGAAGTATACATAGGAGACAGTGAGACAGGCGCCATCCAAGAGCCGCGGGCTGAGCGACCGTTGCTGCGGCCAGCCTAAAGGGGACGACAACGGCCAGCCACGCTGCCATCGGCAAATGTCACCGCCGGGAGTTGATGAACCGTGCATGGTCTGCCTCCCCAAAATGTCAGATGCCATGTCTCACTTCTACTCAGCCAGCTGTCATGCCACAAGAAATTATGACCAAAAAGCCATCGGGCGCGGGCGATCCTCAGCCATAGCATTTGAAAAGTTGATTCGCGGCTTTCGCCTTCAGCCGTTCATGTTTTGTCGCCGTCATACTAATGCTGACTTGGGACACTCAATCATGGCGGGAGTTTTATGCAAAAAGAAGGGTAGTACTCCGTACCGAGCAGGAAGGTGGCATGATATCTACAGAGGCACCCGATCGGGGTTGTATTGGGGGCCGACGTTCCGACCCGGACACAAGACTGTGCTTCAATAGCGTGGCACACCGATGGTACGACTTCCATCATGGCGACGAAAACCTACTTAGAATGGTGGTCTTAGTACTACATGTTGTGCAGAGACATGTTTTGCAGAGTCACGATGCAGTGTTCAACACGGTTTCTTCAGCAAATTCGGCTGAATCATCAGACAATGGAATGGTTTCGCAACAAGCTTAAAGAACTGCTGCATCTTATGTCAGGTAAAGCTGATTGCGCGGCTTGTCTCGGGCAAACAACGTGTTCAGCACCGCTGATCAGTCTGCGGTTCTTGCATATCAAACATTTCTATGGGAAGGGCCTAGTTCGCTCTCTGTTTCACTTGCTCCGCCAGCCGGCGCCCTCTAGGTCTGACATCAATCTGTTTAGGATGGACATTTTGAGACCTCGGCGCCTTCTAGCGGCCCGACAGCCCATTTCGTCGAACCAGCTCCCGACAAAGTATCTCGTCTGTTGAGAATGCAAGCCACAGGCTCTCGGGACCCGGAAACTTGATGTAGGGCTCATCAACTGCCGGTTTGTACTACCAATCTTCTCCGTACTGACGACAGTCGTATCCCGTATGCGGCATGGAAGTGGCTTGACAGCAAGCAGCTTGTATTTGTGGCTCGGCATAACTCAAGTTTTTTGCATAAATCTGACCCCTCATTCAGTCTTTAAGCCACACCCAAACACGGCATGAGTTGTAGATATGCTCAAGGCTATCTTTTTCCGCAATTACCTGCCTCCGCTCATCGATAGAATCTCTACTCTAGGCCAATGTGGAAGCTACCTGAGACCAGTTTAATTAGGCTGACCATAGGGATCTAGAGAATTTGGACAGCTGAGGAGGCGTAAAAGTTGAATTATGAAAGAACGGAACCAGTCAAACGAGAAATTGCTTCACCGGAAGCTAGACTCTCCCCAGGGTCGATATGAAGCGCAAGAGCTGGCCGCCACTTTCACGCTACGCAGTATTCGTTCCCAGGACGAGCTTTCCCTGAAGTAATACGACGCCGGCAATGGTGTACTAATTTCCGACGGCACGTAGCCGTAGTGGACGAAAAGTCGCGCAAACAAACAGGGCGGAATTGTCCTGTTTTTGGAGCATTAACGCCGGTATCTGAGTATCCAAACGGCTCTTGTGAGACTCTGGCATGCGCATCTTTCGGGTAACAACATGACCGAGCCAGGGGCGGCAGCACATGGTAGTATCCCCATTGTGCGTCTCCGGGAATTAATTCATGCATTAGTGCAACCATTCAGTTTTTGGAAATTACAGTATTTGGGGACGTCTGTTCTTTTTTTGTTTTCCGCCCTTTTCAAAAGTCCATCGGAAGATGGGCACAACTGCCAAGACTTCAACCATTGCCGAGGCAAAAATGACACCAGGGGCCGCCCTGCATTGATAGAGGGCAGATTTAAATTACCAGGTCCGTTGAAAGGGGTCCAAAAAAAAGCAATGGGAATGGTGCCTGGGAAAAGCAGGTATGGTCACGGCGGGATTCATGCTCCAGAGTCCGGACAGAGGACTTGGTTCCGATTCTCATCAACTCGAAATCGCAGCTCTTTCCCGGCCAAGGAAATCCGCATCTTGTCGGTTTCGAATCGCATAAAGACAACTTATTGGATGTACTAACAGAGTCTGAAGATATGTTCAACATGAAGCAACGCAGGCACGTTGTTGTATTCCCCATCTAGTACGACATTGGCGCCTCCAAGATGCACGATTCCGCGACAATGGGTAGGATCGTCCATCGCCTTGTTCCAGCAGCCAAAGCATCGCTAACCTACCTGTGTATTTACCCAGCGAGCGTACATGTGTATAAACAGGGTGCCATTTTCATCGACTTGCCACGCTCCAAAGGAGATGCCTCTTCAAACGTCACTGGTACTTGACGTAATCGAGTGTTGGTGTAGGGTAGCGGGGTGAGTGCCCAAGTTAAAAAACTTGGCAGCAGCGGGACAGTGGCGCAGTGCCTTCCTCCACGACATCACCGAATTATTGGATGGCGACTTGGGCTGTGTCACCTGATCCAAGCCTCAGCACTGAGCTTCAGTCTTCACGGCAGTCTGCCAAGTCCGACGACGGCAACACCAAAACTTGACGCCTTTTATCCGGCCCTTCGGTAACCCCGCCATCCTGTCTCGTCGTGCATCGGTGACCATGTCGGTCGCAAGGCGGGCGATAATCCCAAGTCCCAGGTCACGGTAGCCTCCAACATGTCGCTAGCCAAGAGAAACGATGGTGCGTGCCAGTCGGGAATCCGCGGTGTCAATCGGCAAACATGGCCGTGACGCTTTGCGTGTGGCGAATCGCGTGCTGACCCCCTAGGCAAAGGCTGCTACGAGTGTCGGATGCGGCGCGTTCGCTGCGACAAGACGGAGCCCGAGTGCTTCAAGTGTCAAAAGAAAGGCATCAAGTGTTCGGGCCAAGGCATTGAGTGTCGATTCAGCAAACACATGAACCGGAAGCAGACACCGAGTCTTGGCTCTCCCCAACTGCCCGCCACATCGTCGAAGGCGTCCAAGAGCTATCTTTTTGTCAATGTGGAAAATACACACGACGGCGCTTTGCCGACTTCATCAGGACAACCGGGTGCTTCGACCACCGGGCCATCGAGTTCGACCATGAGCATAGTAGTGCCACACAGAAGCAAAGGGCGAGAGCTCGTCAGAGCCAGGCAAGCTGAACAATGCCGGCGTGTTGCATCGCTCCCGTCGCCTCGAGGGGCAATAGAAGTAGTGCCTGCCAGGTCGAGGATGCTCTTTGATCACTGTAATGATGGCCCTCTGGCAACCATGTAATCCTAGATGGGGCCAATCACTAATTGCATCGCAGTCTCAACCTTCATCGCTTCGAAAATGGTGGTCCTCGATTTCAATGAAAATGGCTACCGCCAGATAGTTCTACCCATAGCATGCCAAGATGATTTGGTCGCGCAGGCAGTATCGGTCATTGCAGCTTTTCATCTGTCCTCGAGAATGCCATCCATGCACATGGCTGCTGAGAGGGGCCAAGAATTGATCCTTTCACGGCTACGGCAGCAATCTCTCAATCTCGGACCCGGACAACTATTCAACATGTCAACATTGGCCACGCTACTGGTTCTTCTGGTTGGAGACACAATCACGGGCGCAAATAATTACGTCTACCTCCTCGAGTTACTTTCACGTCTCGCGAAGCTGGCGATGAATGACCCGCGTCTTTCCGACACCACCAAGGCATTTATTATGGAGCAGACAAAAATGTAGAGCCGTGCCCCAGTTGGAGCAGTCTTCAAGATTGAGTCCCTGCTAACTTCCTTGCCCAGGTTCCAACTGTTTGGCTTTCCGCTGTCAAGTCAAATGAAGGGCATTCAAACATTTACCAAATCGCCCGACTACTATTTGGACTTTATGACATCATCGCCTTCGCTTGGTTCTGACCCGGAACAGTACGCAAACATTCAAGTCATGAAGGATATTATCCGCCAAGCCTGCTACATCTATCGCAACCGTGCATCACACGAAGCAACCCGCGAATCATCCATTGAGGCAGTCGAAAGGCTTCGCCAGACTGTCACTCACTTGGACCCCAACGTGGAAGGCCGCCACGCCCTTGTATGGGCATTTTTTGTGGCGTCTGCTGAGAGTATTCTACCAGAACACCGTGACTTCTTTTACAATCGCCTGAAGGGCCTGTTTGAGTGTACGAGGTTCGGTAGCATTCCGCTCGCCCTCCAAACGCTGGACTACATCTGGTCGAAGCAAGACTCGACAAATTGGATAGAGATTGTGACGCATGAACGGCAAATATTGATCATGTAAAAACAGATACGGCGCTAGTTGAGGGGGTTTATGTTACGGCCAGTGTATACTCTTTTCTAGCTATCAGTGAACGACATTGCGCCTGTTGCTACTACGTTGCCCAATGTGACTGGATACGGTCAAATCTTGGCTCGTCCAAGCAAGTCGGCCCGCACAGCCGTAGCCGCCCTTCCTCCTTCCTCAATCGCACCATCAATGAAGCTGCGCCAGCCCAGTGCCCAGTCAGAGCAGGAAAAGAAGATGTCTCCCTGTCGCTCCCTCATGTCTTGCAGGTGGTCTGCCAACATGCCCGGCGCAGAAAAGAACCTGAAGAAAAGAAGACGATTAGCTACGTTCTTCCGTCAGCTCCAACTTATATAGGCACTCACCACGCTCCCTTTGCAAACTCGTCACGAGACCAGTTGTGAAAGACCTATCAACACAACGTCAGCAAATTGTTTCCTCCTTCCAGGCCCACCGGCACGACTTACAATCCTCTCCACATTCATTGGCGCGAAGCCCTGGAAAGCCTCAATGGTGCGCTCAATACTATCCTCCGGGTGGAAGTGGTTATGCTGCCCCCCAAACGCAACGACATGCGTGTTCCCCCGCGGCGTCTCGCCGTCGCCGAAACCATAAATGAGCGCGTTATGGGGGTAGCTGACGCCGGTGAAGGACCTCAGGTCGCGGTCGGCAATCTCGGCGTGCACCTTGACCGTCTGGTTGACGTGGCCGGCCCGGGCGGCGGCCTCCCTGCCCCCGGAGAGCGGCGGGTCGAAGCGCACGTCGGGCAGGACGTTGAGCGGCACGGCGCAGACCATCCTCCTCGCGCGGAAGGTCTGGCCGCCGCGCGTGGTGACGGCCACCAGGCCGGCGGGCGAGTCGCGGACGGCGGCGACGGGCTGGCCCAGCGCGTAGCTCAGGTTCCCCGAGGCGAGGGCCTCGCCGAAGAAGCGCACCGCAAAGGACGACTGGCCGCGCTTGAACTTGTACCTGACGAGGTGGTTGACGCAGCCGTCGTACGAGTAGCCGCAGAGCGCCCACCAGTGGAGGAACTCGTACAGCGAGGTGGTTTCCAGCGTGGCGCCGCTGCAGAGCAGGACAAAGGCCTCGACGCAGAGGCGCTCGTTGGGCGTCAGCTCGTTGTTGATGGCGGCCAGGCGGTCGGCCACCGAGACGCGGTCGTACTGCCGGGCTTGGGGGTTGAGCAGGCCGCTGTGAGGAAAGGGGATGACGTTGCGGCCGTGGACGCCGTCTACGTTGACGAGCTTGGACAGGCCTGACTGCATCAGCGCGTCCTGCATCGTTGGTTAGCTTCACCTTGTCTACTGTGGCATAAACTTATCCAGGGGGGGGGAGGGCAGTACTTCTTGGTCGTGGGTGAGGCTCTGCGTGCCTTCGGCCCCGGCTAGCAGGAACCGGTTGATGCCTCTGCTGAAGTCGTGCGATATTTCCAGCTCGTCCTGCATCCCGTAGCGGGCGATTTCTCGCCAGACGGTCGCCTGGCCCCAGTACACCCAGGTGCCGCCCATTTCGTACGGGTATCCCTCGATGTTGGAGGACCACGAGCGGCCGCCGATGCGGTCCCGGGCCTCGAGGAGAAGCACCTTGAGGCCTGGGCGGGGTTTTGCTGTTAGTTGGAGAGTACATGAAGCGCGGGTTCGGGAAGCGTCGACGTACCTGCTACGCTTGTGTCGCGGGCGGCCGTGAGACCAGAGTACCCTGCGCCGACGACGATGACGTCGTACTCTATGTCTGTGTTGGTGATGTTGGAAGCTGGCTGGATGGCTCCGAGGCAGGGGATGCCGGCGCGCAGGCCGTCCGCCTTGGTCCACGAGTATCCGTCCTTGGAGGCCATTGTCGTCATACAAGTGCCCTCGGCTACTGAACAAGATAGGATGGAAGTGAGTGCAGGAAGAAAGGGACACACACGAATACCATGTATTTATCTCCTTGCCGGACAGCAGGAATCAAAAAGAGCAAAACCACGTCATCAGATGCTGAGGTTTGTCGGTCGGGGGAAAGGGAAAGCTGTCTGCCCCCCGGCGGCATCAAACAGCTCAAAGCGACATGTCGTCGTCGTCCAACATGACACCACTGCCTTCTCCCCAAAGGGTAATTTCTCGAGATGCCATGCCCACACGGCAACTCGGATCGTGCCCTAGATCCCGGTGTCTCGGGATTGGTGTGTGCCGAATTCTCGAGAAATTGCCTATTCCGGCAAACGCGGCCGCGCATTGTTCAATATTCAAGTGGCTTCACCGCGGTCAAGCCACTCGCCTTTGGACTCGATGGCAGCACGGTTTTAATAACTGGTCCCCTCTTTCCCCACCGCAGATTGCCAAGCCGTCTGGTCAACGGCGCCACACGTCGAGAGTTTTACACAAAACAGGAGCCCTTGGAGGCGATAGTTGCCCACCGGTGGCGTTTCTGATGGCGACGATTTACCCCGGATTTTTTCAGCACGAGCCCGGAACACACATGGTCCAGGGATATCATATCGCGTCTACCCCGCATCCGTCCGGCCCGGCCATGGCGCGGACTCTCGCAGAATTTCCTCATTGGGACGCGGCAACATGGCAAATCGCCTGGGAACCGGCACTCGACGAGTCCACACCGGCTCCGCGAGCACCAGACTTGCAGACTGTGTCCGCGAGGCCTTCAACGGGCGCCCCGTCCGCCATGTGGTTGGCCTCGGCTCCACACCGTCGCCAGTCGGCAGTCGAGTGGTGCTACGGCGCACAACGCCTCGTCGGGGCCAGGCATCGGGACTTCAGGCGTCGGGCCAGCCACCTGTCTGGCCATGAGGATATAACTCGAGGGCCGTGGCCACGATGCGAGGCCGACGCTTGCTCGTGTCAAGCCCTTGTTTATCCTCTTCTTTGTGCGGCGATACACCCCAGCTAGTGATACGGGCAAAATGGGCGGTTCAGAGGAAATACCCGTGGCGAGCCATGGAGCTCTGCAGCAGCGTTTGTCGACCTTGTCGACGCTGGCCATGGCCTTTGCCATCTTGAAGTAGGGCCCCTCCCTTCCCTGGCTGTGCTACCGTCCTATGCGGCCGTGGTGCTGACGGTGTTTTGCGTGTGTAGTACGTGGATTGCACTGGCGGGGTCTATAGGGCTGATTGTGCCGTCTGGCGGATCCGTTGCCTTTTTGTACGGCTTCATCTTTTGCGTCCTGTGCTGTCTGTGCGTGGTGGCGAGCCTGGGCGAGATGGCTGCCATATGGCCGACTGCGGGTGGGCAGTATCACTTTGTCTTTGCGCTGTGCCCGGAGCAGACGAGGCTGCCTATTGTGAGTTTGCGCCCCGAGAACCCGGGCACAATGGGGAGGTTTGGTCTTTGCTAACCCGCGGCAGAGTTTCGTCGTGGGATGGATCAATATTGCTGGGTGGCTGATTGTCGTCACGGTGCAGGGCTTCTTTGGTGGTGAGTTGATATGTGTGATGATGCATGAAGCAAGATAACGCGGAGATCACTCCTAGTAGTGTAAGGGCTTTATTTTGCTTCATGTATCATCACAATATGCCCCCCTGATGCCTGTATGTCAAGGGGTCCATGGAGAGGGTTTTGCTGACGGCCGTGTAGCGCAGTTCATCTCGGCCGCGGCCGTGGTTGCCTCCAACGGAACGTACGAAATCACCGCTGCGCGAACGTATGCCATCTTCCTCGCCATCCTCACTTGCACCACCGTGGTCAACATCTGGGGGAACAAGATCCTCGGCAAGTGGAACGACGGAGCGCGTACGTTGGCCCCCCTCCGTCCTCCGCAACCACACGTGCATCAACTGATCCGCGTACACTTATAGTCTACTGGTCCATTCTTGGCGTCGTCGTCATCAGCATCGTGCTGCTCTCCATGTCCGAAAAGACAGACGCCGACTTTGTCTTTACCAACTTCCAAAACACGACCGGGTGGCCAGACGGCATCTCCTGGATCCTCGGCCTCCTCCAGTCCGCCCTGTCCCTCATCGGCTTCGACGTGGTCCTCCACATGACGGAGGAGATGCCGAATCCATCTCGCGACTCGCCCCGGGCCCTCATCTACGCCATTCTAGTCGGGGGCGTGACGTACGTCAAAAACTCACCCCTTCTCCCTTCCCCTTCCCCTTCCCCCTCCCAAAAAAACACCTCTGCTAACCCCCGACCTCCTTTCAGAGGCACCTTGTTCATCCTCGCCATCCTCTTCTGCTTCAACGACCCAGAGGCCATTCTCGGAACGACGACCGGCATGCCCATCGTAGAAATCATCCTCCGCGCGACCAAGAACCGCGCCGCCACGACAGTCCTCAGCCTCATGCTCGCCGTGTGCTTCGTCAACGGCTCCAACGCCAGCATCACCAGCGCCAGCCGCCTGCTGTACGCCATGGCCAGAGACCGCGGCGTCGTCTTCCACGGCTTCTTCTCGCACATCGAGCCCAAGCTCAATGTGCCCGTGCGCACAATCCTCTTCTGCTACCTCTTCAACGTCTGCTTCGGACTGCTGTACCTCGGCCCGGCGGTTGCCTTTAGCGCATACGTCGCGTCGTGCACCATCCTTCTGGACATTTCGTATGCCGTGCCCATTGCGGTGCTTCTCGTCAGGGGGAGGCGCGTGCTGGCCGCGCACAGGACCGCCAGGACGCCGTTCCAGATGGGCACGCTGTCGGGCTACTTTGTGAATATTGTGGCTGTGGTGTATCTCGTCGTCACTTCAGTGGTGAGCTTTTCCGCTCGTGTCCCTGCCTTGATTGGTGTATGGCCGTCTTTTTCAAACTAACGTAGGCGGGATTTTAGTTCTTTTGCTTCCCGACGAGCCTGCCTGTCACGTCGAATACCATGAGTGAGTTTCCCGTTGTTACCTCCTGAAGCTTGGAAAGTCGGGTATATTGACTGTTGACGTCTTTAGATTATGTATCGGTCGTTTTGGGCATCACGTTTGTTCTGATTGCATTGTACTGGGTGTTTTTTGGAAAGACATTTAATGGCCCGGTAAGTACCCTGCTTGACGGCGTGCGCTTTGGAGACGGATATTTTGTGCTGACGGCTGGTGCTTAGCAATTCGACGTCATTATGGAAGAACATCGGGTGCCTAGCCCGGATGGGAAGGGGGGTGTGTCGACAAGCCATAAGGAGCACTCTGAGGGCAACACAATTGCTTGATGATGGCGAGAGAAGAGCAGTCATTTTGTGAGGTTCATGGATTTGCAGTTAGCTAGCACTGAGCAGTTAGTAATGTTGTATTCATACTATAATAACATGCGATGCGATACAAAATACATTTGTATTTGCTATACTCGGAAATGCCCTGTCCCTGATTGTCTGATATACCGATAACCAGTCCTATTCGTTAGCTTCCACGATGTGACAAGGGCTCGAAGAGGGCTTGGAGCGATAGCTCAATTCAACTAATAACAGTCTTTTCCTCAAGACCTTGAGGGACCAAAGGCATCTTCAAATACAAGAAGTCGGTGAGGGACTTTGCCCTAGGTCTCGTGACCGTAGCCCTTGTGTAACCAGCCATTTCCGTGTAACACACGAGACAACAATATCACGAATTTTCAACGCTATAATATACAAACCACGTATCCTCCGTTCGTGGAAAAGCTTGCTGAAAATCCGAATGTGACGGTTGCGTGTGATGTTCTCTGAAAAAGAAAAGGCAGGAAAGAAGGCTACCGGGAAGATGTTTCCCCGTCGATAAGTGGCTCTTCGTTTCTATGTAATGGGAGTGGAATCATATAACTAGGTTGCTCCGAGACACTTCCGCGTTTCTTGAATGGAAAATCATACTCCATATTGACTACAAGTGAGCGAGTTGGTTCTAAAAAAGTACTTATCCTGGTTCCAATTGGCATTTTATAAGTCCCTGCAGGCCTATTATATTCTATCAAGGTTAGAAACGTGGCGGAATAGTTCATAGACAAGCTGGACCTAGTGTCTCAGAATATGACTAGTCCAGCGCGTCTGTCAAAATGATGTTCAGTATGACGATGCGACAAATATAACCAACTTACTTTTTTTGGAGCTGCCGTCTCAAGTTCAATATCTGTCTCAGATATTCATGTCGCAGTTGACTCGCGCTGTGTAACACGGTCGACGTTTTATGCCAGATATTTGCGGACCGTCATCTAACAATGCATATGCAAATGCCTGGCTCGAGCTGTCGTCCGCATTTACCTGGTCGAACTACGATATCATGGTCAAACTGGGCTTGTCAGATGTAAAAAATGCAACGTACATAATGAGAGGATATAAAGTTTTATTATACATATATACACAAGTTTACCCCCTGCGAACATCTACCCTGTTAGGGCACGGCATAAAGAAGAATCCAAGGGTGGACTGTAGCGTCGGTATTACATGTGGGTATCCCAGATCCTTTACAATCTCCGCTGTCTTGTCAAATGCCGAATATCATGGTCCCTCCTTGCATTATCCTGGCGCGCTTGTCGCGAGTGGCCAAGGGCACGTGGTCGTGGGGTTCTCATCCTTAATAAAAAGCGGATTCGTCACGTCGGCACTTGTTATCTGCTCCTCTCATATGGGAGTAGACTACGGAGTAGGCGACGGCCAAATTACGATAGCGTAGCGAGAGTATACAACGCTGCGTTGAACAGTCAATGCGAACCTGGTCCATCAAACCCAGCCTTATCAGATGAGCTTTTTTTGTTTCCCCCCACAAATACGAGTGGCCGGATTGGATGAACGACCCTAGTCCTCGGGGGTGGATGATTTCCAAGGTTGTTGGCTCTACAAGTACGACGACCTGGCAGGATAAAGTCAAGTTGGATGAGTCGGAGAGGATGCCATTGGCGCGCGTCATGGCCCAGTAATGCATAGAATTGAGTCCACGTTTCTTGATTTTCGGTAGCAACCGTCAAGGCATATCTATAGACGGACCTTGCATCACTCGTTTGGCCCTCGGCCTACTTAATGCATCATCATGCCATGTCGAGTCTTGGCACCACGGCATAAGTTATTTGCCGGGCTTCATTTCATCTGCAACTTCTATCGTCTATAGAATCTGACGGATTCCGAGGCAGTGGATTCCGAGGCGCGTGCGATGAATTACGTGGCCTTGTACCGTTCTCGGGCTTGGTACGGCCCATCACGGTATTTCTAGATAATGCTTGCATGATGCTTGCATTTTTTCTTATATTCCCTGAATTAAGAATTTTAAACTCACTCAAAAAAGGTTAAATTAGCTGTAATATCGGGCGCTTTTCTACAAACCGGTCCACGAGGCTCCTCTCAAGTGTATATAAGTCTTCATCTACCCACCGAGTAACTAATTCTTGTCTTCAACCTCAACCCGACCAGTCTTTTCATCTTTAAGCCGTCTTTGACTACCAATCTTCTTTCTCGCTCCTTTATCTTTGAATCTTTGGCTTTATTTCAAAAATGCTTCTTAATTCCGCGGTCCTTACCGCCGCATTGGCGATTCTTGACGTCGCCTCTGCCTCCGTCATCAAGAGACAGGTCCTCAAGGACAAGGACATTGCCGGTCGAATTGCAGGAGGGGCCAAAATTGGCGACCAGTGCCACCCTCCAGGCACCTACGCCCTTGGGGGTGAGAAGGTTATTCCCCCTTGTCTTGCCGAGCAGGCCATTGCTCTAAAGTGCGAAATTGTCACGCATCTCTCGAGCAATTCTTCCGAAGCGAATCGTATAGCCTACCACAAGTGCCTGGTAGGACATGGCAGCTCCTACTTCCTCGATATTCAAGGCTGCCTGGCCTGCAAGAAGACCCATGGCCACCTCTCCAAGGAGCAGTACGACTGGTACCTGCAGAGATGGACCGCAGGTTACGAGGCCTTTGAAAAGGACGTTGTGCCCAAGACCAACATGTGGACATATGTCGAAGGTGCTATTGGCGGCACTACGTGCCAGAACCGCAACGAGACGCTGCGCGGATGGAAATGCTGGGACCAGCTTCCCAAGGGTTCCGGTAACACCAACAAGACTGTGCCCGTCGAGCAGTACTACACGAACCGCCCCAAGACGCAGAACATTGGAAGCTTTACTCTGAATGGCAAGAAATACCCCGAATCCACAACCATGGAGGTGGACCTTGCGCAGTACACCTATGAGATTACGGGCCACTTGGGATACTACTCCTCTGCCAAGCTGGAAGACGGCACCGTCACGGATACTCGGGTTGAGTTCGAGGTGCAAGTCGTGACTGAATATCGCGAGATCAAGTCCGTTTGCAACTTCACCACGCCCGACGTGTTCACCATCGTGTCCGCCATCAGTGCGCCCGTCCCGCTCAAGGATTCCGTTGCCACTGTCCCGAAGAAGGAGGCGACTACGCTCCCTACTCTCGATTGCGACGGTACTTGTATTGCTTCGGCCCTCAGCATCAAGGAGCTCGAGGTGGTGGTGATCCAGGGCTCCAAAAAGGCCGATCCGGTCGTGGCTGACGCTGCTACGCCTGCGCTGACCGATTTGGAGGAGCACAAGTCTGTCAGCACTAATAGCAAGATCAGTTTCCTCAAAAGGGTGGAAGTTTTATTTGCCAATGTGAAGAAGTATCCCACTCCTAGTGGCGGCAGCCCGCCTTCCACTGACGACGACCCGTGCCCAGCTCGGCGCCGTCGATGAAGGGGTTCCAAACTGTAACTCCCACCTGCGACGACGCAGTTGCACCGCCGGTGGTGGGCGTCGAGTGGTAAAGGGAAAGAACATGGCAAGCACAGGGACGTGCGAGTAATCGGAAAGAGGATAATCCAAGAGAATTGTGTTTGAATTTGATTTTCCTGTCACGGCACCGACTATGTAGGCCTTGTTTTTTTTTGTCTGCTAGAGAGAGAAAAATTCTATTCTTTACACCACTAGTAATATTATTACAATAATCCCAAATGACGTGCTTTTTTTAAAACTCTAGACTTATTACGAGCTAATTCGTAGCATGACGCAAGGCTGTGCTGTATATTAATGCAATATCCTGTGCACGGTTTACACCTCACGCCGTTTATTAGAATTTTTGCCTCGGCGATATGCCTAGGTTGCAGAATTAACGCACCATGTATTATAGCCGGTTTAATATAAGTTATACCCTGTTCCCTAATTTAATTACGGTATTAAAGTCAACCCGGGCCCGCCAGATGCCACACGGGACAACGACAACCCAATAACCAGAGATGGCGGTAGTAGATGGAAGGCCACGGAGCGTAAAAAAAGGCTGCTCAAGGTCTAGAGAGCGATTAAATAATTTACTACAGACTAAAAAGTGTACTCGTCTCGCAGATTCAAAATCTGATTTCAATCGCCAATGTTCATGATATTGGCGTGTTTGTCAAGAGACAAGGACAGTTGTGAGTTGACATGCAGTCGTATGCCTCCATGTGTTTTACGCTTCTCACCACCTCACGCCCCGGAGTTGAAGCGGGGATGATGAGTCCAATTCAATGGCTACATGTACAGCTGCACCCAAGAAGCCATCAATGACTCGACAACCCAGGATTGGCGCCGTGCATCCGGTCGTGCATCTGTCCGTGGGGACGGTCCTGTCCATACGGTCCATCACAAGACACATATGGGCTTTTCAACAGGCGCAATTCTTGTCTGCATCGGGTGTGGCGCTCGGCGACAAACTGCCGTCGTCTCCAAGGCCCGGCCCTCCATGTCAGCAAGCCAGTTATCCCCGGCATTGCATTGCATCAAAGCACCTCCACAATAGAGCACACATGCTGACGTGTCGTACGTTGTCGTACGTGACTGAAATTGGTGTACGTGTAAAAATGTGACTGTTCTGGTCTCGGCCAGCCATATAAGTTGCTCAGAGACGTCTTCTCCAGGGTCACCACTACCAGCGCAGAAACTCTCAACTCATTCTGAGGGCCCGTAACCTCTCAGCTCTATGTATCCGAATTGGCACTTTTTAATCTAATCCCTCATTGATTACTAGAAGCAATGGCTCTTCATCAGGTTGACCCCCTTGTTCAAGACTTCATCAATGTTGTCAATGGAAGAAAGGGATGGAAGAAGAATTTCGAGACGGCCATCACAACTGCCCGCGAGCGCGCCGAGGAGGACATGAACCGTCAAGAAATCTACAATCTGCCCGATTTCTTCCGTTACGTCAATGACTTCCTGCACTGGGTGCCAAGGGTCGACGGCCCCGGGGACGAGGTCCTCCAAAAGCTGTGCGTCTTCTACTGGGTCTTTGAGCAGCCCAGCGTCCGCGACTATCAAAGCGAGCTGGATCCCGACAACACCAGCGGCCCTTTGACCTTCATGTCCTACTGGCTTGTCAACTACGCCCAACAAATGGGGAGCTTCCTGGATCGTCCGGAATCCCTCACGACGGAGACCCTGGAGACATTCTACAAGAATCCCAAATACAACGACGGGGCGTCTCAATGGCTCGAGCCGCGCGGCGGCTGGAAGTCGTTTAACCAATTCTTCGCCCGGCATCTGAAACCTGGATCTCGGCCCATCGCCGCGCCGAACAATTCCAAGGTCATTGTCATGCCGGCAGATTCCACCTTTGATAACTGGGCGAACATTGTAAACGGCGTCGTCACTTTCCCCGACGGCACGGCTGAAGTCAAGCTCAAGGGAATCTCTTGGAAGGTGAGCGACTTGCTGCAGGACAGCGACTACAGGGACCGCTTTCAGAACGGCGTATTCATGCACTCGTTCCTCTCGACGAATGACTATCATCGGCAACATGCTTCTGTGGGTGGAAAGGTGCTCGAGGTCAAGAACATACAGGGCCAGGTTTACCTCGAGGTTGACGTTTCGTCCGAGAGGGGAGGGGGCCTGGTGCCAATTAGGCCGTTGCCGCTGCCTCGGCGGCGATCGGGGCCGGGATCAGGGCCGGAAAGGGGTATTGTCCCTCCAGACCGCGCTGGATACCAGTGGTGCCAGACACGCGGCCTTGTTGTGATTGACGGCGGTGACGTTGGCTTTGTTGCTATATTGCCGATTGGCATGGCGCAGGTCTCGTCCGTCGTCATGACGGCTCAAGTGGGCACTACCTTGGCCAAGGGCGATGAGATATCGTACTTTCAGTTTGGCGGATCCGACGTGGTCGTCGTCTTTGAGAAACATGTCACGTTTGTCGAGAATCCGTCGCGTCGGCATTTCAAGATGGGCGAGAAAATTGCCACGTTTAATTGAGTATTCGGGGACGGTTTGCGTTCCATTTCACATCTCCTGTGCAGAATACTGCAGCTGTGCGAGTGAGTGACGATGGGCGAACCATGTGGAAAGTGTTTGGCCTCAATGACGAGGAACTTGCTCTCTGCTAGTGGCGGATATTAAGTCAGTCATTCAGGGGAAGCAAAGGATGATTTCATATACCAGGCAGCAGAGTTTCAGAGTATCAGTTTTAGCATTATTCCGCTCTTTCATGTAAGAAATCAAGAGTCTCTCTTTATCCCTACCTACCGCCATCATGTTGTGTAGCACAGTAGTTATGCAGAATAAGACGCTGCACGTTTAGCACTTCACTTCCCATCTTCATGATTGTGCATGGGACCAGTGGCCGGCGCCTTGGCCGTCAACGTGCACATATGTAGCGGTTGTGTTGTGGATGGCTGTGTTGTCGGAGCCCAAGGGACTCGCCATGGCATGATGCGACGGCGAGACACTTTGTCTTGGATCAAGTAAAAGGCGCACCACAGTACGGAGTACCCAGCGTCACCTAGGCCACAAATCCAAAGATGACATGTAGGGGGCTGAAGGTCGTCACAAATCGCCTTGGCTGTTGCTGTGACCTGTCTGCTAAACGTCACACACACGCCATCTCACCGTCGATCCCATCTGACGAGAACAAGCGCCCCAAGAATCACGCATCTCATATCTCATATCGCACAGCCGACAGAGTAGAGATGGGCGACGAATCATGGGGGACAAGATGTGGTCCTGTTGTATTTCTTTTCTCTTGAGAAGACATGGGTTTACGCAAAGCCCTCGCTCCGCCGGCGGCATCGCGGCCGACTTGAGTCACCAGTGAGCTAGAATGGTTACGCGGATCGAGCTTATGGCGGGAGTGAGTGAGGTATGCATCGCTAAAAAAACAGGTAGGGGTAGGAAGAGGTTGATTGAAAATCCAAGGTCCCTTCTGCAAGCTAGCAAGACGAGGTTGGCCTTTGACCGTAACCCTAACCCATCTCGTCCGATTTTGGCTTAGTGCACCACCCGCCGACGGGCCGGACCCTGGCTTCGATCCCCCGACGTCACCTCTCGGCCAAAATCGTCCCGTCGTTAACCTCCTCGTCAGCCAAAAGGGGGGGGACCATGGCCATGACCGTGTTGTCCTCGCCAACAACCATCTCTGCACACGCATCGTCACCATCGCGCATCGATGAACCATACGCAAGCCGCCCGTTGGAGGCCGCGGCCGACGGCATTCGCCTCGTCACCATCGACCCGGAGCTGACGCCCGACGGGCTCCTCTCATGCCAGCTGCAGACCACAACCTTTGCGCGCCGCCCGCGGTACGAAACGCTCTCGTACCGCTGGGGCGATGAGTCTTGCCGGTGCAGCATCGTCGTCGACGGCGCGGAACTGTACGTGACGGCCAACCTGTTCGAGGCGCTGCAGTACTTCCGCACCCACGCGCGCCAGGCGGCCCTCTGGATCGACGCCATCTGCATCAACCAGAGAGACACCCCCGAGCGCAGCAGCCAGCTGCGCATCATGCCGCACATCTACGCGCGCGCCGAGTCGACGCTCGTGTGGCTGGGCGGCCGATACATTAACCTGCCCATCGACCTGGGGCCCGACTCGCCGGGCGCCGAGCCCAACGCCGACATCAGAGACAGGGTCATGGCCGACGCCTACTGGCAGCGCGTGTGGATATTGCAGGAAATTGGTAAGGCGCGACGAATTCACCTCTGCTTCGGCCGCGAGCCCGCCGAATGGGACGCCTTCATCTCGTGGATCCGGCGGCACAACGGGGCCGACCAAGACGACGGTGTAGGTCCCCTGCGTCTGGACCGGCTCCGGAGGCACAAGTACGACGGCAGCTGCTCGCTGCGCCAGCTCCTCGAAAGCCACGCCTCGGCCTTGTCCAAGGACCCCCGGGACAAGATCTACGGGCTCGTCGGGCTGTCCACCGACGGCCGCGGGTTCCCCATGGACTACAGCAAGACGCTGCTCGAGGTGTGGTGCGACACGATGCACTTCATGAGCCGCCACGAGCTGCTGCCGTCCGACTGCGACGCGCGCGTCCGCTTCTGCCGCCTCGTGCGCGACCTCCTGGGCGGCGAGGCCGCGCTGGGCTCCGTCGGCGGCGTCGTCCAGCTGCGCAACGACGCGGGCGACGAGTCCTTCCACGACTCGCACGGCCGGGCGCCCGCGGGACCGCTGGCCCTCTCGGCGCTGTCCTTCTTCGCCGAGGTCTACGGCGTCGTCGTGTCGCTGGGCCCCTCGGCCAGCGAGCTGCTCTCGTCGCTCGACCTCGTCGACGCCTGGGAGGCCGAGCTGCAGCGCCTGTACCGCGGCGACCTGGACAGCGCGCACATGGAAAACGACGGCCTGATGCGCCGCATCCTCGACAGCCCGGACGGCCGCCTCGTCGCCCTCTCGGGCTTCCAGAACCACAGGGTCGTCTTCCACGGGCCCGAGATGTACGGCGCCTACTGGCCGTTTATGCACCGCCGCTCGCCGGGCCCGCCGCCGGGCCTGCAGGGCGCCTGGGCTCACGAGACGGCCACCCCCGACGAGCCCCGGCTGGCCATGCTCAAGATGTCCTCGGCCCCGTGGGACCAGACGCCCTACAAGCTGGCGTTTGTGCCGCCCGACACGCGGCAGGGCGACCTCGTCTGCCGCGTCGACGGCCACCCCATGAAGAGGGTCGTCGTGCGCCCGGCCCCCGAGGACCACTCCAACGACGTGAGGATGCACATTTGCGGCACCGCCCTGACTGTCAGGGACGTCCTGGCCGACGGGGGCTTCGACGACGGCAGCGTCCACATGTCGTATAAGCTGGACTTGATGATGGACGCGAGGACCCTGTACGCCTTGATTTTCGGGAACCATGATGAGCGGCTGGAGACATTGCTGGAGACACTGCAAGTGCAGTAGGTGGCTGTATAATATGGGCCTTGTATACGGCGTTGGTGTATATCTACTCTGACACGTACGCACGCACATACATATACCTGTCGGTATAGATGTGCAAAACATGCTCAATATATACAAGTAAGCTTTATTAATAGACGAGAGGATCATGTGGCTTATATTTTAGCAGCAAGACTATACCTAGAGAAGCTACGGGAGGAACTCTAAATGTACTAGATATGTGTATATAGACTGCTGTATATAAAGGCCGATGTACATCTATGCAAAGACGCGGGTAAAAATACATGTATACATACATATAGATGAATGGATGGGCATGTATCTATTCCATCTATCAAACAAGCTCAAGTTCTCCCACGCCACTCCTCAACAGAGGCACCACCTCCCCATGCATCAAACCACTGACATTCGCGGCCCCCATAAACAAAGACCTCCCGGCACGGCCATCACCAGCGCCGGGTAGGTAGCCGCCCTTGCCTCGCAGCGACAGCGGTAGCTTCAGCCACGACGGGTCAAACGCGAGCTTCTCGTTGGGCCCTCGTGCCAGAACGCCCGCCGACGGCCGAGGCGCGGCCGATAAAGTACCCCCGTACACGGAGCAGGCTGCTCGTCGCGTCGTCGGGCGTCGTCTCGGGCGGGACGTACTCCAGCGCCCTGTCCGCGCAAAAGCTGCGGGGGACAGGGTTCGCCACCGCGACGCTGTAGTCCGGCACCCAGTACGGAAGGTGTTTCCTCCAGTGAAGCGGGTAGATGCAGCTCGACAAGGCGGCTAGAGATGCCTCGCCCCGGATGAGGTCCCTCGTTGCCGCGGTGTAAATCCCCGCGAGACCTGCCGTAGTCGGTCCGCTGCCGCTCCGCAGCATACAGGTTCAGCAGGCCGTAGTAGGCGAACACCTTGTCCCGGGGGGTCGGACGCTACAAAAGTCCAAAAGTTGTACACCAGATGCTTCAGCGTGAACCTCGATCGCGACTCCTGGCGGCGTCGTCGCCGCCGCCGCCCCTGCCACTCGGCTAGCTGAATTTTTAAAGCGTCGCCATTTCGACACCTCTGCCATGTTTCACACAACGGACACGGCTGGGTCTCCTGAAGGGATAAATCGAGATGATAGCGACGAGCCCAGGCTCGCTTCTTTGTATCGAATGGCTTCCGAAACTTGGCCCAAGTCCCGCCAGGATAGAGACTGGTCACCGATTCACATGAGCAGTGCGCCGGGGAGAACGGCCACTTGGATGATCCAGTCGCGGCGGAGCCATTGTCGTTGGTAGAGAGAGGCCGGGCTTGCCCAGTCCCGTTCCGAGATGTACGTCATGTTTTCCCTTGTCCTTGCCGGAAAGGGGCTCAATGACGGCGCCTTTCAACGCGGCGAGATGCGTCGACAGAGTGTTTCAAACTTGAATCCCCCTGCTGGAGTGGTCGTCTGACGGTCCCAGGCAGGCAAGCGTATACATGGCATTCGAGTATACCCGATCCATCATGGCCGCCTGGGTGCTCTTCTCGACTACATCTTCCTGATTGATGCAAATGGCGTCGGCCCAGACCATGGGTCTCGGCACACGTCCTGAGGCTACGGCGAGGCTGGCCGTCCCTTGCTCTTCTTCTGTCTCCCCCGCCTGCGCGGCTTTAATAAAAGCGGCAACGGCGTCATGGCCTTTTTCTGTCGCCAAATCCGCGGGGAGGTTGCCTTGCTTGTTGCTCCTGCACCCACACCTGAGCAGCACCTTGACACACTCCAGCTGGCCCTGGTCGGCGGCGTAATGGAGGGCGTTGTGTCCCAGGTATACGAGAGGCAGATGTGAGGTGGGCTCGTGGTGTCGTCGAGGTCTTTTGCGACGAGGGAGAAGCAGAGGTTTCCGTCAGGAGAAGGGTTCAGTCTTTCGAGGAGGTGTATGCTAGATGGGGTGGAAAGGGGATCATGTTTGAAGAGTAGATCTGAGGGTGATGGCATCGTGATGTTTTGCCGGCAAGACTCAACTGCAAGACGAGCGGCAATGCTTCGTTTCATTCGAGGTGGTTTACGGGCCAGCATAACGCATTAAACCTGGCTACCCTGGAGTCGTAGCTGCAGAGCGACTGCAGCGACCTCTGGCTGCTCAAGTGGGATGGTTGCATAATGGCGAAAGGTGGCAATGATGCGTTGATGCGTTGGTGAAGATGTTGGTGTCGCTAGTCCAAGAAATCAGTCGAGGCTCCAGATATCTCGATCATGATTTTGACGCCGTCCCGCGGGTGTGGTTCTCGCCAAGCCTTACTGAAGCGGAACCCTAACCCTAACCCACCTCGGGTGGGGCTAAATTACTATCTGTCATGTCTGTTGAAGTCAAAGTCAACGACATCAGCCGCATCAACTCGTCAACGAGATCCCAGACTCAGACCATGACAGCAACGCCAGTGACATTCCGGCCAACTCATCTGCGACTCATCAGCATTCTGCAGCAAAGGAAAGGAAAAGACAGAAAGTGGCCGATCCTCGGCACCACCCGATAGCCGGAATAACCTTCTTTTGATCCACAAACGGCGTCGCATTCCTTGTCCACCCACCACATCAACGTAATATTGGAACACGCCAGAGACATACAATCTGGCACACAAGTCCCGATACAAAAGGCCAGATTTCAAGTTGACGCCGCGCAGGACTATTGGTTTGGAGAGCGCCAGGCATGAACCCCGTGTTCAGCTGTGTGGGGCGACGTTGGCAAGCCTCGAGACACAAATAACGACGCTCAACACCATGTTCAGGTGCAGGACGAAGCTGCCGACTTGACGTCTCCCGTCTAAAAAAGCGAGTGTAAAACACAGAAATTACTACTCCGCCCTTGGGCACCCAAAATCCGGCACCCCAGGGCCGCCTCCAGCAACAAAAGCATCCTCAACACCAAAGAACCCCTCATCATGACATCCCACCACCGCCTTTGGACCTTCACGGCGCGCGGCCCGCCTTCGTCCGTTCTCGCATTCACGTCCGGCCCAGCGCCAACCCTGCCGCCCCGTCTCCCGCTGCCGCGCGACTCGCCCACCCCCGAGGAATGGATCCTCGTCAAGGTGGCCTTTGCCGGGCTCAACGTCGGCGCCATCTTCCAAATGACGCTGATCCCGGCCCTTCTGCGCGCCGACACCTGCACGCCCGAGATGGACCTCAGCGGCACCGTCGCCGACGTGTGGCACCCGGACGCCGACGCCGCCAGCTCCCGCTTCGCCCGGGGCGACAAGGTGGTCGCCATGCTGCCGGCCTCGCACGCCCTGGCCACGGGCACCGGCGCGCTGGCTGAGTACGTCGCCATCCCCGCCAAGTACGCCGTCCGCAAGCCCGACAACGTGAGCTTCGCCGACGCCGCCGGCTGCCTGCTGACGGGCATGACGGCCGCGCAGCTGGGCGCCGACGACGTGGTCGACTACACGCTGCACGCCGACCTGGCCGCCCACCTCGGCGCCGCCTTTGCCTCGGCGCCCTTTGACGCCGTCGTCGACACGCTCGGCTTCCAGGCGCTGTATGCCCGCTCGCCGTCGTACCTCGTCCCCGAGGGCGTCTACTGCTCCGTGGGCATCAAGCCGCCGTCCTTTGGGGTGCCCGACTTTCTGCGCGCCGTCGTGCAGATGAAGCTGAACGAGTGGTGGCCCGTCGCCAGGTGGCTCGGCGGCGTGGGCCGGCCGTGGAAGGGCGCGTCCATGATGTCGCCTACGCGGGAGGACCGCGAGAGCATCGTGGGCATGCTGGCCAGGGGCGAGCTCAGGGTGGTGAGGGACAGTGTGTGGGCGTTTGCCGACGCCGACAAGGCCTATGAGAAGCTGGGCGGGCGGCATGCGAGGGGCAAGGTCTTGGTTCGGGTCGATGGCGGTGTTGGCGATGATGAGTGCTAGCAGAGGATCAGGGAGGTGGCATCTCGTGTCGCCTCCGTTGTCTTGTAGTTATAGGTTGTGGTGACAATGTTATATTGCAGGGCGTGCCGAGTAGTTGGGTATGGGCGTCCTTTCTCCCCTCTACATTTCAGTACTTATGACTGGTAATAACGATAGTATAAAACAAACAACTTGATATATATATGTATAGTTAGTAAAGAATACGCTATAATATGCTGCGTGCGATCAAGTTTAGGGTTGCATTTTTTCTTTATATTATTATATGTTCAAGTAGTAGTGGTATTATTATCTAGTATTTAAGATTATCTCTTCTCCTTTCTTGATTTTGAGCTTATAGTTGCATTTAGTGCTATATCTTTACACACAATTCCTGGGATAAGGCCTCATATAGCCTCTTCTGCTCTCTTGATTATTATTTATAGCTAGTAATAAATTTATATCAGGCTTCTTTATCTAGCCTTGTGACAAGGCCTCGAAGAGGGCTTGGAGCAATAGCTCAATTCATCTAATAACAGTCTTTGGTATCAAAGGTCCTTTGTTTTCCTCAAGGCCTCGGTCGCCAAAGACGTCTTTAAATACAAGAAGTCAGTGAGGGCCTTCTGCCTTAATCCCGTGACCGTAGCCCTTGTGTAACAGGCGATTTCCGTGTAACAAGCCTCTTGTGACAAGGGATCAACAAAGGACTTGGAGTGATGACTCAATTCATCTGATAACAGTCTTTGGTATCAAAGTCCGGTTTGCTCAAAGCCTACATAACCCAAAGAGATCAATTTATGTAAGAAGTCGGTAAGCCGTATGCTCCAGGTCTTGATATTATAGCCCTCGTGTAACATCCGTGTGGCAGCTCTACATTTCTGTTTCGTATCAACGGCCAGCAATATCATAGGATAGTCCCCATTTACTAATACTCATTATGGCTTCACATTATACTCTTTTGCTCATGCTGGGCTAGAATTCAACTTGTAATCTACTGTATCGTATTATATTATAAAGCGCGATAGCCTGTGCGTGATCTGGTTAAATACTTTTTTGCCTTCCACTGTAGATGAAAGTGGTTCCATGAACACACTTTCAGCTCAGACTACACCTTGTCAGTTTCCATTATAAGTTACTACTAGTTCCCTGGGCTTGAGTGGGGTGGGTATAAAGTCCCTTCTGGCCGCTAAGAGCTTGATAATGACGACTGTAGGGCCGTTTGCTGCTCCATGTCATTTACGAAGTCGGAACAAGCACCACCAAATGCCCGGTCAAAACGCCCAAGATAAGTTTAATTTGAAGCACATGGTACGTATAAAATACTAGGTAGACGATAGGTCACATAGTGCCCATCCAGCGTCCATTATAAACCCCAGATAACTTTCTTCTTCCTTGACGTAGTTACTCATAAAAGATTCTGCCTTGCCCTCCTCCAAAGAACGAGGTTCCCAAGGCACACACGACCCAGCCCAAAGAGGCAATCTTTTAGGCGGAATTCCGAGACGCGGTTGGCAAGCAAGAATAGCTTGCTAAGGGTTTGGGGAGCGAGAGAAGATCTAGATGACACAAAAATCCTCTCCCAGGCCCCTGATCTCTCCCGTCGGCAAGCATGCCATGACAATACTGGCTCTTGCGTCGACTCCAGAACCAAGGTTATCCACGTCATCTGTCTATTTTCGAGCCTTAGCATCTTAACCGAGACCACAACGGAATGCCCACACCATAGTCGCTTGACCTGTGTCGTCGGATATCCTGCCTTCCCCCGCTCTCGTCTTTAACGGAACCCAACCGTCGCCAGACCCTTCTAACCAAGAAATTTCAAACCATGTTGTCTATATTCAGCCTGCCGTTGACCTGAATTCACATCTTGAAGCCTCTCAGGAGCCGACTTTGAAAGCGAAAGCAGCACACTCCACCATAGCAGAGGCTCAGTATAGTTTCCGTCGTCGGTCTTTGTGGAAGATGACTCTAGCCCATTAAGTTGCGGCAACAGCCTAGACGGCAACTGCCTTTGGCCCTTGTCCGAAGCATGCATTAGGCTTTTGTTTTCGTTTGAATCGGGCACTTGCGCATGCATGACTCTCACCAATGGCAGTGAGCCATCCCGGGCTCGAGACTCCTGGGTCGTATACAGGCCTCAACCATGCATGTGCTCTGCAACTCTTGCGCAAGTTAGCAAGGTGGCTTGAACAAGACGTGCCGCGAAAGTTGGCAAGTTGGCTTGAACGTCGTGTTTGCGAATGCGCACCCCAGTTCCATGCTTGAAGTTGGGAGCCGTCTTGCCCTCCTCACCGCGCAGAGAGGGGTAATATTGGGCAGCCACGGAGCGGGAGCGATCAATATCAGCCCATCTGTTGACGAGGGGGAGAGAAGAGAAACATACCAGCTGCGGCATATTTGTGATTGGAAGGAGGGACAAAGGGTCATGGAATCTTGGAGTCGAGGGAATATCACAGGGAGCGCGTTGGGACCCGGGAGCGTGCGCTTTCTATACGTTTCTTCTTACGGAGCAGATAGATTGATCACGCATGCGAGTGGTGATGGGAGGAGAGTAAATCGACGGATAAGCACGGGGGTTGATGAGAAGAACCGCTCTACTGGCCTACCAGCTCTACAGGGATGGTAGCAATCACCTATCGTATGAGTACTATTCATTTCCAAAGGCTGCCTTGCTATCCCAGAAGCTCCGTCTTTTCCTGTCTCATACGCCTTCTTGGTGTTTTGCTAGAGTCACGGGAAATATAAGGCGCGAATCACTGGTTCTTATTCAACGACTGGAATCTCATGACACTACACATTCTGGAACAACCATTTGCCTCGAGGACCAAGCAGTCGTTCCATCCATAGTGCTGCAGACTGTGCACACCAAGCATCCGCCCAGCATGATCAACCAGCTCTCCGTCTACCATCCCGCCCGTGGCCGTGATACGCAAACCCCGGGCAAGCAATACACGGGGCCGCTTAGGCCGGGGGCAGAGCCTGCTGGCCGACCTTCCAGCTGCCCTCCCATGCAAACTCCGTCACAGCCGTGAACTTTGTCCCGTTCTGGATGTACACGCGCAGCACGGGCTTGGGGATGGCAGCGACGTGGGACGCAGGAATAGAGCCCTGCGCGAAGTCGCCGTCGTACCAGCCCGTGCTGTGATCCCAGCCCTTCTCCTTGATGACGTTGCCCGGGGAGCCGGAGCCGTAGTACAGGCGGATCGACACGTTGCTGTGCTCCATCCACGACGTGACGCCCAGTGCGGCGCGAGGCGTGGCATCCTTGACGTGCAGACCGCCCGTCTGCCAGCGCGAGCCGTCGTAGACCTTTTCGACAATGTTGAGGCTCGTGTCCTGCATGTAGACGCTGTACGCCGTGGCGTTTGTTAGTCGGGGGAAGAGAGAAGCGCAGCTCGGCGGCTCGGGTCCAGGGCAAGCTGTATTCAACGTACCGGATATTGTGTGACGTGCCCCAGGTGGCGACTGCGATGGAGGAGCCGGGAATGGCCTCGCCGAGGTTGGCGCCGACAGTCCAGCCATGCTTGGTGTCATCTGTTCGAGTTTCATCCAGAGTGAGCACGATTTCACTTGTCCGCAGTATAAGAGCCATTGGCTCTGATGGCCCGTCCCCCGGAGTGCGACTTACAGCAGTATTCCTGGATGTGGTTGTCGTCCTCGAGCTGGCCATAGAGGCGGATCATTTTGAGATCCTCGGATGTTTCGAGGAACATGGCAGCCAAGCCAGAGTAAGGCGCCAACTTGAACCTGTTGTTCAGAGCCCCGTCGTACTGTCCACGCCAGAAGTCAGTCAATGTGTTTTGTGGAAGGCGTGGATATAGCAAAATACTGCCATATCCCGTCGTAGAAGGACCGGCTGAGAAGTCGACCACCAAGCCTCGACTCTCTACAACGTTTCGGGGCTCCCCGAAAAAGGGGACGACAGAGGCAGTGGGAAGCCGGGCAGAGTACGTACCCAATGCTTGCCGTTCTTGTCGTAGCAAATCTCCTTGGCCTTGTTGTCCTCGCCGATGTAATAGACGCGGATAAAGTCCAGGCCAAGAGAGGTTGCGGCGACGGGAGAGCCAATCTTGCCCTTGGCGATGACGTTGCGGCTACCGCCACCAGTCCATTTGCCCTCGTACATTGCCTCCCGGATTCCACCAAATACATCCGACTCATAGACGCGGATGCTGGAGCCCTTGTTAATGGCAGCCACGGAGGCGCGCATAGCAATGTCATTGATTTCAGCAGGCATGTTGACTAGGCTGACGGGTGAAGAGTGTTTTCAATGGAAGCTTGAACAAGAGTTTAAAGGTCTCGCCTTTGGGTCAAAGTGTTGAGTGAAGTTGCGAATGGAGCTGTGCAAGTAAACCGTGCCGAGCGGAGGAAGAATGGGCGAATTTTATACATGTAGCCCAACGACAAGCTTATTTCCCCGCAACCGTGACGACACATTCTGTATCCACGGGCTGTCTCGGTGTGTTCGAGGCCCGGTTTCGCGGGGGAGGGAATAATGCAGCATGGTTGCAGTTGGCGCTCTCGGCGTGCCGTCCAGCTCCCCATTCATCTTGTGTCCCGGTGAGTGAATAGCTGCAGCCGGACCCAAGCAGACAGAGAGCCCTCAGTCGCATCAGCGAGCCCTGCATTGAATGAAACACGAGACGGAATGGAAATCTTTGGGCATCAGGAGGGGAAGAGACAACGGCGTAGGTGGCGTGCAGCTTTATAGGGTTGCAACCATTCCGCTGTCCGAGACTGTGAGGCATTTGCCGTTGATTTTGTAGCGGTGTAAAACACCATCCCCGGGCTTTTTGAAAGGTAATTTGATGCAGCTCGTGTCTTTTTGTCACAGAAAAGAACATAGGATGCTTGTTGCGAGGTAATTATCCCCCCTTGTATGCCGTTCATGTTTAGCCATGGCATATCCATCGGGGACCTTGTTTACATCTGGGAGAACAGCTCTCGTAAAGCGTTACCAACCCTCCAGGAAAAGATGCAATGTCTTGGTAAACCTCATATATACAGTCAGAGACAAAAGTACGTGCCCAGCCCCAAATCACTCTACGCCACCAGGTAGGCAAATTTGTATTGCTCACCGTAAATAGTGTAAGAGGCTACGATACAAGCACAGTATTGCTCTTGCCGTCTCAAATCAGTGCTTGATATAGTAGTTTGTATATTCAAGCCAAATCTAGCCATAATCTAGTGCATAACTATGCTACTTTTACTTTCAACGTTGCTTTTATTCGCTATAATACAAATTGCTATCAAGTATTCTCTTCTTCAGCCAGTCCCGGTATTCGTACAAGCACTGCCCCTGGTAGGCCCGAATCAAATCAACACCGTGTGCCTGATCGTCCATGAGACAAATTGCTGTCTTCGCCAGCACACTTAGAAAGCAACAAAGAGCTGCCATTTACAAGTTCAGCCCACAGTTTTGGGCATCAACACTTGTAAAGCACAACACTGCCAACGCAACACTCGGACATTTTGACGCGGCACCATCCTGTCCTTGGGTAATCTATGCCTTTTACAGATTATTCTGCATATCCTCAGCCCCAGACAGCACTCCTATATGCGGGGGCTGCCGAAGTGCTGTCGGTCACCAGAGCCATGGTCACTGGGGAAGACTCGTAATGATTTACCACGCTCCAAGGCATGTGGGAAGCTTCTGTCACAGACAAACTCCAGAACAGAGATTACAAATGGCTCACTGAAGCCTCTTTGCTGTAGATATTTATTCAGAGGCGAAACTCCATCTCCGAGACGCAATGACATGGTTTGTGGGATGGAAAGAATATTTCTCAAACATCAATATAATGAAACATTTATAAGCACTACTAGTTGCCATACATCTTGCTATAAAAGACCAAGATTGTGTATAAATCGTTAGGGCTATATTTAGTTCGTGGTCACCCGAGTTACTAATATCAAAACGAGCACTCGTAAGCGAAAACTACAGCTTAGGAACAGCCAGGCATATCGTATTGATACCCGACGCAGTTCTCACACCAGCATTTATTTATACAAGTCGAACAAATAAAAAACGTAATAAACAGAGGGAGTCCACAACCTCAATTAGTCAGTAGAGCTGACGGCGCCAAAAAGGTATTCCCCAGAAAAGCAACACTTTACAGCCACAACGTGCAGAGATCAACTTCAAGCAGTGTGGTACTTCGAGCAAGAACAAAAGCGCGAGGCGCAAGAGCCCGCCGCCCAATGGTTGCAACTGCATCTGGCGACACCGGGAGAAAATCGCGGCGTCGCATTTAAAATGGAGGGCGCAGGGGTACGAAGCTCCCCAATGCGTTATATAAATGAGCATATCCTCCTCGTCATCAGTCTACGTGGATGTATGGGAGAGGAGATATTTAGTCTCGGAAACGCCTTGGTCTAAACCCAACCACAAGTGTCACCAGCACCTGGGGACGGGGGCAATGACGAGGAACGACTCACGAGCCACCGTAGCGTTTTGCTCACCGAACCCGGCGTCCAGCAGGAGGATGAGGAGACAGTCTCGTCGTGAGAGGACTTGAGTAGAAGAAGAAAAATATCCAATTCTCGGTAACTATACTAAATACGCCATGCTATATATACCTGGTATCAAGCCCCAAAAACGCCAACAGCCAGCCAGTACTCCCTCCCGCCCTAAACAGCGGTCCCAACAACATGTAACCTTCTTCGCTCTATACAAATGTACCGCACTCACCGCGTGTCTTCTCGCCCATCCTCGGCAGCCACGCTCCCCCGTCCCCGGCGCATAATCAAGTCCTGCAACTCGACATCATCATCCTCAACGCCCGCCTCCTGCAGAGCCGCATGTTCGCGCAGCGCCTGCCTCGCACTCGCGTCCTTTTCAATGCGCTGCATGAGGTCCTGGTCCGTCGGCCAGTACACCCTCCGCACGCCCTGGACCACCAGGTCCATGATGACGAGCGTAGCGAGCGCCACGAGCAGCGTCGTCCACCACGAAACCTGGCGGCCAAAGTTGTCGATGAAGCCGCGGCGGACCATGTCCTTGCCCACCCTTTGGGGGTACATGCCCGACAGGAAGAGACACCAGAGGAACCAGCCAGCAATGGAGATGATGAAGCCACCAAAGGTGATGACCGTTTTGGAGTGTAGCTCGAGGATCCTGCCGTCGCGTTAGTTCAGACTAAAACAAAAAAGGCGCGGGGGGGAGACAGAGAGACTAACAATAGCTTAATGTTGATGAAGATGACGCCAACCGTAAAGCACACCGCCCCCATGGCGTACAGGCTAGTGTCCGCCGTGAAAAGTGCACTCCAAAACTCGCCGAGCGTCAAGTAGTAAATGACAAAGCTGCCCGCGACGCCCATGAACATCCAGCCAAAGTACTGCCGAATGTTGAACCCCCTGTTCTGCTGTCCAAACGTGTACAGCTCCGGCACAGCGAGCAGCGTTTCCGCGCTGAGGTCCTTTTCAAAGATGCCCAATAAGATTACCGGCAGTGAGGTGAACAGGCTATTGAATACAGTTAGACTCCACGACTCAAAGAGCGAGGTGCCCGAGTACCCATTAAACCGCTGGAAGTGCGCCTGGACCAAGAAGAAGAGGATTTCTTTCCAAAAGGTGGCGAGGACGTATTTTCCTGTGCGGAGGTAGTTCCAGCGGCCGTGGACGAACAGCAGCTGCTGGAGGAAGCGAAACTGCGCGATGGAGTAATCGGATATACGTGAGGCTTGGAGGCCTTCGCGGCCCGATATGCCAATGCCGACATGGGAGGATTGTATCATGCCAATGTCGTTGGCACCGTCGCCGATGGCGAGGGTCATTGAGGATGGGACGAAGCGGCGGATCGACGTGACGAGTTGAGCCTTTTGGGAGGGTGAGGCGCGGCAGCAGATGACCGAGTCGACGCGGAGGACGAGGTCGTAAAAGAGGACGGCGAGGTCGTCGGATGCGTCGATGGTGGCCAGGGTTTGGCCGTCGACCACGACGACAGAGTGCGGGACCATGCCACGGCAGACGTCGTTGAGGGTGGAAGTCATGACGTCTTGGAGGTTACCTCTGCTGCCGTCGAGGATGTAGATTTCGGAAAACGGCTTGCACACGCGGGCCGAGTGGCCAATGTTGACTGCTGTCTCGCGCTTGTCGCCCGTCAGCATCCAGACCTTGATATTGGCCCGTCGCAGCTTGTCAATGGTCTCGGGCACCCCGTCTTGCAATTTGTCTTCAATGGCTGTGGCGCCAGCAAGCTCAAACTTTTGCTCAATCATCTCGCCAGCCTGTTCAACCAGCTCCTGACGGTTGACAAGACTAGTCTCTGCCTCGCGGTACAATTGCTTCCAAGAGGCGTAAACATCCTCCTCGATGTACCGATACGCGTACAGCAATGTCCGCAAACCTTCCGTCGCAAAATCTTCGATATGCTGGAAGCAATGCTCGAAAACAGCCGCCTCGTTGCTGGCGACGGACTCGTCAATTCGATGGTCAACGTCCTCAACCGACGACACCGGGTTCAGACTCAGTCGTCTGGCGCGCAACACATCCAACGAACCTCGAGGCGTTCCCGGTTCCTCGGCTTGTCGTCTAGCCATCCGAGAGCCAACGCCCTCCGAGTAGGAAAGTCTGTTGGCATCGGTCGACAGTCTACCAATGCTGCGTCGAAGTCCCTCCAACCGATCGATCGATTCACCTCGCTTCAAGGCAAAACTCGTTCTCGGCGTACCCCTTCCACTGGCCATGCTCATTCGCGTTCGGGCCTTGTCCTGTTCGAATGTCTTGCGCACACTAGCCCGTCGGCTAATGTCCTTTGCCTTTTGTTCAGCTAAATGGCTCAATTTGAGTCGCGAAGTAATGACGTTATCGGCACCTTTGCAAAAGACGCAAATGCGACCGTTGGGCATTCTGATAATGATGGACATTCTCTTCCTCTTGCTGCTGAATTCAATCACGTCCAGCACCTGGTACGACTCGACCTGAACCACACCCCTGTCATCATTTGTCTGCAACTTGATCGTCTTCGCAGGGCGATCAACTAACAGCCACCCCATGTCGCGAGCAGCTTCTACCAGGGCCAACTCATCTGGGGAAGCAGCCTGAAACGAAAATTCACCGTCGTCCCGTTTCTCGGGCAAGCAGGTGTGACATAAAGCAATACAGAGCAAAAAGTGCTTGACCTTGCGAGAGAAGACGGTATTTGGATGTCGGCGGACATAGTCCAACATATCCTCCGTCTTGACCTCTGGTTCCTCATTCGGGCGAACCGTCGATTTCCAGTGTGAGGCGCTTGCAAAGGAGCCAGTTCTCCTGGGGGGCACTGGTCCACTACCATCGTCCTCCTCGTCTTCTTCTTCTTCCAGAATATCATCTTCATCCCGATGAAAGAACTTGGTCTTGTGCGGCGACACAGGCGGAGTCTGCTGCGTCTGATTGCCTTTGCTGCGACAACTCCACGACGCGGCCGCCTCAATCTTCTTCTGCTTCACATCCTCATCGCGTTGTACATCCATGTCGTGAAGGAAAGCCACACCCGCAACGCTCATCTTGCGGAACCGCATGACATTTTCGGTCAATGTGCCCGTCTTGTCCGAAAATACATAGCTCACTTGGCCCAGATTTTCCAGAATGGTGGTCGTATTGGCCACCATGGGAGTGTCCGTCACGGGATCGTACATGTCGACGTCCTGCAGCAGGATAAGCTGGCCGATCTTGATGATTTCCATGCTGATGTATAAAGACAGCGGGATGAGTGTGTTGAACATGATGAGGTAGCCGAAAAAGATTTCCTTAAAGGGGACGCTGGCAGTCCACTGGCCTGTGGTAACTAGGTAGAACGATAGGTCCTGGATATTCTTCTTCCACAGCGAGTAGCCAATGGTTAGTCCCGCAGCAAGCATGAGTACAATGACAATCTGGAAGAGTACCATTTTGTTGATCATGGTCTGCATGGCGGGCTTCTTGGCAGTGACATTCTTATTGGCATTCATGCGAATCTTGCACTCCTCTCCCGAATTAACCACGATGCCAATCACTTCGGCAGTGTTGCGAAGAATCGATCCGCGGTAGACGACGTTGTTCAACGACAGCGGCAGTGTTTCGTCTCCGACTGTAGCTCGACCATCATAGCTGTACAAGTCAATGTTGGGGTCTTCCGAAACAATTGAAGCCGTGGTCGACCTGATCCCGTCCAGCGTGCTGCACCGCTCTGCCAGCAGAGGACAGGCCTGCTTACTCTTGAGATTCGTCTCGCCATCTAGAGCCATTGTCTCAATGTATGCAACGCCATTAGGCCCCGTGGCATGCAGCAAAATCATATCCGCAGGCACGCCATCATTTCGTCTCAATCTCACCACATCACCAACCTTGACATGTTGCCACTGCATGCACAACCAGTCTCGAGGGCTCATGTCACGCACGCCGCTCTCGAGGTCGGCATCACCAGTTGCGGCGCGTACCTCGGTTTGCGTCGCATCCTTCTCCGTGGTACTACCTCCTTGTCCGCGGTTCAAAACCCAAGTTTCGCTGCGATTCTCCGACTTGTCCAGCTGATACCTTCTATAATCATCATATCCCTCCTTGAGCATGCTAAAAGCGACAAAGATTGACAAGGGTACTATCGTCGTCCACCGTCCCACGGTGCTCAAGCCAGGAACCATCTGCAAGACACCCATGACCAAAAAATAAAAATTACCCAATTTGCTGAACTGGAACAGCAGCTGCTTAGGCACAAAATCGTACGCGGTATACCGACTAGATCGAATGAAGTTGCTGACGTACGGACGCTGGCTTCGCTCGTCAATCAGCGCATCTGACGGATTCAGGGGAATATGACGGCCATCGTTGCTCGGGCGCAACGGCTTCCTCCGTAATACGCCCTCCATGATCAGTTTCTGATATGTACTAGCGAGGGAGACCTTGAAGGCATCCTTCCATGAGGCGTTTCGCAATGCCTTGTTCGCCTTGTCCTTCCTGTTCTTGCCTGGCCTGAATCGCCGGATGGAGTCTCTCAAGGTCTGGGTAGCCTTGTCATTGGCAGGGCTTGTAATTGAGACATGGGCAGTCTTGTCTGTGCGATCACGAGTGTCGCCAAAGGACGACCCCATCTCGGTCACGGCATCTCTTGAGGGAATGGTAAGTAGTACATGCTGATCATTCCGACTCGTCGAGTCCACCAATGGCCGGTTATTCGACGCCGGTCCCGAAAAAGACACAGCTCGCACAACACCGCTGGGGTTCGAGGGGTCGGAATTCGCTCTCCTCGGGGCCGCCTGTCTGGTCAGATTCGTCGAATAGCTATCGTTGCCGCGCTCGTGTGCCACGACGGGTGTAGCATGAGAGGCACCGTGGTCGTGGTCGCCGTCGCCGTTGCCGTCGTGGTGCGCCAATGTGCCGCTATTTCGGCTGGGCGGTTGTACGGGTGCCATTGTGCTTCAAAATGCAACAGTGTCTCAGTGTTGAGACGTGACGAGCTGCATGTTTGTTGAACTGGGAAAAGCAATTGATGCTCGCAGGAGGAATTCGCAAAAAAGTAAGGGATTTCGCTAACAGTCCAACCGGGCAAAGACTTCGAATGGGAAGAGATCAAGGGGAAAACGCAGGCCGCTGGAGAAGAGAAAGATTGAATGGCAAAAACAAATGCAGCGGTCGTGCGAAGGCAGAGCTAAAGAAGAAGAAGAAGAAGAAGGGGAAAACAAGACCGTGGCAGGACGCAAGATGTTGTCAGCGCAAGAAACACCATCGCAATTCGTTCAAGACTCGGGCGGGATGTCCAAGAGTCGATGCCCACACGTGCGGGTTTCGGTCACAGCGACATCAGTGACAGCCATGGCTGCAAATGTCAACGGGTCCCTGCCATGTTGACCCTTCCGGTCTGCATTGCCCCGTGGCGCCCCAGTTTGTCAGGCTCAGCCAGGGACACTTGCGTGGCCAGAGCCGATGGAGGAAGTGGCGCGGCTGCCAGTGGTCGGTTCAATGTTGGTCCATCTCAACGGATCTGCTCCTCCTGGCCCATGAACCAACCAATCAATTGGCAAGGAACGCCGTAGTGGCTGGTGAATGACAATAAATGACAATACTACTCCGTACGGAGTGCGTAGTACCACTCCGAACGAGAGGGAGGACTTCCGGTCAGCCACAGGCACTGCACTGCCATCATCAATCGCAAAGGGTGTGCCGCCGTCCATCCTGCCTGGTTGACCTCATGCGCATCAGCAGCCACGGACCGACTACGGAGTACTAGTAGTATCGACCTGTACACAGTCAGGGAACGTGGGGCCAGCTATTTTAGTCCGGCCCAAACAGTTTCTGGACTCAACTTACCATGTCTGTACCACCGACCCCGCCTGGCCAACCACACACGCCATCTTCCTCTCCAACCCCAACCCAAATACCCAACATCACATTCTCACAGCGTATACTCCGTACATGATAAAATTCAAAATATGAAAGCTTTGAACCCATTTTGTATTCCTAGATGCAGCCGCAAGTATGAACCAAGTCCCATCTTCGCCAGCCCACCGCGTAGCCAATGTCCACGCTTCACCGGTGTAGAGGCAGTCTCTAGGCCGCCGCCGCAGCTGTGATGACACCACATGCCCAAGGAAGAGCCCTCAGAATTGTATGTCACCATCCCCAAAGTCACACAAACCATTGATGCTTTTGTGTTGCTTCTCTACTCCTCGGCGCACTTCTTTCCTAATTACAAGGAGCATAAAAAAAATCCAATATCACTCCCCTCCTTTCCAAAAAAACAAAAAAAGAAAAAAACCTCTGCCTGAGCCTCCTGGGCCCGCCTATTATTATTCAATCGCCAACATAAACAAGGGACAACCGAAACCAAACAGCAAAGATAGAAAAAATGACCAATATTACTCAAGATATGCAAGAAATATAGATTAGGTCCCCAGAGGTAGCGCGGTGGCACAATCCACTACTCTTGGATGGACAGGTGCTCGAAAACGGGGAAATGAAGAAGCCAAGCTGAAGAGGAAAAGTAGAGTAGAAAATGAAAACAAGCCACCAGGGTGCCGTCAAGTCGCAAAATTCTGTGCAATAAAGAATATTGCAATGCGATTGCCGCAGGGAAGGAAAAATAGGGGGAAATGCACGATCGTTGTTGTACCGCACGTACATGTGTGGTGTCATAGAGTGCTATCGTCGTGAACCAACACGAATTGATCGAGTTGCCGTTGCATGGTACTGGTGAGTACATCGTTGAGGAGCGAGGATGTGAAAGAGTCAAGAGACAGAACATCCGCATGAAGAGACGGGGGTATGTAGCAAAGCCTTCTAAACGACATAAAAACAAAGAGGTATTAGTATCCAATCCGAGACCAAAAAATAGCCCATGGTATCAACTGCTTCAAGCGAGCAGAAACATAAAAAGCAACGCCTGCATGATATGTACATCTTTCTTGACCAGACTCCGCTCTCTTAGCCTTTTCAGGAAGAGTCTCACTAGACTGGGAACGAACATCTTCAGTCATTATCATGTAGGGTGCGCAACAGACTCCGGTGACAAGCTGACAGGCTCGACATGATCAAACTGAACTAGCTGATCCATATCAAGATCGCCCTGTTGCGGGTGTACAAAGTTGTTTGGAGACTGACCATGCATGGGCAGGTTGATTGTGTGCTTGGAATACATCTCATTTAGACTCGTGCCGTCCTCCGAGACGGCACAAGAAGCATCATGGCCGCCACCGTAGACTTCAGCAGAGCCAGGACGGCCCATCATCGACATTGGTGGAGATTGTTCGACAATGGACGGCTCAGCAGCACCGTTGTATGGCATCGGAGACATGGTACCACCATTGTGCTCGGGGCCAACCATGGGCGACAAGAAGGCACCGTTGCTGTAGGGCGTCCCGAAGTTGGTGGGCGGAAGAGGCCCTGTGTCTGGTCCCTGTGACAGATATGTCCCAGCAGGGCTGGGGGGGAACTCGGAAGGTGAGGCAGTCGTGGCCGACATTGGGTACTGTCGCATATCCAGTCCGAAACCAGCCTGAGTATCGATCCTTAAGTTGTGGCCCATACCGCTTGGCTGTTGCGGGACGGGGGCATAAATATTCGGATTATGTTGAGGAGGGCCCATCTCACCGGGCGGTTGAATGTAAAACGAGGGCATTGGCTGGTTTTGGAACATGGCAAAGTCGATCGGCCCAGGAACAGACCGACTGCGCTGTCTCTTGTGGCCGTGTGGCGGTGGTCGCATGGCCGAGTGCATCTGGTTCATACCCCAATGTTCCTGCATCATGCCAGCGTGCGGCTGCTGAAAGTTGGGTTGTGATGCAGGTCGTGCAGTTGGTGACACTGGAGCTGACACAGAAATCGCGTGCGGGTCGGCGACAACGGCGGCGGGGAAGTGCTGAGGGTTGTGTCGGTTCATGAACGAATCGAGGGAAACGAGTTTAGCCAGCTGGTTTGTCAAAACCTTTGGGTTTCCACCTAGCTGATGGATCATACATTGAGTGGCCTGGAGATCCTCTGTGAAGTCGCCAACTTGGTAGAAGCCGCTAGTTGTTGAGGATGAATCCATGAAGAAGTGGGGGGCACGGTTCAATTCGATGACAATGCCACCCATCTTGTTTGGGTCTGCCTCATTATTTTCCAGCCAGATGTTTTTGATGTACGAAAACGGATACTCAATCTTGTATCCCGCCTGTTCGTTGTTAATGTAGTAGGTCATGGTACACTTGTCGGGTGAATAAAAGATGATAAGGTCCATGGTATTTTGTCCAACTCGAGTCCATTTTCCAATACTTAGGGAGCGGCAGGTAAGATGGTGGATCACTACGGAACGATAGGGGTCAGTAAGGCTCGTCGCGTTGCCAGTGAACGCGCAGGATACTTTGACTCACAAACTTTGCCTTGAGCTTGGTCGCCGCCAAGAAGCATGCCATTGTGACCAAAAGGCATCAAACCGGTACGACCAAGGTAGTTACCGCCAAGACCCTTGCCAGTTTCCATGGCTTGCATGGCCAGGTATGCCCTCATAGACTCTGGAATAGAGTCGATATCTTCACCCGTTTCGAGACTCTTCTTTGCCAACAACTTAATTTTGGCTCGTCTATAACTAACATCAGTCTCATTGACTCTAGCCCGAATAAGAAATTCAAACGCCCAACGGCCAAAGCCGAATTCGGGGGCCAGCAAGCACTGAGGGGGGAACATACCGGTTCTGAAACCAAATTTGAACAGACCTCTCGGTCATGTTGATTTCGTCCGCTATTCTTTCCCTAACTCCAGCGGTGGGGGTTGGGTTTTTATTGAACTCCATCTCTAGGATACCAAGCTGATCCTGGGTTGCTCTTTGTCTCTTCTGGTTCTTCTGCTGCTGGGTCAGAGTACTCTTTCTCGGAGGTCGCTTAGAATTAGAGTGCCCATTGCCACCAGAACTTGACTGTGATGGTGAAAGCTTGTTTGAAGACGTAGGCGTAACAACATCACTTTCGGGAAAAGAGCCAGGATCTGGCACGGAAGAAGCAGTGGTCAAGGCCACGGTATGCTCGACCTCGGTGGCCATTGCGAACGCGTCAGGAAAGAGGTTGGGGCCAAGCGATTGAGTCGTGTCGTGTCCCGTTTGCGATGGTTAAGCCCAACAAAGGGATTGCCTATCAACAGCGGCGATGCTATCGGGGTGGCTCGAAATCGTAGATTGGCCGGCTTTCAGGGGGCCGTTAGAGGTGAAATCGAAGCAAAACGGCGTCGTTGGCTTGAATTTGAATTCGATGGCGCACAGAAATGCCAGTCCGACGGGAACAATGATTAGACTAAAGGCAGCGAAAAGCAAGGGACGGGTTGGAAAACAATTTCGAGGTCCAAAGCTAGGAACAGGGGGCGTAGCGAGTGTGTGTGTGTTGATTCGCGTGTAACAAAATAGGCAATGAATGTCAGTCTCTAAAATCCCATAGTGGGCGGACGGTGAAGGGCCTTTGGGGTGACGTCGTGGATGAGGAGCCGAAAGAATGTAATGGTCCCGGAAAGAGTGACGGGAACCGAAATGGCTACTGAGCAAGAGAGTGACTCAAAAGGAAAGAAAGGCGTCAAGAAAGGAAAGGAAGTAGCAACAGTACAACGGGTGAAAGAAGGTGATGGGAAAGACGAAAAGAAAAACGGACATGGAGGATGGGCAGACGGGGGAGCAACCCTGCGGGCCAGAGAGAACGCACCAGTTGGCCCGAGCCCAGGCAGGCCAGCGCCAGGCACTTGAGAAGACTGGAGGGGGCAGACCTGGACACCTGGGATGAACGGATCTCAGCGCCGGGGAAGACGGGGGTGTGGCAGCACTCCTCGGGGCACCTGGAACTCGAGGACTCGGCTTGGGTCCAGACAGGAGTTGCGGGAGGCATTGACAGACTGACCAGACATATGCGACCTGCCTGGGCCACCAGACTCCAGCCAACCGCTTGACCGCTTCCAGGAG